GTTGGATCATGCTTGAGTTCCAGCTTGATGAATCTCTCGTGCGAGTGCGAAACAAAGAGACAATTGTTCTTTGTCTTGTTAGAAAGAAAGAAACATCGGGCAAAAGCAAATTAGAAGAACGACAAAATCATGAAGTTGACATGGCTTCCCGTGGAGAAATCCAGGCCCAGCATGTGCATGATGATCAGCAGCAACATATTGACGCAAGTACTTATGATCAACTTAGGTTTTTGGATGATTACCTTATGAACGATATCGAGGGTGAACAGGACACCATGGTTAATCCAACTTTGCTTGCACAGTACGGTCAGCAGGGCACAAGTACTGAAGATCAACTTAGGTTTCTCGAGGATTACCTGATGAACGATATCGAGGGTTAATCTCTTGCACACTACGAGCAAAATTATTTCCTTTTGTGTAATTCCTCTTTGTTCATAATCATAATACAACACTATTAGAACTAAGAAGTGCGAGTACGTATATGTGTTTATCTTGCTGATTGCATGCAGGCTTGGTCAAAACCGTTCCAAATTTTAAATACAAAACGATTTATTGAAGTACTTTGGTGTAAGAGCTATTATGGTGAAGAATTCCTAATTTGTATATACGAACAAAATAATAAAATATATGCATATAGACTAGTTAAAGACATGGATATTCAAAAGTGAAGGATGTGTGAAAATATTGTGAAGATAAATACTAAGTAAGATCTATGGAGATGGCATTGAAACCAAGCAACGGTACTAAGAAGCACAAGAGCGTTTCAAACAACAGTTAGCGTCGTCCCATCTCTCTAAGACTGCAACCCTATGAAGTTTAAGATTGGAGAAACCAAAATAAAGTGCAAAAAACTAGAATATCATGGAAGTCATACAGAGGATTGTGTCATCTCTCAATTGAAGCCATTTTTTGTTTTTATTTTTTCTGTTTCTGCTTGTAATGAACGGATAAAAAAGTCCAATCAGATAAAAATATAGAAATAAAAATTTGTGTTGGACATGCGTGCCACGTGCTGTTACTAATCCACATGTAATAATGCGGATGGAATGGATTTACAATTTTAAGATATGAAATTAATAAGTACATGTTTAAAAATGAAAAGTGAAGCTATCAGTAATATAATACAATATAAACATATATGTAATGGAAAGCGATCATTATTCATTGATAAAACCAGTACTTAACAACCAACAATAAACAAAAAGAATAAAAATAAGCTTAATCATACTAAGCTATAGCTCCAAGATCTCATGATCATGAATTATCAGCTACTATACTTGTTTTATTTGATATGTCACGCGGTTGGATTATAAGATCCCATAACAATGCCACATATTACTTCTTTTATTTGATATGTCATGCGGTTGGATAATAATAAGATCCCATAGCAATGCCACATAGTCCTTCATCAGCATCAATGTCTCTTTGAATCCTCATGTATCCACTGAAATTCTGAATGAATGCCCAAGTGGATGCAGAATTGGGAAAATCCATCTGAATTGTGGCTCTTTTCATTCTGAGAGACTCATACGTCCTCAAATATTGATGCCCTTGGGCAACAATGAGTGCCTTGTTAATAATGGGATCCCCATTGCCACTGGTGCAACTGTCTCTTTTGAATATGCCTCACCAAACCAGTTCCCTTTTTCTGTTTCCTCACTATTCTGCTCAGTTTAATGAACGCTTTTGGTATCTAGTGTCAGTGATTAATAATGCTACTAGTTTAGATGCTATGTAATGCTAGCATTAATCTGCCTATCAAATTGAGATTTAATCCAATATATTTCTTACTTGGCCATGGTTTACATTTGGGATATCTTAAGTTCGAGTTTCCTCTTGATTGGGTTATGAGATGTTTGGATGAAGACGACACCAGCCTTTATGTTTATGTACCTAATAAAGCTAACCTAATTCATCCAAGGTACCTAAAATATTGCTGAATAAAATATGTATGTATTTTATTCATATTTTTCCCGTTCTGTATTTTACTAATTATGAAAGAATGTGAGAGGTTAAGATTATTTCTTACTTATTGTAACAAAAATGCAAGATGGTGATTTTGCAATCTCTTTGCCAACCAGAACAACAATATCAAACAAAGATTCATGGGTATAGTAGTAAGCGAGGTGGTAGTATTCTTCATGTAAAGTGTTGTTTGAAATGTCAAGCAATTACCAAGAACACTCCAACTCAACATGCAATTCTCTACAATAAATAATGTGTGCAATAATAGAATTTAGTAGCACTCGAGAGAACAAAATAGACCAAAAGCAAACATTCCCACACAAAAATAAAAAAATAAAAAAATTTAACTCTCAAATTGATTTGTGAAATTTCTCTCTTTTCAACATCTGCTTTGGAGATGTCGAAACTAGCAAATTAATAACTATAAAGTATAAACTGATGCAACTAGAAGGGACTTTTGTTTTAATTTCTTTTTAATAGCTAGTCTAGCCGCGCAGCTATACTCCATTTAAATATAATATACTTAAAGAGTATAGCCGCCCGACTATACCTGCTTGACACGTGAGAGCTAGGCGCTAGGCGAGTCCACCCGTGTTTTTTTTTATAAACAGTATAGCCGCGCGGCTACATACTACGGTTAATCGGGCGGCTATACTATTTTTACACCCGCTATGCGGGTTTGTTTTTTAAATAAATAGTATAGCCGAATGGCTATACGCCTGATTTTTTTTAAAGAAGACTATATAGCCGCGCGGCTGTACTGGGGTCTTTTTTAATTTATATATATATAAATAGTATAGCCGATACTGTGATCTTTAATTATAAAAAAATGGTTTTTCCCTCTTTTTTTAATCCACAGTTTAGACCATTACCCGAATTTCTATTGTCCACTTTTGATTTTTACTTTTTCAGAGTTATTAGACATATACTCATAATGTACATATATGTACGTAATTTTCATGTTTAATACACTTGGTTTCTTACCAATTTTTCAGTAATACACACAAAATTCACGTATTATATACATAATTTTCGCATATTAATGAATAAAAATAATATATTTTATAAAATTTAAATCTATAAAGTATATATATCGAAACTAGCAAATTAATATCTATAAAGTATAAACTAATGCAACTAGAAGGTCCTTTTTTTATAATTGTATTTTTTAATAAATAGTATCGCCGCACGGCTATACCCTTTTAAAGCCGGGCGGATATAGTACTATTTTTATTATAAAAAATAGTATAGCCGCATGGCTATACGCATTTTGTAACATACTAGGCGCTTGGCGGGTACTCTTTTTTTTTGTTTTATAAACAGTATAGCCTCCCCGCTATACGTGGGATTTTTTTATAAAAGAAGAGTATAGCCGGCTGGCTGTACAGGGGTCTTTTTAATTTTAGAAATAGTATAGTCGCACGGCTATACTCTTGACATAGATACTGTGATCTTTTTTTAAAAAAAAAGGGGAAAATAGTTTAGAGCATTACCCATTACTATTAGGCCACCATTATCCCCTCTTGGGTTTTTACTTTTCCAGAGTTATTACCCTTATAAAGAATTTAGCATTTTCACGTTTAATACTCGTATTGTACACATATGCAATCATTTTTCATGTTTAATACACTTGGTTTTTTACAAAATTTTCAATAATACACACAAAATTCACGTATTAATGGTTTTTTTTTTCTCCACACATTCTCTATATGTATTTATATTTACTTTAATCTTAAAATTTGTATGTTTTTTTTTTATATGGGTAATATTCTCATATAACATGTCAGATATCTGGCAAGAGAACATTACTCTTATTTCACATGTTTATTAATCTCGAATTTGTGATATTTGACGAGAGAACGTTACTCTTATTCCACATGTTTGTTAATCTCGAACTTGTGGTGACATTGTAGGAAGGATCGTGTCTGATGCCAACGTTGCGGAGTGTTCGAAACAGTACCTTGAGGTGATACAAGTCCCCACAACCAAGCTCCCTTCAGGAAGCCAAGTTTTCCAGGTTCAAATTCTGAATGAGTGCCCAAGTGGATGCAGAATTGGGCAAATCCATCTGAGTTGGATGAAGGCAAGGCCAGCTTAATGTTTATGTACCTAATAAAGCTAACCTAATTCATCCAAGGTACCCAAAATGAATTTTATGAGTCCATTAAGTTGAATGACCTTGACTTGCAGACCTATGGTCACAGATTCGAATCCTCATAGCACCTTAACAATGTGGGTGAGAGAAACCCTCTAGGCCTCCTTCCTAACTTTGGCAAAAAAAAAGAAAAGAGTATTTTAATCCATTTATCCAAATCTGTGGGGTCCATGGCCATGAATGAAATCAAGCCCGTTGCCTTCACAGTTCACACTTCACGGCTGTATTTTCAATTCTCATCCCAAAAAGGGAAGTCCTGTTTTTGGTGTGTGAATTTTGAGAACCGACATAAATGGCAAAGGACAGGTGGTGTAGAAATATATGGTCACAGCTTGAATTTCACATGATGCATACGCGCTACTTGACACTCATTTGATTTTCTTTCCGCAACCAAAGCAAAAAGACATGTGAAGGCTATAAAATTAAAGTATCGAGTATGTTCTTTCTGGTTGCAGCCTTTAAGTAAAATGTGAATTCATTAGAGAGACAAAAAGCACTTGGCCGCCTTTCCCTTCCACTATAAAGCACTTACAAATATGTGTCAAATTTTCAATGATCCAACAGCACTTGTTTCTGTTTGATTAGAAAGTTGCTTCATAGTCTTGTATTGATATTATAAAGTGTTGATGCTCATCTTAGACTTTTTAGTTCTTTCATGCTCTTTAGACTTTGTCCTCTACCACTTGCACATGAACATGACTTTGTCCTCTACCACTTGCACATGAACATATATCAATAAACTTTGGTTTCAGACAAAGCAAACTTCTTCTAAACAATTTCTCCAAATTATTTCCTTGGTGTAGTTCTTTGTGAAAGAAAACTACCCCCTACCAAGCTGAAAGTGCCCGAAATTCCCTCATCGATTTGTAGAGAATCGAAAATGGGAAAGACTTTGGTTCTAGCATTCTACATAACCATATGCTGCATTGCTTTTGTGATATCAAAGATTGTTATTTCAGTCCTCATCTACAGGCGATGGAAGAGAAAGCAGTTGGTTTTTGAAGATGGCGTCTCTGGTATATGGTTGAGATTTTGCATGTAAAGTATTTTGCTTGTTGAAAAGGGAAGAGAAGTACGCTAATTAATGTATTGTACATGTGCAGGTGGGAAAATGGTTTTGTTTAGGGCTTCTGCAATGCAATCTCTCAAATCAGATACATTCTTAAAGAAGACACTCAAGTTGAGCAACAAGGACATCATTGGCTCTGGAGGCTATGGGACAGTTTACAAACTGACAGTAAATGAGTCCATAACCTTTGCTGTGAAAAGATTGAACAGAGGAAGTGCAGATAGAGATCGAGGCTTCGAGAGAGAGTTAGAAGCGATGGGGGACATAAAGCACCGCAACATTGTGACCCTTTATGGATATTACACTGCTCCAAACTACAATCTTCTTATATATGAATTGATGCCTAATGGAAGTTTGGATACAGTTCTACAAGGTATGATATATCAAATTTAGTTAAGCCAAGGTTTTTAGTCTTGAGTTCTGAATTGATTATTTAAAAAATAACTATATAGTGAAGCAAAGTCCATGGTTTTGACTTTTATATTGTCTGATCATCTGGTAAATTTTTAAGCAGGAAGATCAATGGAGAAGAAGCTTTTGGATTGGCCTTCCAGATACAAAATAGCACTAGGTACTGCAAGAGGAATATCATACCTTCATCATGATTGCATCCCTCACATAATCCATAGAGATATTAAATCAAGCAACATATTGTTGGATCAAAACATGGAGGCTAGAGTTTCTGACTTTGGACTGGCCACTTTGATGGAACCAGATAAGACTCATGTGTCAACACTTGTAGCTGGAACTTTTGGATACTTAGCTCCTGGTACAGTTGCAGTACTTACCACCCAATTATTAATTATATTTTCAGTAACTTGCTGCTTAATTACCTTCTGGTGTATTGGTATAAGACAGAAATTTTTTTCTGCAGAATATTTCGATACAGGAAGAGCAACAGCAAAAGGGGATGTTTACAGTTTTGGAGTGGTTTTATTAGAACTTCTAACTGGAAAGAAACCTTCAGATGAAGCATTTATTGAGGAGGGTACAAAGCTTGTGACATGGGTAAGTAAACCCAGCCATTCTTTTGCTAAATGACATGTTCAGAAAATTTCACCAAATTTCCATGTTTTTGTGGTATTTTCAATCTGTTCTTGTTCAAATTCAGATATCACTGCCCAGGCAACTCGTTAATCAACAAAATAGTCTCTAGTATTGCTTTCATCATTGATCAGTAATTGATATACTTGCTAATCAATCGGTTAACGATGTTGCAGGTGAAGGCAGTTGTTCAGGACAAAAAGGAGGAGTATGTGATTGACAGTAACTTAGGGTGTTGTCCAACCGATGAGATTAACAATGCCTTTAGTATTGCTTTAATGTGCCTTGAACCAGAGCCTTCCAAGAGGCCTACCATGGTTGAGGTTGTCAAGATGCTTGAGGAGATCAAAAATAACAAAGTTGTAAAAGAGACTTAAATCATATGATTAATGCATCTCCTTTTCTTTAGACAATGTATAGATTCTATACACCAGTTTATGCCCTCAAGTGTTCCTAGCCTTCTTATCAAGAGCTTTCTTCCATCATTTCTCTCAGATATGCAAAAGTGATGAGTAATTGAAACATACATTAATTCTTTGTTTCCGCCCTTTAATTATCTGTAAGCAGTAAGCACTAAATTATGTTGTAGATTGTACTTTAATCTAATGAGATTACCCTCACCCTAGACCCTGGCCATGGCAGAAGCCAATACACAAATTCTAATGCCATAATTACATGATTGGATCCACAGGTTATAAGGTGCAAGCAATTACTTTTTCCTTTAAAGAATTGAAGCTTACTGCTAGACTAGACATATGATTAATTTAAGACGAGATCAAAGACTTGCCAATAAGGATACAACAACCTAGCTAAAGTTTATAAATAAGATAGGTGAGAAACATATTTTCTTTTAGATTATACATCAATTTCCTTGTCAAGTAGGTACATAAACAGATACATAGAAGAAAGATGACAGCTCAAGTAACCTTTTTCTTTTTTGCTAAGCAGCTCAAGTGACAAATAGACAGACATACAGCGGTTGAATAAAACCATATCTCCAAAAAAAGAAGAAGGAAAAAGCTAACTTGTGTCATCTACTTGAGGACTGATTCCAGTCCATTCACAACGGATGATTTTAAGGAGGGAGAAACTGGAGTATCTCCGAAGAATACATCGAAAAGAGCCAAAGCCACATTTTCTGATTCTATTGCAGCATCCACACTAGACGGAAGCCCATCAGCGGAGATGCAAACCTAAGTATCACAATAAATCTTATCGGATAAGAATGCTTGCAGGTAAAAAAATTGAGAAAATAGTATAAGAAAGCATAACAATAACAATGTTGGTTTAATTTTGCAAACCAGCAAAAAACACAAAGTATCAGAATGCGTCTTGAGAAAATCCAAGAAAAAAACAAGGGAAAACATAGAACACCAACAAGCCTGCATAGTTGATAGCCATTAGAAAAAAAGTAGAGTAGACCTGAAATTAGAACTTACAAGCATTTTCAAAGGGTCTGGCCAAGTCAAAAATATGAAAGTTCCCTTTTTAAGGGGTTGCCCTTGGAAGATACTACGGAATTTGGACAGTGCTGATTCATCAACAGGAGTGGGTGATTTGATTCTTGGGGAGATAGCATCATTCAAGGCATCCCAAAAAGTTTTACCATCAACATCTCTAACCAGAACAATCTGTAATGATTTCTCCAGGGGAGCTGCAATTAAAGAACAGTAATTTTAGCAACCTCTGTGTGTGTGTGTGCAGCAAGGAAGATGCACAAGTTTTATGATCATTACATTGAAAAATGGTGCTGAACAATGACGAATCCTCTTGAATCTCAGCAGCTGATCTTCCTTTCCAAGCATTCAAACTATTTAAGATGGACTGGTTCACATATAGCCCTGCAGCATAGACTTTAACGCCAATAATTGCAAAGACTTTTTCCCTGTATCCTGCAACCATTGCCAACATTGAAGTTATATGCTACATGAACCACAGCCATTAGATGAAAAGCTACTATAATCTCATAACTTCAAAAGATTAACAAAAACATGGGTGTGGTTAAAAGTAGCAGGTACTATGTGACAGAACTGTTATATTATGTTAATAGATGAAAAGCTACTGTAATCTTTCTAATCATAACTATTTGTATCAAAACTCAACAAATGGCAATCTTTCTTTTTCTAGAATGGATACACTTTGGTATTAACTGAAGCAACTGACCGGTTCCAAGCAACGACAATGAAATCAAGCAACCTGGCAAGCTCAAAGATGTCTGAAATCTCACTTTGGTAGCGGGTTCCTCTATGTATTCTGCACTTCCAACTGTAGTTTTGTTTACATAGGGCAAACACATCAGATTTTGTAGGGAATAAAATCAAAAGAGAAGATAATAAGTGATTAAAAAGGAACAGCACATTTAATCTTGCAAATCAACACTTCATACAGTAGCTTCACATGATTGGGAATACCAGTGATAACACAATTTGATTGAACTACTACAAAGAGTTTCATGGCAAGGCATCTTATAGTAAGTGTAATTGTAAACGAATGTCATTGCCATCCAAACTTAACAGAAAGTTATTTATCTTTACTTCTTTCAGTTATCTCAAATTTCAACAAAAAATAAGAATGAACCAGATTAATTTCTCACTTAGTGCTCAAGTTGTGTCCTTGACCTCAACTTCTCTGTGCTTTGCAATATCTCAGGCACAATTACACTACACATTGTGCAGTTGTGAATTGTAACTGGTAGCACCATATAATAAGATTCCACTACAGATGTATATGTGCAATTATGCCACATACAAATGTACTATATAGAGAACCAAAATATGTGAGATTATCTCATTATAACTTGATGACATTTACAAAAAATGGTGTCATCTTTAACCAAAAAATTGCAGGGTGTCATGTTCCATACAGATAAAGTCCAAGACAAAGTCAAGTTTTATTCAGAAAGAACATGGTCATTGCATGTATTAAGTCCAATAATAGCAGCTTAATCTCGAGTCAAGTTTCCCCACATAAAGCCAGTGTTTTTATAGTACCTTCCTTTAATTTCTATCCCCCCGTATACCCTAGCTATTGGGAATTTCAGAAAGGAAAGCTTTTGTCAAGTCTAGTGGAATTCATGTAGCTAGACTTCAGTGTTTCTAACAGAAAATTTGGTTTAATTGTAAGCCATAATAACGTAATTGACTAAAGCCACCGGCTTTCAGAAATATATCTACTCTCCGGCCAGAAACTTGATTGCTTTTTTTCCCTCAATTCAAACAAGTAATTCTATCCAAAAATTTGACCACATTTACAAGATTTTTGCCATAGGGTTTTCTGCAGCCATGCTACTTATCTGATTAACATTTGAAAAACAAAACCATTTGAGGATTACATATGTTCTTTGCAAATGTAGCTAGTAGTTTAAGATGCATTTCTTGTTCTGCATAACTGGTGGGGTAAAACCCAAAAACCCAATTTGGAATTACAGGGAAAGAAAGTGAAAATAGTCCAAAATCAGTTGCTCATCATGGCAGCTGAATTTCAAACAACACAATAACAAACCATTTAACCTCATATAACACAAGATTGAAAAGAAACCCTGTAGAAAAATGAAACGAGAAATCAGGAAGCTGATGGGTAACAGGAATTTACCTGAAGATGAGGAAGCATTGAATGTGAAACGGGTCTGAGTTCTAATGTCCTCCGGAGGATACAAGAAAGAGCAAGAGTGGGTTTGGCACAACAGTTCATTTGGATTTGAAATTGTAGCCACAAAGCCAATTCTGGGTCTGGAAATGCAGTTTCTGGTAAAAATAGGTAATTGGAGCCTTGTTCGAGTGCAAATTGCTTGAGCTTCAAACATATTTGTATTTTTTGTGTTTCCAGGAAAACCCTTTTCCCAATTAAACTGTTTGGTAATTCGAAGACAAGATTTTGATAGGTTGAGCAAGGTGGGCTTCAGCTAGCCTGCACTCTGTTTCACTCTGCAGTAAAAAAAAAAAGTACCTACAGTTTCTCCATAAATAGTAAAATATTAGTTGCTGGTAAGTGAAACGATCAGTTAGTTTGCTCACTCACTCCAGTAAGCCACTGTAAAAGGCGATATAAAAGGACAATGTTGATGATGAGGGTGATGATGTGAGAGAGACGCAAAGTCACTCCACGTGGATGTCCTCAAAAGCTCCAGTATTTGAAACTTTCCAATAGAATTCCAAGAATCCCAAACTCCAAAACGGCTCACTGATGACGACCCCAGTTAATGAAAAATAGCCGTTACCTTTGCCTTTTTCTTCACTTTAAATCCCACATCTCTCTGGTTCTTTTCTCAGAGACCCAAAACATCAGTTGTACTTTCTTCTTCATCATCAGTTTGGTTTCAGGCTTTCAGTCAGTAGGCAAACTTAGTACTAGAACAGCTCTCTATGGCTAAAGCAGCTATCTCTCTGTTGCTCCTGCTCTTGTCCTTCACTTCAGGTACTTTATTTCACATGATTTCTTACAACGTTATCAGGTTCCTTGCATTAAACTTTATCCAAACTCCCCCAATATTTTAAGTGCATTCCTACACATTAGCAGAATTTTACCTCTGATTACAAATCTATTGTTGTCTTTTGCAGAAACATTGCTCATGGTAAATGGACAGGTAATATCAGGTTCCTCAAGTATGAAATATAGAAATTCAAATACAAATCTATAATTTACTTTGAACTGACCTTTGTTCATTCTGTTATGAAACTGCAGAAAACCTGGTGTGTGGCAAAGCCTTCATCAGACCAAGCAACACTTCTAGCGAATCTAAATTACGCGTGCTCTCACGTAGATTGCCAGATACTTCGAAAGGGATGCCCCTGCTCCTCTCCAGATAACCTCATGAATCATGCCTCTATAGCCATGAATCAATACTACCGAGCTAAGGGGAACAACCAGTGGAACTGTGATTTTAGGGGCTCTGCCCTCATCGTCATGACTGATCCAAGTAAGTCACAGTTCTTAATAAGGAAGTTTTGAGAAACAACACAAAGTTCTTTCATGGAAAACCATATAATTTCATTTGATTTGGATCCTATATAATTTCATGAAAACTATTTCTACTGGTATGGTAAATGAATTATGCCATTTCATTTTTGTGTAACATTTCTTTTTGTGTTGATTTGCAGGTTATGGTGACTGTATATATGCATAATTTCCCAGTACAAGAGAGTACATGCATGTGCTTCTTCCAAACAAAAAAGAAAAAAAAATCTTGAGTGTATTCTGTTTGTTTGTAGAATTTAGCATTCAGTATAGCTCTATATGCAATATGGGTACGGCTGTCAAATTTTCAGTTTACCTCAATTCAATAAAATTTTAAATGTTGCTGCTCTCTTTTATTTTTTTTTTTTTTTTTTTTTTTTTTTAAAAGTGGGGACAATAAGCTTGTAACTCAAGTAGTGGTTGAGAGTATTTACCTTGGTATCTGGCACCTGAGATTCTAAGTTCGATTCCCCATTCCCCCAATATCGCTTGTATAAAAATAAAAAAAATGGAGGGGGTAAAAGAAAAGCACATGCTTTTTTCAGAGGTATCCCAAGCTGATTAGCATCCTATAGGCTTTTCTTTGTTGTCATTTTCTTCGCATTGTCCTACTTCTACTACATCTAAACAGGGCATATATTATTGTGTGGGCATCCCAGATGGTCCCATACCATTTGGGGCCTAAAAAAGGATAAGGTTAGGCTGGGAACTTGGCACTTAATGTTTGCTTATTTGATGTTTGTCTTAAGATGAAAGGGGCAGAAATCAAATTGCAATAATGATTTGATCTTTAATCTAATTGCAGCAAATTAGACTTCGAAACAATTTAGTTTCTAAGGAACTTGGGAAGTCATCGCAGTCAGCGAAGTGACAACTCTTGTAGGTGAATGGTGACGTGATAGCAACACATGCTCAAACTTCTGGTATAGGAAAGCAGAGCCTCTCTGAGGTTCTATCCTTTCGTGATGGGTACACAAGAACCAAATTTTGGCTCATACATTATGCACTAACCAATAATGGACATTGCGTAAAACTTTACAGGGTTATTATTGAGACACCAAAACGTTATCATGAACTCTTCCTCTCTTTGTAAAACCATAAAAGAAGTGCGTGATAACGTTTATGGAATTCAATAACAATTCCCAAAATTTATTTAAGGAGTCCATAAACATATACACAAGCATCCTATGAAAACATAGATGGTTAAAAACTCAAACAATACATGATTCTCCCATAGAACTAGCGATTGATTGATCCTACCTTCCTTTCTGGCAAGTGGTTGAAATTCATTATTAGTGCAAAAATTTAAATGTGCGAATGATTCTCACGCCTTCACACGATTTGATTGAACAAGAATATGGTACATATAATGCCACGTGCATCAATCAAGTAAGGTGCTGTGGATAGAGCGACAAGAGATTAGGAATAGGCAGAGGCAGGACCTGCCACCTATTCTATTATGTATTGACCTTTACGTGGTCCTATTTGCCCAGAGAAATTAGGCAGATGTTATTAGCATTGTAAAATATGTGTCATTGTGGTTGTTTTTCCTTGGACTTGTGTGTACTTCTTGCATTAGCGTACTGTGTACTAATCTCGGAGATTATTAGTTTACAAATTAAGACCCTTTTTTAATCAGGTTAGAACACATTAGCTGCAAAATCATCATGTTAACATTTGTGTCATATATCAATTGGCATTCTATTTAGATTTAACTCGATCACATTTTATCATTAAGTCATTTATTCTTTTGGGCCACTTTGGCCGAAAAAATAAAATGAAATCGACCAAACAAAAATGATTTAAAAGTAAAAAGATAAATTAATAATTTTGTTATATATTCTTAAGATAGAAGAATTATTTGAGTTAAAATTTGTATGAAAATGATTTGAAGTTCACAAATCACGTTTGTGACTCCCCACCCTCACAATATAAACGAAAATTGTGCAATAATCTATTATACAATGTAAGAATTGCTAAAGAACAAACAAATCACACGATATAAAGAAAGATCTGATTGGTGGAAAATCTAATAGTCATGACAACCAGTCGTCGTTTAGAGGGAAATGGTTTCTGGCTCTCATTTGACCAACAAACTTGAAAACTCCAAGGACAAACATTCATTTGCAACCCATAGATAAGCCAAGCCAAAGGATTTCCCTTCCTCTTTGAGTTGAGCCTTTTAAACTTCACCCCACAATACAAAGACCAACTCTTTTTCTGAGGGTCACTCATATCTCTCGCTCTCTCCAACTGATAAGGAGCAAAGAGAACTCTTCTTCCATGTGGGCTTCTTGGATCCACTCAATTATAATTCCAACTTGTACTCCATGCTAAAACAGAAGCTTCCCACCCAGTGGCCTCATTTGATTTCCTACAATTCCCACAACTGTCTTAATGACTATTTTCTTGCTGGTGTTTGGTTTATGAGAAATTGAGCTCTCTTCTGGGTTTTTGGTTTTAGTTTGAGTTTTGGTCATTTTGGTTTCTGGGTATTGCTTAGAATGATGTCAATGACATGCCATAGTCTTGAGGGTAGAGCTGTGTTGGATTTGGTGGCTTGTGGGTGTTCTTCCAATGCTTTGTTGGACCGTTCTTCAGTGAGGAATTACACGAAGGCAAGTTCTAAGGGCATTTGTAGAGGTTATGGAGCTCGGCAATCGGTTTGTGGTAGGCGGGACCGAATTCGGTGTGAAGTGTCTTCAATGAAAACAGCTGAGACTCCAGTACCAAAGAAAACAGCTGAGACTCTGCTAAATAGTAAGACTAGAGTTTGATTTTGGTTTGAAGTCGAAGTTTTAGTTAATTGAATGTAGAGCTTTGTTTCTACCAAATGCTTCAAATTAAAGTTTTGTTTTGGTTCTTGTTTGTACCATTACAGGTGTTTCTGGTGTTTCTCGAGGTCTTCCACAACTTTTGGATTTAAACAAAGAGTCAAGAAGGCCCGTTTCGTTGACAAATTTGTTTGAAGTGGTTGCTGATGACCTCCTGACATTAAATCAAAATCTTCAGTCAGTAAGTACTCTTATTGAAATTCCTGGTGTTGTGTAATATTATAGCTATGAGGTATTTATGGTCAAGAATATTGCTATGTATTGTACAGTTTCTAATCATTTCTTCGTGCCGGCTGAGCTTAGTTTTAAACAAAATTTTTTTTCTTTTCTGCTTGATGGTATTTCTGTCAGTTATTATATTTATATTAGTAGTTAGTGACATCCTTTCTAGAAAAAAGAACACATTTTTACCTTCTCCCGTGAAGCTATAGAAATAAAGTTTGTAATGTTTCTATGCGGAAAGCAGTACTAGACTAAGAAACAATATGTGTGTGAATGTTCTTGTTGCTAGTTGCGATATCTGTGATGTGCTTAATTTAGAAGCTGGAAATTTGGTATCTTTCTTAATGTTTTGGCATCATGACAGATAACTCTTCTAAAGGTACATAGGACCTTGTTAACGCCATAATTGTTACATTTAATGTACTAAGAAGTGGAAGAGTCTTGCTTATTTGGAGGTTATCTGTTCTTTCCCATTGTTGGGCCTTAGGTATGAATAGCATCCTTGTTCACTTATTCTGTCCATGTCTTACAATTCTATGTAGATCAGGCTCTTATCCATTTGATCGCTTATCAGTTATAGTTGAGCATACATATCCAATAGCAGAGGTCAGCAGTGCCTTAATCCAGCTGTTTGGGTAGGCAACGTAAATCTTTACCCTGTTGTTTCTTGCTCACCTTATCCCATTTATCAGTTCTTATTTTTTCCAAATCATCATCATCCTTGCCTTTGCCCCAATCTTGTGTTTGCCAAGTGAGCTGATTTTGAGGAAAAAATTCATGCGACAGTCTGACCTGAGGGTGTTTGGATTCACGAGTTTGAGTTGCATTCATGGAAATACGTTTCCAGTCATGAACTTGTTGTACAGTAAAACTTCTTATCAATCATCCTTTGCTAGAAATGTCAAATTTTCAATTTTCTCACCATCAAACTATAGCGCCCTTGTCATACCAAAAATGTTCATAGAATTTTGTTGAGGTAGATAGACCATATCAAGAGTTATAGACTTGATGTCTAAGGTCATTTAGCATTAAATGATTTGCCATTTTTCAATGACACTATTTTTAATAATTTAAGTTCACTTAGCAAGTGGTAGAAAATCAACCATGCTAATGTAATGTTTCATTATTTCATTACTTTGCTCCATGTTTTCTTCTGGTTTAGTGTTGCTGTATGATAAACAAGTAATGTGGTTGATAATTCATGGACAATTAGATTAGCGCACATACCAGGGCCAATGCCTGTTGAATCTATATTTTCAGGCCCTTATTTTCTGTTTATACCAATTTTAAGAGGAAAGGACACTTTGTGATAAGATGCTCTTTCAGATTGTTGGCGCAGAAAACCCTGTCTTAATGTCCGCAGCTGAGCAGATCTTTGGTGCTGGTGGGAAGAGGATGAGACCAGCATTGGTGTTTCTAGTGTCCAGAGCAACATCAGAAATAGTTGGGTTGAAGTGAGTTTGATCCAATGTTCTTAAAGCGCTGTATTTCATGAAGTTAACAGATTATGAACTTTGCTCTGAACTTTGTTATTCAGGGAACTTACCATGGAGCATCGTCGATTGGCAGAGATCATTGAAATGATCCATACTGCAAGCTTGATACATGATGATGTATTGGATGAAAGTGACATGCGGCGAGGTAGGCACTATTATCTTCTTATGGATGTCACATGTAAAATTACAGAGATGTCTCTTTGTGACAAAATATATCACCTACCTATTCTTTGCTCCCAATTTTTAGCTACTACAGTATCTATCCATAAATTGATCATATTCTGGATAAACTTGATAAAGAAATCCCAGTGGAAAGTAATGTTACTTCCAACGGCTTGAAGTTTCATAACATTACCAGAAAACTGAATATTCCCAGTCTAACACAAAGCGACTACTGCATGTTTCCACACTTCTTATTAGTATTTCATTTCTTTGTTTTCTTTTATGCCCTCAGATCACTTCCAATGAGTGTGAACCTTATTTGCAGGGAAGGAAACTGTTCATCAAATGTTTGGTACAAGAGTGGCGGTACTGGCTGGGGACTTCATGTTTGCACAGTCATCATGGTATCTTGCAAATCTAGAAAACCTTCAGGTCATTAAGCTCATCAGTCAGGTAAGTTGTGTCATATTCCTACTCTTGCCTTCATGAGTCACAATCTTCTTTCAATGCTTAGAGTCATTAGTGTGTTTTCTAAATAATTTAAACTCACGAGTTGAAGAACCAAAAATGAGAAAGAGGCTTTAATCTGTTAATACTTGAAACCTTTAATTTATATGTAATTCTGTTAGTGCTGTGGCAGGTTATCAAAGATTTTGCAAGTGGTGAAATAAAGCAGGCATCCAGCTTGTTTGATTGTGATGTCGAACTGGAGGAGTACTTGATTAAGAGCTACTACAAAACAGCCTCTTTGATTGCTGCCAGTACCAAAGGAGCTGCCATTTTTAGTGGTGTTGATAGCTATATAGCAGAGAACATGTATGACTATGGTAAGAATCTTGGTCTGTCCTTCCAAGTTGTTGATGACATATTGGATTTCACACAGTCCGCAGAGCAGCTTGGGAAGCCTGCTGGAACTGACCTCGCCAAAGGAAACCTGACAGCCCCGGTAATTTTTGCTCTAGAGAAAGAGCCAAAACTAAGAGATATAATTGAATCAGAATTCAGTGATACTGGTTCCCTTGACGAAGCCATTAGATTGGTTAAGGCGTGTGGCGGCATTGAACAAGCACAAGTGTTAGCAAAAGAGAAAGCTCATCTTGCAATCCAAAATCTCGAGTGTCTTCCTAAGACTGCATTTCGATTAGCTCTGGAGGATATGGTAATGTTTAATCTTCAAAGGATTGATTAGTGGGCTAATTTTTTGGAAGGCCTTTATAGACAAGAACTCCTTAGGCAGAAGAAAAAAAAAGGCTAAAAAGTGAAGCTTCTATCACTACATGCATTTTCTGCACATCTTCAAAGTGCTTCTGCCAATGACAAGCTGGTAGCCACTGCTTGCTAATTGGGTAAATGTGTTAATAACTTAATAATATGCTATATCTTTAGCTCATTATACTGTTGATTTAGTTATACATTCTTCACAAATTGGCACAAAATGAAAATAATACTTCACCATTGTTGTACAACAAAATTCTGGGGTCATCAATAATTTTGACCAATATATTTTCTCTTATTGCGATCTTGTTCATACTTTTAACTTCAATCAGGGAAGTCGATGAATTCATGAACTCAACTCAATTCAATCCAATGTTGTTTGATTTGTAAAATTTTCCATTCAATCCAGTGCGGCCTAATAATGAAGAAATCTTGTTCCATCCAATCCAATTAGATTGGATGATCACTTTTATTTCTAAGGAATAATCTGAAACATCAAAAGTTTACAGGATATTTCTAATCATAAACTTACGCGTTAGTTTTCTGGGCAAATTTTTTTCCAAACTAGCTATTGGTATAAAGATATTTCTATTCTCAATGTTCAAGGAAGTTCCAAAATCAATTCATCTAACCCCGGTTGATATGCAAAGGACCCAATAATATAGTGGTTTGGAGTATTTACTCCCTCAGGCAAGGTCCTGGGTTTAAGTCCTAGCATCTGTGTTGTGTGTGTGAGTTTAATATGCTATCGCTTCTTTCAATTGGAAAGGTCCAAAAAAAAAAAAAAAAAAAAAAAAAAAAAAAAAAAAAAAAAAAAACAAAAATAAAATAAAATAATAATCAGCCATGACACAAAAGGAGTAGTAGAGAGTTAAAGATACGTTCCTTGTGTGCTTAGCTCATGCGTTATGGTAGCGAATAACGTGGTTTGACCGTCTCACTCAAGACCTTTTTCAAAGGATGATCACTCCACACGTCCACACCAACATCTAAGGGCCCAAGTTTTTTCTTATTTGTATAAATGAAAAAATAAATTAAAAAATGATTTAAAATGTAGAAAAGGCAATATCCAAATTCTCTGAATAAATTAATAAATATGAATCAACGGGCTAGAACATGTGTTTTAACTGTAGATGGGCCTAATTCGGCCGCTAATTTACAGTCTAACCCGACCCATTGATCGGCCCGTCAGTCGTGACCATTGTTCTTCGGCCTCATAGCCTTAGCCTCATACACAAGCAAACTCCTTCAAGCTTTCCCAGTACAAATTCAAAATCTTCCAAACGCTTCCTCAAATTCATCGAATCATTCATAAATTTTCAACCTTTCAAGCTTCTTAGAGAGAGAGAGAGAGAGAGAGAGAGAGAGAGAGAGATGAGGCTACTGAACTACTTGGGGCAATGGAGAAGCGTAGCAAAGGAAGCGAAGGATCTCACAGTAACTGTAGCGAAGTTCATGGGTTTGCTCCACGTCACCGACGCCTACCTCTGCTCCTCCACTCTTGTTGTTACTGCAACCCTACCATTTTCCCCTCGTTCTCCTCTTTTTAAAATTTCTATTTTCAAAAGGGTCGTAGTCTTATTATCCGCTGCTTGCAGGTCTACGGTCCTAGTATGCTCCCTACCTTGAACATTTCTGGCGATGTGCTCCTGTCCGAACACGTGTCCCATCGCTTTGGGAAGGTGGGTGCCGGAGATTTGGTCCTGGTTCGGTCTCCGAATGACCCTCGAAAGATTGTGACCAAGCGTATTTTAGGCATGGAGGGTGATCAAGTCACCTTCTTTGTCGATCCCAAGCACAGTGACAGGTCTCGGACTACTGTGGTATGTGTAATTTTTTGTTGTTGTTGTTGTTGATATGTTATTTGTGATTGCAAGTTGTTATTTTGTTGGTTAGAGTTCAATTTATTACTGCATTTTGTACTTTGGCAGTCTCGTTATGCTGTCAAGTTGTAAAACAAGAAATTTACTCGTATTTATTAAAACATTTGTAACTTATAAATAAATGGTTTTTTCTTTTTGTGTGGTTTTAATGACTTTTTTTTTTCCTTAGTTGAAGATGTCTTCTTTGCTCCAGCTCAATGGAACTCCTTTGATGTGTAGTGTGCAAAGATTTCAATGTCGTCTGTATGAATCTAGGTTGTAAAATCTCAATTGAGTGGGGAAAAGGAGGGTCAAGTGGTTGCTATTTCTAACATTTTATAGTGGCTGGCCCTTGATTTGGTATATAATTGATGGTCTAAAAGTAATTCTTCTTAGAGTTATTAGTTTATGGAAATGCTTGGTTAGTATGCTGCTTATGCAATTTACGCTGTCTAATGTTTTATCGTGTCAATAGTAACCTGGGACTTCCTGTTTTTTCTGGAGGTACATGATTTTTATGTAGTGTGTGATCCTAGTTATGTTTTAGTGTTTAGTATTTTTATATTTGGGCCCTAAGTTAGCTTTCTAAATCTTTGTAACTAATATTTTGACAAAGGTTTCCACAGGATGTTAATATTGAGAATGCATTCTGATGCTAGCCAAACTTTGATATACTTTGGTGCAAACATATTTGACCAGATTAAATGTCGACTTTGATATAGGATTCCTTTTTCGAGCAGTATAAAAAATACTCATTTTCAGTGTGCGTTCTCTCTCTATTGTCTTAGGAATGTGATGATTTGCTGCTTAATACAGAGTATTTATTTAGTTATTTCCTTTTCCTTATCAAAACTATCATATTATATTTCTGATTGACATGATTGATTTGTTGCTTTGTGTTTTTGGGCTTGGATGAATAGGTGCCTAAGGGGCATGTTTGGATTCAGGGGGATAACATCTATTCCTCCTTTGATTCTCGAACATATGGAGCTGTACCTTATGGTCTTATTCAAGGCAAAGTGTTTTGCAGGGTAATGCTTTTTTGTCTTTCTGAAATCTATCTTATTGTATTAGTTTTTGTATCTTCAGTCAGTTCTTTTTTGGTTGTAATTCTGTCCCTGATAGTAATTAGGATGTAGTTTATGTGATGAAAAATGTGACCAACTTTAGAATCTTTGCATAATTTATTCTTACCTGGAAATAAAGTCAACTCAAGCGGCAGTTATTTCAACTTGTCGAGGTTGATTGCTGAAGAAATTTATGTCCCTGGTCTATTTGTATGTTGTCTTTGGGCAATGTCTTTAGCTCACTATTAATTTTACGGGAGCTATCTTTCAGAAGCAGAGTAGCAACACTAAATTGATTTGGTATGTGTGTGACTAAGACAAATTGGTTTATGTCCCTTCTATAGTTATGTGCTTGTCGTGGTTTAGACTGTAGAAGGCTTGTGATTAGTTTTTCTTTTTGTTGATTAAGGATTTCCACAACCTTTAGAAATAGGTTTTTAATTTTTTTTTATTGAGTGAATTTCTCCTCCATCGTTTTTTGTTATATCTAAACTTCTCATGTTAATTTCTTTTTTTCCAAACTTCCTTTTAGGCATTTTGATGCACCTGAATATTTTTATTTCATTTTTCATGCCTTTACTAGGTGTGGCCACCTGATGGCTTTGGATCATTGGATTGATGAGCATAAAGAGGATTATAACATTAAGGTAAGCAATTGACATTGTACTACATGTATTGTATTTGCATGAGAAACTTTTTGTTTCTCTCCCTTTGTTTGCTTTTATGTAAAAGAAGAACATGTTAGTTTGTGTTACTGCATTTTTTGGGTGTGCTGAAGTTGACAAATTGTGATTACTCTACAATGACAATCTGATACTGTAATATAATTTTGGCTGATGCTTCTGTTAGATTTATACATTCTCTTTTGTCCCAAATTCACCATTTTGTAAGATCTCTTTCAATTAAGGTTATTAAGATGCAATAGCTGATTCGTATGAACAATTAAGTCTGATTTAGGTATTCATGTAGGTTCAAACTGCTTACTGGGGTAACAAACTCTTGAAGCTCTGCTGGAATGTATCAAGTCCAAAAGGTTTAACATCATTTATCAAGTGTTCAGGTTTGATTGAAGTGAAATATGAAGGAAAAAAATGAGGAGTTCTAGTGGGACAGGGTTGGGAGGGGTGTTGATGTTGGGGGAGAAGGGAGGATGGTAATATGTTTCCACGACAGAAGCAAATTTTGTGTGTTACATTGGCGATCTTTCAAATTTCTTTAGTGCCCTGCCCTGTGTACTTGACTAAGCGGGATGAGGAGTCTCAGAACTGTGTCTACACTCTTACATCTGCTCTGGTGTCTTGGTAGTTCTAAGGATTTCTTTTGTCCTTTTTGCACTTGCTGGTTACACAACTAGTAATTACTGGTCTGGTGTCTTGGTAGTTCTAAGGATTTCTTTTTTCCTTTTTCCACTCGCTGGTTACACAACTAGTAATTACTGGTCTTTCACATTACATGCTTTTCTAGACTTAAATAAATTCTTATTGTGCTTTTTCATGACCAGGCAGCCAAGTCTTAAATCTTTACAGATTTCACTGCCAATAACTTCGTAATTAAAAATTGTTTTCCTCCAAGTCTTAAATTTTAGACTTTGCTGTACGTAGGATCTTATTGAAAAAAACAACCCAAGACTTTGCTTTACGTAGTAGGCTACTATTTCATGGATGTGGCATGTGGATTGTATTTTAATATGATGCATTCAAAAATGATGTTGTTTTCCTATAGGTTATATATTGCTATAACATCTCTTATCTCTGTTGTCAGAAAATTCTTTCTTGGTGTATAAGATGATTGACACAAGGTCTGAGAAGCGCAAATTTGTATATATCCCAAATGGAAGTGCATGCCAGATATGGTTGTAAGTGACATGCCTAGAAGTCTCATGTATAAATAGAATGGCAGTTGCCATAGTCATTGATATTTTTTTTGACAAAAGAGGATTGATGGTTTATCTTATCTAACATACGTGACAAAAGAGGCTAAAACTTGCCTATCAAAAGAAAATGAGTACTTGTACTATGCAATTTCAATTTCAATCGGAATCTGACATAGGATATTCTATCTGTATTCAAATTTCAAGTTTCCTTTGAAAGTCCTACTTATACTATGCATAACACATATTCAGGTTCTTATTGAAGTACTAAAACACCCCCACTCCACACACATTAGTCTGTTATTTATAGGGGATGAACAGACAGAATTCTTACAAATCAGAAAGTTGAATTTTGATCTTAGATTTTATGAAAAATGATTTGAGTACCATACTGAGGCTCAAGAGTGAGCATATTGAAAGGAGAATGTCTGTAGGCCGGAGAAAGCCCAAATGTAAACCGCTGTAAAATCATGGTTATAACTGTTTTCGCTTCCATGAGCGCAAAGTTCTGTCCAATGCATGTCCTAGGGCCTGTGCTAAATGAGAAGAATGGTGCTACTTCATTCTTTGATGCCTTGGAGATGCCTTCTGAGAACCTCTCCGGCTTGAATTCGTGGACGTCATCGCCCCAGATTTCTTTGTCATGATGGACAAAGAGAATTGGCACTGCAAGCTGCACACCTGGTGGTAGAGAAATGTCTCCCAATTTGGTCTCCTTAGTAATCTCTCGGATTGTGAAAATGGCTGGTGGGTACAACCTAAGAACCTCATACAGAATCATGTTCACCTACAATAAACACATTTCAATATTTGGGATTTAGCTAATCAGATCAAAATTTTAAGGGCAGCAAAAAAAAAAAAACCAAGAGAATTAGAGAGAATAGTATTTACAATTTTTACGCGGTTTAAGCCAGCATGGTCTGGTTTGTTCTTAAAATTTGCACAACCTCTTCTCTTGCACGCCTTTGCCAGTCTTGATGCTTACCCAACAGAACTAGTGTCCAGTTAATCAAATCTTTGGTTGTGTCTTCTCCAGCTAAGTAAACACTTTGCATTCTTCAATCACTTCTTCGATGCTCATTCCGACGTCCTTGTCGTCTCCATGCTCTTGAATTTCACTAAAATTGGATTTCAGAAGTATACCCAACAAATCATCTTCTGTGGCTTCTCCTGCCCTCATTGCCTTCTCTCTTTTGTTGATAATTCCCCTCAGACAAATAGCCATTTCAGTGGAGATCTGTTTCATGCTCCTGTTCATTTTAGTTGGCAGAAACCTGCATGCACATTGATATGTAGTTGCAGCTCTTAATAAAGTGTATCTTTTTCCAATCGAGGTTTGAGAAAACCCTATATATATTCTCTCATCCGGATGTCCGCATGTTATTATCGTGTGGATGCCATTGTAAACAGGGAGGAGGGTAATAGAAAATACATGGCGTCCGCACGATAATAACGTCTGGACGTCCGCATAGGAGAATTTCCGTAGGATTTAGGGATCCGTAACAAAATATGCAGAACATTTAACATCTAAATAAAGGTTTTCCTTGTGAGTGGGGCATTAGAAGTTTGATTTCACCTCAACATTGGTATGTAGACCGAGTTCAGAACTTCACATGTCAGAGCACCTTGTTCCTTTTGGAGCTTGAAGAACCTTTCTCCTTCTTCGAAGTTACTACCGAATGCTGCCGGGGAAATAGCATCGCCAGAAAAAGCGCAAAGATAAGGCCACACATCCAACTCACATGTCTCCTTTGATGAGAAATGCGTCTCCCATTTGCTCAACATGTTTTCACAAGCGGCATGAAATGCAGGTAACATGTCCTGTAACAATGTGGGCAAAGAGAGAAAAGGAACTAGGTTTAGAACCGGAAAGACATGAAGAATTCCTTCTCTGGAAGTTTTTGCTTTTAAGAAAAGTCGAGAAAACTTGAATCATGTAGCATTTTGAATTAACCAAAATCACTCTCATGCCTAGTACAGAATAAGGGCTCGTTTGTAGCTGTTTATGTAGGGATTACTTCTACTCACAAACTTTTTTGCTAGAAGTGGTTTTATTAGATGCACATTAAAGACTTCTATTAGAATATCAAGTGCTACAATTTTAAGGGCTTCTTAGAAAAGAACTTCGACATCTCCAGAAAGCACTTTTATGGTCTGTTTTTTCTCTTTCAAGTGTCATAAGTCTCAAACAGAACTTGTCATATGGCGCTGGAAATTTTGACCTATGAAAGAAATGAGTACCTTCACCTTGTCTATGTGGAAAGCTGGGTTGATGATCCTTCTATGCTTGACCCATTTGTCACCCTCGTAGCTGAGCAGGCCAGTCACAAGGAATGAGAGGAGTGGGTTTGAATGTGGCTTCTCAAACACCCTATACTTGGTTAAAGTTTCTCTCATTAATTCCGCGTCAAAGATGACCACACTAGGAACTGGGCCTAGCCAAATGAAAGACTTTTTCCCTGCAATTTTTGGGACCCAAGAATTTGATCAGAACACCAACAGCTTGATATTTTTCCAGGAACAAAGATTTTGTTTCTGGTTTGAATAAGCATGTTGGGTATACTTAATGAATTTGTGGGTGCTCTGGGCTAAGCCCAACAAGAAAGACTTTCTCCCTGCAATTTCCTGGCCAACTTTTTGGTCCAAGTAAAATCATCTGTCATCTAACTGTTAGATTTCAAAGTCAAAAAAGTGGGAGCTGCTACAATAAGGGGGATTGGGTGAGGAGTTTAAGTGAGGATCCAACCTAACTATGTGTAAGTTGAAAATGTTGAAGTTTAATGGTTGGATTGAACCCTTTACTTAAGCCCCTCATCCATACCCACTCATTGTAGCCTTTCCACAAAAAAGTCCTCTGCAAACATGAGCTTAGCCAAGTTGGTCAGAGCGGATGTGCTCCCCACGAGTTCAAATCCCCTTTCCTGTAATTTAGATTAAATTAAAGTAAAATATCGCTTGTATAAAATCAAAAGTCAAAAAAGTCCCCATCCATAAAAAGGGAGACATATGTTGCAGATTGATCATATATAGCAAATGATTGATAAGTGTTCTCCATCAACAGGATCCATAAAATTACCAAACAGCATCCAAGAAATCAGATAATTACAGAGAAGGCAACAAAAACATGCATAGGAGAGACAAAAGAAAATGAAAAAAAGTACCATATTTGTTGAAGGTTTCTTGGAGTAAAGGGAGCACAAGGCACGATGTCATGAGAGAACTCCATGGGTTTTGAGAGTGCCTCTTTGGTCATCTTGGAGTTGTCAGTCAAGTCCCCAGTCAAGAGCCTGTAGGAATTACCAGAAAGACCTTGCTGCCTCAGGTACCTTTCTAGCTTCTTTGGCTTCAACCAAACCCAGTTGACCACTTTCCACCCCAATGTAATTAAACCCACACAAAGAATGGCCACAACCATGGAGCTCACTGAGATTTCCATTTTTGTGTGTGAGAAAAAGAGTATGCAGTCTAAAGACCCTTAAAAAGAAAATGGATGGAATCATGCCTGCCAGTGCCACATCACTATCACATATATTAATTTATTAAATGAACAAAATAAATAAGGACTCAAGCTCCCCAAGATGATTAGAATATGAATATGGTCAGTTATCATCCATTCAAAATCTGACAAGAATATGAATTTTTTTTTTTTTTTTTTTTTTTTTTTTTTTTTTTTTTTTTTTTTTTGAACTCTTGGAATCTTAATATTATATTTCCATCTTTAGATTGGAGGACAACAAATATTTATATAAGACTCGATCTTTTTTGCTCTGGTGAATATAAATGTATATTGATAGATACGATCCTGCTCGCAGCATAGTATTCTTTTTTGAGGCTCAAGTTAGAAAGGGGGAAGAGGTAAGCTCTCACACACGCATACGGACTTGAACCCAAGGCTATTTTGGAGCATACCAAAAACCCAAGACCAATTCAACTAACATTTCTCATTTCACATACTGTTGATATTTCCTTTTGTTAATAATTTATTCGTAATTCATTTTGTAAATTTAATAACTTGTTTGCTGTCCTCATTCTAATGGCTTTGGTGTGTGGATCATTTGTATAGATGACTTGGATTTGTCGATCACTTGCAAGAGTAGATTGATTGATGGAATGGAAATATATAGGATCTTAAAAATTACAATAAAATATCAATATTGCATAAAAATTAGAGTCAAACAACTAGAACTATGGCTATCTTTATTTGATTCCTTAGTTTTTCCTATCAGTCAGACAAGTCAACGTTTATGTAAAATGATATGAGCACCAAATTGAGGTTGAAGGGTTATGCCTGCAGAAGGAGCATGAGCGTAGGATGGAGAAAGCTCAAAGGCAAAGTGTTGTAAAATCAAGGCCAAGGCCAATTTAGCTTCCACCATAGCAAAGTTTTGTCCAATGCAAATCCTTGGCCCCCCTCCGAAAGGGAAGTAGGCAAATTTGTTCTTTGTTGCCTTTGAAATTCCTTCTGAAAACCTCTCTGGCTTGAACTCGTTTGCATCCTCACCCCACAATTCTTTGTCATGGTGAACAAGTAGTGTGTTTAAGGAGACTTCCACTCCAGCTGGTAATGACAATTTTCCAAGCTGTGTGTTCTTGTGAATGGCTCGAGAAAGCACAACAACTGCTGGGTATAATCGAAGAACTTCAAGTAAAATCATGGTTACCTGGGGGCATTATACAGTCATATATTTTATATCAAGTGACATGAAGGGCATCCAAAATTGTACAGGCTAGCTAGGTCTAAAAATGCTAATGAAAAGGTTAATTTTCTCTTCTCTCACCAAGTAGAGAGAACAAGAAAAGAAAAAAACTATTAGGAGCGCCAAATTTATTCACTATTCACCAAATTTTATTCACAAGATAACGTGACAGTAGTTGAATCAAAATTTTCGCTTATTTAGGCCCTAAAAATGAGAGTACGAGTGTTAGGTGAATGAGGTATACCACATGAGAAGCTTGTTAACTATTACGAAAATGTTTTTATTCCTATTCTTTATATGAGAAACATAAAATATATTTGATTACTTTTCTTTGTTTGTTTCTTCTTATGCAAGGAAATCTTTCAAAGTAAAAGTGTGAAGTGATATATATTGTAAATACTTACGACTTTGAGGTGACTTAGCCCATCAAAGTCTTGTTTATTGCTTCCAAACACTTGCAAAACCTCATCTCTTGCACGAGCTTGCCAATCCTGATTTTGACTGAGCAAAACCAGTGTCCAAACAAGCAACACTGAAGTGGTCTCTTGACCCGCAAAGTAAAACAGCTTGCACTCTTCAATCACATCCTCAATGCTCATCCCAAAGTTCTTGGTGTTCCCATTTTCTCGAATTTCCTTCAAGTTGGAAGCCATAAGTATCCCCAATAGGTCATCTTTAGTCGCTTCACCCACCCTAATTGCCTCTTCTCTTTTATTTATAATACCCATCAGTGAACCTTTTATTTCCTTGTCAATCTCTTTCATCCTCTTGTTCATCCTAGTAGGTAGAAACCTGCACCAAACAAACAACCTCCTCAATGGTAAAAATAATTTATCTAACTATAGTTACTGTCTAACCGTAAAAGGGTTTTCTGTATTGTTTATTTATTTACCACCATCCTGGAATGTAAACACTTTGTATAGTTTTTATTGTAAGTTGTGCTTGGTCTTTCAGGAGTTTAAATATTTTCCTTCCTTCTTCATAGCTACTCCCAAATGCTGTTCGAGAAATCACATCAGCTGTCAAATTTTGAAGATAAGGCCAAACATCTAACTCGCATGAACCCTCTTTAGACGCCAAGCTCTCCCATTCTTCAATCATCTCACTACAACTTTGGTGAAATGCCGGTAACATACGCTGTAGAAAACAAAGGAAAATACCGGTAACATACGCTGTACAATACGAGTATTTGGAAATTACTTAGTAAATTAATTGTTAAATCTCCAGATATTTGAATGAATATTGACAAGAGTTATATAAAGTACCTTTAGCTTCTCTGAATGGAATGCCGGGTTGATGATTTTACGGTGTTTTGCCCATTTCTCGCCCTCATAGTTTGCAAGACCTGTTGCCAGCAACTTGACAAGTGGATTTTTTGCTGGCTTCTGAAAATCTTCATATTTTGCAAATATATCTTTTACATCCTCTGGATTACTGATGTTCACTCTTGGTGTGGGCCCAATCCAAATAAAAAAATTCTTACCTGCATTATTTTTTGTTTTATCACAATAAAACTTACAAGAAATTATTTACACATATTGGCAAATATATAAAGTTAATTATTTACAGGCATCGTATATATCCATTACCAAGATAAACCACAAAAACAAATAAATAAATCCTACATTTATCATGAATCAGAGGTTTTCGACAGTTTCTAAAAGTTACTAAACGAAAGGATACCGATGTGATTGTTGATCTAGTAAGCTAGATTGTAAATTAGATCCACACATTTAAATAAAAATTAACATGATCAATTAATTATCCAACAAGATATATGAGATAACACATTAGAATTTTATGGAAGAATAACTATAGTCATACATATGAAGGTGGTAAATAAGGATGACAATGGGTCAAATCATGAGTGGGTATACCATTCCCATCCTCATTTCCGTTAAACATTTTTCCTCCATCCCCATCTTTTGTTGGGGAATGGATTCCTAACCTACCCCATAATGAAAAAAAAAACCAATAATAACAATAAAAAAATAGTTTGTTGAATGAGTAAAAAACACTATAAGCACAACATATCTATCAATTCAATTTTTATTAACTAAAATCTAAGACTTTTAAAAAATAATTAATACATGTCAAAACTACATGTCCAAGACATCATCATTATAGAGGTAGAACACTATATCCAAAAAATTCCCCATACCCTTCACCATACCCATTTTTCATCCTTCATACCTCACCAATAGGATCAAAGCCTTGCAAAGACCCTTACCAATTGGGAAGACTGCCATCCCTAGTGGTAAATTGAAATGTCAAAAGATGTAGTTGGCATACCATAAGTGTTCATGGATTGATAAACAAAGGGGAGGACACGTGGCGCTAAATCATGGGAGAGGTCCATGGGTTTAGATTTTGCTTCTTTCAGCATCATGGAGCTTTCCTTCGTGTCTCCTATCAAAAGCCTGTACGAGTTGCCCGCCAAACCTTGCTGCCTTAGACATCTCTCTAGCTTCTTTGGCCTCAGCCACACCCAGTTCAGCACCCTCCATGCCCATGTAATTATTACGCTCACCCAAACAACACGTAGTGCAACACCGGCCACAACTGATACTTCCATTTTTTTTGTATGAGAGAGAGAGAGAGAGAGAGAGAGAGAGAGAGAGAGGACTTGTTTTGGAAAGGAGCTAGGAAATGGGTTAAATGTGTGAAACTGGAGGAATCCTTGTCCCAAGTCCATTCATTTCCTTCCACAATTTTAGCCTTTGATTTTTTGGCTATAAAACAAAGGATCTTTGTCCTTCTTAATCAAAACCAGTCACTGCTTTCTGCTGCCAGTTGTTTGTGGCTAAGTGAGGACTTGTGTGTGTACGTATGAGGTGATACTCAATAATTCTGTAGCAAAAGTATTATACAGAAGTGAGTTCAGCTCTGACGCATGAAATGCATGTATTGTGGTCTTAGCGATGCCATACACATACACACAGACATACATACATACATATATATATATATATATATTATATGATTTTCAACTTTAAGTGAGTGGTTCGTGTGACTTCTTTTCACAAGAAAAGAATGTGACATAAGAGGTTACGTTTTTATGCAGGAGTATATGAGGAAAAGTTGCACGTGAAGGTGGAAGAAAAACTTTCTTGTAATGGGAATAATACAATGTCAAGTGAAAAAGTTAGAATGCTGCTAAACAAACCATAATATGCGAAAATTATGTGTATAATACGTGAATTTTGTGTGTATTATTGAAAATTTTGTAAAAAACCAAGTGTATTAAATATGAAAAATATGAGTACTAAACGTTAAAGTGCTAAATTCTTTATACGGGTAATAACTCTGGACAAGTAAAAATTCAAAAGGGGACAATAGATACTCAGGTAATAGCTTAATAGTAATGGATAATGCTCTAAACTATTGATAAACAAAAATCAGAGAAAAACAATTTTTTTTTAAAATCACAATATCTATGCGACGTGTATAGCCGCGCGGCTATACTATTTATAAAAAAATTATTTTAAAAAACCCCAAGAAAGCCGCAAGGCTATACCCTTCTTATAAAATAAAAAAATCTCGAGTATCGCCGCGTGGCTATACTATATATCTATATATATAAAGCAAAATGTAAAGCATAGTAAAACATTCAAAATACCAGAAAATGCCCTTGATTAATGCAAACATTAAGAATTGAAATTATTAATTAAATAGGATAATATGGTAAATTCACACTTTTTCATATTTAAAAAAAATAAATATCAGATAATGGAACCTATTTTTATAGAACACAACTACCCATTATCTTTTTTAATTATAAAATAAAATTTTAAAATTTTAAAAAACCATGAACCCTAAAAAACCTCTAGCAGGCGCTGAAGACAATTAAAAGGACTATAGCCGCTCGTCTATACTATTTATTAAAGACAATTTAAAAAAAAAACAGTACAACTGCCCTGCTATACTCAAAAAACTGAGTATAGCAGTGCCCCTAGCTTTTAAGAGCCACGTGTCAAAACAAGTGTATTTAAAAAAAATTAAAACAAGGAGTATAGCCGTGTAGCTGTGTTATTATTATTATTTTTTAAAGAGGACCCTCTATTGATTAGGCGCCACGTGTCAAAAATAGTATTCTCGCATGGCTATACTATTTTTTTATAATAAAAATTCGGCCACTATATAATATTTTAATATAAATGTTATAATATATATTATTCTTATTCAATAATATGTGATAATTTTTGTATAATATGTGAATTTTGTGTGTCTTACTGATAATTTTGTAAAAAATACGTGTATCAAATTTTAGAAATACGTACGTACATATACAATGCGACTATTGTATGTTTACTTTTAAAAACATAAGACGTGTATAGAACATGAATATATTATTGAAAAATACATACGTATATATATATATATATATATATAAGACTATAGCCGCTTGTCTATACTAGTTATAAAAAAAATATAAAAAAAGGACCCGCCTAGCGCTAGCTCCCATGTGTCAAAAAAGCATAGCCGCGCGGCTATACTATTTTTTTTAAATAAAAAAAAGAGTATAGAAAATTTATAAATAAATAAAAATAAAAAATAAGGATCCTTCTAGTTGCATTAGTTTATAATTTGCTAGTTTCGATATATATACTTTATACATTTAGATTTTTTAAAATATATTATTTATTTAATTACTAATTTACCCTAATATAAAATTACCAAAAATGATATATTGAATTGTGAAACAAATATAATTTTAATATAGGGTTATTTACTTAAATAATTCTCAAACTTATACCCGAGTTGCATTTTGATCCCTCAATTAAATTATTCGTTCAAATTATACACCAACTCTTTAATTATTATTCGTCGAATACCATTACATACTAATCTAGAAAGAGGCCTCTAATTCCAAAGCTCGGCCTCTTGCTAAACAGAGAGGCCAATCATACTAATCTAGCTGGTTGCTCAGGGGAAAAAAAGGAAGGTAGTGGTTGGTTGTGTGTTAGTCTTTTGTTAGTCTGTGTTGGTAAACTTGTTTAGTTGAGGATTTATTGTGTTTGGGATCCTAGCTAAATTTTGTTCCTGCTTGTTTGCTGAAGGATATTTATCTTTGTTTACCATGTTTTTCTTATTCCTTGTTATATTTGTCTTTGTTATAGAGGATATTTATCATATTTCATCAATATCAAGCTAATGATCTTCAAGTAGTAGATGAAGAAAGCTCCGAAGTGAATCAAGAACACATCCATTTGCATGAGGACAATGCTAATGAAATGAGTGATGCTAGAGATTACATTGCCGGAACAAATGTGGATGGATCATATTCAAAATCATTAGTCTTATAATTTATTTAGTCTAGAATGTTTTAATTTAATATGTATTATTTAAGACTTGAAGACCAATTGAGCTTGTCGATCACACATGCATAGTATTAAAATATGGATGTTAAAATAGTATGTTTAATATAATTTTGATAATGTTTATCAAAATATCTTAATTATAAAAAATGAAGAAAAAAATTGTTTTCAAGAATTCAACCAAGTTTTCAAATTTTAAAGATTCAAAAACAGTTTTCAAGTTGCAAGCAAGCCAAACAACTTTTAAAATTTTAAAAATTATTGGATTTCTTAACTCCATGTTTTTAAGAAAAATAACAGTTTTTGAGTTCCATACTTGGATAAGATACCAAACATGCCCTAAGCAGCTTGACATTCACTTATTCAAGTTTTTTTGTTTTATAGAATTGGAACATTAGAAACCAAAAAGGGTCATAAACCAAGACAATTAAAAATTTAATACAAAGCTAGTACAATGACTCTTCCAATTGTACCATAAGGATAATAGAAATACAATTTGTAAAGAAAATTATGAGAAAATATAAATACGGCCACAATATACATGGTTCAATCTTATTTGACATGGCTTTATCAATAACGTTAACTCAGCACTAATCAACGTTTATGTAAAATAATATGAGCACCATATTGAGGTTGAAGGCTTATAATTAAGGATGGGGCATGAGCATATGATGGAGAGAGCTCGAAGGTAAAGCGTTGTAAAAGCAATGAAAAGGCTAACTTAGCTTCCAACATAGCAAAGTTTTGTCCAATGCAGATCCTTGGACCCCCTCCGAAAGGGAAGTATGCAAATTGGTTCTTTGATGCCTTTGAAACTCCTTCCGAAACCTCTCTGGGTTGAACTCAATTGCATCCTCACCCCACAATTCTTTGTCATGGTGAAGAAGCAGTATGGGCAAGGAGACTTCCACTCCAGCAGGCAGTGATAATTTTCCAAGCTGTGTTTTGTTGTGAGTGGTTCGAGGAAGCGCAACAACTGACGGGTATAATCGAAGAACTTCAAGTAAAATCATGGTTACCTGAGGGCATTTTACAGATATAGTTTATATCATGAAAATCTCATTACCCCCAATGAAATTCATCTACAACATCAGAGCACATACCAGCAAAATGAGATGAAAGACATCCAAACCTTTAGAGGCTAGGTTTAGAAAAATAATCGTCATCACTCACCAAGTCAAGGGAATAAGAAAAGAAGAATACTATTAAGAGCACAGTATCTGTTCACCAAATAACGTGATAGTATAATTGAATCAAAATTTTAAGTTATCATTATTCAAGAGATTTCAGGTCCTTCCTTAAACATCTACATGCACTAAGTGAGTATATGGCATCGATCACAACTCAACTCAAGCAATTCTACTATTACGGAAATGTTTTGTTATTGTTTTTCAAATTGGACTCATAAAATGTTTGACTAATTTGCTTTGTTTGTTTCTTAAGATGCAAGAAAATTTTCAAAATAAAACTGTGAAAGGATATATATTGTGAATACTTACAACTTTGAGGTGATTTAGCCCATCGAAGTCTGGTTTATTGCTTCCAAACACTTGCAAAACCTCCTCTCTTGCACGAGCTTGCCAATTCTGATTTTGACTGAGTAAAACCAGTGTCCAAAGAAGCAACACTGAAGTGGTCTCTTGCCCCGCAAAGTAAAACAGCTTGCACTCTTCAATCACATCCTCAATGCTCATCCCAACATTCTTGGTGTTCCCATTTTCTCGAATTTCCTTCAAGTTAGACTCCAATAGTATACCCAATAAGTCATCTTTTGTAGCTTCACCCATCCTAATTGCCTCTTCTCTTGCACTAATAATATCCCTCAGTGAACCTTTTATTTCTTTGTCAATCGCCTTCATCCTCTTGTTACTCCTAGTTGGTAGAAACCTGCACCAAAACAACTTCATCAATGGTAAAAAAAAAACAGTAGTTGATCTAATCTGTAGTTACTGGCTAACCCTAAAAGGGTTTTACCTCCATCCTGGAATGTAAACACTTTGTAAAGCTCTTATTGTAAGTTTTGCTTGCTCTTTCAAGAGTTGAAATATTTTCCTTCCTTCTTGATAGCTACTCCCAAATGATGCTCGAGAAATCACATCAGCTGCCAAACTTTCGAGGTAAGGCCAAACATCTAACTCGCATGAACCCTCCTTAGACACCAACCTCTCCCATTCTTCAATCATCTCACTACAACTTAGGTGGAATGCCGGTAACATACGCTATAGGAAACAAAGGAAAACACAAACAAACAAGAACTCAGAGTTTGTTAACATTAATTACATAGCAAATATAGCACACATCTAATTACCTAGATAAATAATCATCACATGTGAGTAGAAAATTTTTAATGCATCGGTTGAAAATACATTTTACGTTTTTTTTTTTTTTTTTTTTAGTACAAAGCTAAACTACACTAAGAAGGAGGGGAAGTTTTTCACACACACACACAACTAAGATGTCATGGGGTTTCAAACTTAAGACCTCTTATCGCAAATCAAGTTCCTTTCCTACTAGGCTAGTATATAGTACCTTTAGCTTCTCTAAATGGAATGCCGGGTTGATGATTTTACGGTGTTTTGCCCATTTCTCGCCCTCATAGTTTGGCAGACCTGTTGCCAGCAACTTGACAAGTGGATTTATTACTGGCTTCTGAAAATCTTCATAGTTCGTAAATACATCTTTCACATCCGCTGGATTACTGATGTTCACTCTTGGTGTGGGCCCAATCCAAATAAAAAAATTCTTACCTGCATTTTTGTTTTCACAAAAATGTTATAACTTATAAGAAACTATTACACATATTTCCAAAAGAATAAATAAGTTATTTACATTGATCACGAATCATCCAGAGATTTTAGAATTACCGATGAACAAGCAGGGGTCATTTATTATAGACCCATCTCATACTAAAAATGTTGAAGAGATTATTGTATTTAATTTTTATAGCCTTTTTTCCCCTTCAAGAGATTATTGTCATGTGACCCATCTCATACAAATTATTGCCCTTTGTTAGGTAGATTATCTCGGCACCCAAACCAATTTAATAGCTAGTGAATATAAACCCCACAAATGACCTAGAAAAATTATTGTCCCCATAAACAACTATCTATAAAAAGAACCATTCGACCAAAAACAACTCTATAAAAAGAAGCAAGACGAACAAGAGAAGAAGTAAAGAAGAAGAAGACAAACGAAAATGAAAATGCTAGACTTACTACATTTTTATATCACATTGTGTATCACATCTCTAATAGAGGTGGGCTCCATCCCTATCAGAGAGGTGGTAAGTGGTACACAATGTGATATAAAAATGTGGTAAGCCTAGCACTACTGAAATGAAAAAGGAGAAGGAAAAAAAAAGGGTAAGAAAAATGATAGAGATGTCAATGTGAAGAAAACTTACCTACTTGGCAGACCTATATTGATGTTCATAATCAATTGAAAAGGAAATAAGAAATACACCGAAGCAACCAAATATCAAAATTTAAAAAAAAAGTATAAAACAAAATGTAATAACTAACATTAATAAAATTAAAATAAATAATAAAAAAGCTTCAAGAATATAAAACAGACACACACAAAAATTGATTATTTCATAACCATGGTCGTACATGTGAAGGTGGTAAACAAAATGTCAAAAGATACTTGGCATACCATAAGTGGTCACAGATTGATGAAGAAAAGGAAGGACACGTGGCGTTATATCATGGGAGAGGTTCATCGGTTTAGCTTTTGCTTCTTTCACCATCATGGAGCTTTCCTTCGTGTCACCTACCAAAAGCCTGTACGAGTTGCCCGCCAAACCTTGCTGCCTTAGACATCTTTCTAGCTTCTTCGGCCTCAGCCACACCCAATTCAGCACCCTCCATGCCAATGTAATTACTATGCTCACCAAAAAAACACGTAGTGCAACACTGGCCACAACTGATACTTCCATTTGTGAGAGAGAGAGAGAGAGAGAGAGAGAGAGAGAGAGTGGTGCAACGACACTTTTGAGCAAGACGAAAAGAGACAGGTTGAAATCAATTTCCAAGCTCTGTTGATTCTAAGAATATCTAGAACAAGAAGAGTGTAGATTTTCTAGCTTTGTTGATTCTAAGAATACCCAAAACAAGGAGATAATGTAGTTATCAACTTTAGAGAAAAAACTCAATTTGATTTAATAATTCAAGACATGTATACAAATCTCCCTATTTATAAGAGTATCTCCATCAGTATACTCTACTCTTTAGCCATTTTGGCTCAAATAAGAGCAAATGCAGCTTCAGCTAATTGCTATCTGGCTCTCCATTTAGAGAACTCCATATTTGGATTTGGTAGCTCTCTACATTTAGAGAGGAGGAGAGAGAGAAATGAGTTACTAGCTATTTCCTTGCAAATGGAAAAAAATCCAAATTCAAAAGAAATAATAAAATATTATATCTTTTCCTCTTTCAAAAGAGATATAAAATATTCAAAATTAGCCGTAATAGAGAACGTTGATGGAGGAATTTCTTTTTAGATGGTTTGCTATAATATCTTTCTAGCTATTTTAGTTAAAATTTGAAGACTCTTTTGAAGATGCTCTTAATCATGAAACCTGGATAATCCCAAATGCATGAATAAGCATTTATTCCAAATGCATGAACAAGCATTTATTCCAAATAATGCATGAACAAGCATTATTCAAATAATGCATGAACAAGCATTTATTCCAAATGCATGAATGGAAAATTAAATCCTAGTTAATCCCAAATGGATGAATAAAGCATTTATTCCAAATGCACGAACTTCTTCATGTATATAATCCAGAGCTCTTCCGATATAGATCCTTACAACTACTATATCCAAGTTATATACCCACCTACTTTTAAATCTTTATTGAAACCCCAAATTTAAAATAAGTTGCCATGCGAGATAGATTTGTCCTAATATTATTAATTAAATTACATTATATGCCACCTACCTTCATATTTAATTTATAATTTATTTCAAGCATGTCATTAACTACTTTAATTATAATTAATACTCCCTAATTTATATTTTTTATTTTTTATAAATATGTATCACTAAACTTCATCATATCAGATTTTCATGGAGTTCGGAGTTGAAGAAGCAAGTCAACTAGACAGATATACTTCAACTCCTACATCTAATTGAAATCTTTAAGTTGAAACAAGAAAGTTTGACAGAGAGTAGTGTCTCCCAACTTAACTCTTTCAGTTTTTTGGTTTTTTTTTTACTTTGTTGCGGTCCAATAACCTTTCACCATATCATAGCTGGCGCTCCCAATTGATTCCACGTGTCAGTGACGTCCAATAAATCGCGATGTCATGTGTACTCTTTCTTATATCTTACACAATTCCACCAAAAATTCATTTGAGCTCTGAAAATTTTCTTGAAAAATATTACATAGTAATCGCACGTACTTTCATCTCATGACCACCTAATTACCGTTTGACTTCAAGAAATTTTAAATATTTCTTGCACACTTCTAATAATTCACGAAGGCCAAAATGTTGATGTGCCTCGTGAACTTATACCTAATTTTGAATTTAGCCTATACTCTTTTTTTTATTTTTTAAATTAAGGATCCGAATTATTATTTTTAGCCAATTTTCCCCTTACAGTTACTTTCTTCATGGATGGACCCGGAATTTCAACATAAGATGGGCTAAACTTACCTAATGTACAAACCTACTAAAAAAATTGAAAACTCAACAGTATAAGTGAATCATTTATAAAAATAAAAAATATATACCTAGCTATGAGTGAAACATTCACTTCAACTGAACAAAAAACTTCATTACCAATGAGTGTTAATTTTTTTTTTTTTTTTTTTTTTTTTTTTTTTTTGTTATTCCCATGCACGTTCAACCTAGGTTTGAGCTTTGGCATCCATAATGCCAAAAGGAGGAAATAAAAAATATTTTTACTTGAGTGGGTTGTCCGGTAGAAGAGAGAGAGTAGGTTAGGAAAGGGTATAATTGAGTTTTTCTTAAAATATATTTTTGAATTGGTGATGTGCTGTGCTATATGTATTTTGGGCTGACAAAAGATTAAAAGTCGCCTGGGCTATAGCCCGGGTTAGTAACCTTCTGTGGTCCGTTCTTCACATTCCATCCAATTTACTTTTAAAAAATATCATGTGTTAAGCATGTGTTATTTTCTCATGTCCGGTAAGACTAGAGCTTGATGTCAAAGAGCTCAATCAACTGAGCTATATCCCACTGCAGTCATCTTTATTGTAGAACTTTATTTCATATGTGTATTATTTTTGGACAAAATTACAGAAATGTCCTTATACGTATTTTGACCTTGTACTAAGCAGCTTGACATTTACTTAAGTTTTCCTAATTAAGAAATTTAAACATTAGAAAGCAAAAAGGGCCATTAACCAAAACAATTAAAATATTAACAAGAAAGGTAGTACAATATATAACTCTTCCAATTATCCCACAAGGACAAACGACACAGTATGTAAAAAGAAAATTACGGTTCAAACCATAGCTATCTTGATGTGTCTTTATCATTAACATTAATGATAGATATAATTCAGCACTAATCAACGTTTATGTAAAATAATATGAGCACCATATTGGGGTTGAAGGGTTATAGTTACGGATGGAGCATGAGCATATAGTGGAGAAAGCTCGAAGGTAAAGTGTTGTAAAATCAATGACAAGGCCAATTTAGCTTCCATCATAGCAAAGTTTTGTCCAATGCAAATCCTTGGACCCCCTCCGAAAGGCAAGTATGTAAATTGGTTCTTTGTTGCCTTTGAAACTCCCTCTGAAAACCTCTCTGGCTTGAACTCATTTGCATCCTCACCCCACAACTCTTTGTCATGATGAACAAGCAGTATGGGCAAGGAGACTTCCACTCCAGCTGGTAATGATAATTTTCCAAGCTGTGTTTTCTTGTGAGTGGTTCGAGGAAGCGCAACGACTGATGGGTATAATCGAAGAACTTCAAGTAAAATCATGGTCACCTGGGGCATCATAAAGCATCAAGTGAGACTAATCCAACAAAATGAGATGAAAGTTGTTTAACGAAATTCAAAAGTTCAGAGAAGCAAATCCACACTTACAACTTTTAGGTGACTTAGCTCTTCATAGGTTGGGATGTTGCTTCCAAAGACTTGCAAGACCTCTTCTCTTGCACGAGCTTGCCAATCCTGATTTTGGCTCAGTAAAACCATTGTCCAAACAAGCAACACCGAAGTGGTCTCTTGCCCAGCAAAGTAAAACAACTTACACTCTCCAATTACATCTTCAATACTCATTCCAGCATTTTTGTTGTTCCCATGTTCCTGAATTTCCCTCAAGTTGGACTCCATAAGTATACCTAATAAGTCATCTTTAGTGGCTTCCCCTGCCTTCATCGCCTCTTCCCTTTTATTTATAATGCCCTTAAGTAAGCCTTTAATTTCATTGTGAAGTTCCTTCGCCTTCTTGTTCTGCTTGGTTGGTAGAAACCTGCACAATAAAGCAGCACTTCAATGGCCTCGCGAAGACGTGAAGAAGTACCAAGTACTCTCCCAGTCTCAGATGATTATTCTCTTCTTTCATTTTTACCTCCATCCTGGAATGTACACACTTCGCATAGCTACCGTATAAATTTTTGCTTCCTCTCTTAGTAGTTGAAATATTTTCCTTCCCTCTTCATAGCTACTTCCAAATGCAGCTCGGGAAATCACATCGCTGGTAAAATTTTCAAGATAAGGCCACACATCCAACTCACATGAACTCTCTTTGGACACCAAGTTCTCCCATTTGTTAATCATCTCGCTACAACTTTGGTAAAATATTGGTACCATACCCTATAGCAAACAAGGAAAATTAAATAAACCAAAATTTTCAACATATATGTGTGGATGTGTATAAAACATAGCTTTTTTTCTTTGGGTTCTGCTTCTTACTTCGTTAATCAAATCTCCAGAAATATAGATGGATGTTGGCGAGAGCTTACAATACCTTTAGCTTCTCTAAATGGAATGCTGGGTTGATAATCTTTCTGTGTTTAGCCCATTGCTCACCTTCAATGCCTACAATGCCCTGTGGTGGAGACTTCATGATAGGATTTTTAACTACCTTATGAAAATCATCATGTCTGTTGAAGGTATCTTTCAAATCTTCTGGATTCATGATGTGCACTCTTGGTATGGGGCCCATCCAAACAAAAGAATTCTTGCCTGCCATTTTTGTTTGAGATATGTAGTCATATGTTCATTCTTAGAACTAATAATATAGATAAACCCTATACCATTTAATTTCTATAAACAAATTCAAAAAATAACAGCTGACCTTATTGAATTTAATTTTAATTATTAAATTACTTTGATGCTCTATTGAGTGTTTTGGTTATTTTTATAAAGTTTTGAGGTTTGGCTTGTTTTAAGAAATTAATGGCAGTTTTGTAATTTATAAAAAGTTAAAAGCCTCTTTGTTATGTTGTAAATAAGCTTTAAGTGTGTTTCTAAAGTCCATTTCGTACAAATTTTTTTATTTATAATTTGGACCCATATATTGGATATAATAGTAAATCTCTCTTTTTATTTATGTTTTAACTCATCCAAGCTGAAGATTACACACATGTATGCATGGATGTTGAAAAAGCAATGCATATTTATGTAGATGTAACTACCCAATTCTAGAAAACTCAAGAAACTACAAACTAGATGATGGAATGTCGGCAACACACAAAAAATATGCAAAAAATATTCTAGATGAAGCCACACACTTATGGCTAGAGTAAAATAAACCAAGTCAGTGGACTTGGTGATGTCGGCAAAGAATGCCTATAAATAGGCATGCAACGCAACAAAGCAAGGTGGAGTCAACCAATCAACTCCCAATCTGTGTGGGAGTAAACAAGCCAACTCCCAAATTATTAGGTACCCAAGTAAAGCTATGTTGAGGAGTTAATAAGCTCACCAATCTAACTGAAGGGCCAAATAGCTCAAATCAATTTAAATCAAGTGTGGTGGTTAATAAGCTAATAAGCTAAGAAGGAGGCCAATTAGTTTACACTAAATCATGTACTATTCTCCTTCAATATAATAAAATCACTTTGTTTAAACTATTGTCTATTATCCTAAACTCCTTCACCACATAAACCAACAATAGTATCAGAGCAATGCTCATCACACACCTCCTAAATTCTAACAATGGATATGTGAATGTAAATAAATATTTGGCATACCATAAGAGTTCACAGTTTGATGGAAAAATGGGGTGACACGTGGTGCTATATCATGGGAGGTGGAGAGTTTGATGGGTTTGGATTGTGTTTGTTCCAGCATCTTCGAGAGATCCTTGGTGTCTCCAAACAAGAGCCTGTAAGAATTGCCTGCAAGGCCTTGCTCCCTCAAGCATTTTTCTAGTTTCTTTGGCCTCAACCACACCCAATTCAGCACCCTCCATGCCCATGTAATTACTATGCTCACCCAAACAACACACAGCGCAACACAACTAGCCCTTGATGCTTCCATCTATACTTAATTTGTGTGTGAGATTTGTGAGAGAGAGAGAGAGATGGATTCTGTTCTACTGAAGAGAACTTGTTTTGGAGGGGAAGGATATGATGATGCAAGGTTTTATACATGTTAAATCTAAAGTAATGCCTGAATTCTTACAGGTTTGATACGCAATATAATCATTGCACAAACTTTTGTCCAATCGAAACCCTTCACCGACTTGCTACTAACAGCCAAATCATATCCCAGACGCAACTTTGTAGTTACCTACAATATCATCAAAAAGGTGATGGGTTAAGAATCTGCTGTGCTGTGAAGCATGATGCATGTGTCGTTTTATGCGGTGCCATATTATCTTGGAATTTTATCAAGTTGAGTCGTTTATGTGTATATAGATAATTCTTACCGTTATTACGATTTAGATCAAAAAATTGCGTGGAATTGAGCGTTGAGCGATCTCTGTCGTTACTTTTCACAATTCAAAAATATATATTTTGCTTTCACGTTGGATGAAGTTGGCGCATATCTTATCTCCAGTCACTACCAGGCCTATCTTATTCTAGCTTCTAGAAATAACGTGGGATATTTGGTGCCGTAGATAACGAAAAGAGACCGTTTCTAGAAGAAAAGTAATGAGTTTGGAGTGTGACCTCTTTAGAAAGCCGTGGTCCCTTCTTCTTAGTAGAAAATTGAAACATTAATAGTTAGAAACAAAGACATAAAATAATAAATAATGACGGAGTGTGGGAGAGTGTATGATTGAAATTAAACCCGCTACACGTGTTAATTGTAACGAGGTTAAATGAATAATTTATACTATCTCATTTAAAATAATTAATAAAAATACATGTGCTTATAACATGAGTAAATTGGTACAACTTCCAGAAGCTTTCTTTTACCTAATTGTTAGCTAAGGCTTTGCCTACAAACATGGCTTCGTTCTCATTTGTAATTGAGAGAGCAAGACTCAATGAAAATATCATAAGAACATTTCTATTGCTATTTGTATTCTCTATATTCTCTCCATAATTCTCTTAGTTTTATAACACTTAAGGTAACATATCATGTATAGTCATATTCCAGTATATACAATAATTGTTATATATGTGAATAACCGATAAGGGGGGGTTTTTTTTTTTTTTTTTTTTTTTTTTTTTTTTTTTTTTTTTTTTTGGACATGGGGGGTTAAACGACTTAGTGTAGTTATTAGGTTCATAAATAATTTTTTTTTTTTTTTTTTTTTTTTTTTTTTTTGTATTATAAGAAGACTGAAGATGCCCGACCTATTGATTGATTGTGATAGTTGAGGGGGGGTGATAGCTTAAACTCACACACACTACATGGATGCTAAGACTCAAACCCATAACCTTTTATGGAGGAGCAATTACTCCAAACCACTACACTAGTGAGTCGTGGGTTGCAGGTTCATTATTTAAATATTAATAATGTGCAAGCCACTATTAGTAGATCGAATATAGTGGCAAAGTGAAGCTGACGCATCCTTCCATCAGTCAAATTATTTCTTTCTTATAAACTCATCTCATGCATTCGCTACAAGTAACGACAATTACGAGAAAATATACATGGCTCAAACTATGGCTATCTTTATTTGGTGTGTCTTCATCATTAAACTTTTTGCCAACAATCGATATACTTCAGCACTAATCAACGTTTGTGTAAAATGAAATGAGCACCAAATTGTGGATGAAGGGTTATAGTTACGGACGGAGCATGAGCATAGGATGGAGAGAGCTCAAAGGTAAAGTGTTGTAGAATCAATGACAGGGCCAATTTAGCTTCCAGCATAGCAAAGTTCTGCCCAATGCAAATCCGTGGACCAGCTCCGAAAGGGAAGTATGTAAACTGGTTCTTTGTTGCCTTTGAAACTCCTTCTGAAAACCTCTCTGGCTTAAACTCCTTTGCATCCTCACCCCACAATTCTTTATCATGGTGAGCAAGCATTATGTGTAAGGAGACTTCGACTCCGGCCGGCAATGAGAACTTTTCAAGCTGTGTTTTCTTGTAAGTAGTTCGTGGGAGCTCAACAACTGCTGGGTATAATCGAAGAACTTCAAGTAAAATCATGGTCACCTGGGGCATCATAAAGCATCAAGTGATCACTAATCCAACAAAATGACATACTTCAAAAGTTTAATTAGGCCTGAAAGAGCTAAAATGTCAAATGTTTGATTAATTTTTGTTGTTTTACGTAATCGATAGAAAACTTTCAAATTAAAAGTTGTGTACTTACAACTTTTAGGTGACTGAGCTGATCATAGGTTGGGATGTTGGTTCCGAAAACTTGCAAGACCTCTTCTCTTGCACGAGCTTGCCAATCCTGATTTTGGCTTAGTAAAACCAATGTCCAAACAAGCAGCACAGAAGTGGTCTCTTGCCCAGCAAAGTAAAACAACTTACACTCTCCAATTACATCTTCAATACTCATTCCAGCGCTTTTGTTGTTCCCATGTTCCTGAATTTCCCTGAAGTTGGACTCCATAAGTATACCTAATAAGTCACCTTTAGCGGCTTCACCTGCCTTAATCGCGTCCTCTCTTTTATTTATAATACCCTTCAGTAAGCCTCTGACTTCCTTGTGAATTTCCTTCATCCTCTTGTTCTGCTTGGTTGGTAGAAACCTGCACACAAAAAAGGCAGCACTTCAATATGGTTTTGTGAAGACATGAAGAAGTACAAGTACTTCTTTCATGCAAGATTAATATGGATAGTGTTTCTATGATGAATATCAAGATTCAGTTCTTTTACATATAATCTCTTACCTCCACCCTGGAATGTAAACACTTCGTGCGGCGATTGTATAAAATTTTGCTTCCTCTCTGAGTAGTTGAAATATTTTCCTTCCCTCTTCGTAGCTACTTCCAAATGCAGCTCGAGAAATCACGTCGCTGGTTAAATTTTCAAGATAAGGCCACACATCCAGCTCACATGAACCCTCTTTGAACACCAAGCTCTCCCACTTGTCAATCATCTCGCTACAACTTTGGTAAAATGTTGGTAACATACCCTATAGCAAGCAAGGAGCAATTAAAACAGAAACACCAAAAGTTATCAAGATAAATGAAGATAGTGGACACAAAACCTCCAGAAAATAAATGAAAAGTTGGCGAGAGTATACAATACCTTTAGCTTCTCTAAATGGAATGCTGGATTGATAATCTTTCTGTGTTTAGCCCATTTCTCACCTTCAAGGCTTGAAAGGCCTTGTGATATCGACTTGACAATAGGGTTTGATATGGCCCTCTGAAATTCATCTGATTTGTTGAAGGCATCTTTCAAATCTTCTGGATTCATGATGGTCACCCTTGGTGTGGGACCCATCCAAACAAAAGAATTCCTACCTGCAAATTTGTTTGTTTTTTTGTTTAAAGCTATCCAAGTCACAAAACTTACATATAAAGAACATTACGCATGCATATAAATTGGTGACAGCCAGGAATTTAAACAAGTATTTGGCAATACCATATGTGTTCACAATTTGATGGGAAAATGGGATGACACGTGGCGCTATATCATGGGTAGTGGAGAGTTTGATGGGTTTGGATTGTGCTCGTTCCACCATCATTGAGATCTCCTTGGTGTCTCCAAACAAAAGCCTGTAAGAATTGCCTGTGAGGCCTTTCTCTCTCAAGCATCTTTCTAATTTATTTGGCCTCAACCACACCCAATTCAGCACCCTCCATGCCCATGCGATTACTATGCTAACCAAAACAACACTCAGTGCAACACAACTAGCCCTAGAGGCTTCCATCAGTATACTTAATTTGTGTGTGAGATTTGTGAGAGAGAGAGAGAGAGAGAGAGATGGGTTCTACTGAAGAGAAGTTGTTTGAGAGGAGGAATTGATGCAAGGCTTTAAATAAATAATGGAACTCCTCTCCAAAGTTCATACAATGGCATAACTTTTGTCCATGTCAATCAAAACCCTTCACCGCCTTGCTATAGTAAGTGCTGAATCATATCCCAGACGCAATCCTTAAATTTATGCAAGGCTGTGACGCATGATGCATGTGTCTTTATATGTTGTGTTCTACATGGTGCCGCATTACATTGAAATTTTATTAAATTGAGTCATTGATGCGCGTGTGAGTAATTTTTTATTGTTACTTTAATGTACTAGTTTATGTCGAAACTGTCTGGCACTAATGGTTATTGAAGTTAAGTGATTTCTGTCATTATATTCCACAAATATTTTGCTTTTACATTGGATGAAGTTGAGACGTGTGATAATCTCCACTTGCTAGTCACTAGGTGCCGTATTTGGTGACGTTTTTAAGTTAACTATGCAAAATATAGTAATAATGAAAAGATAAGACCATTTCTGGAAGACTAGTGACGAGTTTGATGTAGAAAGCTGTGGATTAGCAAAACCGAGGCCACCGAAGAATCTCTCCTTACCAAGGCATACAGTTTTTTTTTCTTTCTTCTAGTAGAAAATTGAAATATTAGAAAGTTAAAACAGTCGCAAACGAATACAAAAAATAATATGGAAGCGGATATTGGAGTGTATAATCGGAATATTGTCATATAGTATTATTAATCTACGTGTTATAATAAGAGTATATTATAAATTTATTTTTATTTTTCAGTTTAATATTATTGACTACAGAGTTATAGATTTCATTTAACTTATGACACGTATATAATTGAGATTTCCATGTAATTCACAGTCAGTACTACATAGTAAAAACTTTCTCGCTTGCATGGGAAGCATTTTTACTCATCATTTAATCGAATGTGTATGCTCACCACCACTTTTAAAGGGTGACACTTCTCCCATAATTTACCTTAGTTAACTTAAATGTGAGAATAAAAATTAAAATTAAAAAGGGGCCACATGCACATCTCGTTTCTTTCTCCGTTTTTCCTCCTTTCCCCTTGCTTTTCTTTTTGTTTTTATTTTTTTCTTTCCTTCTCCTCCCCCGCCCCTTCTCTCTCAAAGATACTAAACCCAGATTGGGAACTTGTCTCCTACTATGAATTGGGAAACTGAAAAATCAAACCACAGAGCTTTCTTCAATGGCATTGGCTTCCCACCAAACAACTACCTCCACAATTAAAAAGAGTAAATCCCCAAAAACCTCAAAGCGCCAAACTTTCAGTCACACACTTCTCCACTAGATCATCACCACCACCAACCCTAATCCCAATCAATTTCCAACAAAACCCATCAACAACAACTAATCTATATATATATGAATTTTAGACTGTAGTGTGTGAGTTGGGTTTGGACCATTAAAGTCACCAGCTTGGGCAAAAAGATGACATCTTTTCATCATTGGTCTTCTCTCTCTCTCTCTCTCTCTCTTTGGCAATATTGCTATTGTTTTATGTTATTATTATTAGCCTTTTACAGGAGGATACAGTGAATCTGGGTTTAGCATCTTTGCTTAAGATACAGAGGAGGAAAGAAATAAAATAAAAGGAAGGGGAAATAAGGATAAACGAAGAGAGAAACAAGATGTGGGCCCTTTTTTAATTTTTGTTTTTATTCTCACATAAAAGTTAACTACAAGTGTCATCCTTTAAAGGTGGTGGGAGCAAATGCTCCCGCTTGCATGGGACAGGTGCATATGGAAGATTATGTTGTTGACATTCAGCTGTCTATGAGCATGAAATTAAAGACGCTGACGCATCACCTGTGATTTTTTAAGACAGAAATGCAGATATATTTTGGACAAGTCACTAGAATTATTATAAAATATACATGTTAATATGGCTAGCTAAGCCATGTGATGTCCTTAATACATACCATTCAGAACTAATCAACGTTCACTTAAAATTATATGAGCACCATATTGAGGTTGAAGGGTTATTAATGCCAAAGGAGCATGAGCATAGGATGGAGAAAGCTCAAAGGTGAAGTGTTGCAAAATCAATGACAAGGCCAATTTTGCTTCCAGCATAGCGAAGTTTTGTCCAATGCAAATCCGTGGACCTGCTCCAAAAGGGAAGTATGCAAATTGGTTCTTTGTAGCCTTTGCAACTCCTTCTGAAAACCTCTCTGGCTTGAACTCATCTGCATCTTCACCCCACAATTCTTTGTCATGGTGAGCAAGCATTATGTGTATGGAGACCTCGACTCCGGCCGGCAATGAGAACTTTCCAAGCTGTGTTTTCTTACGACTGGTTCGGAGAAGCTCAACGGCTGCTGGGTATAATCGAAGAACTTCAAGTAAAACCATTGTCACCTGAGACATTTTATATGGGTGACATTTTATATGGTCAAGGTTTCTAATTAAAACTATGCCAGAGAATATAATTATTTTTTAATTTTTAATTTTAAGTAAAGATACTTACAACTTTTAGGTGGCTTAGGGTATCATAGGTTGGTGGGTTGCTTTCAAAGACTTGCAAGACCTCTTCTCTTGCGCGAGCTTGCCAATTCTGGTTTTGACTTAGCAAAACCATTGCCCAAACAAGCAGCACAGAAGTGGTCTCTTGGCCAGCCAAGTAAAACAGCTTACACTCCTCAATTACATCTTCAAGACTCATTCCAGTGTTTCTGTCGTTCCCATGTTCTCGAATTTCCTTCAAGTTGGACTCCATAAGTATACCTAATAAGTCATGTTTACTGGCTTCACCCAACTCCATTGCCTCTTCTCTTTTATTTATAATACCCTTGAGCAACACACTTATTTCTTCATATATTTTCTTCATCCTCTTGTTCTGCTTGGTTGGTAGAAACCTGCACGAAGTTAAAGCCGTACGAGACAACGAGATCAATGGTTTCGTGAAGACATGTACAAGTGCTTTAATGTCAAAGTAATTTAAATGAAAGATTATTTAATTTTACCTTGAACCTGGAATGTAAACACTTTGGATGGCTGTTGTGTAAAATTTTTCTTGCTCTCTCAGTAGCTGAAATATTTTCCTTCCCTCTTGATAGCAACTTCCAAATGCAGCCCGAGAAATCATATCGGCGGACAAAGTTTGAAGACAAGGCCACACATCCAACTCACATGAACCTTCTTTGGACACCAACCTCTCCCACTCGTTAATCATCTCGCTACAGCTTTGGTAAAATGTTGGTAACATACCCTTTACCAAACAAGGGAAAAAAACAAAAAATTATCAACATATATATAAATAGTGGACATAATTGCTAATTAAATCTCTAGAAATACAAATGAATGTTGGCGAGTACCTTTAGCTTCTCTAAATGGAATGCTGGATGGATAATCTTTCTGTGTTTAGCCCATTTTCCATCTTCAAAGGCTGAAAGGCCTTGTGCTAGCAAATCAATCATAGGGTTTGCTGATGGCCTCCGAAAATTTTGATCTTTGTTGAAGATTTCTTTCAAATCTTCAGGGTTCATGATGTTCACCTTTGGTATGGGACCCATCCAAACAAAAGAATTCTTACCTACATTTTTTTGGTTTTTAAAATGAAAAAAAAAAAACTTTCCAAGTCAAAACTTATAAAGAAGATTACACAGATACATACGTGCATAGGTAGACAGGTGATATAGGAATGAATGTAAACAAGTATTTGGCATGCATACCGTAAGTGTTCACAGTTTGATGGACAAATGGCATGACACGTGGCGCTATATCATGGGAGGTGGAGAGTTTGATGGGTTGGGATTGTGCTTGGTCCAGCATCATTGAGCTCTCTTTGGTGTCTCCAAACAAAAGCTTGTAGGAATTGCCTGTAAGGCCTTGCTCCCTCAAGCTTCTTTCTAGTTTCTTTGGCCTCAACCACACCCAATTCAGCACCCTCCATGCCCATGCAATTACTATGCTCACCCAAACAACACTTAGCACTGCAACCCAACTGGCCATTGATACTTCCCTTAGTGCTAAAACTTGTGCTTGAGATTTTTTTGAGAGAAAAAGAGAAAAAGAGAGAATGGTTTCTATAGAAGAATTAGTTTGAAGGGAGGGAAATTGATGCACACATGATTTTATACAAAAAATAAGAAATCACTGAAAATAAAGTTGTGAAATTGAACTGCGGAACTCCTGGTCCAAGTTTCCATGTATACATCATTATTTATACACATATTCTATTAAGTATTGCACAAATTTAGCCTGTGGTCTTTCAACTTTAAATTACAATTTTGTCCTCGTAGATCATCAAAACCCTACACCGCCTTGCTATTACAAGAGCTAAATCATATCACAGACGCAACTTTTTAATTATCCAGAAGGAGGAGGAATGAGTTCAGCGTGGGCTGTGACGCATGTTGCATATTTATATTGATTTATATATAGATGATGATGTGGAGATAGAGACTTGAATGATTCCTTTTACTGCTTGTCACAAATCCAGAAATATTTGCTTTCAGAGTTGGCGCAGAAAGGACTAGGTAGGTTTAATAATCTCCACTCAACGGGGCCATCTTATCTTAGCTAGAAGAAGAAATAATGTGACATCTTATTGAGCGGAGTTGTAGGCATGCAAAGCAAGCAAAAGCTGCTAATATAGAAGGAAGAAGGAAGAGGTGCATCATTTTTGGAAGTGAAGTAACCAATTTGATGTGTGAATTTTCAGAAAGCCGTGGTTTAGTAAAAAGCCGTCAGCATCACAGCACCGCCTCTGCGTCTGAGAGGTGGCCGGCATGCTGCCTCACACGGCCTTTTTACCTTCTTTTTTTACAGAAATTTGAAGCACCAGAGAGATAAGCTTTAAGAGTTTGTTGGAGTGACAAATCCCCAAAGGAGTGAAAACGAATCTTCAACATGGATAAACATTAGTTTTTTAGGGCATGGACTGACCGATTTCAAAGACATACCAACTGGCCAGAGGCTTGACCTAAATTCAATCTAATGCATGATCAAAACATGTTTTATAACCTTTTTTTGCTTACCATTATTGGACCTTTTTTTCTTAATACCACGTAACTTAATTTTGTTTTATTACAGATGTCAGTAGAGTATATAGTATCTCACTTATTATCAATTTCGTTAGCTTTATTCAAATAATAATCAAATTAAGTTACACAAAAGCGAAGGAAAAGTAGTCTGAACACTACACAGATAACATATTGAAATTTTGTTGCTCATAATTCTACTTGCATATATTTCTCAGGTTAGGAGAGACGGATAGTACAGTTCTGCATTCATTTGGAAAAAATAGGATACAGCTCAGCACAGCAGGACAACGGGCATGGAAAAAGCTTTCGGCCCAACCATGAAAATGGGCACATAATACAAAATGCAGGCACTGAGATCAGCACATTAGTAAGAAGGCGCCTGAATCTAATGAAAAAAATAATCTTTTAACTTTTCGGATCTGAAGCCTGGCCTTGACACTGTTCAAGAATGATGTTACAGTTGTTCATGCTGCGTGCATCAAGAAGACCATGATTCCACAATTTGATCATGAATAATCTCCAACACCTGACAAGTGATTTGTCATTTGAGATTCACATATTCTCATCAAAAGCAAAGCATGATAAATATTACATTTTCTTCTAACACAAGCATACACAGGCACCATTTAACTGAAATAGATATAAGCTCATTTTTACTGAGAAAAAGTATCTTCCTTGCATGTCATGCCACATAACTGTATATCATAGCCATACTCAAAGCATCAATCATCCATCGATTATGTGCAACAGTCCAATGCATACTAGGTGTTTTTCCAATTATTTTTACTAAACGTTTGAATAGGTGAGGGAGGGAGCAAGGGCAAACTCGATTTATAGATTTAAAAAACCAGATATAAGGATGTCACTGACTCTCACTCATTATGCATTTCAACTGTTCATATTTGAAAGTCAAGTCCTTAAACTTCAAGCCAAAGAACGAAAAGTAATTAAATACTTAAACTAGGTCTAAAGAATTGTGCCAAAATGTCATGATCTTGTTACCGGAAAATATACAGCCACCATCATATTAAATAGTCATGGCCGGGCCATGATAAGGTCTAATATCAATATGCAAAATGCCAGACTTTACAAACAGCAACAAATAAGAATAACCAACAAAAAATGGAGTTTCTATGTTCGATAGTCACCAAATCAGGCATGGGGCTTTTTAATTTTTAATTTTAACTTTTTTAGTCCATGAGTGGGGCTTTATTTAGGTCATCACTTTATGACATTTAACTACCAGAATATCAAGGCAGACTTCACCACAAGTGATATGCATGACCACAATTGACAATCAAATGAGCGCAACCATTACCATATCAGGGCCGGAGCTCTGACAAGGTCATGTCCGTGCAATCTCGAAAATGCCTCGCACGACCAAGGAATATGACCATCTGCCAGCACCCTGCCATCATTAAAACAAAATATTTCAGAAAAAAAATCGAGAGAACTAATGTAGTTCCACACACAAGAAGATGAACTTGTCCCTTATTTTTTGTATCTGGAGCTTGCTCATCATTGAGAAATATTTATTGCAAAAGAAGAAACCTGCCAAAAGTGCCATGATATCCAACAACATCCTTGTCTGCTATATGTTGAGTTTTAAAATGTAGCCTCTAAAACGCATTAGATTCTAATTAGTAATTATGCACTAGACACATGAACGTTTTAATCCAATTCCAAACTAGGTTTCAACTTAGTATTACATCAGTCAAGTTAGTGACATACAATATGATAGCCCATTTTATGGCTCCAGATGGAGATAATTTTAAAAGACTCATGTAGCTTCCCTGACCATAATTAGCATCAACGCTTTCTTGCATTGAGCCAATTAGCATACAGTGGGGCAACATCCCTACAAGCGCCACAACCATACTCCTCGAAACACAGTGTTCTTATAGACTTGGCTCATGATGGATGCTCTATACGCACTTAATGGGAATGCCTCAAACCATAGGAGACTGTTCTTTAAGGCATATGATTATACCATAATTTCAGAGGTAAATACTCTAGGATCTCATTCTATGGACTTAGTATGAATGTATCTTATTTCTTGATCTAACTTGCAATGTTATCAAATATGATGGTATACAAGGTGCTAAACAGAAAAAATAAAGAACCTTATAAAGCAAAAGAAGGAAAAATAAAAAATGAGCAAAATGAAGAGAGAAAATTACTGTTGCTTCCTCACAAAAGAGTTCCACATATGCATCATTTGCTTCTCATCTTTAGTCACATCAACGAAATCATCAAGCATCTACAATGAGAGTAAAGTATTACTTATTCATATGCTTTCAAAATAAAATCCCACAAAACCAAGGTGCCAAGTCAATGTATTGTACTGCTAACATATTGCAAAATATGCTATTGCACAAGAGAGAGAGAGAGAGAGAGGAGAGAGAGAGAGAGAGAGAGAGAGGTTTGGTTATTATACCCTTCGATCCTCAAAATCAGCAACGTCATCATCAACCTCATCCTCACTATCCTGATCTGACAAAACTTGTTCCAATGTCATTGGCTTCAAGCATAACAAAATAAACAAAAATTAAAATACAGTGCTGCATATATTCTAAGAAAATATTGTCATTTAAAAATATGGGCCAAAAAGAATCAACTGTTAATTTTTTAAAATTTTAAAGAGAGATTCCTTTGGGGCAGTTGAAGAGCTGTAGCTAGCATAGTCAATCCACCAACCACTATTTCTCATAACCATAAGACTAGAGTTTCACAAGAAGGTTTGCTAATTATTCAAGCAAGAGATTAGTCAATGTGCTTGACTTCAAAGATTGTAAAACGGAGTCTAATGTTTGGTATATACCAAACGTGGAAAATCGAACTACAAGATGTAACCATCTGAACAGCTGTTCCATTTTCTCTTCCACAGAACGTTACGGCTTTATACTGACGCAACATTATACTAAGCATTTTTATCCCAGTATCATACTAAGCATTTTTTTCCTCCTAACAAAAAGCATGACCTGGAGGTCTGTATCTTTTATGAGTTATACGTGATCTATTTACAAAAAGTATATGGTCATGCCATTACAGTTACAGATATCTGATTACAATGATACACAAGTTCAAGTGCTAAGGAAACAAATAATTTTATGGCTGGTCACACCATAATAGTCTCAACAAAAGCTTCCAAAAATGGAAACTGCACTATAAATGATATTGAAAGTTCACTCCAAAACAAAAACAAAACAAAAAAAACATAATTGGTGTTTGGTGATAACACAAAATCATTCATAACATAAGTAATTGTCACCTGGGCTCTATGTGAGTGAAAGAACTGTCTCTTCCGAAGGAGTGCACAGCTGAAAATGTAAAATATTCATAAGTGGGCAACATGCAAGAATTATAATCCACGTGCTAAAGGATATATGAAAAATATCATAGTACTTGCTTAAACACAGTGAACATATTTAACGTAAAAGTATGAATAGTGCTGATCGATTGGCAGGGCAAAACACAGCATGTCCACACATGAATGGTTTCATTTATGTGTGCGTATGTGTGTAGATTTGACAAGTTAACATTAGAGCAGCTTGGGAGCAACAGTTAACATCCATCAACTAAGGCCCCATGCATGCAAAAGCAACACATCCGTTCAAGTTGGTTCTATCGAGTTTTAGACTACATAACCTGATGCCTGAACCGAGCCTTTTGGTTTCAGAAAATTAGGAACCGAACCAAAGCAAAACCAGTTGAAAATGCCAATTCCAGGTCCATTCAACTCAGTTGCTTCAGCTGGTTTAGGTTTCAGAAGGGTGGACAGCCCTACCTGAATTTTTGTTAACTAAGTTCACATGATAGATTAAGAACGAGTAGCCATGTGTCTAAGCAACAGATGATGGATCTTAACACACACAGCCTTAGACTGGTAGCTCATGACCAGGTAAAACTTCATGCAGCTTTAGACAGTTCAACTAGGCAATAAATTTGACTTTGATGAAATAGGCAAAACGTTTTACTTGTATGAGATAGCTCCACATAAGTAACTATTTAGCTTTTTTCATGAATATAGGAGAGAGAAAGATAGACATACTTTCTAGGGTCTGAACGCTCAACAGATAACTTTCTTGTCTTTGCGAACAGCAGCATTGCAGGAGGTGCAAAATTGTTTCCAGATATTGATTGAACACAACCAGGATCAGCACATGATTGTGGTATGGAACTTGACACCCCTGCAACATTAAAGCTGGATGAAACAAATTGCAGACACAGCACCAACCATATCATTCTGCACACCATTCCTACCTGTTATTCTAGCCTTATCACCTTTACTAGAATGAGCATCTGAGCAAAGAAGTTGAGTGTTTGGCAACAATATCCGGAAAAGGAGCACATTAGGAGATATTAGTTCAGTCTGCTTAGAAGAATACTATACCCCAAACTTCTTTTCAAGATCAGGATAAATAAAAAATTAGAATCCAATGTGTTCTCAAAATATAATAATATAAAATGTTAATCAAACGTGTTAAATACGTCTGTTAGGGTCATTTCTAATTGGATTCCTAGAAAGAATGAAACAACTGGTTGGTCCTACCTTTTCCATCTACATCCAAAATCATGGAAAAAATAATAAATATTTATCTTTTCACTCCCAAGAAAATCTAACAGAAACATTCCTCAACTACCGAGGCCTAATTTTAAGTGAATTTTTCGTAAAAGAAATAGTACTTGAGGGATGCTTTGTAGGCACCTGAATGAGGTTACTACATAGGTCTCCAGGAGGCTCCAGGATATCAATGATATCTCATCTGCAGTCTGGAGCTGAAAATTTCATGTTGCAGGACATGTTCAGATTCACTATGTCAGGAACACTTTGAGTTCCTAACAATAATCCAACCAACTAGATCAAGACATGCAAGAGGATTGGTTGATCCATAATTGATGCACCACGCACTTATTTTTCAAGGGATTAATACACAAGTAACTTATTCATGTCCAGTTCAGTACTAAGATATATCTTTTCCATACAATTCAAGAGAAAATAATTCTTCACTAAAAGACAGTTTGAATTGCAGAGTTCAAAAGGCCTGATTATTCTATATTTTTCATCATTTTTGTATGTCTTACAGTCCTCTTCGATTTTAAAACAAACACACTACCACCCAAAATATGATTTATATATAAATACGTATAAATAAAAAAAGGTAGAGCTACAACAAAACGTTATATCATCTTCAAACTTATCAAAATAATTGAGCTGAGAGTGAATTCAGATTGTTCATGAGAACATGAGAAAAGAACGTGTACCATCAGCCTTGTCTGAAAGATCACAGAGTCCTGCGGGTAAGTCAGACTGTAAGACATGAGGATGTACGTGCTTTAAACTTTGATATAGGTTCTTGGGTCTTCTGCGTCTAAGTGGCTTTGAACTGGACAATGTATGTGCACTTGTTTCAGTTTAAGGCATTCATATATCTCAACTAAATGACATAAGGTTAAAAGAAACTTATCGGGCCCAACTATGGCCGAATAAATAGGCGAAAACTTACCAAGAAAAGAATACTTGTAGCTTAGGATCAACACCGTCAGCAACAATCTGAAGAGAAAAGATTTAAATTCCTATAGCTAGTAATTAAGAGATTTGTGTATTTTTTTCGTACGTCCATTTGTGAAGAGAATTATATTGTAAAAATTAACGCAAAACTGATCTTCTGTTCAGTCAGCATTTGATAAGATGATAAAAAAGAATGCAGGTTCATCTGTCATCTTCAGCAGCCAACATCATCTTACTATTTATTTCCACATGTATTCCAAAGAAATAAGAAAAAATATACCATAATGAATTCCCTGAATCTGGTTCTAGGAGAAATTAATCAATTGGGACAGCTTCCTTTTATGGAATTTGTGCAATTCCTCAGGTAATGATAGTGATTGATATACGCAATGTATATTAAATCTGATTGAATGGATATGAGATATGGTTGTTAATGCAGAACTTGATCATGGAGACATGTTACTTTCGCTCTATCATGCAAAAAGGTGTAAAATAAAAATAAAAATATACATACCTCAGATCTCCAATTATCAATTTTCACAGAGACATTTACAGCTTGATACTCTTCAGTTACCTATCAATACCCATCAGTTTAGTAGCCGTGGAAACATATTTAAATGAGTATAATTCCCACTAAGATTCTCAAAGATTACCAACCCAAAATTCAAAGTTGAAGAGATCATGTGATGAGCACAAATGATGTCTCAGACCCTATAAAAAAGATTGAAGAAATATAAATAAGCGATATAAATTCTTGATTTTTAAAAATAAGACATAAATTCAATAGCTATTGGTTCATTTCCAGAATGCTAAATTCCTACTTATCCTAAAAGCTCAAGCTATTAGGACTCAAAGATTCAATTCACTTTAACACTCCTCGAGTGTGGGCCAAGACTTCAAACTCACGAGTAGGCACGTAGATTTTTTAAAAATTTGGAAGGAAGTGAGTCACAATTGAACACAGGAACTTTGCTTTGATACCATGGTAATGTGTTAAGCTGTTGGATGTGAAGAACTAATTCACTTTAAAACAAAAATATCTCATAATAAACAATAATGAACAGAATGTGGGAGAAAGTCAAACCTTAAAGCTTGCACACCTAACCAAGCAAAATGGACAGGAAAAATCTTCAGTCACTGCAAGATGAACAAAGTATTATTTCACAAGCAAGGGAATGCATTTCGTGAAAAGAACAAAGGATATTTTAAGTGAAAAAATCTCAGTTACAGAATTTGGGAAAGAGAAAAAAAAATCTTCGAAAAAACAAAACTATATTACTGTCCAACTTTAAAATATTACTATATTTATTGGCAAGGATATGGAAGTACGGGATAACATTACTATTTTTCATGTTTTAACTTTAAGATCTCAAACTAGTAACAGAATGAAAATACGATAAGTAGAAGTCACCCAGAATTATAAAACATCATTAATACCTTCTGTCCTTTGCAATGTATTGTTGTAGTATCTATAATTAAAAATCACATTTCCTGCCCTTAACCTGGACAAGACAAGTAACAAGCAGTTTTTAAGCATACGGTCAAGAGCTGAAACACAAAATAAATCTATATCCTGACTTAAAAGCCAAAGCATCATAAACAATCAGCTTAAGATCTCACAGATTTTGTCCTCTCCATGAATATAAGAAAATGAATTATAAGAAGTTATTTGGGAGTATACCCTAATTATGTTCATGGAATCTATTCTTATGGACAAATACCAAGAGACCATTGATTAACCACTTCATTTTAAACTGAACCGGAAACTGATAAAATGTGAGTTGAGATGCAAACACTATGTATAAGTTACATATTTGAAAAGGCAATACATATAGATTAGTCAAACAAATATGTTGTACTGTGAGGGTACTATCTGGAAGAAACTAATGTGGAATAAACAATGAAAAATAGGACACAAAATTTGGCCTCATAATTGGCATGTTTCCTTGAATATTAATGCTTTTGACTTTCTGAGTGATGCAAAGAAATCAAATAGTTATGCTACAAAAGACTCAATGCGTAGAGCCAGCATGCTGAAACAGCATTTAGTTAATGATCAAACAAATATCTAAAACAACAATTAAAGGGAAGCAGAGAATGAGAATCAATAAACAGAATGGTGTGAACAGATATAATTACTTTATGAGAGATGATGATTACCGAATGATATGGGATAACAATGTAGAAGGAATGTCACTACGTGTGTATGTATTATAAAGAGATTTTTCCCTAGCACCAAACTCCTCTGCAGAAATGGTGACCTGGAGTTGCTGGGAAAGGATCTTTGAAAGCCCAAACAACCAAAAGTAACAGATATTCATCAGCAACAGTTGCCTAGAAGAGAAATGTTGGATAGTGTGTGTGTGTGTGTGTGTGTGTGTGTGTGTGTGTGTGTCTAGAGAGAGAGAGAGAGAGATCAACATTATTGAATTAAAGGAGAAAACACTGAGAAGATAACATACAACAGTTTCTGGATTATAGGGAGTTGCAATCATAAGGCATTTATCCTCATTTAAACAGCTCAACTGCAAGAGGGAAATTGGAACATGTAAATCAAACTGAGAGTGGAAGAAAGAAGGTCTATTATTTTGGTCCAATCATGAATAAGAGATTCAAATAGAGAACAATGATTTTATTTTATTTTTTTTTACAACTACAAGTTCGGTTTAGCTGCACTGTTAACCAGTTCCTCTTTGTCAAGGAAGAAGACATATTCAAGAGTCATCTGATGATGCCATACCTTCAAGAAGCAAGAGTGCATGTCAATAGTTGAGATCATCTCAGCTCTCTGTCCTAAACCAAAATTAGGAGAATTTTCCCAAGAGATATACAGTGATTCCAATGGTATCTGGCTCCACAGACAATATCCTCCAGCATTTGCTGCCAAGTAAAATTGATATTGATTTACGTAATCAATCTCGTAAGTGTAAGAAGAATAAACTTGGAAAATAAGTCTCAATATTACAAGTAAAAAAGAATGCTTCACCTTTCACTCCACATATCATGGTGTGAAAAAGCATTTATTATCGCTTGAGATTAGAAAAGGGCATGAAACTTACTCATCATGTCTTATCTTTTTTTATTGTTGGGTAAAATATGTCAAAACTCTAAAGTTTTGACTTGGTCCCCTGGGTGATTGGTGATCTGATTTTATCTTTATGGTTCTAAATTATAAAATTTGAGCTTGACAAGAGATGTCTTTCTTCTTCTTACGCCTTGCATAAAATTTCTGAGTTATTTCAGAATTGTATCAACAACTTTATCTCCAGTTTATCTCTAGTTCAATTTTAAAATCAGAGATGCTTAACTCCAATAATTCCATAAAGTTGTAAAAGGCTCAAACAGTTAAACATATGGTCTCTATAGTGCTACGTGCCTATGTCATGTAGAACTTAAAGTTATGTAGTTAAGTGAATAAATCCAAATTGCAAAAACATGTCAGACTTGTCAGAGTTATGACTCCTAACTTAAGTTAGCCAATAACGTTTAATCTGTTAAACAACATGTCAAAATGAAATCAAAATTCGAATATGTGGCAAAGCTTAGCAAGTAAGGCTTAACTTACAGGGAAAAGAAGCCATATCCACAGGACCCTTGGATAAATTGATTCCACGAAATGGATTCTGTGCTCCCACTGCAAGGATAATATATGAGCCCAAAGATTGCAATGACATCCACATAAAATCTGCTTCCATATTATCAAAGTTTCACGAATGCATACCAAAGCTGACAAACAAGATGGCAAGTGAGCCAGATTTAGCCTCCAATGCTAGCTTATTAATGTCAGGCAGAATAAAATTAGCTTGAAGTTGACTGCTCCCATCAACCCCAGTGGAATTGCTTAACATGCAAGCTCGACTGAATCGATATGTAGCAGAATACTTGTTTATACATTCAAAAAGACAGAACTCATATCAGATATATGTAGATAAAACCGTAAACTAAACCGCCAAAAATTGCTGCCAAATGTCAATAGCAAAGGCATAACATGATGCACTAAGCAACACACGGATCATAAAATAAGAACTTAAAAATTTGCATACAAATACCTCTGGAACTGCAACATCAGGAACTAATCTGGCCAAAAACACGTACAAAGGAAAGAGATTCTGGGTTTGTACACCTTCCTTCTCATTCCTCGAAATGGAAACTGTCATTTGTATTCTAAAGTTCAGCCAACAACAACCCAATCAGTAAAATCTAGCATATACGAATTATACATGTACAGAAGTTGAAATTTTTATTGTTATCATTACCTCCTTTTGTGCTTGGCCTCTATTTTGTAGCTCAAACATCTTTGGAGAAAAGAAGGCTGCATACCAAAAATGCACACAACCCATTACAAATTGGCAACAAAAGATTCAGAAACAAAGAAAACATTTTTATTTTCTTCTGATATATATATATACATAGAGAAAGGAATTTTTTTTTTTAAAGGTACTACATTTCTTATAGCGCGGCGTTGAAGAATGTTGTAAAATTCAACAGGCTTGCAATAGATAGAGAGGCTCTCCTCCGCAGCCATTTCTTCCTCCGCCGACATTCGCACACGCGAGTCTTGTCGGCACATATCACCGCTGCTTCTCGCGTACCTGCAACAAAGATTCGATTTTTTTCAATTGTTTTAGCCGCGCTAGAAGAACAGCCGCAGCTAAAGAGTGGTTGGTGAGAAGCGAGAGAAACCCAGATGAGAAAATAAGAAAAAGATACAAGTGAAGAGAACATACGGAGCCAGGTGGTTGAATTGAAGCTGAAGATGAAGAGATTGAGTGGTTTGGGGTTTTCGCTTCTGCCCTTTGGGTTTTCTGTGCTTTATTCTTCATCGAAAATCACGATGCCTGCGCTTCTCTCAGACTCTCTCAGAGTCTCACTGCTTGTGTCGTTACGCTGACATTCTTCTTAGCTGGTTTTTTCTTCTTTGCTTCCCTTGGCAGCTTAAGCCTGGGTGTGTTCTCTCGTCTTTTCGAAGAGTGAACAAAGCAAGCAGAAGAGAAATCCAAGGGAACAAAGAAACTGCCAAAAGAGATAATTGGGAAATTTCCACTACACACACCGAACCTAATTCATATTTTGTATTGCGAATGACTTGCTTTAGATTGATGATTTTTATTTTTATTTTTCAATTTTGTGTTTCTATAGCGTATGTTTGTAAGGCTTTAGGATTTGCTTTTCTGAGTTGAAGTTGAGTGTTTTTTTTTTTTTTTTTTTTTTTTTTTTTTTTTTTTTAATTTTCAGGTTTTTTTTCCGATCTATTTTATGAAAAAACGAAATGAAATGTTCTGATACCTCCCACCCATTAAAGATTTCATTTTCATTTTGGAGTCAAAATTCGTTTGATGGGAAGCCACCAAACCTTTTATGATAGTTTTGGTGACCATTGAAAGATTTATATGTATTCGATACAAGCTTAGGGAATAAAACCACACCACTAATTCGAGAAATTCGTAAAACTTCAAAAATAAATTGAAATAATGTCAATTGATACCTTATTTAGAGGCTTCCAAACCACGATTTAACTCTCCATTAGTCAAAATTAACTTCTTAAACTTAGGTTTTATTACTTTAAGTGTTCCCCATTGTCAAGTAAGAGTGAGTAATTGAAGATTTGATGAAGAAGGTGATGAGGTTCATAGTTCGGTTTTTCTAATTTTTTTTATTTTTTTATTTTTTTATTTTTTTGTGATAGGTTTTTTTAATACTTGGGTTCAATGGATTAAGAATTGTGTTACTATAATTTCTTAGACGGTGAGTGACCACAAATCTCTTGAACCTCTGTAGTCCAAGAGATCAGGACTATTCCATTTCATCAGAGAAACTAAGCTTTTGTGTGCACAAAAATAAATAATCCCAACTAATTTTGTACAGTCCTGATCTTTGACTACAGGGGTCAAAGAAATTTGTAGTCACTCACCATTTGATGTAAATTCAACGGTTCACTCACTCTTGCACTCATTTTAAGAAACTTTTTTGAACCATTGAGTGTTAATCCAACAGTGTGTTACCACAATCTCTTAAACCCCTATGATCCAAGAGATCGGAACTTCTAATTCTATAATAAGCTTTTTTCATATCTAATTTAATAGCCAGGCGAGATTTTTAAAGTTCTTTTGGGGCAGAGTGGATAAGATTGCATGTCCAAATAGAAATGTTATCCATAATTAACCTATGAGGAACCAAAGCAGCACTGACTTTGGAAAATTAACCAATCAGCAACCAAAGCAGCCTGACTTTGGATTGAGAAAAACAAAGTCCAAAGTATTTTGAATACGACGTTGAGGGAACTCATAAATCCAACAAACTAGATAAGAATCTGATGAATGTGGATAAAATATTTCAGTTAAAATAAAACGTTAATGAATTTGGAGATTAGATAAACAAGGAAAAGCATCTGAAACATGAAGCAGGAGGAGCATAAGGAACAGAAATACAAAGCGACCCTTGAGGGTTTTGCAGCTAAAAACGCTTCTAGGCAACACAAAAAGTGTATTCTTTTTCATTGTCAGCCTAAAGGAAAAGATCAAGTTCAACCACATTACGCCTAACTACAGTGCAAATCCAACCCTCAACGCGAGCAAAGCCCGTAACCTCAGTTTTGAGACTAACCTTTTTTAGGTCTGATGAATCAGTCAAGGAAAGTACACGCTCAACAAACATGTGAAAACGATCAAAATCATAGCCATGGCAAGAATCAAAATCTTCGCAGTCAAAGTCTAGATTGGAAACACAAGTCCATACTGGAGAGGGGATGAGGTTTCTCACACATACTACTAAGGTGTTATTGGGTTCGACCTTGAGATCACTTGTTTCCACTGGCCTAGAATATAAGTCTGTGGATGGATAGATACAGCTTTGGAATTATAAATAGACATGAAACAACCAGGCAGAGCTGGAGGATTTGCATTGTTTTTATGATACAATTGGAGCCAAATGCGTGCATACATAAGAAGATCATTTGTCATTCGTTGTACAAACTTAAGATTTTAGTCATATCACTCAACTAAAAAAACAATGCTTTCAAAGGTACTCGAGTCCAAGTTAGTTATAGCAATCAAATCAACATGCCACCCGCCTTTAGGTTTCGCAATTTGCAATGTTAATTCCTGTTGGGAAGGAAACATCATAGATTAAGATTAAGGTAGAGTCAACTACATACAGCTCATGTCCCCAAACTTTTGATCATTTTCCAAGTTCATACATGATCTTCAAAAGTTTTTATAAACTGGTACACAACTCTCCTACAAATCCTACACATTGGTACATCGGTTGACGAGATTGTTAGTACATACAAGCCCAAACACCGACCACTGCTTATCAATAGGCTCTATGGTTTCTTTATATTTTTTTATACGAGTCTCTCATCAACAAACTGCTGATATTGTGATATTTCTTTCCCCAATACAGAAAGACGTCTCAAGTTCAAATCTCCCTCCCCGTTGACTCAAAAGAAAGGCCTCTTGATTAGGATCGGAGGGAAACTTAATGAGCTAACATCTCTGGCCTCCAAATTTTAAACCAAACAAATTTCGATTATTATTGTTCACACTTGGAGCTTTGGATCACTGACAAATAGATAGCATCATCAAATATAAACCATCAAAGATATCATACTGACTTTCACAAGTTCAAACAGTATAATATAACTCATAAGCAGATTGACATCCACAAGAATCTGGACTCGTGTATTTATCAATCTTGCAAGCTATACAATTCCTCCCTCTGAGATTACCAGGCATTACCTCCCTTTGTTGCACCGAGGATGATAGCAATTGTAGCAAGAACAGCCTGCACATAGAGCGGTATTAAATAAAGTATCAGAGAGGCAAAACTTTAGAATGGCCATGAGGTAAGTTCTTGACTAATATAAAAAACTTGGAGGTACATAACGTGTAAACAGATCCTTGCAAAAATCTAAATGAAAGGAAATAATCGTTACTCACACCAACTACACAAGCGATATATCCTGGTTTCTCTCGGTGGTCTATCCTGGCACATAGCATGATCAATGCACCAATATACCAGGGGATGGTAGCAAGGACGAAACCAATAATAAACCTTCAAAATAAAGAGCATAGATCCTTTATAATTAGAAACTTAACACATTTATATTGAAGTTAAGAAAACAGAGAGATAGAAGAGCACAAAGCATGGAAGATAACACAATGAACAGATCCTATTATTCTTCTATGGAAAATAAAAGAAAGCATAGTCAGTATGATGAGAGAAGAGTCCTAATGAAAACACTATGTTTTGATTCACGCCCCAAACAATCTCTCCGGCTTATTGGATTTCTGCACATCTCAATTCCTTCATTGAAATTAAGAAAGGTTAACTTTTGTACTACAATTGTGTCCACGGCCCGCCAGTACGTGGACAAGAGAAAGTTCAAGCTATGCTATTTTGACCATTTCCACAATAGAAAACCATTTTGCTCAATAAAACTAAGAACATTAAGAAGCCTTGATCAAACTTTGCTTGCCATGTATTGATTAAAGGTTTCCAGTACTTAAAGATCATCCTAACCATGCTAGTTGAAAATATCAGCTCAGTGCCATTTAAATCCTTAACCAATAAATCGAGGTTGGAAGTTAGTTTGGAACCTTCCTTTTTTCTGTTTTTAACATTCTATTCAGAAATTTCATATTGAAGGACATAAGAACCAAACACACTGGAAATAACTACAGAACAATGTCATATGACTCATATCTTATGGAAAGCTATTTCAAATACAAAACAGTATAACTTACAGGAACCAGCCACAGCCAATACCACAGCAAGGAAGGCGGCGCTCTCTTACTGGTCTTCCTTCAGCAACTGCATAGCCTACAACAACAAAGCCATTTTATCATATAGAATAAAGCATCTATGACAACAACTATTTATCATTCATCAAGAAGAGTGGTAAAGAATGAAGATCCAGTTAAACCCCAAAACACAAAATGGAATGCAAGCAACACACACACACCCATACCCATTCACTCATCTCACTCACAAAAATCAACAAAATTCCAAACAACAAAAGAACAAAAAAAAAAAAAAAACCACCATACACCTGATCTAGTCACTAGCAGCAAATCAAACAGTGACAAGCTCTGCAAATGAAAAGGGGATACTTGCCATAGGCCAAAAATTGAGGTTGGTTGAAGCTCAAAATTATGGTCTTTATTTCTATCCATACAAATGACTAAATAAGTCAAACCAATTCCAACCCAGAAAGACAAATTAGAATTTGATCCATTCTTGCAGCATCCAATCCCATCACAACATACACAAAAAACCCATTTTTAATCTCATTCACACTATGCACTTGCTCCACTAAACAAGAAAAAGAAACCCAAAAATATCAACAAACTAAGTCCTTTGTGCTAAACAAAACAAAGTGATGCCATACCTTGAACAGTTTGATATCCCTGAGTGTAGTACTGAGGATGAGGAGCAGGAGGGTCGGCGGCTCCAGGCGGCGGAACCGGCTGAGGGAATCCGGTCGGCGGTGGCGGTGGCGGTGGCTGATGAGGCGGTGGCGGCGGCGGATAGTTGGCTACGCCTTGGAACGTTCCATACTCAGGTGGAGGAGGATACTGCTGATGATCACTTGCTGCTCCTTTCTTCTTTTCATCTACGCCCATCGTTTTTACTTCTAACTGTTATTTCTTTTCCTTCTTTCTCTTTTTTGAGATATTTTGTTTGTGTTGTGATTTGGAGTTTGAGAAACGTTTCTTAGGAGTTAAGACTGGGAGAAATTGCACGATGGGGAAGTTGGGAGCTGTCCGAAAAAGTCAATAAGTCAACGGATTTAATTTATTTTGTTTTGTTGTGTTTTTCTGCGTATGGTAAGAAGAGAGGGCAAGTGCAATTTGGGCATGGAGTGCTGCTATTTCCACCCACCTGTCCTATTTTCCCACCCACTTTATATTTAAACTTTTAAAGAAAAATTTAACCCTATTGTAAAATGACTTAAAAGGACTTAAGGAAAAAAAAGAAAAAAAAAAAAAAAAAAAAAAAAAAAAAAAAGGACTTCTCAGTTCTCAAGTAACCATATCGTTACACAAGAATACGACTCCTTGCTCATGAGAAGGCGAAGAAGGTGAGTACTGTTATTTTTCCCTTATCTATTTGGCTTTGTACTCTTTGACATTCTCATGTCTTAAGAATGGGCGTTTTATATTTTTTTTATTGCAAAGTTCAATAGATTTCTGGTCCTTGGATAACTCTGGAAAAAAAGTTTATTTACAATAGTAGAAAGCTAAGAGCATAAATGTGATTATATTCACAGAATCCATATTTACAAAAATAAAAATAAAAATTACAGCAAAAAACTGTTTTAATTCAGTAAACATGAGAGATAGAGACAGAGATGGAGTGTGAGAGATGGAAAATAAGATAGAGAAAAATAAGAGAGATGTGTAGTCAGAGAGAGAAAAGACATGAGCAGAGAGAATAAAGGAGAGAGGAAATGAGGTAATAATTATAAGGGTATTTTAGGAATATTGGTGGGTGTAAAAATAGGATTGTGTTTTTTTAAAATTTATGTGGCGGGTGAGAAGATAAGGTGGGTGGGAAAATAAGACAGGTGGGTGGAAATAGCAGCACTCTTGGGCATGTTATTCAGATTCACTGCATTATTTGTTTTATTTTTGCTTTTTTGAGGGGTCATTTTAATTAGGTCCCACTTGCTTAGATTATCCACTTATGTCTTGCCAAGTCGCCAACAACCTGATAAATTTGTTGGTTGCTTGTCACCATACTTCAAATTAGTAGATTAAGTTTCCCACCATAAATACCAACAAGATCTAACTAGTAGAAAATGACTTCAACTTACAGATCAGTGATTTAGGTTCGAATCACATGGCACATTGATAGTATGTGTGAAAAATTCTCTCTTCTTAAACTATCGTTTGTACTCAAAAAAGTTTTTCACAAAAAATAGAAAAAGATTTAAATTCATTAACCAAAAAAGTTAAGAACTTGAGTTTATTGGGGAAATTAATATTTAGAATGTGACCTTAATAAAAATTATATATATATATATTTAGAATGTGACTGCATAGTTTTCATTTACTCACATTATTGTTAGGTTAGGAAGTAGACAAGAAATTAGATGAGTGGAGGCAAGTTCCTTTACTCGCCCTTTTGTAGATCCTTTCATGCAAGTCATGTGCTCATATCTAATGAAAATTTGAGGAAAATATCATATAATTAAATAATTATAAGTTTTTTTTGGTAATACAAATAATTATAAGTTTTTTTTTAATCAAATAGAAACTTTATTAGATAAACTTTAACGGTACAATCCAAGACATCTAAAATACCAATCTCAAGAGAGCAACAAACTAACTTGCTAAAAGCAAAACTAACCCAGACAAAAGCCGCACCAAAACTACTAGCCTGCATTACCATAATTAGCCATAAGCCCAAATAAAGCCCAGAAACCCAACATAACCAAAACCCTAAATCAACCCATGAGTCTAAACAAACCCTACCACCACCACCTAAAGAAGTGCCGTTGCAACCACACTCACCACCTTATCTGTAACAGATCTGGGGAAAATATAATTTCCAGCGATCTACCTGAGCATAAAAGCCAACAAATAAACGAAAACAATAACTTTGCCGAAGAACAATTGGGTAATTTGCAACAACCTCCGTCAAAGACGATGTAAAATCAAATTTAAAGAACATAAACGGTGTTAGGGAGCGAGTTTTAGGAGTAGGATTTGATTGAGAACATAGACTAAAAGGAGTGATGGGGAACTTCAATCTAACCATGGCTTAGAAGAAACTACTACAAGAGGCTTTTTATTCAAACCGCCCAAATGAACTTATTCACTAACCTAAAAGGAAAAGACAATAAGAGAAGAGGGGGAGGAGGGGCAGTGACGCTTCTTCCTCCCCCCCCTTCCCCCTCTTCTTTGGAATTTTCCTTTAGGACTCACAGAGGAAGAGAACGGCTAGAGTTTGGAAAAAGGCTAAATAATTATAAATTTGAATGATTGATTTTAAAATATTTTAATTTTGATGGAAAATGCACAATTCACTAAGCACAAATCACCTTAGTGAATAGATAACCAGACCAAAACAATTAGTGAACCCGGTTATTTTAAATTTATAAAAATAAAAATAAAACCAAAATAACCCTAGTTGTGGAGGCTTCATTGTAATGTAATTTTACAAAGACACTAATCCTTGTGATGTAAAATGCTGAATTAATTGGTCTGAGTTAACTCATGTTGTCACAATGCCATTGAAGAATACTTCAAGGCTATTGACAAAGAGGGCTGAGTTGACAAAGAGGGCTGAGACAATAATGAAAATGCAGCTAGCTTGAAGGGGAGGAGAAGAGAATAATGAGGGCATTGAATCAACATGTTGTGCTAAAAAAAAGCTTGAGCATAGAATATAGCAAAAGCACAAAATGTAAAGACTAAGATTTAGGGTCAGTTTGGCATTGTTGTACTGTGAAAATAATCATTGTCAGATTTACTGTGAGAGAAAGCAGTTTGGCGTTTGGTAAACTTTTTGTTAAAAGTGTTGTTGGTACTAATTCCTACATAATTAGGAAATGATTGCCACATAATTATTAAATCCAGCGCCTCTTTGAAACTGATTCCTGCATAATCAGAAAATGAAAGCACCTCATTAGCTGTTTTCCCTTATAGCTTTATCTCACAGCAATTTTTAACAATAAATGATTTTATTATAGTTTATGAAACAGGCTGTGCTTCTCAATTTTTTTTAAAAATAACTTATTACTCCAAATAAGCAATACCAAATGAGCACTTAGGGCCAGTTTGGCATTGCTGTGCTGTGAAAATAATCGCTGTCAGATTTGCTGCCAGAGAAATCAGCTGTGAGAGAAAGCAGTTTGGTGTTTGGTAAAATTTTTGTTAAAAGTGTTGTTGGTAATAATTTTACACATAATCAGAAAATGATTGCCGCATAATCATTAAATCCAGCGCTTCTTCGAAACTGATTCCAGCATAATCAGAAAATGAAAGCACCTCATTAGCTGCTTTCCCTTATAGCTTTCTCTCACAGCAATTTTTAACAATAAGTGATTTTCTCACAGTTTACCAAACGGGTTGGGCTTCTCAAAATTTTTTAAAAATCACTTATCACCCCAAATAAGCAATACCAAACGGGCACTTAACATTATTCAAGTACTCATGTTTGGTGACTAAAATTAAATTAAAAATGATAAGTATTCTTCATTGAAGGGCGTAACCACGTGTGGGCTCTGCAAAGTTTGGTGCAAAGCAATTTTTCCTTAATAAATTTATATTTTTTCACATATAGCCTACTCTAGTTTAGCCCATATAAAACATAGTTCACCTGTTAATAAGCGAAAAAAGTCCAAAAATGCAGCTTTGAAACTACGAACTTATTTTCTCGGTTACTTAAAATCATAAACTTATTTTATTTGTTAATTAAGACCAAAAACTTAGTTGCATGTTGTATTATTTTTTTTTTTTTTTTTTTTTTTTTTATGATAGCCCATCCCTCCAAAAAAATCCTGGTTCCGCCCTTCCGTATTCCGACTCCGGGTCATATGACCAGGGTCCAATCCCACCAAATGGATATATAGATATGAATTTGGAGATTGCGTCAGTTTTGACCGTTCTACTAACCATTATTGGGTATGAATGTACTTTCGTTTTAATTCCTTTGAATATAGCTAGCCAAGTCTTTCATCAATTCATCCACCAGTAAGTATATCTTTTCCAATTGGGTCCCATCAGATCTTCGAAAACAAATAAATTGCATTCAACTGCTAACAAATAGAGGTCTTTTTTCTTATGAAAAATTAAAATATCATAATGCGTGTGCGAACATCACGTTCATTCGTTAATGAAGTCTTAATTAGTGGTAGAATTATTAGCATGTCGGTTAGTGGTTTACGATTCAATTCTCCATAAAACAACGTGTGTGTGTGAGATTATTCCTCTCCTCTTCTTCCTAGCTGTGGGGAGAAAGCAACATCATATCACATTCATTCAAACTTCACATTAATATATTAGAAAGAATCATTTGGGTTGAATTTTCATTTAGAAAAAAAAAAAGAAAAACCGCGTAGAAGCTCCATTTCTGCGCCACATGTTAGAATATGAGATGATTGTCCTGCGGACTAGATTTTTTCAAAATGTCGTGGAAAGTGACAGACTTTTTTACAATGGACACCAAATCCAATAGGAAAATATTTGCCTTTTTTTTTGGAAGTAGAAACTTGTATTTTTCTGTCAATTGTATACATATCAAACTGTAATTTGTAGAAACTAATAATGTGTATGTCCGGTGAAGGAGGGAAGCAGTATTCAATTCAATATTATCCATCTGCCGACAACTGTTGGACTTTGAACAAAACAAACCTATCGAATAAAGACAGGACGCCTTACTTCCATTGGTGAAGGTGGTTGAAGACATCTAAACCTCGGGAACACCCCAACAACTAATAATTTATCCCCCGCAGTAAGCATTGATCTTACTTCCATTGGTGAAAAATGAATTGAAAAAGCAAATAAAAGTATTGCTAATTAAACCAATAGCTAAACTTGTCTACATGCACATGAGGAAAAGCTCCTGGAAATCATGCGAAAGCAGTGCCATGTGAGTATATCATATGATACCCCAAGCACGAGGTCCGGGTCATCAAAAGACTTAAAAATATAGATGAATTTATAGACGTGAATTAAGTTAGTTAATCGTTAATAAGATCTAATTCAATAGAAGAAGCTTTAGTTTATATATATTAAAAATATTGTTGATCAAGATAGTGTTCGCCTTAAGTATCTGAATTTGAATCACTTGTTATTAAAACAATTTGGATCATAATCATACCCACAGGATTGGTGATGTTAGATATCCGACGACTGAGAACCGGCGTTGAAATAAGGCAAGTGATGCGATCTCCCTTTGTCTAAATAAGGCAACGGTATAGATATGGTGGTCTATCCAATTACCGACACACGTAGTTGACGTGGTTTTGAGACGTGGCCCCAACAGCCAGTCAAAAGCTCCACATGCGCCTTCCTGCTAAACGCCTAAATAAATCCTCTGCTTCCTTCTTCGTAATTCGGATTGGTTCTCTCTCTCTCTCTCTCTCTCTCTCTCTCTCTCTCTCTCTGTGTCTACCTTCCCTCCCGCCGGTTACTTCCACTCTACGGTTCCCTTTTCAACTGCTCCAAACTAATTTACACCCTCAAAAGTCAGAAGCCTCCAAAACATTCCTCTTTGCTTCCCTATTCTACTTTGGTTCTTTCATCTCTTTTTGTTTCATTGGGTATTTTCTGTGAAGCTTCTGGTTTTCATTGTATCTGTATTTTTTCTTCCGAGATAATCTATGGTTGTTCATGTCATTGTGTGTAACTATAAATCTTCAATGACTTACTGTATATACTGCTGATTTTGCTCTTCTGGGTTTTGGTTATTTTTTATATGGCTTCTCTTGAATTCTTCATTTTTAAGTTTTGATGTTGGGATTTTCCTTTTTCTAAATCCTTTGGTTTTGACTTTGAATTTGTGATTTTGTTGGATTGGGAGAGAGGGGTTTAGTGGGTGAGAGTAAAGTTAGAAAATTGAAACAAAAGCAAGAGAGACAAGTTGGTTGTGTGTGTAAACTATAAAGAAGAAGAAGAAGAAGAAGAAGAAGAAGAAGATATGGATGTAACAGAGGTTACAGTAATACACCATGTGGGCATTGTGTTAATGATGCTTTGGTTTCTTTCTCACTTCAATTGCTGCCACCCTGTTGCCTACTTTTTCTCTCTGATTTATCTCTACCTGGTATGGATCACTGCTCTTCCTTGCTCATGTTTTAGCTTTTTTCTTCATTCATATTTTTTATTGAAGGGGTCAAATTTTTCTAAAAGATTAAAGCAAGAAAAGTAAATAAGGAATTTTTTTTTCTTTATGCAAAGAATTAGAATCAAATTCGGTGTAGTTTGCTAGATTTGGTAATTAGAAAGTAGGGAATTTTCTTTTGTGGCACCTTCTATAAAGTTTCTTGTTTATCATCCGTTATTTGTGTCAATGATGTGTAATGTAATTTGATAAATTGGTATGTCCTAATCTGGATGTGCAATTGCAGTACTTAATATTCACTTTTGCTTGTACTTTTGACAGGTTCATGAGCGGTATGTCATGAGATTGCGGAGGAAATTACAATTTGATGAAAGAAAGCAGGCTAATCAGAGAAGGGTAATTTTTTCCATTTGTGATTGATTGCTTTATCAGTTTTTTTTTGTTTGTTGTCATCTAGTACATTGAAATCCCATCAGAAGCTAAGAACGATAAAGCTGTCAGGTCAAAGTACCTATTTGAGGATAAGAGTCTTTGTTGATCTGTATTGCCTTTACTAATTGTTCAAAATAAAAAGTGATAGAAAGAAAGACGGCCCACCCTAAGAAAGGATCTTGTATATAAAGTCAAATTAAATTCTTTTGATTGAGAATCTATGCTTTGCACTTTTTGTTGGTAAATTTTCATTGTTACTTATTTGAAAATTGAATTTGGGTTCTTGAATGTAGTATTGAATTAGTATGGTTGTGAAATATCTCATTTCATTTTTTTATTGTCTGGTCCAATACTTCAGGTGCTTTCTGATTCCGAGACCGTGCGGTGGTTGAACCATGCAGTTGAAAAGATATGGCCTATATGTATGGAACAGATTGCTTCACAGAAAATTCTCCTACCTATCATACCTTGGTTTTTGGAGAAGTACAAACCGTGGACTGTTGTATGACTTTACCTTCTGATTTATTCATATATTGATTGCTCCAGTTGATTTGGGTTGGTCATTTAGTCCAAAATGCTCTCATTTTTTAAGACGTGGGTTTTTCATAGTATTTTGGTCATATATTGATGTACTTTACTCCTGGGGTGCAACTTTTAGCAGAGTGATCTTTACAATGCTTTACTTCTTAATTTGGCATGTAAATAACCAGAGCTTCTCATTTTAAGTTTGATTGTTATTCATCATATTTAGTTGAGTGATCTTTAGAGTTTTTTTATTTAAATTTGTGACACGTGAACAGCTAGAACAACTCATCATTAATTTTACTGATATCTAAGTGGCAATAACTTTGTTCAATGTTACATCCTCATTGCATAAGAGCTTTGAATTATTTGGATAGAATTCTGATTAGGTTTGGATTATATATACAGTATTGATTGAATAGGCGAGATATATATTCAATGTCATACATGTCACTATCTTTTGGTTGTAAAATCTTAGTGACACAGAATAGAGATTGTTTGTGAGTACAATAGTGTGTTTTGATGGCTTCAGCTGCTTTGTATGTGTGGGAAACTACTGATAACTATTTTTTTGGTAGTTATGTTTTAATAAAATTTTGACTTATTGATGATGTTTTATTACAGGGCAAGGCTATAGTTCAACATCTCTACTTAGGAAGAAACCCACCTATGTTCACAGAGATGAGAGTTCTTCGCGAATCTACTGATGATGACCACTTGGTATGAGTTACTTTCTCCTGCATGTTGAACCAATAGTTTTTGTCTGCTCTTTTTGTCTGAGGTTCTAGAATTCAGCCAAGATGAAGTAAATATACTTGTAATAAATTCAGGTTCTGGAGTTGGGAATGAATTTTCTGACAGCTGATGATATGCTTGGAATTCTGGCTGTGAAGCTGAGGAAAAGACTAGGTTTTGGAATCTGGACAAAGTTGCATATTACAGGCATGCATGTTGAAGGAAAGGTATGAATTTGTCTAACTTGTAATTCAAGATGTGATCTTAAGTCCTTTCAAAATTGAGCAAGTTTTGTCCAGGAAAAGCTCATGTGAGCTATACGTGACAGGCATAGAAGCATATGCAGTATACTTTTATGTGGTGCCGCCATGAGAATTAATTTGATTGATCATTGCAACTCCTGAGTTCTGATTATTTAGCAGAACTACTTATAAACACTGCTCTATGTATAATATATGTTAGTAGAACTTTGAACGTTAAACATTGGTGAAAACTTTTCCTTTTTACATTCTTGTTAGAACTCTGACATGTATGTCTTGTTGGTTTTGCCTAATCTGTTTTGCTTTTCTGAAATAGCATGTGAGATATTAAATCTGAAGTATCATCTCAGGCCAAAAAAGCTAAAAACTTATATTACATGTTTCATGTTGTCTTGTCGAGTTGGTTCAGTTAGTGTGAACTAAGAGTGCTTAAAAGGATTGGTCTATGCCCATTGGTGGCATAATGAACAACCTTATGGAAATAAATGTTGATAATGCATGCACAACACATGTGATTTTCTTATTCTTTTGTAGGTCCTGATTGGGGTGAAGTTCCTTCGCAAGTGGCCTTTCCTTGGCCGTGTGCGATTATGCTTTGTGGAGCCTCCATATTTTCAAATGACCGTCAAGCCTATTTTTACTCGAGGGCTTGATGTTACAGAAGTTCCTGGGATTGACGGATGGCTGGTAAATTTTATCATATATCTTGCAGATAAATTCTTGACTCTCCCGTTTCATATGTCACTCTATCTGTGTCTATTTATCCCTGACTTCATTATTTGTTTATTCTGTCTCCCAGGATAAGCTTCTCGCCATTGCCTTTGAGCAGACGCTTGTTCAGGTATTATTTGAATTTGTGACACTCCACATGTATGATTCATTGCCATCTAATGGCTTTGCGTTACACAGCCTTACATATTACCTGGCATTGAAAGCAAGACTTTAGACCTTTGTCGTTAGGCCAAAGGGCTACTGGCCTAAGATTTCCATTTGCATCTGTTGCAATTTTCAACTTTGATAAAAATATTTCAGTTATTTCTCCTTCCGTTGGTGTTTCATACCTTCCAAGAGGAAAGTTCCATGTGATCTAGTAAACAAAATATAAGCTTGTTCATATGGTTTGATGAAGAATGAGCAAATAATGGGACTTTTTTGGCTTTCAAAGCTTCATTTGTGAGCAAGATGATTCCGAAAACGGTGCAAATCTAATTATTTATATATCTCTGCAGCCTAATATGCTGGTTGTTGACATGGAGAAATTTACTTCACCAGAGCCAGGCAAGGACCACAGAAATAATTTTCAATATTTCACAAAACTTATGTTAATCAAATTTCATGTGGTGTGGAAGGGAAAATTACACACACACACACACACACACACACTCTCTCTCTCTCTCTCTCTCTGTATTTCAATTTAAAATACGTGCTCATGTGACAGAAAATTGGTTCTCTGTGGATGAGAAGGAGCCTGTTGCTCATGTCAGAATAGAAGTCATCGAAGCATCAGACATGAAACCCTCCGATCTAAATGGTTTGTTCTTGCTTTGCTAGTACAGCAAGGTTGTTTTACCAACACATAGGCGTTAAATGAAGATCTTTAACAGATAATTCGGTATTTTCAGGATTCGCTGACCCTTATGTGAAGGGTCAAATGGGCGTTTACCAATTCAAAACGAAGATACAAAAGAAAACGCTGACTCCAAAATGGCACGAGGAATTTAAGATCCCCATTATTACATGGGATTCACCTAATGTGCTAGCTATTGAAGTTCATGACAAGGACATATTTGTTGATGACACCCTTGGGTTTGTTTCTGAACTTGTTTAATGTATTATGTTTTGTAGTGTGCCCAGGTCTCTGCAAAGCCATTGCAAATAAAATCTCTGTAGAATCTATTAAAGGAATACCGACTAAGAGATTATTTGATCACAAAAGCACGAATTAAAGGACTTTGGAAGCTTTTCACCTTGTTGTGCTTCAATTTTTCTATTCAATTATTCTGTAAGTGCTGTTTTATTTATACGATTAACAGACTCTTCTTCTGTATCCAGAGACTGTTCCATTAAAATCAGTGATCTTAGAGATGGCGGGAGGCATGACATGTGGTTGCCTCTTCAAAACATTAAAACAGCAGGGAGGCTGCATATTGCAGTAACTGTAGTAGAAAATAATGGGAAGGTACCTTTTCACTTCTTATCGACTAGTTCTACTGATTAGGCCCATTAGGAAATGAAAGCGAAGAGATCGATAGTTCTAGTTGCTTCATAAATTAGAATGCAGTGCTTCCACAGGATGCTCAAGTGTGCACTCAAGAGTTTGACTTGAGCTTCTTTCATACACAGGGGGATGATTGTCCAGATGTTCAGGAAATGCTAAATGTGGAAGACAAAAGAAATTCCTTTGCCAATGAGACTGCTAATAAAAGTTCCTTCTCATCTGTATCATCAGAGAAATCTCCTAGAGTGGCAGATCATTTTGAGCCTATTGATATAGAAGGGCAAAAGGAAACTGGTATATGGGTCCATCATCCAGGAAGTGAAGTTTCACAAACTTGGGAGACTAGAAAAGGAAAGAGTCGAAGACTTAATACCCGGATTCATGGGGAGGCTAATGGTGCTGACGGTCATAATTCAGTGACATCTGGAACCCAAGTAAATGATGGCAGCAATACTGATGAGAATCCTGAGGATAGACATCCAATGGCATCATTTCGCCGGGGTATGCATAAGATATTCCATAGGCATTCCAAGAAGGAGGATAATTCAAGCAGCTTTACAGAGGCTGTTCAAACCCCTCGTGTTAATCTAAGGGCAATTAATGAAAAGGAGGCTGGTGTAAAGCTTGTTGTGGAAGACAACGTATTGGTCCCTCCTTCTGGTAAGGTTTCAAAAGAAGGGGCTTTAAGTTCTGGAGAGAGTGGTTCAGATAGCCCAGGAAAGGGTAAGGTGAAGAGTTTCTTTAGAAATGCCGAAAAATCCGTAAAGCGTGCACTTTCAAAGAAAGGTTCTAGAAAGTCTCAAGCTGATTCATGTGCAGTGAGTGAAAGAGAAATTTTAGCAGGTTCCAACTCTTCTGATGACGAATCTCTTCCTTCCCCCCCATTTGTTGAAATGATACCTGTCGCCTCCAGGGATATACCTTGTGGCTCCGTCAATGATTCAGGTAAACCAGAGGAGGATGTGGTTCAGCCGGTAATTGTCACGGCAGTGGACGCTGAAGGCCCAACAGAGAAGGTTGAACATGAAGAACTCGTGCACCCAACAGAGAAGGTTGAACTTGAAGAACTCGAACGCCCAAAGGAGAAGGTTGAACTTGAAGAAGTCAAAAAGGTGCACGAGGAGGTGGACAGCCCTGGAAGAAATGGCGATGGATTGCATGAGCCGTTAAAAGTTGAAGCTAGCTGATGCATATCTGAAGAGAATGGCATGCAAAACTATCGCAGACTGTTATGAAAGAGAGCTCATACTATTCCACTTGTGGCTGAATTAGCATGAAGTATTTGAAGTTTGAGAGTATGGCTTGCATGTCCAAGTCACATGTCGATGATGTTGTACAGTTCTTGTATGAAACAATCACCCCAAACAGATACTTTGGTTTTAGGGTTTGGTGAATCATGCAACATTATATTTCTACCTCTTTTCCACCCTGAAAAGAAACTTCTCTACACAGTTGGGGCGAAATGTGGTGCAGCTATTATTAGGCTGTATTATTTGTTCATTTATTAGGCTGTATTATATGTAATTATGTTGAGAAATATGTGAAGTTTTGAGTTGAAAATGTTGTTTTATACACACGAAGGAATTGTTTTGTTATTAAATTCCAAATTTAATAATGGGCTGAAGGAGTCATAAGCCATCATAAGCTTTTTTGAAGAGGAGAAGACTCCTTAAATTGTATTAAACTCATCTGCACGAGCCCTGTATATGAATGTCGCGTAGTAGACTACGCAAGGCGTAAACTCTAGAGTATACCTGTGCGGCTATACTTTTGAAATATTCAATTTACAGAGTATAGCCGGCTATACAGTTGAAATTTCTATTCACGCAGTATAGCCTTTCGAAAATTTTCTATTTATAGAGTATAGCCGGTCTGCTATACTGTTGAAATATTCTATTTGTAGGATATAGCCGGGCGGCTATACGTTTGAAATATTCTATTCTCTTTTTAATTACTTTCATTAGTTATTATGTTTTAATTAATATTTTTTTAGTGAATAATTAGGATTCAATATTTTAATTAACTTCTCAAATTATATTACTTAATAAAGAGTAATTAATTTTTTAAATTTTTTCTTTAATAAAATATTTAACTACTAGGTAAATAATCATTAAAACATAACTACTAATTAAAGCAATTAAAAAGAGAAAACCAAATTATGATATTTATAGTGTATAGCCGGGCGGATGTACTGTTGAAATATTCAATTTACAAAGTATAGCCGTGCGGCTATACGGTTGAAATATTCGTACTGTTGGAAAAATTAAATACCTTTGGAATTTCTATATGCAGACTATAGGCGTGCGGAAGTACGTTTGAAAATTTCTATTTATAAAGTATAGCCGCGCGGCGATACTATTGAAATATTCTATTCGTATAGTATAGCCGTACGGCTAAACTCATCTCAACGAGCTCTTGAGGCGAATCAATAGTATCGCCGCTCGGCTATACTCTATAAATAGAAAATTTCAGTAGTGGAGCCGTGCGGAAGTACGTTTGAAAATTTTCTATTTAAAGAGTCTAGCCGTACGGCTATACGATTGAATTTTCTATTTAGAGAGTATAGCCGCATGGCGATACTATTGCCACACGGCTAAACTCATCTCAACGAGCTCTTGAGGCGAATCACTGAAAAAAAACTCCCAATGGCAAGAGGAACCAGCAGTGCTTGGGCATAGCTGCACACGAATTTCTCCAACCACCTTAGGGAGAGGAGCTTTTGATGCCCCTTATTCTTTTTCAACCTATCATGAAAGAATAATATCACTATTTATGAAGATTATAAAGATCATGCAGGCGCAGTGCGTGTAAAATGTGATGGATGTAAAAGGAATGTACACTATTCGCATTAGATTTTTTAGGTTTTGCAGAAACAATCTCTTCCAAAAATCAACAAAACATAGTCAGCGTTATATAACTTAGAAGTACTCCATCCAAGGACACGGCATGGCAAGTGTACAGACAAAAAGATGGTTCTTCACAGTTCACATTGCAATTCGACACTGAAATGAATCAAGACATGTTAACATTGTCAAATACAAAAAATAACAACATTGAAGCAAGCTAAGTTGAATCCAATTACAAGGACTAAATGAACTAAAACACAGAACAGTATAAACTGCAAAAAACAGAAGAAAAAAAAGAAGAAGCAATTTGATAGTAGAAAAAACAAGGTAAAGAGTATACATGGACAGAAATGGCTGAGTCCCATGTCGGCAGTAACCTAAATTGTGAAATTAGCATAATTAACCGAAGTAAAAATTGTTAATGAGAAACAAAGGCACAACTCAAACTAAATGAAGAATCAAAGCACAACGTGCTAGAAAGATAATTGGAAGAAAATGATAATTTCGATATTCCTTCATTAAGGAACAAATTAAAACCCTCCACCTCTCGTTTAGACTATCACTTGTACTTAAAAAGGAAGAAATTTAAACAAAACATATTATGTAGTAACCTAATTGGGTCCCCAGCGTATATGAAGTTATTGTCCATATCACTCACTTCAGTCTTCAATTTGCTACTCAATTTCACAAAACCCACACAAGAGATTCCAAGGGACAAAGATGAATATAGAGTAGGGTGTGTGCAGAGGGTTGAGTATAGAGTAGGGTTGGAAAAGTAGTAGTGGTAGGGGGAAGGCGTTGTAATTAGGTTTATTATATATTTTAAATTTAAATAATTTTTTTTTTTTTTTTTTTTTTTATAAATATATAATTAGTTATAGCAGTTCAATTGATGAAAGAGTAATGCTATTTAGACAGAAAATACGCTTAAACTAAATAAAAACTTTAACGTAGTTAAACATAGGTGGTGAATTGCAACACTTTACAAAATTTAAGTAGTAATGACACACATGCCTGAAAGTTCATGTGGTATTTATGCAAATTTCCCTAAAAGAAATAAACATAACTTCTAATCAATGGAAAAAGTCATGGCTTGATGGATGTTGATGGAGGTGATTTAGGCTTAATGGAGGTGACCAATAGCTTCTTCAATCCGGCCAAGGAAAAGCATCTAGGCTTTCTCCAAAATTTATATTCCAACAATCCAAATCCATGTAATGGACAAATGTTGGCTTGAACTCGATGGAATAAAAAAACAAACCCACAAAAATTCACGGGATTTGTGCAAATAATCATATTAGAAAATCCTCATGGCATGCAAATTTGTATACAAAAATAGAAAGACAAACATAAAGAAATTACCTCGTAAACTTTTTTTCTCTCTCTTTTTATTATTTACACGCGTACTTGGCGGGTCTTCTACACGTGGCGCCTAAAAATAAGTTTTAAAGTGCCAACTGCTTAAAAAACGCAAACGCTCTTCATGGCATGTCCCAACGTTTCATGTTCGTTCATATCATCTGGGCTTCGTGTTGTCCCATCACCTTTCTGTGATTCTCTCTCACTTCTCTTTGCGTTACTTTCCTCCGGTTACTTTAACGGTCACCCCTACGACACCGTTTCAGGGGTTGGAAGGAAAACTAATCACAGTCTGAAAGGGTTGCTTCCCTTTTTGCACATTGGTTTCTATCTCTCTCTTTTTTTGCTTTCCCGATTTTGTCTTTCTGGGTTTTCTTTGATTTGGTTAACCTTCTCTGTTTTCTTGTTAAATATTTGAAGGGTGTGAATGTCTCATTGTTGATTTTCCTTTTCCGGGTTTTGGTTCATTTATGGCGTTTGATGATTTCTTCAGTTCAAGTTTCAATATTGGGATTTTCCTTTTTCTAAATTCTCTTAATCTGTGACTTTTTTCTTAAGCCATTGGAAGAAAGTTTGGTTCTTTATGTTTCTGTGGGGGGATGAGGGGGGTTAGGTGTTATTGTGAAGCGTAAATTAGAGAACCCAGCAGAAAAGATAAACTGCAAAGTGGTGCCTTTTGGATTGAAGAAGAAGATATGGACATAAAAGAGGTTTCAATAATACACCATGTGGGGATTGTGTTATCTGTGCTTTGGTTGCTTTCTCACTTCAATTGCTGCCACCCAGTTGCCTACTTCGCCTCTCTGATTTATCTCTACCTGGTAAGGATCACTTCTCTTACATTTTTGTTTTCATCCAAATTTGCTCTTGAAGACTACATCTTGAAAGTAATTAAGCTTTTTTCTTTAGGTAGGGAATTAGAATCATGTACATTATAGTTTGCTAGATTTGTTTGCTTAGAGAGTATGGGATTTTGCTTGTTGATTTAATTTGGTAAGTTGCTAATTAAGGGATGTGATCATTTACGATATGTAATTTAATTTGGTAAGTTGCTGAAAGGGATGTGCAATTACAGTCCTTAATATGAACTTTCGTCTACTTTTGAAAGGTTCACGAGGAGTATGTTATGAGATTGCGGAAGAAACTACAATTTGAGGAACGGAAACAGGCTAATCAGAAACGGGTAATCTTCACTTTTTCTATTGTGTGTCTGGTTGTCGTTAGTATTTTTCATTTATTAGTAAAAGAGTCTATGTTGAATCTTTATAGCCATTCCCAGAAATGTTCTTGGATATGACTGAAATTGAAGCCTTAATTTGAGCATCTATATTTGTGACTTTTTGTTGGTTAGTATTCATTGTTACTTATGTGAAAATAAGTCGAGGGTTTTTAGAATTTATTAGTGAATTTGCATGGCACTACAATACTTTATTTAACTTGAATTTCTTTTTCCAATACTTTAGGTACTTTCTGATTCTGAAACACTGCGGTGGTTGAACCACGCAATTGAAAAGATATGGCCTATATGTATGGAACAGATTGCTTCACAGAAGATTCTTCTCCCCATCATACCTTGGTTTTTGGAGAAGTACAAACCATGGACTGCCGTACGACTTTAACTTTTAACTTATTTAAATCCAATACAATGGTTTTGATCGTTCTGTTCATTTGGATAATGACTTGGTGCAAAGTGCTCTGTTCTGAAGACTCTTGGATTTTTTTTTAAATATTGTGTATTTATTTCGAATTGATGTACTCTTTTGGTGCAAATTTTAGCTGAATGATCTTTAAAGCTTTACTTCTTAACTTTTGACATGTGAACATCCAGAGCTAATCATCTTTAATTTTGATTGTTATTGAAGTGGGAACTACCTTTTGTTTTTTATGTTTGCATTGTTGTATTTTCTGGTATGGTGGTTACCTTATTAGCTTATATGTATTGTGATTGAACGAGATTGTTGAGTGATCTTGAACCATCAATGAATGTAATGCTTTGTTAGCTCTTAGTTGAGTGATCTTTATATTTTTGTATTTTAATTACTATGTAAGTGGCAAAAACTGTTTATGTTGCATCCGCATCTTATGAGCATTCAAAATTTTTTATATAAGTACGACTGGGTTTTGATTGTAGACTAGAGGTTTTTCTTTTTTGTGTGTATACCGTAGTGTCATTTTGATCGTTCTCCCGAGTAGATGGTTCATTTCAGCTGCATGTATGTGTGGGAAACTACTTATACTTGATATCTGGTGGTTATATTTTGATACACATTTTGAGTTATTAATGGTGAATATATGTTTGCAGAAGCAAGCAGTAGTTCAGCACCTTTACTTGGGAAGAAATGCACCAATGCTCACAGACATGAGAGTGGTTCGCCAGTCTGCTGATGATGACCACCTGGTATTCTTTACTTTCTCGGGAAATTTTGGATCAATCATTTTTATGTGCTCTTCTCAGCTGCATTTCTAGAATCAGGTGAGCGAAAGTACTACATTGTAAATAAATGCAGGTTCTGGAGTTGGGATTGAATTTTCTGACAGCTGATGATATGATTGCAATACTTGCTGTGAAGTTGAGGAAAAGACTGGGTTTTGGGATGTGGGCAAAGTTGCATATTACAGGCATGCATATTGAAGGGAAGGTATGGACTTTGACTAAATGTAGGTTAAGATGTGATCTCAAGTCATTTGAAATTTGAGTGAGTTGGGCCAGGCAATATCTCATGCAAGTAATCTTTTGCTAAGCATGAAATATAGATTGAAGATATGCATAATGTTCTTTATACGGTGCCTCCATATAAACTAAATTTTTGATTGATCGTTGCAACCCCTGAGTTCTGATTAGGTAGTGTAACTACTTGTAATCTGGAAATATGTAAGATATATATGTTAGTAGATGTCCGAGTGTTTAAACAATAGTGAAAACATTTTATGGAAAATAGAATGTCTGGAATGGCTTGCAAAAATGACTTGTATGTTCTGAACAAGCTGTGTTTTTCTTTTTCTTTTGTAGGTCTTGATTGGAGTGAAGTTTCTTCGCAGGTGGCCTTTCCTTGGCCGTGTACGGTTATGCTTTGTTGAGCCTCCATATTTTCAAATGACTGTGAAGCCTATTTTTACTCATGGCCTTGATGTTACAGTACTCCCAGGGATTGCTGGATGGCTGGTATCTTTTATTGACGCTGATAAATTTGAACTCCCTTGATTCTTCCTCTCTGACTCTGTGTGTCTCTCTGATTTGCTCTTTTCTTTATTCTATTTCCCAGGAGAAGCTTCTTTCCATTGCCTTTGAGCAGACACTTGTTGAGGTATGGATGTTGGACTTTGACCCTCCTTTATGTAATTCTCTGATATCCAATGGGCTATGCTGTAAACAGTCTTTCATATGTTGGCAACACTTTTGTTAGAGTATTGTAAATCTAATTTTTCATTATCTTTGCAGCCTAATATGCTGGTTGTTGACATGGAGAAATTCGTTTCACCGAAGTCAGGTAATTATGGATATATTATACATATGCAAACATGCATGTATTTATGTATTTTGATTAGAACCTTGTATAAATCTTTCCTCACATTAGTTTTTCATGAAGAACAAACTTTAACCTGTTGGGCCTAAATTGTAGTGCTTTCAAGTTTCAACACCTCAACCATCGCTGGGGAAGTTTATTATTTTGGCGTAGTAGCTTTGTCACTCTAAAGTAGGTAGTTTTGCATTTTAAGAACTAAGGTTCTTTTTCCCTTTTTTCCCTTTGAGCAGCTTAAATACCACAGCAGTAATAATTGGTTTTTAAAACTTCGAATTGTATGCAGAATATATTCCTTTTGGAATGACAAATGTCATGTGATGTAAGGAGATTATTGTTACCTTCTACTTCCCTTTCATCTAGTCTCTTGATAAAAGCTCCACTAATTCCTTACTACAGTTGTTCATTTTAACTTCTGTAATCATCATACTCTGTCTCCGTTTCTCACAGAAAATGTGTTTCCCAAATGTTTGAATTAATAATAGTGTTCATTTGATTGACAGAAAGTTGGTTCTCTGTGAATGAGAAGGAGCCTCTTGCTCACGCCAAAGTAGAGGTTATTGAAGCATCTGATATGAAAGCTTCTGATCTAAATGGTTTGTTATTTTCTTTGTTTGCTGGTACTCACATCATAGTCTGTTTAAAATTTTATTTAATGAATAGACCTATTCTGTCAGGATTCTCTGACCCATATGTGAAGGGTCAATTAGGCCTTTATCGGTTCAGGACTAAGACACCAAAAGAAAACACTGGCTCCCAAATGGCGCGAGGAATTTAAGATCCCCATTATTACATGGGAGTCACCTAATATACTGGCTATTGAAGTTCGTGACAAGGGACCGATTTGTTGATGATGCCCTTGGGTTTGTTTCTGAACTTTTGAATGTATTATGCTTTTTTGTGTGCTAGGTTTATTTTAATCCTTGGGACAAAGTACTGTTATATTTATTAATTGAAAAGTTGTCACACACACACGAAATGAATGACTTTGTAATTTTAGTGCTGACCTTGCTGCTACTACTACATTTTTTTTTCCATTTTCCATGTTTTTATTTATTTTTTTTTTTTTTTTTTTTTTTTTTTTTTTTTGAATTGGAATGGCATCTGCTGATCATTATTTGTGTGATTATCTTGTCAAACAACCAATAGTTAGTATTTTTTTGGTGTCTGCTTACTTTGAGTTTTGTTTATTTACCTTTTTGGCCCTTAATATCCTATTGAACTGTTCTGTGAGTGCTGTTTTAATTGCAGGACTAACTTACCTCTTATTCTGTATCCAGTGAAATGCTTCATTAACATTGCTGATCTTAGGGATGGGCCAGAGACATGGACATGTGGTTGCCTCTTGAGAACATTAAACAGGGAGGCTACATCTTGCAGTAACTGTTATTGAAGACAATGTGAAGGTACCTTTTTACTCTCTCTCAACTGTGGTTTACTCATTACGAAATGAAAGCAAATAGATTCGTAGTTCTAGTTGCAGTATAGGCAATGCTTTCCACAGATGCTCAAGTGTGCATTCAAGAGTTGACTTGAGCCACTTACATATTCAGGGGGATGATCATCCAGTTGTCCAGGAAAAGGTAGATGTGGAAGATAAAAGAAATTCCTTTGCCAGTGATGCTAATAAGAGTAGCTTCTCATCTGCATCATCAGAGAAGTCCCATAGGGTGGCAGACAATTTGAGCCAATTGATGTTGAAGGCCAAAAAGAGACTGGTATATGGGTCCATCACCCAGGAAGTGAAGTTTCACAAACTTGGGGAGAGTAGAAAAGGAAAGAGCCGACTCCTTGGTAACGAGATTCAAAATAATGCCGGCAGCTATAATTCAGTCATATCTGCAACCCAAAATAATGATGACAGTGGCACAGATAGAAATCCTGGGGAGAAACGGCGAATGAAATCAGTTTGCAAGGGTCTAAATAGGATCTGTTCAGTGTTCCACAGGAATTCCAAAAAGGACTTAAGTTCAGATAGCTTTAAAGAGTCTGTTCGTTCTGCACATATTAATCTTAGGGCAGTTCATAAGAAGGAGATTGGGGTAAAATTTATTGTGGAAGACGACCTTTCTGGACCTCTTTCTAGTAAGCATGGTGAAAAATCTACTCGGAACATAAAGCATTCTACAGGGAAAGATTCTGGAAAGTCTCTAACTGGTTCTTCTGCAGTCAAGGAAGGAAAAATTTTAGAAGATTTTAACTCTTCTGATGATGATCCTCTTCCCAAACAAATTGTTCTAAGAGAAACTGCAGTAGATGCTGAAGGCCAAAAGAGGAAGGTTGTATTGAAATCTTTCTGATTGGAAATACATTGTGGCTCAAGCAATGATTAATTTAACTCAAAGGAGCATGCGTCACCTCTGGTTCTTAAGCACTGTTGTAGCACTGTTGCTTGTCGCATTCTCGTCCTTTCTTAGCTCTGTAATTCAGACTTGCTAATTGTGCAGTTGACAAGGTACTGTTGCAAGCTGTAAGGGATTCCCATTTGTTTTCATAGGTAGCCTTCCCTTGCCTTTTGTGAGGTTGATTCTGTTCTATTTCACCAATGCTTCTTTTGGTGTACATTCTATCATATCCGATGAAGAAAAACAGCAGCATGGAGTGATGCCTCTATACCCAAGAAAGAAAAACCGTGAAGGTGAAACTGTGGAAAAATTTCAAGATACTGGATCAGGGTCATATTGGAGGACTGTTTTTATCACAAATTTTTTTTTGGGTTGAGGGGATTTGGCTTTTTGACACTCTACAGACCTAGACCTTCATATGCTTGTCCTGTCAATCTTTTAGCATTCCTAGTTTTGTTATGTTGATTTGGAAGTGCTATGAAATTATTCGCAACATTGGTTTGTTTTGTTTTTTCCGTAAAGAAGGAAAATCTTGTATGGAAAATTCTTTCATTATTGAACATGCAAAAGTATATAGTTTCATTTTTGAGATGGTGATGAACCAAGAACAATGATGATCTTTTTGTAGTTGCCGGTAGGATTAGACAAAATAAAACAAAGCATACCACAAAACAGGACAGCAAACACATCTCCCAACAATATAGCACTGCTGCAAAAGAGGCAGCTCAGAGTGGAAGAGAGAAAACGGACACTTAAAATAGGGTTTAAGCAATCTAATAACATTAGAAAAGAAGCCATTAACAAGTCTAATTTACATCCTCTCATCAAGCCAAAGGATATCCTCAAGTTGATCCCCATCAGCTGAAGCGATAATGAAGCAACCTTGCAACCACGTGTTTGCTACTGGAAGCAAGGAAATCTGTAGTTCCAACTCATTTCCCAGAAAGTATTAACATTGATAATTCATTTCTGTGACATTAAAGGACAATAATTCTGAACCTATTTCCTTTAATTTCAATATGTTATGAGATGAAACACTCTTCAGCCTTTTCCATTCCGTAATTTCGACTCTCAAGCAGGACTGATAGCAAAGTGATTTTCAATTTACATGACTTCAAAATCGTTTGAAGAACCCATAAGCAACGTCACCACACAGTCATCCACTTTATGTGATTTAATTATCTACAATTTCTTCATAGGAAATACAACAATGGCTGCTCTTCTCTGAAAACATGCTTTTGAGGATCTGCCTCCACATCCCCATCTTCGGAAGAAAGCCTTGTCTTATCATCTGCTTTAAAACCCAATCCACATCCTGCACCAGATTTTCTTTGCACAGTCCATGAATCAACGCCTTGTACGATACAAAACTCGGGCCAACGCCCTTAGAGATCATCCAACTCATAAACTCTTTGGCCTCAACAAACCTCTGTGCATCAAGAAAACAATACAAAACCTCCTGATAAGACCCTGCATTTGGATCACACCCCTTGCCCCTCATTTCCTCCAAAAGCTTAATCCCCTCTTCAAATCTCCCCTGTTTCCTGAGCCCCGCTATCAATATATTAAACGTGATGGCATCCGGATCGATCCCCTCATTTTCCATCCTCTTTAACATCCCAAAAGCTTCATCCACCTTCCCATTGACACACAAACCATGCATAAGTGTTGAAAAAGTTAGCGCATTTGGCATACATCTTTGCTTAGGAAATTCATCGAGCACCTTAAGTGCAGCATCCATTTCCCATACTCACATAGTCCCTTGATGAGTATATTAAGGCAACAAGCATCAATCTCAATACCCAGCTTGGGAGCCTCCAAGTACACCTCATGAACAACATCAAACATCTTGGTCGAAACGAGCAAATGCAGCACAAAGTTGAATGTTTTCACAGAAGGCCAGCAAACCCATAGTTGGGCATATCATAAAGGGTCTCGACGGCCTTGTTTATAAGACCACCCACATTGCCATAAGCCTTAATAACAGTGCGAAAGAAGTTGTCAGACAAACGGCATTTGCTTTCGGATTTGATCCTGGCCATGACATTGTCAATGGTGTCGAAGAGGCGGGCTTGGGCAAGCTTGTTGACGACCAAAGTGTAAAGAGCTTCATTGGGTTTGTAGTCTTTGCGCTTGGAGTAGTGGTCCAAGGCTGTGCGGACAGAGTTGGGGTCTCTGAGGGATGTGAAGACTTCCAAGACTTCATTTGGGGCTAACCAGTCTTTGTGGTGCAGCCTTTTTGGGATATCAGATGAGGAAGATGATGGGAGTGTGGAGAAAGATGGGTTTTTGATGGTGGTGGAATGAGTTAAGCGAAAAAAGATAGGATTTTTAAGTGTTTTTGTAGATCGTGAAATCATGTTCTTTCTAAAATGTTAAGACTAATTACAGTGTGAAATCTTCCAACTTCTTTGGCTTAGGTCTAAAAGTTTTATTGGAGGGCATGACTGTTCAGGTGGGTAAAATACTCATGGGGCTTGTTGGAGAGAGTCGTGCTGTTGTGTTGCTTGGGGTTTTCGGTTGTCTGAGGTTATGGTGATGGAGAATGAAGGAATTAAAAACGTGTTGCATTCAAGAAAGCTTCATGCGGGTTAGCTCACGTGGTGAGGGAAGTTGGGGAAAAGGGTTAGATTAGGATAGGTCAAAGGAATCGATCCACCTAGGTTGTCATGTGCCATATGTATTGGTATTAATATTGATAAACAAGTTAGAAAAAGACTCCCAACTCTTCTGAATCTGTCACCAATAATAGATTTAATATTGATATACAAATCTATATTTTTTTTTTTTTTTTTTTTTTTTTTTTTTTTTTTTTTTTTTTTTTTTTTTTTTTTTTTTTTTTTTTTTTTTTTTTTTTTTTTTTTTTTTTTTTTTTTTTTTTTTTTTTTTTTTTTTTTTTTTTTTTTTTTTTTTTTTTTTTTTTTTTTTTTTTTTTTTTTTTTTTTTTTTTTTTTTTTTTTTTTTTTTTTTTTTTTTTTTTTTTTTTTTTTTTTTTTTTTTTTTTTTTTTTTTTTTTTTTTTTTTTTTTTTTTTTTTTTTTTTTTTTTTTTTTTTTTTTTTTTTTTTTTTTTTTTTTTTTTTTTTTTTTTTTTTTTTTTTTTTTTTTTTTTTTTTTTTTTTTTTTTTTTTTTTTTTTTTTTTTTTTTTTTTTTTTTTTTTTTTTTTTTTTTTGCCTAATCTTTAGATACTGGACAAGTAGCCTACTTGATTCATATCAATGGTTTGGAGAGCTTCACCACGAGTGAAGATTATTCCATGATTCTGGTTTTCGGGCTTCCCTTCTCCAATAGTTGGTGGACCGGGAAGCTTTATGCGATATATTTCCTATGAATAACAGCAACGCAGATGATGTATTTTATTAGTTGAATAAAAAATTATAAGAAATTATGGCGGCTGCATTGAGTATTTGATATAATAAACACATTTCCATTAATAGAAATGCAAATCCAATTATAAACAATATAAACTTGTGTGTTTAGGCAAAGAGGTTCCAAACTACTCTTCTTTTGATAGGATATTGTAATGAATTTCCTTGATACATATGTTGAAAAAAAGCAATTGGAAACGATTATGAACAACATAGAAATTTCCTGTTTTGGCAAAGCAGGTTTGTATAGTAACTTCTGTATTTTTGAATGCTAACTCCTTCCTAGCCCAAAAAATGGACTATCCAGTCCCAAGTGTTCAATAATTTCTATTCACTGGCACATTAAACTCATTCGATCACTTTGTTAGTTTGTCAAAGGAAGTTATATTAATAGACATTATAGAACAGTACTACACATTGGTCTATGAAAAATAGATATGCAAGCTAGCTACATAAATTAATAGTACCACATTTCTAACACTTTCCAATTACGTATCATAAGTTAGTCCTTACCTGATCAAAACCATTGACAGCTTTAACCAATACAGAAGAATAAACTTTGCGAGGCTTGTTTTCCACCATCTCTTCTTTCTCCTCAATGTAAGCAACACGCAGAGATGGGTATCTTCAAGCAATAAATTCTAGAGTCATATGACTTCTAAATTATATTTTAAAAGTTATGTATTTCTGCAATAATTCTTTTCTTTCCTGGTAGAAGAATACCTTATCATCAAGTCAATAATGTCTTGTGCATGTGGATCTCCAGAAGCTTTTTGTGATCCAAACAATTGACAAGAAAGTACATATGTAAATTTCATGTCTGCTATTGCATCTAGCTGAGCAGATAACACACGATTTCTACTTTCAACAGCATCATAACCTTCAAGAATATCTGGATCAACAGAATAAGCCACATGGCATATAAATGCTACTCAAAACTTCTGACTAAAACTTCATCAATGTCATTTGGCATCAGAATGGACAATAATTAAAGAAAATATATGGCATAGAATTTCGAAGTGGTATAGTAAACATCAAATGAGAATACCCATTTTCCAGATTCAAGAATACAAACCTTCATCTTCAGCCACATCAAGGAATGCTTGTAATTTTAAGGCTTCTCTATAGTACATCATTCCTCTAACTGTTACAACCATATACATGAAAACTGGAGGTTATTAAAATGACCAACTGATCTACTGGGTTTAGATTAATCACAAATCTTATGAAGCACCTGTTCTGCTTAGCGTTTGGCCCCGGTAAGAAGCCCAATTTCTAAGATCTTCCTCCTTGCCTTTATCTTTCAATCCATCCAAGTTTTCACAACCCATGCGCTCCAAAAAGTTTTTCCACTCATCTAAGAAATATGAGGGTCAACTGCTATAAGATAAACCAAACAGATAGACCACAATGTAACTAAAACATTCACTAAAGTAGTAACCTGGAAATATTTTCTGCATGTAAAAGATGATGGAGACCTCTCGTTGGCTTGAATGAAGCTCCTTCATTGAAAAATTAATATCCTCCATGTAGTGTGGTGTCATAACACTATATCAACAAAAAGTTAATCAGATACAAATGATGGGATTGTTTAGAAGATTCTAAAAGTTTGTATGATTTCCATTCACCTCCAATTGTTTGTTAATGTTATTGTCACCATCACGATGTTCCTACGATCAGTGGCTATCATAATTTCATAAACTAATGAGGAATATAATATGATGATAGTTATTTAAATTTTATCATATAAAACATAATATTTATTTTTCTCCTGATGAATAGTATCATAATAGATTCATTCAACTAAAACAAACGAGGAGGACAAAACAAGTTATATAGCTTGAAGTAAAGGTATGTAAAGAGGAGAAGCCACCCCTATCAATCAAAGACTCACTCATTTAATCCCTTTAAATCTATGAACTTCTAAGGCAATTTGGAAACTGTCTATTGACTTCAATGACCAAAAAATTTAACAGAAGAACTAAACATATGGCTGAACGAAAGCAAAAATGAATAGAAATTCCATCGAGAGAAGAAGCAAGACCAGAATGGCAGCATATTGCACACTTTGGGTGCACTGGGCATATTCATAAAGAGAGAAGTGGCGAAAAATGATATGCGTCTCCGAGCCTCTAAGTTCGTTGGAACGTCCATTGCTGTATCTTTGACAGTAAGCAATAGATGAAAACGCTTGATCTGCAATTGAAACAGTTTAGTTATTATAGGTCCAGTGCTTACATGCAAATCCAGGTGTGTGTTTCATATTGTTTATATATACTTACCCAGTTGCTTCTGTGTAGAAATATTAAGCTCAGACATGTTTGCAAGTTAAATACGGGAATCATGTTGATTATTGAACCTTAAAACTGATGGAGTGTTGAAATAAATAAATCGTTCACATTCTAATAGCTAAAACTTTTGTGGACCATGGTAAACTAACGAAACTTAACAGAGAGAATGGTAGGAAAACATCAATAAAAGTGAAAAGAGGGTAATGAATATCACCTGCTCATTCAAAGCAGCACTGTCTGGCAAAGGGAAATGGATGGAACTCTTGCTATCAGCAGACCCAAATAGTTCTGGTTCAATGCTTCTATTAAAATCAACAAAGTCCATGTCGATCTGTTGATATGAGTATAGCAACTCCAATATCCTGCTTGAATACATGAATAGTTGTGATGTGCACCAAATGAATTTATCTATTCCAGGAATAAAGTTTGAATACACCGAACCTGAAGCCACTAGCCATCATATCATTGGTTACAAGCTCAAATATATCTTGGAGAATTTTGACAACTTTAACATGATGGTCTTCATTTCCCTCAACCTTACAACATTTCATACAAAAGATCAGGATGGCTTAAAGTACTGATTTTTATAAAGTATGTGATCAACAATAACACAATGACTTTGCAGGAAGTGGAATAGTCACCAGAAGTTCCATTAACTCAATACATTTGGCTAGAAGAAGTGGAAGTTCAATCATCCTAAAATCCTGAAGAAGAGTTGATCTTTCGATGCTTTCTTCAATTTCAGTAAACATGGCAGATACAATCCTGATTCCAGAAAAAGAAAAAGAAAATATTCAATTTACAACAATGATATACATTAGAAGTGGGATCAGAATGCTTATGACCCTCCATTACAATTTCCTACCGGCAGTTAAAAAGACAAAACACACACTGCATACAGGCACACCCAAGCACACACACATACATATATTGTGATATGTCCCTACTTTTTTTCAAGATCACCAACAACGAGGATTTCAAGGATGTACTTCAATGATTCGTAGCACTCCTTCACAGCACAGTACATGTACTCATCTTTTTTAATTTTTCTGACAAGAATCTCATCCTTCCCCACGAAATCCTTTGCAATACTCAATGCTGTTGAAAACTAGTATGCAGAGGAGACATGTTTAGACATGAACCAAAAAGAAAACAAAATGAAAATATGAAAGATTTTGAATATAGAAGATACCTTATTCGCAAGAAGGAAAACAGGCCAACGGACTATGCCAGAAAATAATTCTGATGACATAGGCATTGTCATCAAATCCAACTCCCTATTTAAGAAATAATCTTGTAAGGTATTTCTTAAAGCTTTGCTGAAAAACACATCAGTACCAATTTAGATCACCTGTTGTTTATCAAGTCCTCCATTCGGAAATTATTGATAATTTGGTTCCACACTAATACAAACTTGGCAACACCATTTTTTTCAGTCTTTGACACCTGAGAAAATATGAGATTTAGCAAGAGATTCTTCATGGAATTCGATTTAATGAAAAAAATAAAGCCTCATACCTTTATGAATTTACTGTGAAAGAAGCCTGTTTTTCTCTTTTGATCATTTCTTGATGAGGCTGGGATAAGGGAAATATTGAATGCAGAAGGCAAACTGTGAAACCGACTTCTCAACATTCCCAAAGTCCGAATCTAAAGTACAGAAGAGGAGTAAGACAGGTACCAAAATGCCTTTCAGGGAAAAAAAGAAGCACAACTTACCTCACCAAGGTGATGCAATATGCCATAGACTCCACCAAAGATTGTGCAGAAAACAGAATACCATATCTGAGTGTCCATAAAATACACCTAAATGATAGAAAAAAAGAAAAATTGCACGTGAGTGTATGGTATCAAGTTCAACAAGTATACAAATGAAAGTAAAACTTCTCCTACAGTTATGTTACAATAAAAATTAAAATTCCATTATGTTCATCTTTACTTTCTTATTGAACGATATTTTTAATCTCAGCTTGATTTCATTTCTAAGCATGGATTTATGATGTTAGTGACCAACCTATTAAAATTTACTTCTATCCATCTGAAAAAACAGAATGTTGAACATCAAAAAGAACTACTTTAAATACTTTACAGAAAACTTACAACTATTATTGGAGCCCATACAGCAACAATTGCACCAGCATTACTCTGAACTGCAAGAGAACAATTTTTTTACATAAATATAATGGAAAATTTTCAACTCCCTGTATTGATGATGTACAAAAAGATGGTAAATACCTTTTGGAAAAACCTCATGCCACTCATATTTTTTCCCTCCAATTTTCATGATCTGTTTTGTTGGTTCTATGAGTGGTTTTATCTGCAATTTTCCATAGGCCATGGTAAACAATAAACATTAAGAAAATTATTTAAAAACATATTTCACATTCAAAGTTGTGTGAACATTATTTCTTCTACAACCCTTCTATTTTCATCATCAAGCAAACTCTAGAATCCAGTGGAGTTAGTACCCACCTCAAAGTAGTAGCTGAAAGAAAATTTGCTCAGTAGTACAAGTACCCAAAACAATGTATACCTATGTAGTAAGAAAGAAATTACATTAGGGCACAATAAATAAAGGAACAAGGTACCTGATAAGAATTTATAATAGGGTTTGGTATACATACTTCAACACTGAAAGTTGGCTTTCTTGCATCCCACGCCCAATATATAACCCAGGCTACGTGATCAGGAAAAAAAAAATCAATATATCCACAATGTCCAAAACCAAAAGTGAATTTGTCAGGTACATAAGATAAACCATATCTAGTCAACCCAAAATTAGGTATATATAGCAACAGTTCTTCGTTGATCATGAGCACGGTATTTACCCCCAAAACAAATCTTTTAGAATACATTTATGGCATATAATTTTGACTATGCCCCTCTTTGAAGCTTGTAACTTTCATATGTTCAAGAAGAAAATAAGTCAACTCGGATTGTTGTCTTTAATGTCATCAGTTCATAACCAGTAGTGTTATTAACTTATTACAGAGAACTGAAGAAAAAAAAAACAGTACGACTGATAAAGATTCTACGTTAGAAGTATTCATTGCAAGATCAGATTCAAAATCATCAAAACTTTCTTCAAAGACTGATCCAGAAGTAAAATCAAGTGGAAAACTACATGATAAACCTACCTGTGTCCACCAGGACAAAATGGTGCATATCCGGTGATTTGAGATCTCGATGTATTTGCGAATAGAAGGAACCAAAAATAACACCATCTCAACTGCATTAGTCGTCAAATAATTGCAACTGCAACCATATAGGAAGAGAAACACCACTCTTGAAGCCAGCTTTCATATCGTGTGGGATAACAGGTATATTTTCTTCTAGAATTAGCATAGTATACAGGAAGAATTATAGTCCATATTACTGCAACAACCAGCTTCATAACATGTTTTAATTTTTCAGAGAACTCCATCGTTTGTCTGGCTTTCCATGTAAAGCCAATGTCGAGTATTGCTGCAATCCCAACCCTCTATTAGGTTTCCATTATGGATTTATAAAAGAACTTAAAAACAATAATATTCAGTTAATAAATACCCAAAAAGGAAAGGGAAAATAACAAGCACATAAAAGACATCGACAACATAGATATCTCCATTAAAACTTCTAACGAGACTAAAACCAAAGGACTGATAAACAAGGTAACACAAACTAAAGCTTTATTCTGACCAAAAACCTAACAAATCATAACAAGACTATGTTGAAAACATGATACGGCTCTAGTGATTCTACTTTAAGATATTTGTTCAATGCTGTGACAGTAACAAGATAAAATCATACCTCGTATGAGTTTAAGAAATGCAGATGTAATGAATACACTCATGACGTCCTCAAATATAACCTTGTCAAACAGTTGAAGTGGAGATTCCAATTCATGGCATGCCATAATGATCAATGCCTACAAAGCAAAAGAAAATAATAAGCAACACAAGAAATCATCGTAAGAGGAAGCAGTTGGTAAAGAATTCATTCTAGATTTTAAGTGCACCTGAAGTGAAAGAATAAAAAGCTCCACATTCTGTCAAAGCTTCTGAAAATTTGCCAAAACGAACGGACTTCTACAAAATTTGTTTTCCCTAACCATTTTGGTTCACGATCTTCTTCTTTAGTTGCCTGGTATAAAAGAAAAACATGAGAGAAACATGAAAAAGAATCAAAATATGGATTTGTTAACTCACAGGATTGTAAACTTTAAAATCAGTTTACAAATTCACAATGCTAGGAAAACAGAAAAGTGAAGACAGAACCCAAGAAAATTGCCTACTTGCTTGTCCATTTCTGGCACTCAATAGTACACAAGCCAAGTGCAAAAATAGATTGTTAGCCCTTATTTTTCCATGCACCAACATTCCATTAAATTGTGTCCACCAAAGAACAACAATTTCAAAGTAGTCAGTGTAGCATATATAGTCCAAGAAGCAACATTAATGTTAACTCCCATGTGTGAATGGTCCATTTACAAATATGAGCAGAAAATTTGATGAAATTCAGTACAAAACAAATAGCCTCTGTTGTCATACTAAAGTTACAGTAATTATATAAGACAACATTCTACGTCAAATTAGCGCATCGTATGAGAGAGATAATCTGTTTATGTAATATCCATTCTCTTCAACAACTAGAAACACTAGACTTCGAAATTCGGTTTGAAACTGTTAGGGAATGGACCAACAATGCACATCAAGCTAAAACGTTAATATCTCCCATCACATGCAGCCCCATCCTGCACACGGAAAGGCAGGCGGAGACACATATAGGCAGCCTCATCTTGACCTTGCAAATTAACAAATAAGTGGGGAATGGGAATGAACGGTTAAACATAGGACCTCCTCCTAGGACTAGAGCTTGATACTATACTAAACAACCGCTGGACCCATAAACTTAAGCTATTAGAGTGAGCAAAAAATGTAAATCAGGCTAACAAGTGTTACCTAAAAGCCACTCGTGTCTGATTGGATCTTATTATGAAATAACAAAGCACTCTAAAGTAGATTTTAAATTTGTGTACAAATAGAAAAAGACCAGGTTTATAGATAACTGTGCAAGACCTCTTAGAGGAAAACATGGTCCATAGTTTCTTCAACTAGAAAGAAACATTGGATAGCTCTACACATGAATACTTCTTAGCAAATTCATTTGATGTCCATGCAATTCATTATTCATTAAATGCAATCGTGGAACAAAAGTGCTATTTCAGTAATATGATTGCAATATGATATATACCCCTACTTCATCTTCCTCCCCATCTTCCTTCCTTCTTTCTTCTACAGAACCAGTGGATGCTGAAGCCTTCTTAGCCTTGGGTTTCTTTGAAGGTTTCTTTGAAGACGGTATGCAGAAAAAATCATGGTCTAGACGCATGGGCCAACCTATTTGGAAACAATCAGGAGACCTGCAAAAGATAGTTGATTTACAGCCTCATGATCCTAACTCATTGGAAGCCAAACTTAGATCACATGCAGCAATGTATACACACACACACACACGCGCGCACACGCACACACATAGATAGACAGATAGATAGACCAAGTTGAATTCTGACCAAAAATACTCATTCAGATCATCATAGTTTCTCCATGTGGAATGGTCAGCTGTCCCACTTTTGCTATTCTTGGCTTCCTTCAATTTCATTAATAAGTAACAGATTAGCTACAAAACTGGCTCAACTGAAACCATAGGGTGCATTCACACAGTACCTCTTTTATAACCGTGTATATAGGGGTAACCACATTGTTAAGGAAAGACTCAGACTGGCCTCCATATGCTGGCATGACTTTCTCCCATGTTGTCAAGCTAACAGCGCCAGTTAGCATACCATGTAATTCATATGCCATCTTCAAGAAAACAATAAAATTAGTAATATTAATAAATAAAAAAAGATCATGCATATACTACAGAAAATAACTCATAATGTGAAATATATGTTAAGATGTTTTTGAATGGGCTATATAAACATGAAGTCTAAATCAGTCTTATGGAGCTACTAAATAATAGCAAGAGACTGTAAAACTTACATGGTGAAATATATAACACAGACACTCTGGCATGAATCGCAAATTTGCAGCCTCCCCCCATATAAGAAGGTAAAGCCCTAGATACAAAAGTTTATACTGTTGGGCTTCTTGTTTCACATAAGGCAACCTGCAAATGTAAATAATGGAATTATAGTAAGGGGTTAATCAACATAGTTTAGGTAACTAGAATTGGTGAAATAGAAGCTGTCACAAATGAAAAACAGACAAAAATGCAATTATAGTAACATACAATCAGACGAAGAATGGAAGAGTAAAAACAGAATATTTAAGTTAGAAATGAATCAGATAGCGGACATTGGGTCAGAATAGTAATCATCAGTAGAAAGAGAAAAAAAAGAAAGAATATTTCATCGGTTTGTTGATGATAAGTGGAAACCAGATCATTTAATCTTACCAGATGTTGCTTTTCCTACCCAAAAATTTGCACCAGTTTGTATAATTTTTAAAAAATTTCCGTAATAACTCATCCACTGAACCATCTCCTAACTGGCATCATAAGAATAAGAAATATTAGTACAAAAGTGAAAAAGAATATAGTATAAAACCAAAACGTATAAACTCCAGCAACATAAAAACCTTTAAGACTGATGTCTGCTTATGGGTTTTCCTTATGTGAATGTTAGCAAGGAGTAGAAGTAGATGTTCCCTCTGATTGGCTACATTTCCCTCCTGACATAAGACATCATATGAATCAAATTCTGAAAGTAAGAAACACAGATCGCAGCAGTACATGTCTAATTGGCCAACTGCTAGTACAGATGTTATGTCACACCATACAACTTATTGTAGGAGGGGAAGTAAATTAAAGTAAAATTTTGGAATAGATTACCTGAAATCCAAAGCAGTACTGAAGAAAATCAAACAAATCAATAAAGTCCCCATGTCTTTGAAAATCATTGGCCGAAGGTATACCACGAATATTGCGAATAGCTGCTACTGCAGCTTTAATCTGTATCATTTCATTAGATTATTAGCATTCTCATCCATATTTTACAATTCCGCAGGCTTTCTGCACTATCATGTACTGATATGACCACTTGGATCATCACATATAAGTATAAATTACAAAGAAACAAGAACACTTTAACAGCATCAGACCTCAGGTAGTTGCATGATTGCTTGCCGACTATCTCCAGGGTCAAGTGGTAGAATATTATATGGCACAAAGAGATCATTAGATTTTGTCTGGACGCCACCTCTATTAGCAAGCGCCTGTGGGACATATAACCAATAAATATGATAAATAAGAAAAAAAAAACATTTTGGGATATTAAAAAAGAAAAAAGAAAAAAAGACAAAAGCACTGATTTTATCATCATAAAAGATGTGGGAAAATTAAGAATGCTTAAAATTTTAAACAGAAATGAGAAAATACCTGAGGACCGGTTGTATTTGAAACTGTCTTTAGAACTTCAAACAACACAGAACCAATTCTACGTGCGTCTATCACTTCTCCCTGTGACTATTCAAATCAATTGCCTCAAATTAGTTGTGCTTAGCAGACAAATCTATTAAATACTTTAATGCATTAGAAACCAAATGCATATCCCGATATATATGTGTGTGTTGTGTGTGTGTGTGTGTGTGTGTACGTATGGATGTATTTACCTATTTTCTAAATGAAATGCTCCATCATGTTTAATGATGTACTCTTTGTAAACATGATAAACACGCCTCAGTTCACGTATATCACTCATTTCCTTTCGTTTCGTTATTGTAGTTTCTTCATCCTATAACCCATTGAAAAAGAGAGAACATTTCAAGAATGGTAAGAAATCATTATTCCACACCTTAAGAAATCAACTTTTTGCTTCCACAAATACTGCTAGGATAAAAAAACAGTTAACAGACATGGGAAAAATAAGGTACACATCAGATTAACACAGATATATGAGAGAAAGGAATTATCAAAATTGGAAAACATAAACTACAGGTAATGATGATATTGAGAGAGAACTTAATCATAGAATCCATGGAAACATACAAAAAAAAGATAGAATATTTAACGAAGAAAAAATTTATTTAAATAGGTTTCTAAATACATTGCACATCATAGTGATTTCAAATCAGCTGGTAATCACAGGTTTTGAGCCAGGAATAAAAACTTCATATCACCTATTGTAGCACACGAACAACGTTATTGTATGTTAAACTTTATATATTGTTGAAACAAGTTCCAATCAACTTTTCAGACAATCAGTTAATAGACATGTGCACCGTATATGTTTAACATTGTCTAGCCTCTAAGGCTCTGACTACTAATTTGAGTCTTTAACTTAATCCTACTACATACATGCAAGTTATGCAATTACCCTGTTAGCAACTGCATATTTTTGTGTAGTATACTACAACGTGTGAAACCACCTGTTCAAGTCGCTGGAGAGGGAAGTTTTGAATTGTCGAACACCCCGGCCACTCGAATTGCGGTCCATATTATGTGCTATTTCAAAGGCATGAAAGCGGCCTGCTCAATAAGATTCACTTAGACAATGTTAATGGCTCATGCATTCATTTGAACTCACAATGAATCACATTTGTATAGCATTGGGTTCTGCAATCTTTGAGAAAAGATGTGTTTGAATTGGAAATTAAAGGAAAAGAAAAGGGAAAGAAGTTTCATTTCAAAATGAGTGCAAACCTTTATTACTACTCGAAATTTAAACCAACAAGATCATTTCCTTCAACCATTTTTCCTATCATCTCTGGAAATTCCAACTTCCTAAGAAACTGTTGATTTAACCCTGTAAATTGAGATGAATGGCTATACCTTCTTTGACTGTTCAGGATGGTAAGGTAATTAAATAAACTGAATTTCTGCAACCAAAGTATAAATCTTTTAACACCCAAAAGAACAGAAGTACTACTCAACGTTCTGTTACAAAAACTTTTGGCCCAGCTTCACATTTTGGTTGTTAGAATCAAAATTTCCCTTTTGGAAAACAAAAGAATCAAAAGTTTAATTTGTATCAGTTCTCTAAGTGGCAAAACAGAAGATTAGTTCAAAGAAAACTTTCATCTCTGGACATGGTGCTGGAAAATTGCAATCAACATCTCCATTGTGCATATCAGCCAAAATATGAGCACTCAATGGACTTATCTAACATGAAACCTTCATCCTATAGTTGACAATTAAAGCCATTTGACTGACTAGCTAGTTAAGACTAGAAACCTCCAACTTTATCAGAAACAAGCTCACCCCTTTAAAATTCACACCTTGTAAAACAAACCCAATTCAACAAAAACTCAACTTTAACAACTTACACAGGTAAGCAATACGAGGCTCGTCGCTTTCGATCAAATTTGCAACACGAAGAAACCTCTGGATTTCAGAAGCCAAAGAGGCAGGCAATCTTTCGCTCTCAAATGGCTCAGGAACATGATTGTGTTCACTTCCAGTGCCCATGGTAATGGACCTTGTAATGGGTCTTTCCGGCTCTGGTGGGTCATCTTCATAGATAGGCTCTGCAACCACAATCTCAGACATTGTTCTGAGCTCAAAAGGAATGATGGGATTGTGAACAAGGGAGAATATGACATGGGTTCAGAGTATATATGTGGGATCTTCGCCATGAGTTGCTTAATGTGGTCAGCTTTGGTTATGGGTATGCTTTTTTGCTTTCTAAAGTGTCGTTTGCAAAGAGGATTTGTGATCTTTTTGCTTTTGCTTTTGAAGCTGTGTTTTGCTTTCCCTCTGTTCTGAGAGAGAAGAAAGTGACCCAAGTGAGAAGGCAGAGAGGGAGTTCTATGAATTTCGTTTGAAACTATGTTCTTTTTCTTTTCTTTTGTTAAAATGTTCGCGAAACTCTTGATTACACGTGTTTTCTTATTTCGCGCGAGTAAATGAATCCAAAGGTTTTTATTATTAATTATTCTTCAAATGAATATTCTTAATACTATTGCAAATGAATATTCTTATTAACGAATGAGTAATGAAAAAAATTGTGCGGCACTGATTTTGCTACACATGTTGTAGAACAATCCGATTAAAAGATTACATTTGTTTAAATTTGATAATTGGTTTTTATATCTAAAAAACATGTTATCTTTTAATTATACTGCTTTACCATTTTATATTGTCTTTTTTTGTTGTTGCCAAAGTTACAAAAGAGAGAAGGAAAACACACACACACAGATACGATAGAAACTTGAACTCGAGACTACTTGGACACACCAAAGACTTAGGCCAATCCAACCACCAATACCTCATTAGTACTCTACATTTTCACTTGACATGAATAATCTCATACGTAGTGAGTTATTTTTTCTCGCACACAAATCACCGTCCCACACTAGAACCACCCACTGAAAAAAGAAGACACATTTCCGTTTCCTTATCCCATTGTATGATGGTGAACGTGTGATTATTATTAATTTTTACATAAATTATTATAGTTTAATCAAACATAACAACTGCGACATTACATTAAGGTGAGCTATATTATTATTGTCTCAACGTTGGTTTTCTAGCGTTACTCAATAAGCAATCGCACCCCAAGTCCACTAGTAGAAGGTGTTAAAGAATACATAGAGTCCCACATCATAAACTTAAATAATTAAAAAGTCTCATATAATAATGGTTCCACTCCTAATATACCGATGCATTTTGGATAAAATCTCACACCTGCTAAACATGTAGTTAAGTTGGAGACAATATCAATATTGCTAGTAGTGGGCCAAAGATTCGTCCATCTGAAATCTTAACATAAGGTAATATAAAAATCGTATTTACGGGTAGATTCCATCCCAATCAAAATCAAGTTGCAAATAATTACTCTGTTCACTTTAAAGCATCCTTCAAAAGCAGTACATATATTTATTTTAAAACTAAAAAGCAGTTGAGCTTGATGCATAATTGTGAGTGCTGCAACTTTCCTTTATGTCCCAAATAATTGCTGGAAGTCATCAGTTCACATAACATTGTTTTTATCTCTAGTATTATTAGTTGTCTTCCAACACGGCCGACGAGAAGGCTAAGCAAACCCAAAACAAGACAAAGAGACAACCTATTCCCATAAAGCTCCCTAAATAAAGCTCTACTGCTAATGTGGAAGGCAAAGGCATGAAGTAATGTTATGAAAACAGTGGCTATAATTTGACGGTCAAAAGGCAAAAACTTTAAAGAGAGCAAAGCTTCTACAATCACTTTTTCATTGGATGGCCTATATGGCCATGATCGCGGTTGGTAGGCATTGTTATTCTACCCTTGATTGGACACCATATGATATGTACTTCGAACTTTGGCAACTTATGATCCATTCTTTAGTTATATTTTCCATCTTGATACTGTATTTATATACAAAACAATACGATCTTTTAGATATGTGGGATTGAAAATGAGGCTTTTGGTTGGTTCGCGGAAAGGGGACTTAGAAATGGAAATCATTTCATTTTTTTATTATTTATATTAGATAACTTCAAGCTTTAGAAAGATTTCATGACTTATGGGAAAAGGAGAGAAATAATGAAATCATTCGTCTTCGATTTAACTTAACATAATCTTGTGCTATTGAGATGAATTAAGCCGATGCATAATTTGTGTATGGTGAATGTCTAATATTTTTTATTAGAAAGAAAAAAAAAAGAATGTTAAAATCTCTTGAACTGTAATGTAAAGCATTGCAGTAAGTGATGTTAGGAAGCATATAATCGATATATATATATATATATATATATATATATAAGACCTCCCAATTTTGGTGTCCATTGCATATATGGTCCACCATATGTGTATCTATATTATCTAGATCTTAGATGAGATCAGTAGGAAAAGATAGTTGGCCGAGGAAACTGATGGGTGGGCACAGAAAGAAGGAAATAGACCCAAAATCACATGTTGCTGGATCAGTGGTTTGGCATCAGCAAAGAAGAAAAATTCAGAATTTTTGTAAAAAGAGCACACACATATAAATTGTAAAATGAAAACAAAATGATTATCAATGAACTCTTAATAATTCAAGTGTAACAAATTATTTATCGATCTATCCAAATAATCTATATAAGATCAAGATTTTTATTTAAGAAATTTTTATAATCAAGATTTTTTACTATGAATTTTAAGGGATTCATATCATAGGATTTATAAGATTTGAAAGGATCACATCGATTTAACTAGCGCTCCGAATAGTACAACCAAGACAAGTGTGTACTGCAAATTTATAATATTCCACCCCGAGACCTATAGGCCCCAACTTTTCTACTACCCCAAGACTCCAAAGTGCACTCATATTGAAAACAAGATGAAGAATGCTTATATTTGAAAAAGCTGAAGTTATAATCCTCCAGTGGTGCCCTGCAATGGCAGTTTCATAACTCAAGCCCACATGTGAATACCCAATGTTTTTCTTCTGTATGTAGAACCAAATTGCACTGCATATTCCTATAAAAACAACTAGTGGCTGGTTTTTCCAAGATCTCAAAAACCAATGGCCTATCCATCTATACCAAACCTTACACTATACTTCCTAAGGATGCTTCAAGCTCAATCATACAATCTCAATAGGACAATTTCCAGCCACTTTTGCACTACCAAACATGACAAGTAAGTTGTATCATTAATGTCAGCTGCGTTCTCTTCATAATCTTCTTTCTAATAATTTGGTCCATCATTCATTTTGTTTTCGTTAAGAAATATTATATTCCAACCCATATTGTATCAGGCTGCCTAGTTACGTGGTATTCATGCAAACTTGTATCATTGTTCCCAATCAATTATATATATATATATAATATATATACAGAGGAGAGAGAGAGAGAGAGAGAGAGAGAGAGAGAGAGAGAGAGAGAGAGAGAGAGAGAGAGAGTATTGCTTAACCTATACTACTATATAAAAGACATTAATTAAAAGAACCAATAAGCACGCTCAGCTGAATATAGTACTTGGAAATTAAGAAAAATGAATTGCATAAAATCCTCTAATAATATTAATTATTTATGGACATGTATGCACGTTCAACTATAAACTTTTCTAACAAAAAAAATTGTCAACAATTTGCACAAAATATTATTCCAAATAAGTAGGAATTACAAAAAAGGAATTAATTTTGCTCGACATCCACAAGGTAATCCTCTAAAAACCTAATAAGTTGATCATCAGTACTTGTGCCAAGATGCTCCTGCTGATCGTACTGTGCAAGCAAAGTAGGATTAACCATGTTGTCTTCACCCTCCACATAGTTCATAAGGTCCAAAACCCTAAGTTGATCATAAGTACTTGGGCCAATATGGTGCTGCTGATCATCATGAACATGTTGGGCTTGGATTTCTCCACGGGGAGGCACGTCTTCATGATTTTGTAGTTCTTCAAACTTTCTTTTGCCCGGTGTTTCTTTCTTTCTAACAAGACAAAGAACAATTGTCTCTTTGTTTCGCACTCGTAGTAGAGATTCATCAAGCTGGAACTCATGCATGATCCAACGGTCATCATGGGGCGAGCCAGGGTTCATGTACCGAAATCGTTTTCTGATGCCAATATTACTCCCACAAGCACGTATTTTCTTGCCGGAGTCTTCTCCTTTCCAAACACCGGTACCGGCGGCGCCAACTGTTCTGCAAAACCGCGAGCCATTTGGAGTCTTCTTCTTGAGTGTGGTGAAGACGTAGATGTCTTCTTGATCATCTGGTGATGAGTGGTGGAAATCTCTCCATATCTCCCATGGTTCTTTCGTACCGTAGAGATCGCAGTCAGGAACAACACCTTTGGGATAGTCCTCTCCGTTGAGTCTGGGGAGAAGGTAGTGAAGAAATAGTTCTTCTTCTGAAGGCCTGAACTTGTAGCCCACTGGAACTTGATAATAGCCGCCCATACTTGTTGTAGAGTGATGATAGAGAAAGTAATGATTGTGAATATGGTGATCAAGTGTTGGGGTGTATTTATAGTGGTCATTAGGGTTGAATTTCTTGCAATCCAAGCTCATCAGTACCCGAATTATTTGGGCAATGATTTTATGAACCAATCATGGCTTGACATGTAACATGGATTTAGATAATTAAGCGCAGATGTCTTTTGTTGCAGATAATTAAGCCCGGCGAGAATAAATAGCTACCGCCATATTATATATTTTCCTTGAAATATGGAAACTATTTCCACCAAAAATAAAATATAAGTTTCCATTTTTCACCAATTATGTATATGCATGGTTTTAATTTTGGTAAATATTTTTTTGTTGTTGTTGGAATTTTGATAAATATTTAGAACTCACAGTTGAGAGTTGCAGAACTTTTATTTATGGAAGGAAAACAAGGACTTCTTTGTTAGAACTTTTATTTTATCTTTATCCATAGAAAATAATTTTTTTGTTTTTTTTTTAATTATTTGCATTTTAATGTCTTAGATAAAGATAAAATTTTGGTTAGATGAAGATAAAATTTTAGATTGTTCGAAAATTTAGCTATAACGACGAACCAAGTCAGACTAGAATCCTAATTCAATTGGGAATTGTTATCAAATCAAGCAGGAACAAAGATTACTACTTTGTAATGTTTTTAATGGAGAAAGATATTTTATTTTTCGGTGTGTTTTTACTCTAAATTAATAAAACATAAATAATATATTATTCTAACCTCTATTGCCTACATTTTTCATGAGTTGTTCAGCTTTTGATGGCTGAAATGATCATGTGTACAAAAATGAGAAATTTTTTTGTCTATTTTTCGGGAGTTGTTCAAATTTTCTTTAATTTACCGAGAACTTTATCCAAATTTATTTTAATCTCTTCAACTTGAAAGGAATTACAACCATATAGTATATCGAAAGATATTAGTTGGTGGGAAAAACCAACATATATATATATATATATATATGTTGAGTATCTAGTTATATGTAAGGAAAGAAAGAGTTGCATATTCTACATTTGTGAGGGAATGGTGGTTAAAGCGTTTAGAAAGGGGTACAATTTAGCCCCATTTTGTGGAGAAAACTTAGTTGCAACGGGATATAGCATACTATTCTCATACAATAATGTTTATGCAGACACGTGAAAGTGTAAATGTTATCACGCGTGTTATACCGTTATTAGATGGAATAGCAAAATGCTATCTCATTTTCATAGAAGTCTTTCTCCTCGCCATGGGCTTTAGTAAACTCCTAGGCTTTAGAAAACTTAGGACTGGCCCTAACACTGTTGCTGACAAGTTTTGATGTTAATTAGATCGCTCTGTTATATTATAATGGCATTTTGTGGCTAGTAATAACTTTTTTAATTGAATTATAAATGCAATTCTAGAATTTCTGAAAGGAAAACAAAAATACAAACAAGTTTACTAGTTTTTCAATGTGCATGGGATAAGTGGAGTTTTTCAATGTGGGATAAGTGATCAGAGTGGCAATCCAAAACATTACAGATTCCATCTAATGGCTATTAAGGTGTGTATAAAGGGGATAGACACAACCAAATATTCCATGATCAAGTGAAAAACGAGTCCAACAAAGAAAGAAGGAAATATCTTTTGTAAAGTCGCGTTTTTTATAATTAAGTCCATTGATCGTTTCAATTTGGGTCAAAGATTTGGAACAAAATGGGAAATACCAAAAATGGATGGCTATTTTATTTATTGATTTCCTTAAAAGGAAGGATCTGAATTTAAATAAAAAGATTGTAATACCAGGTTTTGAAATTTTATCTTTTATTTTGACCGTGTTTTTTACATTAAAATGATTAATTTGGGGAGTTGTTACACGCGTAGAAGGGAAGACAAGTCTTTGTGTATAAAATCCGATCCCATTTTGCATGCCTTGTGCCAATCAGATTTCTATTTTCATTACTAAACAGACACTAAAGCCCGGGTTCACCAATTGCTCATGGCTATGCTCATCGCAAACCAAGGCCAATACATCTGCTTGGCTTTTTTTCTTGTGTTCATTTTAGCCTTCTGCTCCTCTCAAGCATCTTGTAGTCGCCAACTTTATGGTGAAGACAAAATCATGCTCCAGAGATTTGAGGAGTGGAGGGCTCAAAACGGACGAGTTTATAAGGATGCACAAGAGAAGGAGTTGCGCTACAAAATATTCAAGTCCAACGTGGAATTCATTGAAGCTTTTAACAAGAACAAGGACCAAAGAAAGTACACCCTAAGCCTCAATAAGCTTGCGGATCGCACCAATGAGGAACTTCGAGCAATGCGTAATGGCTACAATGTGAGGCAACATCTCTCCAAAGAAGCGATCACCTCCAACTCCAAGAAAATAAGTCCAAATACTTTTTTCAGATATGAAAATGTAACCGAGGTGCCACCTTCCTGTGATTGGACTACAACTGCTGCAACCCCGGTCAAGAACCAAGGATATTATTGTGGTAAGCATGCATTTTTAATTTTAATCTATACAGTGTAATGTTTACTTTTTTTTTTGGTGTGCATACACTACTTTTGTCTATCCAATGATGATGTTGACTCAATATCATGATATTATATAGCGAGTTGTTGGGCGTTCGCAACAGTGGCAACAGTAGAAGGCCTTAACTATCTTAAAACAGGAAACTTAATTTCGCTATCAGAACAAGAGCTTATCGATTGTGGAACTGGTACTGAAGTTAATGGCTGTCGTGGTGGTTATGTGGACAAAGCCCTTGAATACATGATCCAACACAATATAGGACCCTAGCAACTGAAGATGGCTACCCTTACAAGGCCGTAGATAATGGAATTTGCATGGCTGACTTGAATGCTTCTACCGGTGTTATAATTGTAACTGGATACGAAGTGCCTCAAAACAACGAAAGTGCTCTATTGAAGGCTGTTGCGAACCAGCCAGTTTCAGTTTATATTGATGCAGAAGCAGAAGAATTCAAATATTATTCTGGCGGTTTGTACACTGGACCATGCGGTACAAACTTAACTCATGCTGTTACTATAGTCGGATATAATACTACTCAGGATGATGGGACTAAGTATTGGCTAGTCAAAAATTCTTGGGGAGACCAATGGGGGGAGAATGGATACATGAGGATTCAAAGGGACATTGATGCTCAAGAAGGACTATGTGGCATTGCTATGGGAGCTTATTATCCAACCGCATGAGATTTCAAAGCAGCTGCTAATTCATGATCATGAGATGCTTGGAGCAATAGCTTAGTATGATTAAGTTTATTTTTTTCTTTTAATTTGTTTCTTGTTGATTGTAAAGTGCTAATCATGATCATGAGATGTTAGGGTCTATTAATGAATAATGATTGCCTTCCATTACACATGTGTTGATACTATATGATAGGGTCTATTACGATTAGGTTACGTTGCACTTTATTTTGATAGCTCCAATCTCATACTTCGCAGGGTTGAAATCGTAAAAAACCTGACAACGCTAGTTAACTGTTGTTTGTGGTTTTCTCCTACTATTAACTTCACAATATTTTCACTTCCTTGCACAACTTTGTCTTAAATAAAGCAGTATTATATTGAATATATGTTTTATTATTTTGTTCGTATATACAACTTACGAAATTCTTCGCCATATAAGTACTCCAATAAATCCTTTTGTGTATTAAATTTGGAACCTTTTTTACTAAGCCTGCAGATTAACAAATGCACTAAGCAAGCTACATGTATATACTTATAGTGTCGTATTAAGAACAGAGAAATTACAAAAAGAGGAATTAATTTTGCTCCTACTGTGTAAGCAAAGTTGGATTAACCCTCGATATCGCTCATAAGGTAATCCTCGAGAAACTTAAGTTGATCTTCAATACTTGTGCCCTGCTGACCGTACTGTGCAAGCAAAGCTGGATTAACCACGATATCCTCTTCACCCTCGACATCGTTCATAAGTAAATCCTCGAGAACCCTAAGTTGATCTTCAGTACTTGTGCCAATCATGTCCTGTTGATCGTACTGTGCAAGCAAAGTTGGATTAACCATGGTGTCCTGTTCACCCTCGACATCGTTCATATGGAAATCCTCGAGAACCCTAAGTTGATCATAAGTACTTGCGTCAATATGCTGCTGCTGATCATCATGCACATGCTGGGCTTGGATTTCTCCACGGGAAGGCATGTCTACCTCATGAGTTTGTCGTTCTTCTAATTTGCTTTTGCCCAATGTTTCTTTCTTTCTAACAAGACAAAGAACAATTGTCTCTTTGTTTCGCACCCGCACGAGAGATTCATCAAGCTGAAACTCAAGCATGATCCAACGGTCATCATGGGGCGAGCCAGGGTTCATGTACCGAAATCGTTTTCTGATGCCGATATCATTCCCACAAGCACGTATTTTCTTGCCGGAGTCTTCTCCTTTCCAAACACCGGTACCGGCGGCGCCAACTGTTCTGCAAAACCGCGAGCCATTTGGAGTCTTCTTCTTGAGTGTGGTGAAGACGTAGATGTCTTCTTGATCATCTGGTGATGAGTGGTGGAAATCTCTCCATATCTCCCATGGTTCTTTTGTACCGTAGAGATCGCAGTCAGGAACAACACCTTTAGGATAGTCGTTTCCATTCACTCTGGGGAGAAGGTAGTGAAGAAGTAGTTCTTCTTCTGAAGGCGTGAACCTGTACCCAACCGGAACTTGATAGCCACCCATACTTATTTCTTAACTAGGGTTTCTAATTAATGATGCGCAGTAAGAGAAGAACCAACTGCTGCAAGTGATGGAGCAACTAATTATTTGGGGTGTATTTATAGTGGTTGAATTTCTTGTAACCCAAGTTCAGGTTCCGAATTATTTGGGTAATTATTTTATGGACTAATCAGGGCTTGACATGTAAGGTGGATTGAGATAAATGAGCATATATACCGGGGTGTATTTTGTTGCAGATAATTATGCCAAGGAGAATAACCTAAATCCTTGATAATAAAGAACTACAAAAATTATGGTCTTAATTACCCTTTTGTGTTGTTTGTCATTGGACAAATTATAATGTTTTTATTTTGTTTTTGTTGCTTTGCTACTTGAAATAAGGAACGAAAACAAGGGCTTTTTGTTCCGAAACTTTTATTTTATCCTTATCCATAGAGAATTTTTGGTGAACATGAACTCTTACTTTCTTTTTGTTTTTATTCTTATTTGCAATTTTATGGACTATTATTTTATATATTTATATATTTAATACGAATTAGTTGTGTTTTGAAATTTTTTCCATAGATAATTAAAGATACAATTTTAAATTATTTGAAAATTAATTTAGCCATAAGGATATCGTATAGATATATAGATGCACGATGGAACAAATCCAACCTAATCCAAGAGAAAAATGTTTAATCTTTTCAATTTGAAATGAACTTGAAAAACCATAAGTATATATAATCTTTCTCTTGATACAAGTGATGGCCTAAACTACTATTAATTAATCTAATATACGGATGAGGTGACTCGAACTTGGGTACAAGTTCTTGCTCCCGATCTAAATATTTCTTCTTCTTTTTTTTTTTTTTTTTTTTTTTTTTTTTTTGGCAAAAAAGAAAAAGAAAAGGTAAAAAAACTACCCTAGGATCCAAATTGTAGTTGATTAGAGTGGCGATCCAATGGGTATAGATTCAATCCAATGGCCATTAGCATTCAGGCATTCTGATCAAGAGAATAGAGACAAACCACACGTATGATGAGGTAAAAAACGAGCCAACATTTCTTTGAAGTAAGAACACGCGTTTTTGTATAATTAAGCCCAATGAAATTTACACACGTAAATCGGAAAGACTAGTTTTGGGGCATGACGAAGGATTACCATTTAATTTGTTTATATCCTTAAAAGGATTTGAAATTAAATAAAAAAGATTGTAACCAGACATTTGTTGACATTAAAAAGATTTATTCTGGCCATGGGAGTTATTACACGCGTACAAGTCTTTGTGTATAAAATCCCATGACCATTTTGCATGTTTTATGCCAATCATAATCATATTCTATTCTGTTAGTACACACACTAAGATACCTCTCGACTCTAAGTAGGTGTTTACCACTTAATCATGGCTCTGCTCATCACAAACCAAGGCCAATCCATCTGCTTGGCCTTTTTTCTTGTGCTCATTTTGGCCTTCTGCTCCTCTCAAGCATCTTGTAGTCGCCAACTTTATGGTGAAGACAAAATCATGCTCCAGAGGTTTGAGGAGTGGATGGCTAAACATGGACGAGTGTATAAGGATGCACAGGAGAAGGAGCTGCGCTACGACATTTTCAAGTCCAATGTGGAATTTATAGAGGCTTTCAACGAGAACAAGGACCAAAGGAAGTACACACTAAGCATCAATAAGTTTGCGGATCGCAAGAATGAGGAACTTCGATCAATGCGTAATGGATACAATGTGAGGCAACATCTCTCCAAAAAAGCGTCCAACTCCATGAAAGGAACTCGAAACACTTTTTTCAAATATGAAAATGTAACCGAGGTGCCACCTTCCTGTGATTGGACTACAAGTGCTGTAACCCCGGTCAAGGACCAAGGATATGATTGTGGTAAGCATGCATGTTTAATTTTAATCTATAAGTTCATTATGTCATTAAACTATTATGTTGAATCACACATTTAAGCAATTGTACTTATTTATCATGATGTTATAGGGAGTTGTTGGGCGTTCGCAACAGTGGCAGTCGTAGAAGGGCTTAACTCTATTATAACAGGAAACTTAATTTCGCTATCAGAACAAGAGGTTATCGATTGTTCAACTAGTTTAGACGAAGATGGCTGCCAAGGTGGTTTTGTGGAGAAAGCCTTCGAATACATGATCCCACGCAACAAGAGCCTGGTAACTGAAGATGACTACCCTTACCTGGCCATAGATGAACCCGTTTGCTTGGCTGACTTCTATAACGCCCCCTCCGGTTCCAGAACTATAACCGGGTACGAGCAAGTGCCTCAAAACAACGAAAGTGCTTTGTTGCAGGCTGTTGCCAACCAACCAGTTTCAGTTTATATTGATGCAGAAGCAGAAGAGTTCAAACATTATTCGGGTGGTGTGTATACTGGACCATGTGGTACAACCTTGACCCATGCTGTTACTATAGTTGGATATGATACCACTGAGGATGATGGGACTAAGTATTGGCTGGTCAAAAATTCTTGGGGAGAAGAATGGGGGGAAAATGGATACATGAGGATTCAAAGAGACATTGATGCCAGGGAAGGACTCTGTGGCATTGCTATGGGAGCTTTTTATCCAACCGCATGACTTATCAAATGAAAGAAGCAGCTAGCAGCTGCAAATTCATACATGATCATGGGATCTTAGAGCTATAGCTTAGTATGATTAAGCATATTTATTCTTTACGTTTCTTGTTAGTTGTAAAGTTTTGTGGTTTTATTAAGAATAATGATAGTTTTCCATTACATACATATATTACTGATAGCTTGATTTCCCATCTCACGACATGTATAATTATTTATTCCATACCCCTGAAAGTGCAAATCCTGCCCATTCACATTTGCATAACATAACGTGGCCCGGCTCTTCAACACAAATTGTTGTTTCTTTTCTTCAACACAAGCAGAAACTGAAGAGAAGGTGGTTTCAATACCAACCCCCCCATCCTTAATCAGGCCGAAAATAATAACATAAACTAGGAAGAAACAAACTTGACCTAAAAAACACACTTCTAAAAAACAAGAGAAGTAAAACTCTACAAAGCCTCCACACTAAAAGCCTAATTAGCAGAGAAGTTTCCCCAAAAACCGATATGCGAAGTTGTCTTCCAGTTCAAGTCAGGGTTCAAATGGTTTTGATGTCAAAGTGTGAAGTGGGAGATAATATATATGATCAGTAAATACCGGATGCATTTCTTTGCCGCATACTTTCCTTCCTTCCAATAACATTTGACTATTGATGGGATTATTGTTCTTCTAAAGGATGTTACTTATATGATCAAGGTCTGTTAGCTTGAATTGAAGCTTGAAAACCTTGATGTCCCCAGACAAACGCTGTCTCGAATTATTGAGTTAAAGAAATTGTTGTAGAGTGAGAGGCATGCATAGCAAGAGAGGAAACGATATTTTTGAAAAAATAAATTCTGAAAAAATTCTTAAGAAATTTTGAAAAAATGTAAATACTAAAAATATAAGGAGATGTCATTGGAATTCTAAAAAAAAAGGAAGAAGAAATAAATAATGGAAAATTTGTTGCAGATGCAATGTAATGGCTATAGGGATTCATGCAATCTAAAGTAAAACAAACGCGCTTTTGCATACGTTAAAGAGTTTTTAATTTAATTTTATCAAATACGTTAAAGAGTTGGACCAAAATGGGATAGGACAACAATTTGGCCTTGACGAAGGATTACCATTAAATTTGTATATTTCCCTTTAAACTAAGGATCTGAAATTAAATAAAAAGATTGTACTCAGGTTTTGAAATTTTATATATTTTATGTTTTTGACATTAAAAAGATTAAGGCTTTTAATCACAAATTGTCCTTCAAGTTTACAAAATTATAACATTTTAGCGCTCTAAACTACAGTATATAACATTTTCCCTCCATTTCCACGGTTCCTTCTATCTATTTGGGGTTTCCAGTTGGTTCCTCCATGGTCTGATTAAGCTTATTTTTATTCTTTATGTTTTTTGTTGGTTGACAAACTGGATTTTCATCGGTTAGATATCTATGTATTGAAGGACTTTATTGTTAATTGCAAATTCTCTACTCTTATTTATAGGTAAGGGAATCTTTTATTTTTTTTGGTGTGTCTATGATAAAGGAAAAAAAAATCTATCAATATGCGTAGTGTGTGTTCGAGAGGTTTATTATTATTTTTTTTTGTTTAGAGTGGTGATTTTCCCACTCCTTTTTCTCCTATTTTATCCACTTACACTCCTTTTTTATAACTAAAAAAAGAGTGTAAGTGGATAAAATAGGAGTGGGGAAATCATTGCCCATTGTTTATTGTCGAGATGAGTTTCCCACATCAAAAATGTTAAGCCTTGGTTTAACTCATTACAAATTAGTTTTGGGCTGGATACTGTAATTCCTTTGTACTTACTTTTCTTTTCATCCTTTGGCGCTTCATGATTTGAAATTAATATATTATGCATAAGGAAATTCTTAGTTTGTGCTTGAGTTTTTGAATGATGAATACTTGTTCCTTTCATGAATACTCGCACACTTGAGCTAAGTTAATTATACCAACAAGACATTCTCATTTCATTAAATCTTTTATTCTCAGGGGCAGGGCAGCCCTCAATCTCAATGGAATCGAATAGATTCAGAGCTGCAATCTGGGATCCACCAAAACTTGTGGCTACTTGTTTGTCGTCGCACCTCAAGACTATTTGCATACGGAGATTCTGGGCACGGAAGGTTCAGATGGAAGTGGTTAAGTATTTGTTGGAGAATGGTCATCTTCTCGATAAGATGATAATAATGTATGCAGGTTATTTTCCCAGAGAAGAAGCTGAGGTGCTATACAGGGAACTAAAGATTTTCTTGTTGGTTGGCTTCAATGAATGGTCAAGTTAAATTGATCAAGATACGAGGAATTATATTTCTTGTTGGTTGTAAACTGTTGTCGTTTTATCAATGACTAATGATATAATTACTGAGTGGTTGAGTTTTAAAACAGTATAGCCACGCGGCTATACTATTTTTAAATAATAAAAACCCGTAGTACGCGCGGCTATACTCTATAAGTATATGTATGGCCGCGCGGCTATACTATTAACATAAAAAAATAAAACAGAGAGCCCGCCTAGCGCTAGCGCTAGCGCCCACGTGTCCAAAACTGTATAGCCGAATAAAAAAACCGGCTTATAGCCGCTCGGCTATACACTATAATGTATAGCCGGGCGGCTATGCTATTTCTTTGTAGCACACATAAACTACAGAGAAACAAAGGAAACCTCTACCAAGCCTCCACCCCTAAAAACCTAATTAGCAGAGAAGTTTCCCCTAAAAACCGATCAAGGCTCCATACAAAGACTGCCTTCAAGTTCAGATGTCAAAGTGTCTGGAGGGAGATAAAGATAGGATCAGTGAATTACCGGATGCACTTGTTTGCCACTTACTTTCTTTCCTTCCAACGACATGCGCCGTGAGGACCACCGTTTTGTCTAGAAGGTGGAACAACGTATGGACTTGTGTTACCAATCTAGATTTTAAAGACGAAAGAGATTTTTGGTGTAACCATGGCTGTGATTATGATCGTTTTGAGATGTTTGTTGAGCGTGTACTTTCCTTAACTGATCCATCAGACATCAAAGAGGTTAGTCTCAAGACTTATGTCGGAGACTTTGCTCGCCTTGAGGGTTGGATTTGCACTGCCGTTAGGCGTAATGTAGTTGAACTTGATCTTGAACTTTATGCTGGCAATGAAAAAGAACACACATTTGTGTTGCCTATAAGCGTTTTTAGCTGCAAAACCCTTCAGGTTTTGAAACTGTGTGGGGTAGTTACATAACTTATGCTCCTCCTCTTGCTTCAGGGTGTTTCCCAAGTCTCAAATCCCTGGAGGTTCTTCGAGTTCCTTATCCAGATAAGGGCTTAATGGAAAAGCTTTTTACAAACTGTCCTGTACTTGAACATTTGATTATTGAGGCGGTTCTTGCAGACGATGTAGCTTATAAAATCCAGGTCTCTGCGCCTCAACTGAAGACGTTGAGAATAAGTTTGCATGAACAGTATTTTATGAGCAGTGTTTGTATTGATGCTCCAAAACTTGAAAGCCTTGATTTGGAGACAGGTGCTCTCTTGAATTTTTCCTTGGATGCAAGATCCCTGATCAGTGCCAATATTCATTTACGGGACAATCGTTTTCAAGTAAACCGAGCTTCCTTTGCCAAACATGCAACTGCGCTTTTGGCAGAAATTTCCAATGTTAAAAATCTGTCACTCTCAGCTTCTCATTTAGAGGTAATTAAGTAAATACTGCCTCTTGTTTCTTTACACTGTAAACTGTATTTTACTATTGGGTAGACAAAAATGTAGAATATTGAAAGAAATTATTCGAGCAGGAATTGTTTCAATCTCTTTAAAAGTCAGAAAACTTGAATGAATGGAAAAAAGTAAATAAGGAAGGCTTTTGTGCCCCATATGCTTTCTTTGTATTCCAATTATATAAGGGAAAGAGAGATCCCCTGCCTCTTCTTAAGGAAGGTTTATTGTTCTTGTTTATGCTTTCTTTGTTTTCACAATACTATGCTATGTGCCTCTCAACTCTTGCCGATTAGTTTTGGGTTGGATATTCTGATTTTTTTTTAGTCTTTTCATCCTTTGGCACTTTGTGCTTGCGTTTTTGAATGATGAATACTTGTGTCCTTCATGAAGGTTGGGTATCTCCCCTTTTTTCATAATTTGAACCGATTGGAGGTGGTTATTCGACATCGCGATCATTGGTTATCCAGAGATAGGTGAAGGGTTTTTATAGGGGGGAAGAAGGAGGGATCCACATATTTTTATGGGAGAGATATTTTCTTTATCCTCCTAAGGTTGAATCACATTTAATGCTCTATTTCTAATCACCTTACTTCTTGACAGAGATCAGGTGACGAAGTGATAGGTGAACAAGGATGAGAGGTGTATTAAATGTTTCCTTTCTATCACCAACTTGTTTTCTCAGATATCGAAGGGTAAGGCGACACCTGTTTTAGGATGGGATGCGCACGAACCGACCTTTCCTGTTTGCCAGGTTGTTTTCATTTAATGCATCTCTAGCTAAGGCATGGTGTTGCAATGATCGGGTCGGTCTTTGAGCATCTGATCACTGGTCTCACTCCAATCTGTCACATTCTCCCTGAGTTCCTTGTTGGTCGTAGATGGTGTCATACATGATCAGCTCGGTATATAAAAGGTGTCTTCCAAGGGGCTCGGCTTACAATGATAGTATGAGCTATTAACATATGTTAACGCACTTTTTTGTTGCCTAGAATAGCGTTTTTAGCTGCAAAAAACTCAAGGTTTTGAAACTGGGTGGTTCAAGTTGTACATATATAAAAAATGCTCCTCCTGCTTCAGGGTGTTTTCCAAGTCTCAATTCCCTGGAATTATTCTTTGGATGCAAGAGCCCTCGTCAATGCCAATATTGTTTTCTGGGACCATTATCAACTCTTTTTAACTAATGTTTTTTTACGCTGTATATTGCAGTTACTTTACTCTTTGGCAGTAAAAAATATAGAACGAAAGAAATTGTTGTGGGGGTGAGGGCCTGCATGCTGGTCCATTTTCAACCTGTTCAAAGTTGGACAAGTTGAATGAATGAAATAAATTAAATGGTAATTAGGCTTTGGTTGGAAGATTCTCATTCTTTTTTCCTTTTTCTTTTTTTTCTTTTCTTTTTTTCTATTTGAATGCACAGTAATTAAGGTAGACTTGTACCCATTCCTTTCTTCGTTTTCGCAATACTATGTTATGGGCCTCTCAACTCATTGTCAATTAATTTGGGGATGAATATTCTACTTTTTTCACTTATGCCGACAAATAATTTGGCACAGCTTTTGGTGGATCCCATTGAAGCTCTTCATCTTCTTCATTCAATTGAAAGATTCCCTGACAATAAAAGATTTAATGAAATTATGAGAATGTCTTGTTGGTATAATTAAATTAGCTCAAGTGTGTACACATCTTACTTACATCTTCCAATAAGTAAAGATCTTCCAAATTAGGTGCTTTGTCCAGCAACGCTGCTATTATGCAAGTTATTTTTGGCGTACACTAGATGTAGGGAGTGCACTTCTGATGTTTAATAGGGCTTCAATGACTTGTCAAGTTGAATACAACAGGAAAAATTGATGCTAAGGCAGCTGCACTAGATGTAGTTGGCCAAAGTAATGACTTGTCAAGTTATTATTGGCGTGGACTAGATGTACGGAGTGAACTTCTGAGGAAATATTTTTGCCTCTAGAGATTGAATTACACTCTATTTCTGCCTCAGTGTCCTTTGAGCATTTATTTAGTAGTGTTTCTTCATCTCGATCTTCCTCTTGAAATTCTTATCTAATACGGACAGCGTTGGATCCCATGAGTTCTTTTTTTTCTTTCTCTTTCTTTTTTCTCTTGGGGCTAACATTGTCATACAATTAATTATTTGCAGTTTCCTGCCATAAAGAGTTGTACACATGCTTCTCTAACCCAACTCAATAATAAACATGAGAATAATCACCAATTCATTCAGTATCCACTACTAGAAAACTTCTATCTATGACTAAAGGGACTTGGCCACGGAATGACCACAAATCACATAATTGTTGTCCAAGTATAGTGTTACTATTAATTTTATACCACAACAAAGAGTGTATGTGACCTATAAGTGGCAGATCCCACTTAATTCTCAAAGGGCTTCAAATACTTGTCATGTTGAGTTCAACGATACTACATTACAACGCAGCACAGAAATAGCATTAATCCCTTAAATGAAGTTGTTGTACGAAAGTAATTAATCCCCTAGAAATTGCTAATAATTGTTTTATTTCTCATAAAATTGTATACCAATTCCTTGCTTTTCTTTTGAAACCTAAAATTTTACCGTATTTAAGAAAATAAAATTAAAATTCCTTTGATCCTTTTACCGTATTTAAGAATAATGGAAAATTTGTAATGCTTTCGATTTCAAATGTACAGATGGGCTAACAATGCTTTGACCTTCTTGCACTTAAAAAACAACAATGCCTTGAGATTTTTTTTTCTTGGGGCTAACGTTGTCCTTTGCTCAGTCATACATGATTGAATCATATGCATTTTCCTGCCATAAAGAGCTGTACGCAAGCTCCTCTAACCCAACTCCATAACTAACATGACAATAATAGTCATCAATCCATTCAGAATCAGCAGCTGGACAATCCATCTCATACTCACAACAAGAAGAATCCATATACCAATTCATGTCATCGCTTGGTGAGCAAGCCACCTGATCCACATCAAACCATCCCACCCGATCAAAATCAACTGATGATGACACTGAGCATTCCTGACCATCCAAGCCTCCTACAACGTTCCACAAGTTACCATCTTCCACATCTTGGACTGTCGATTCGGAGTCCATTGTGCTTGGAATGTTGACTAATTCTGCCTCCAGAGATTGAATCACAATATTCAACCTCTCCTCATCTCGATCTTCCTCTTGAAGTTCTTCCAATAAGGACATGAGAATGGCACCGTTGGATCCCATGAGTTCATCAACTCCCAAATCATCATCATGATCATGGTCGTTCAAGCTTGCATAGTTTCTGATCAGTGCGGTGCTAGAACCCATTTTCACAAAAGAAGTTTTTGTTGTCTTTGTAGAGGAAACAATTGAAGCAAAGAAAGGCTTGAAGGAAAAAGCCAGTTGCTGAAGAAGTGAAAGTACTCCTTAAAGATTGTATATTGCTATATGACTCTCTCGAAGAGAACTAGCTAGGCCTTTAAATATAGGCATCTCACCACTAGGATGACCTTCCATTGTGGACCAGCCAATGATGTGCACATGAGCAAATAAATAATAATTGTTTTCTTACCAAAGCATTTTCATGTTAATATTTGCCAGACTCTTAACATGTTATTATAATTGTTTAATTTAATTATGCGGGTTATAGTACTTGAAGTTGTGATTCGAATTGACAGTTTAATAATATAACATGTTATGTATATATTAAAATTAGCACGTTATGTGGTCAAACTACCAATCTAAACCATTGATATATTAGCATGATATGATTTTTCGTTAAAATATATTAACAATCTGACAATATAATATAACGTAAGATGCATAATATAGAGTAGACCACTTCCAAATTTGTACCACTAAAAAATGTCCCATTGTCGAGTCTTAGCCCTTTCCAGCTTTCAAAGCAACCACACAAATGCGATATCCATAGCTATAATAATGCATGCATTGAATATGCCCCAAACAAGGTACTGCAGAAGAACAGAACGTCAGAACATATCTTCACTGACGGATCACCAAAGAACAATAATAAAGCAATAAGGGTGGTCAGAGCTGTGACTTGCACCATACCAAATGCTTACACGAGGGGATACATTTTTTTCGATTCGTTGCTTTAGTGATGTGAGGTTTGAGAGGCTCTTGATGTTTCAATTTCCACTTGAATAATTCATATATAGGAACTATACATAATTGATAGATGTTACTAATTTTAATCAAGAATCTTTCCAAGTGGGGCATCGAATTATATTTGATATTGAACATTTAACATCTCCATCACGTGTTGATGTTGGGTTTTCTTTTGACAAACATTGGATGAGTGATGAACAAGTGGCTTCGACATAAATAATAATGAGGGGTTGATGCATGCCCATTTTTCTTTTTTTCTTCCAAATCTTGCTTTGCAGCACATGGTGCCACCACAACATGTTTGGTGGTGTTGAGAGAGATTTAGATCCCAATGTTTATACTAGTACTTGTAAATTATAAAATGGAGGGTGGGTGAATGATCCCCACACCATGTGGTTATGTCCTTTGTCCACCAAATTATAATGGACCAACTTTTTTGAGATCCCCTATCGATTTCCATTCATCTTTGCTGTGGTATGTGAATAAGAGTTGGAATTAATTGTAAGCAACGCATGCGCCTTCCTTTCATGACAGGAGTACAAAATGTGCCAATGCATGAAACTACAATAATGTAATCAATTAGGTTTTCTTGTTTCACTCAAAAATTCTAATACTCGCAATCTCTTGTAATCCTCCATTCTACGTGCATTGTATAAACTAAACAATAAAAAAAAAAAAAAAAAAAAAAAAAATAAGATACGAGGTTTCAAGTTTCTAACTAAATGGTTAAAAACATTCATCTATACATCTGAAGTCATATATTTTCGATTTTCCTCTTTCATATAACTTAGTTTTAAAAGAAATATATTTTTTTTAATACATTGAGGGCGAGTTGTTCACATCCCTTTTTAGCCAGAAAAAATCATAATTCAAGCTACATTTTTTTTTTCCTGAATTCTTTAATAATTTTTACCTGAATACTATTTTTCCAATTACTGTTGTCATTGCTCACACAAACGGCCAAATTTCCTTAAACCACACACAAGCACGATTAATTTTGGCCACATATTATGTTTGTAATGTAAAAAATAGAACACAATGACGTGATATATACTTATTTGTGGCGACTTTACCATGAAAACACTGTGACCTTTGTTAGTACCAGCGTCAAATCATATGTGATCCATTTTCGATGTGTTTTCTAGTACTAATATTCCAACTTCCTTCTATAGTAGGGGAGGTCCTGGAGTGGGGCAAGTGGTGCCACTGCATAGTGCTCCCGAAATTTTGTTTTCTTTGTATTATATAATATTAATATGATAACAATCATATATATACTCTAGCGTGCTACATATTGACAGAAAAGCGTTTGTAGCGGAGCTAGCTTTCTAGCTCATGTCACTAGATACAAGGGCTCTGCTTCGAGTCTCGTTATAATTATTATATACGATTGTTTTGGGGATATATAACCATTTTTATTTTATTTTTGAATTTGATTTCTGATTTCTGATTGTCAATACATGCTAATTTATGACGAATTAAGATATTAAGTTATGAATTTTTTTTAAAAGTATTTTCATGTTTAAGTTTCCCACAGATCCCTCAAAATCTCATGAACGGCCCTGTTCGACAGCTATTCCTAAAGTGTGATTAAACATATTGGCTAGCAATTTGCTTAACCTTTGGGTCACACACACGACATGATGCATATGTATCCAAAAAATTAAAGAAAAAGTAGGGCAAGTTGGATAAAAACGAATTAGACAAAATTAAATTTCAAACTGGTTGTGTTAAAGGTATTGTTGAGATTGCATTCTGTCATCTCAAAGCATCTTATTCTTGATTAAAGTTACGTTTTCTTGGGTAAATCCACAAGTAAAACTTTTTTTGTATTTAATTAGTTGTTAGGGATTTGGCAAGGCCAATTGTGCTTTCTTTCAAATAAAGATATCGATCGATTAATTATCTCTTGATGATCTCTCAACTTGTAAATTTTTTTTTTTTTTTTTTTTTTTTTTTTTTTTTTTTTTTTAATTAATAATAAGAGATTAAGATTTTGAGACGAACAACTTTGTAGAGTTTGCAAATAAAATGTTACGTGCTAATTAATATATAAAGCCTCAACTATACATTCATCCTTGTATTAATATATGTTTCCTGCCACAAATTCTGAAACCCATTTTCCTCAAAGGGAGTGGTCGTAGACCCTCCAAAATTACTAGACGAGCAATCGATCTCATCATCAAGACAAGAATCCATGAACCAGTCAACTGATTCACCAGTACCCTCCTGAGAAGAAGACCCTATTTCCATATCAATCCAACCGAACCCAGCTGCATCTGTTCCAGGGAAATCACCACCGCTCACATATCCCACATCCAATGGCCGAAAATCCTCTTGACTAATGCCACCAAATTGATGAGGATTTTCCATGAAAATTTCATGATCTTCACTAGTAGTAGGGTCCAGTTCTACTTCTAGAGCACGGATTAGGCTGCGCAATCGCTCTTCGTCGTGATCCTGATCGCCTTGTGTTTCTTCCAACAAGGACATGAGCAGGGCATTGCTCATGTTTGATGAGGTTCCAGCTCCAGCTGCTCCGGGAAAGTGATCATTCATGTCCATGTTGTTGTTCATGCATGACCAGTTTTCAGCTAGCAAAGAAGCCATTTGGACAAGAGAGATATTCAAATTGATTAGAAAAGAAAGAACTGAGGAAATGCAAACTGCAAGTGTAGAACTCAGAAGCTATTACGCCTAAATGGCTTTGCAAGTGGTGGTGTGGTAAAATTAAACGAGTCAGGGGCCTTATATAAGTAGGAGAGTCGTGTTATGTGGCATATTCCAAGGAAGACAATTTATCATAAAATAGACCCACCATCACTTATCTTCTTTATAAAAGATATATGCCTTCATTTTAATTTAAAACCTTGGTGTGTTGGAGGGACTTTGAAACATAAAATAAAGTTCTAGATAGTATTGTCTATAGTATTTTTGCTGACTTAATATAATAATAAGTACATGTTTATTAGGTTAGAGAAACACTTTTGTAGTGATTCTTAGGAAAGCGCTTACAAGGAACCTAAAAAAGCACACGTACATCTTTAATAAAATTCTTTTATGAGTTTTTAACAAACAAACAAAAAAACGTTACTTTTGGTGTGACAGTTACATCGCCACGTGATATTACCATTTTACGCATATCATCGTAACTCATGTTTTGTTTTGTGATATTAATCTTTGACCCATATTATAACATGTGAACTAACAACTTTATGTGGTGGTATCACGGTCAAATTCAATGATTTTTTGAGAAAGATACCGTAGAGTGAGAAATTTTACTTATCTTGTCAACCCAACTATCCTATTTGATTTATATATTAGAACTCATTATTGTTTATTTAAATTATTTTAATTGATCCCCCACTTAGATAAGAGAAACGATTATCTCAAGCACACTCGAGGGCTATTAGTCAAAGATTTGGTTGGAGGAAGATGCTGAAGAAGGCATGGATTAGGATCCCAATTAGCTAGATTAGTAAAATATGATTGACCATCCAATACGCTAAGGTGCATGTGGCGCCACCACATCACTTTAGGTGGGATTTAGATCCCCAAATCCCCTCATCCTCCATTAGTGGGTTGTGAATGAACCCCCACCCAAAGCGATATGCTTCCCGACAAGACACCAACACAAGGCACCAGCCCAATAAAGCCTAATCATTCTGATTAATTTAACCAATATTATTATTAAGCAGCTCAATTATTCGTAATCTTGATTTGCCATCCATCCACCTACTCCTCTAAATCAAGAAAGGTCTAATTTATGGTTGAAGGGTTTAGTCTGCCAGAATTGAAATTTGATGCTAAAGCAAGCAAATAATGAGTAACTTACATATCTTCGTTATGTTACTAAAGTGTTCTACCATTGAAGTTATACGTTTTCGCAGCTCATCCGGATTTGGTTTATTCAACATGTGATGTGACTAATACTCTTTTATTGACAAACTCAACGAAGGACATAAAGAGGAATGGATAGTAGTAGAAATATAATAAATCAAACATTGGGGTAATTAAAATCATTAGACTAACCCACCTAAAAAACATCACTAATTGATTAGATAAGCAACCAGATCTTATGTATGCGCATGTTCTTTCTGTGCAATGCATGCATGAGGTCCAAAAATATGTTGATATATAAAGAAGATGGCCTGGTGGGATGTATTTACATTTGGAAATTTTCAACAAAAAGAAAAATTAATTATTTTATTAGAGTTATTTACTCAAATGGTCCTTAAATTAATACCCGAGTTGCATTTTGGTCCCTCAATTAAATTATTTGTTCAAATGGTCAACCAAACTCTTTATTAATCGTTGCATTAGTCCTACCGTTACACTCCATCAATATTGCCGTTAATTTAAGAGTTAAAATCGTCAATCTATACTAAAATATTTATTAATTAATTAAAACATAGGTAAGGGAGGACGCAGAGAGGGTGGGCTGGGGCTGGTGGTGGGGGTGGCTCTACCTCCTTCTCTTCTCTCATTATGGAGAAAACATAAATTTCTTAATTCTCTTAATAAAGAATAGATAAAAAAAACAAGTGATAAATAAAAACAAGAAATATTCCCTTTATCTTATCCCACATCTATCCTACAGTGCAACAAAAGAGAAACTACTTTTTTCTTTTTTCCATTTTTGCAACTCCAAGGAGAGGAATCCAATACCATAAATTGATCAAGGCACCCATGTGCCTTCTCCCTCAATCCTCTGCTCCCATTTCTTATGATTTAGCGGTGCAACAAGCCAACTCCACCATTGTAACCTGTCATGAAGCTTAACACGTGCCGCCACCTTGGCCATCGAAGTCAGACAAGTCATGTTTGAATGAAGTTACCGTCACTGTCATCTTTCCCACGCCGACTAGTTGTCTTCCGACGCTGTTGTCAGTTGGTTGTACAAGGAGGGAAGAAGAAGAAGAAGAAGAAAGGAAACGAAAACTCCACTACGAAAAAGTTGCATTTATCCTTCCTATTCTCCTCATGTGCAATTCACATGACTAAAACTCACAAAGAATGTAACGGTGAACCAATTCATCAAACAGTCAAAAGTTGGTAGACCATTTGAACGAATAATTTAATTGAGGGATCAAAATACAACTCGGGTATAGGTTTGAGGACTATTTGAGTAAATAACCTATTTTATTAAGTTTTAACCCAAACTCTGATATTAATCGGGTCAGAATTTTTAAGCCCATTCAAATTCCTGGGTGTAGAAAAATGTCTGCAGACCCATGGAAACAAAGGGGTTGGGCTTTTTGGGCAAGTCGTCTAGTTCAATTTGATTAGCATGAACTTTACTTTTGCCCATCTGATTGATACAAGTTTGCTAATTGAGATATGTCAAACTAAAACATGCCAACAAAACTCAAACCAACTACCCTTTTCTATAAGCGCTTGCCTAATAAGATTCACTGCTCGTACTTGTCTACTGAAGCAGGTTTTAAACACCAAAACGTGTCCAAAACCAGAAAAGCCAGCAGCTTTCTTGTTTACTGCAATTCCCAAATCACTCAAAGTGGAAGAAATGGTGATATCAAACAAGCAGAGTCAGTATTCAATCGTATGCCGAAGAAGAATACTATTTCCTGGACTGCTATGCTCACTGCATATGCTGAAAATGGCCAAACTACCAAAGCACGTAAACTGTTCGATGAAATTCCCGAACGAAACGTAGCGTCGTATAATGCGATGATCACAGCTTATATTAGGGACCAGTGTATGGTAGGTGAAGCTTTTGAGTTGTTTTCTAGGATGCCCGAGCGTAATGAGGTGTCTTATGGTGCCATGATCACGGGTTTTGTAAAGGCGGGGATGTTTGACAAGGCTGAGAAGCTTTACTGTGATATGCCAGTTAAGTTGCGCGAACCGGTTTGTTCAAATGTTTTGATAAATGGGTATTTGAAGGCGGGAAAATTTGAAGAAGCAGTTCGAGTTTTTGAGGGAATGGTAGATAGCAATGTGGTTTCTCAGAGTTGTATGGTTGATGGGTATTGCAAAATGGGAAGGATTGTTGATGCTAGAAGTTTGTTTGATAGGATGCTGGAGAGGAATGTGGTTACTTGGACGGCAATGATTAATGGGTATATGAAGATGGGGAATTTCAAAGCGGGGTTTGAATTGTTTTTGAAAATGAGAAGGGAAGGGCTAGTGGAGGTCAATAGCACTACTATGGCTGTACTGTTGGAAGCTTGTGGTAGTTTTGGTAGATATGGAGAAGGGATTCAGATGCACGGGTTAGTTTCTTGTATGGGATTTGACTATGATGTGTTTTTAGGAAATTCTTTTATCATTATGTATAGTAGATATGGATGTATAGATGAAGCTTCTAAGATATTTAATATGATAAGCAAGAAAGACATTGTTTCCTGGAATTCCTTAATTGCTGGTTATGTTCAATGTGGTGAAACTGAAAAAGCTTTTAGGCTGTTTAAGATTATGCCTGCAAAGGATGTAGTCTCATGGACAACCATGATGTCAGGATTCTCTAGCAAAGGGATGACTGAGAAAGCCGTCCAATTGTTCAGAATGATGCCTGAGAAGGATGATGTTGCTTGGACTGCTGTAATTTCGGGTTTTGTAAATAATGGGGATTATGAGGAGGCTCTCCGTTGGTTTATTAAGATGCTTCAAAAGGCAATCAGGATCAATCCTCTAACTTTAAGCAGTGTGCTCAGTGCTTCAGCAAGTTTGGCCAGCCTAAATGAGGGGATGCAGATCCATGCTCTTTCATTGAAGATGGATATGGAATTTGATTTATCTGTTCAAAATTCTCTGGTATCTATGTATTCGAAGTGTGGGAATGTTACTGATGCCTATTGGATCTTTACAAATATCTCTACCCCCAACACTGTTTCATTCAACTCAATGATTACTGGGTATGCACAAAATGGGTTTGGGGAAGAGGCGCTTAACTTATTTAGGAGCATGCAGAATGAAGGTTGCAAGGCAAACCAAATCACCTTTCTAGGTGTTCTTTCAGCATGTGTCCATGTGGGCCTAGTAGAAGAAGGATGGCAGTTTTTTAATTCAATGAAATCATTACACGATATAGAACCAGGACCTGATCACTATGCTTGCATGGTTGATCTCCTTGGTCGGGCTGGTTTGCTAGATGAAGCTGTCGATTTGATTCATTCAATGCCGTTTGAGCCCCATGCCGGGGTTTGGGGAGCTCTTCTCAGTGCTAGCAGGACTCATTTATGTCTTGATCTTGCCCAGCTTGCAACTCAGCGCCTAATTCAATTGGATCCTGATGATGCAACCCCTTATGTGGTCTTGTCCAACTTATATTCTACTCTGGGGAAAATGAATGATGGAAACCAAGTGATGATGACCAAAAAATCAAAGGGGATAAGGAAGAGTCCAGGCTGCAGCTGGATCATAGTGAAGGACAAGGTTCATTTGTTTCTTGCAGGAGATCAATCCCATCCGGACTTACAAGAGATCAAAGTAATGCTCTGGATCATAACGATGGAAATCGGACCGCTGGATAGATGATGATCCTTTCAAATGTTCACAGTACAGATAGTAATATTATCCATCTTACCAACTATCAGGGGTTTCCCTCAGCTCTTAAGCTCAGTAAATGGGAACTGTGAGGCCTTGTTTGGAGGGAAACCGGGGTTTGTCGGAGCTTTGCCTTGACTTGTTTTAGGAATTGGAGACTTGGAGAAAATGAACACACAAAAAAGGAGAAGTAAAAGAGATTATTATATCTTGTTAGAATGAAAATGATCTGCTTTCCTAGACTTGGTTGGGTGAGGGGGATACTCTGGTATGGTTTTGTGGCAAGATATCTCTTCTTCTGCATCCACAAATAGCAAAGGCAAATAAGAGCCAACACTAACACAAGCATTGCTTGCTGCGTTCTCTAAGAAAGATATGAGTAATGTTTTCATTTTGATAATTAAAACTTATCAAATGATTTCTTTCTTTCTTTTTGCTATGAGGCTTTTTTCGTTTATAAATTATATATACAAAGCAGGCTCAAGCGCTAAGTTGTATATACTATATAATAACATGTTGTCTATTTCTACATAAAACTATTATGGGAAAAAAAATACCCCTGGAGTAGCCAATTTCTTGGTCTGCTGCCTAGAAAAGTCAATTGCAGAAGCGTTTTTCAAACAACCAGAAAAGCTTTCCCTTTTTTTTTCTTTTCCTTTCAAAGAAATATACTCTCCCTCCAATTGTAAAAGGCCATCACATTCGACCCCCCCAAAAAGAAAAAAAAAGAGGCATCACATTCTCTTAAAATTTCCCCACATCACAATAAATTACTTTTTATTTTATTATTTTTGTTTTCTCCAACAAGATCAACTTTCTTCTAACAAATATGCGATATGAACAAGAAGTAAGAAGCCATTTTTATAGAAAAACCTAACCAACTAGATATATAATTTTGTTGATCAACCTAATCTGTACAAGATTGTAAAATATAAACCTCTAACAAAATAGTAAAAGGAAAAATATTACTGTATCCCTGATCAACAGCCCCCTCCGCCTCCACACCCACCACCACCTCCTCCTCCTCCACACCCACCGCCCCCCCAACTGGCACCGGCACTAATTAGGATAACTGTAGTTGCCAGGCCAACATTGCTGTGGTCAGCTCCTTGACCCGATGGAGGCGTGACGGTTTGTTCCTTGTTGGCAGTAAGGCAGCTGGCCAAAATACATAGTAAACACACAACAACAGACATAACGGCTAAGACAACAACTGATTCCATCGTCTCTCGACAAATTTACATATAGAAAAAGGGTATGTCGCGAACTCTTTATATATACATATGTTGCATGTTGTAATAACGTTCTTATCCAACTAGGGTTTGGTTCACAGTTACTATGGGGTTGTCAGAATCCAAGTAAGACTAGAATTCAATTAGTACTAGTTTTGGTGCCTTAAGGATTGTAATAAGAAATTATCATAAACCTTCAACAACTAGCTCCCACCACCACCACAACCTCCACCGCCACAACCGCCACCGCCACAACCTCCACCCCCACAACCACCACCGCCACAACCTCCACCCCCACAACCGCCACCGCCACCACTAGTTACGACAGATGTAGTAGCCACAGCAACACCAGCTCCAGCCAAAATAACCATGCCACCATCCTTGGTTCTGCTACTGCTTTGATTAGTAACTCCGCCTCTTTCAACGTCGCCACGGTTAGCTGGTTGACCAGAAGGAGGCACCATGGTGGCTCGTCTTGTTTGGTTGTTCTTGTTCTTGTTCTTGTTCCTGCAGCAAAAAACAACACACGTGAAACAAATAACAACCCCAATCGCAGAGCCACAGGCCACTAGTGCTATAGCATACGCTTTCATTTTTTCACAAGTTTTACACATAGAAAAAGGGTAAGTGGCGCACTATTTATATCCCCATATTGCATCATCTTAATTGGTTGGACTTTAGATATTTTCCGGCCGCATTTTGTGCGGAACATAATGAATACTTGACTCTTCGGTGCATAGAAATTTCTTGGCATCTATCATACAAGCACAGAGCTATTATAAGAATTATGCACGAAGGTTCACATTTTTATTATTACTATTATTTTCATAGAAAACCTAGCGGGCAACTTATTTGAAACCTCCTCTCATAGACATTCCACACTGGAGAATATTTTGAAGTTTTAGGTTTACCTGATTGAGATAGATAAGACACCAAATATAATTATTATCTAGAGTGTTCCTATTTCAACCCCTTTTCTATTTCCACCCCCTTGCCAAACGCAAGAGTGATGGAGAGGATTAGGGATTAGAGAGGTTCGATATTGATGATCGAAGAAAAGGGGAAATTTTGTTTTAAAAGATAATAAAAACAAGTACTAGAGGTCATCAAATTGGCAGTCCCGTTATCTAGAGGTCATCAAATTTTGTGATGATTTTCTTATGTTGTAACTGTTTGTCCCTGTGCTTCAGTGCAAAGTTAATTAGTACTTGCAATCACTAATCTTTGCTGTTGTACCTTTTGATGTTGGGTTATTCCAGGGTGAATATGGGAAGTTGTCCATTCAAAAATTGTATACATAAAAGTCTTATTAGTGATATTGACTTACAAGCAGGGCCTGAAAGCCCCAAAAGCAAACCTATAGGCTATAACACAACGTTTTATCCCAATGGGGATGAATAATATTTTCATTCAACTTACAAGCTCTCACTCAAATAATATAAATACACGTACGTACCTATAGAAAATTACTATATCATCCACCCTGATCAACAGCCCCCACCACCTCCTCCTCAACACCCACCAACACCTCCTCCTCCACCACACCCACTACCGCCCCCAAAACCGCTGCCGCCACCAACAAATGGGGAGGAATAATATTTTCATTCAACTTACAAGCTTTCACTAAAATATAAACACACGTACCTATAGAAAATTACTACATCATTCACCCTGATCAACAGCCCCCCCCCCCCCTCCTCCCCACCCACTACCGCCCCCAAAACCGCTGCTGCCACCACCAAATGGGGAGGAATAATATTTTCATTTAACTTACAAGCTTTCACTAAAATATAAACACACGTACCTATAGAAAACTACTATATCATCCACCCTGATCAACAGCCCCCACCACCTCCTCCTCCACACCCACCACCACCAAAACCCCCACCTCCTCCTCCTCCTCCACACCCACCACCTCCCCCAAAACCGCTGCCGCCGCCACCCCCGCAACCGCCACCACCTCCCCCCCCAACCGCCGCTAGTTACGATATCTGTGGTAGCCACAGCAGCACCAGCTCCAGCTCCAGCTCCCAAAATAACCATGCCACCACCCTTGTTTCCTCTGCGGCTTTGATTAGTACCTCCGGCTCTTTCAACATCGCTGTGGTTAGCTCCTTGACCCGAGGGAGGCATGACGGTTTGCTTTTTGTTATTAACTGCACGGAAGAAAGAAAGGACCCAGGAAATACCTATAAAAGCCCCAACGACAGAGACAACGGCTACGATAGCTATTTCAAATGATTTCATCTCTTCACAATTCTACATCTAGAAAACGGGCATGTAGCGCACTCTTTATATTTTGATATTGCGTATATGTTTGGAATTGGACCATGTCCGAAACTTTGTAGCTACGTTTTGTATGGAAGTGGCGCACTATTTATATCCACATATTGCATCATCTTAATTGGTTGGACTTTAGACATTTTCCGGGCGCATTTTGTGCGGAACATAATGAATACTTGACTCTTTGGTGCATATATATTTCTTGGCATCTATCATAGAAGCACAAAAAAAACAAGGATTAATTTCAGTAAAATAAGAAATTATCATGCACACCATCAACAACTAGCCCCCCCAACCCCCTCCACACCCACCACCCCCATAACCTCCACCGCCACCACCACCACTAGTTAATTACGACAGATGTAGTAGCCAAAGCAACACGAGCTCCTGCCAAAATAACCATGCCACCATCCTTGGTTCTGCTACTGCTTTTATTAGTAACTCCGCCTCTTTCAACATCACCGTGGTTAGCTGGTTGACCGGAAGGAGGCACCACGGTGTTTTTGTTCTTGTTCTTGTTCCTGCAGCAAAAAACAACACACGTAAAACAAATAACAACCCCAATCGCAGAGCCAGGCTACCAGTGCTATAGCAATCGCTTTCATTTTTTCACAAGTTTACACATAGAAAAAGGGTATGTGGCGCACTATTTCTATCCACATATTGCATCATCTTAATTGGTTGGATTTTAGACATTTTCCGGGCACACATTTTGTGCGGAACATAATAAATTACTTGACTTTTTGGTGCATAGAAATTTCTTGGCATCTATCACGCAAATGAATTTTGTATGAAAATTAATTTTCTTTTAATGACTAGCACTCATGACTTTATTTTTATGATCATCAATTAATTAATCATTAAGTTTGGCAAAAAAAATATTAATTAATCATTAAGAGTTGAAAAAATAGGCATGCAAAAGAATTTATTTTTATGAAAATTAAGTTATTTGACCACAATGACCTTTTTTTCTTCTTCTTGGGGAGTAAATTTCACAAATTGGAGGAGATCGAGTTGTGATTATCATAAAGAATCAGAAATTAAATATCAAATGTGTAATATTTAAATGGCAATTAGGCAACAGCAAACATGTAATGATACAAAACGTTGTACTATAATACGTTTATTTATACTTCAAAATCAAATTAAGCACATGCTTGATCTGTGATGGATCAACTGATATGCAAGTTGTGTGACAAACAAATAATTCAGCCCACCATAACAAAACAAGCCAAGTTTCTGAAATGCCTCGTTGATTTTATTCTCCAAATAACAATAAATTTTATTTTTATTTTTATTTAAAAAAAAACAGAAAATTAGTGTACAACATCTAATCAGCTCCACAACCACCACAACCTCCGCCACAGCCCCCGCAAGCACCACCTTCGCCATCACAGCCACAACAACTACCTCCGTTAGGCTCACTAGTTACGGCGGCTGTAACAGCAGCAGTAGCAAAAGCGGCACCGGCCCCTACCAAAATCACCATGCCACCATCTTTTGTTCCATTAGTCCTGCTTTGGCGATGAACAGCTTCACCTCCTTCAACATCGCCGTGACCTTGTTGAGCCGGAGGCGGCATTATGCTTTGCATGACGGTGGATGACCTTCTGGTCATTTGCTTCTTCTTGTTGCCTCCGATGCAAACAAAACACAGACATATAACGGCAGCAGCGGCAACGACAGCCCCGAAGGCTATGAGGGTTATAGCATATGGCTTCATGATTTCTTTTTACATATGGAAGGAGGGAGTTTATAGCACACTCTTTATATCTACATATTTTGTAAGCTTGGGGTTGGAAGTTGGAAACCATGCTTCAGCGTTTTTGTGCGGAAGCTTACAAGTTGGCATTCTTTACTAACACTTGTTTTTGTTTTTGTTCAAGGAAGGAATGTCAAGATTAGAGTCTCCGACAATGGATGCTGAAATAAGAACACTATTGAAGATTTGAAAAAACAAATTAATATTGGAGCTATAATAAGCCCCACGGTGATGATTTTATATTGGACCATATAGAAAAAAACTTCAGTATATTACAGTTTTATCCCTTCATTTGGATTGTATAATGGGAAGCAAGCAGGCTTGCACCTAGAAGTACCAAAAGGTCCCTACAAAAAGTCTTTGACTCCATTAAAACAGTTGTGGATAAGGGTTTGTTGAGAGGAGCAGTTAACAAGGTTGGAGACGAGGACCAGGTTTAGTGTAAGTTTTACAATAATTGATACTGTGAGGGCCAAGAAAAATTTAATACAAATGAATAAACTCTTAATCCATTTTAATGTCTCAAATCCATTGTTAGTACGGAGATATTTAATGTTTGATTACCCCTACCCAAATCATTTGTATAAAAATAAACATAAAAAATGCAACATCAACATCCTCCTCCACCCACCCCCACCCCCACCGCCTCCTGCCCAACCCCTGCCACCGCCAACATCACTAGTTATGGTGACTACAACAGCTGGAGTACCCCAAACAACACCGGCTCCTGCCAAAATATCCGTCCCACTCATGAGAATGTGAAAGTAAAAATGTCTCGCATTGGAAAGTTAGAATACCTTGTAAGGGCTTATAAGGAGTTGGACTACGCCATGAGGAACATCACCACTAGCTGTTGTGCCTGCCGTGGCTGCCATGGCCAAAACAACACCAGCTCCTGCCATAATAACCATCCCACCGTCCTTAATCGCTCGTTTGCTTTGCTTTTTATTCTTTCTCTTGTGTTTGTCACAAAGGCTGCACACATACGTGACTCTAGCAATTATAAAGCCGCACACTATGAATAACTTCCAAGCATATTCTACTTTCATTTCTCTTCAAAATTTTACCAGCGTGATGATAAAGTAATTATTATATAAACTTTAGGAAGGATGCGTGAAATTTCTTCTATAAGAGTAAGTTGGCTTTTTGGTGCATTGAAAAGGAATTTGTAACCAGGAGTGGCCTTGGCATGGTACAAGTGGCGCCACCGCACAGGGCTCCCAAATTTTTTTTACTTTATATTATATATAATATTATAAAAACTGTATATATACTACAGCGTGCAGCACATTGACACAAAAGTGTATTTAATGAAGCTGGTTTTTAGTGCATATCCCTTGGTACAAGGCTTAGGTTTGAGTCTAAAAGCTTTCTTCCACTCAAAACAAAACCAAAGAAGAAAATATTCATGTCTTCTTCTTTCTCTTAAACTCCTTTTTTAACCGAACATACTAATATTTAACTTTATTAAATAAAAACATTAAAAAATTTATGAATTTGATTTGTGATTGTTATTATATGCTAATTGATGATGAATTTTAATTTTTTAAAAAAATTGGTTTATGACATTAAGTCATAATTTTTTTTAATTTATTTAGTATTTTCATATTATATTATATAAGGGCTCTAGTTTAAATTTTACATAAGGCCCTCAAAATCTCAAGACCTTGAACCTTAATGCACCAAAAAGCCTTAAACTACACATTCAGATACCAAAGAGTTGATTCTTCCTTTTAAAAAATTGGGAATGTTGTTTTTGCTCTTGCAATGGTTTAATGTGAAATACTTTATTTTTATTTACACTTCATTTTACAGATATATATTCCAAACAACTTATTCTAAGAAACTTGTGACGTTTGATTTCTTCAAAAACAAATAGGAAAGCTTTTGAAGTTTGACCAAAAAAAAAACAGGAAAGCTTTTGCAGTAACAGAGCATATAAATAGAGAACCTTTTCCAATCAGTAGGGTACGGAAAGGAAATTCCTAGAAGCTTTTCTTCTTCAGCTACATTACTTCGGCTCTGCCCATCAGGACCAAAATTTGTAAGTCCCTAAACTTTCTCTTTCCTTCTTCTGGGAATTTTTTTAGAGCTTTTTTGTCAGCTAAAATTATGGGTTTGGCTTTAGTATTTTTTTCCCTGATGGGTTTTGATTTTTTTTTTTTGGGTTTGGTATGAATAATATGACGTTTAGGGTTCTTTTTGCTCTGTTCTTTTAGTACTCTGCTTTAAGAACAGCTCCCCTGTATATTTTTTCTCAATTAGTGCTGAGTTTTGTCTCTATTGCTTTTCTCAGTTGCAAGACATGGATAACATACAAGATATCACACAAGGGATACATGAATTGAAATTTGAAGCGATGGCACATTCTTTTCCTGAGGAAATCATACAAGAGATCCTAATTAGGCTATCCGTTAAATCTCTGATAAAATGCACTTCAGTCTGCAAGGCATGGAGGTCCATGATCATAAACCAAAGCTTTATTCATGCCCACCTCAACCCAACAGTGGACTTTGCTAACCAGAATGACATTGACCTCCTCCTACTCCACAGAATTTCTGGTAGCAAAAGCCTCAACTACCACCAAAACACGGTCGTTCACAAGGTGAAAGACGAGGTTCACTCTGTGCATCATGATAACCAGGCGTTTGATGTGTACTCCAAGATCGAATTTCCAATTGCCGCAAAGAAAAACTACGGCAATTCACATCTTCGTGTGGTTGGCACTTGTGATGGGCTAATTTGCCTTGCGGATGATGTCCCCTCTTATGCTTACAACTTCATTATATGGAACCCAACCATTAAAAAGTCAGTGAGCCTTCCCATGCCTGGTATTACCTTTCAGACGCATGGTGGGTACGATGCTTCTATTGGGTTCGGTTTTGATGCTACAACCAATGACTATAAGGTTGTGCGAGTTGTGACTTTATTGGATTACTATGATGAGAAGCCAACTCTAGCTGAGGTTTATTCCCTAGCCACCGGCACATGGATGAGTCTTGGTTGTGTTTCTCCTGCATGTCTAATAGATAAAGCTGCATCCAGTGCTTTTGTTAATGGGGTTCTTCATTGGCCTGTAGCCTGTCAGACAGATGTTGAATCTTACTATATTATATTGACATTTGATCTAGGCAAGGAGGTGTTCGGTCAGATACCTATGCCGAAGATTATTCAACGGGATTACTATTTGGGATTGCAATTGTCTGTTTCAGATAACAAAAAATCTATTGCTTTGTTCATGAGGCCCAACAATCGTGAAGATTTCTATAGGGATTATGGGCATAAAGATTCTGTTCTTGATATATGGGTGATGAAAGAGTATGGGAGAGAGGAATCATGGACCAAATTGATTACTCTCAATCCACATGGTCCAGAAACAATTTTCCTCAGCGCCTTATGTTTTAGGAAGAGTGGGGAATTACTGTTACTGCTCAAAGAAAAAGAGAGGCAGGAACTGGTATCACTAGACCTCGTGAGGAAACAGCTTAAACTTATTGGGATTTCTGGATATAAATATTGTACTTGTCATTTTTATAAAGAGAGCCTCCTCTTACTCGACAAGAGCGATGCAGAGTCATACTAAGAGAAAGAACAGGTAATGTGATTATTGTGCTGAGAGCAGAACATTTCAATTCTTTAGTTATTTTCATTAAAAGCATGATTGGTGACTAAATTGCTGTGGGATATTTCTTATGTCAGACTTCTTGTGGGTTCTTTCTTTTAGCTGATTGTCTTTCTCGCTTCTGTTGGTAGAACACAACTTGTGACTAAAGTCAACACAGCTCTCATAGAGACTCAATTTCGATATCAAAAAGTTAAAAACAGTATAATTATAATTTTTAATAACATCGACTAAGATCTCATATAAACACGATTAGACTGGTCTTTTATGTACTCTTAGTCTTAGTCAACTTGGAATGACTTTAGACATTGGACTGATTGCTGCTTCTGTAGTGAAGTCTGTGTATTCAGTTTGCATGGTTTTATTTGCTGCTTTAATTCCTTTTCCAATGTTTTCATTTTTACATTAGTTTCTTTTCCAATTTAGCTTTCATTTGTGTAAGCATGAAGAAGAAGTTATTTGATTTGCACTCCTGAAGAAGTACTGGGAAAAGTTTTCATGACAAGTGATGTCAACTCTAATGCTTAACAATTGATTAACGCAGCACTTTTCTTGTTTTCTTTTGTTGCAGATTTGTAGTGCAGTAACATTGTCTGCCGAAGGTGCCTGATGCCTGATGTGTGTCAACGTCCGTTTCTTGCTATCTATCTTGCTGATGTATTTTTGTTTTCTTGTTCATTTTTTTGCCGATTTGTAGGGCAGTAGCGTCCTATGCCTGAGGTGCCTGATGTTTCTGTGTATTTACTTGGCATGGAACTTGTTATCTAGTAGTTCTTGCCCTATTTATTCTTCAGGTTTTGGGAAGCTTTAATGGAAGTATCTAGTTACAAATTTCATTTGCCTTTGCAGTTCTCTGCACCAGTTCCCGTGAAATGCTTTCGCAATTTTCTTTTCCATTTTTATTGCATAGTTTTCCCTGAGCTGAACACTTTACAGCAGAATTCACTTTTAATTAAGTAATGAAGGTGATTTGAAATTGTACCCTGCTTTAGTCAACTGCATGCCTGCAACATATGATGGTTGTCTATTTTTGCAATTGCATTCGTTTGAAGACCATTTTTGCAACATTAAACTCAACCCCCATTCAACATTCGACTCAATAATAATGATTTAAAATTTCATTAAAATTCCCAAAAACTCGGACAAAGCACCTTGTTTCAGAGGCTAGAGCTGTTTCAGCATTTGAATTAAGAACTAGTCTGCTGTAAGAACATTTTAATTAGGAGTTGAAATCTCTTTTACAGTTTTTTATTGAATGATTTTCCTATAGGGATTTAATTAGGAGTGGAAATCAACTGGATACCATATGCTTGAAACTATAGTCAAAACAAGGCAACATCAAGCATGTAATAATATACCAAATGCTAACCTATATCAAAGGTTTATTCGAACTTCAAAACTAAGTACTAATTGTATGACGGAGGAATTAGACCCATAACTACAATACAACAAGCCGATTAAGTACGAAAATCCCTATTAACCTCCACATCCACCTCCGCAGCCACCTCAACAACCACCACCACTAGTGACACTACTAGATGCACACTATGTGTAACAACCCGATCCTAAATTAATAGTTAATTATTAATTTATTCCAGTAAAAGACCACTATAACCCTAGAATATTTTAATGGTTTAAAAGTTAACTTTTTATTCGGGAAGGAAGTTGGGGATTTCAGTTATACCTGCATAGAGCGTAGCGAGACGAGTCCGTAGACACGTAGTGGACTCAAATCAGAGTTGTAATGAAGAAACGGTGATCAAAAGAAGTTCAGTGGGATAACCGTAAATATTTCGAAGTTCAGTTAGTTTTAAACCCAGAATTTCTGTATTGGGTGGGGGGGGGGGGGGGGGGGTGGGGGGGGCGAGCTCGCACCCACTTGGGAGGTGTGTGTTCTCTCAACTCCGACCCCCCAATTCAAGCAAGACCAGTCCCGTTAGAACCACCACATTTCCCTCTTCCCAGCTCTTTATGGCCCCGATCCACCGTCGTAGTCACCGGAAACAGCCAAGAAACAGGCGGGTGTTGGATAGTTTTTCGTAAACTTTTGCCGGCTCGTTTTCCGTCATCCGGCCACTATTTCCAGTGATCCAGGTGTTGAGGCCCAAAATATTCACGGTTCGGCCCAAATAAATTCTCGGCCCAATGCGATGCTTTTACACAAGAAGAAACCCCATTTGGGTTTTTTTTTTTTTTTTTTTTTTTTTTTTTTTTTTTTTTTTTTTTTTTTTTTTTTTTTTTTTTTTTTTTTTTTTTTTTTTTTTTTTTTTTTTTTTTTTTTTTTTTTTTTTTTTTTTTTTTTTTTTTTTTTTTTTTTTTTTTTTTTTTTTTTTTTTTTTTTTTTTTTTTTTTTTTTTTTTTTTTTTTTTTTTTTTTTTTTTTTTTTTTTTTTTTTTTTTTTTTTTTTTTTTTTTTTTTTTTTTTTTTTTTTTTTTTTTTTTTTTTTTTTTTTTTTTTTTTTTTTTTTTTTTTTTTTTTTTTTTTTTTTTTTTTTTTTTTTTTTTTTTTTTTTTTTTTTTTTTTTTTTTTTTTTTTTTTTTTTTTTTTTTTTTTTTTTTTTTTTTTTTTTTTTCTCTTCTTAGCCCCTGTCCTATTTCAAACATCCAGTGCCTAAAAAAAGGGGTAAAAAAAAAAATTGTTTTAGCCCACACCAACAGTTTCAACAAACCCTCACATCTTTGGGAGAAAAACCCAAACGGCCTTTAAGACTAGCTTGTCTCTTTCTCGACCCAGTCCTCCGATCAAGCATTCGAATCTTTCAAACAGGCATATTGCAAGCAAAGATGAAAACTCCCTTTTATCTATTCAGCTCCCAAAAATCAGTAAGAAGATGGCATTCCTCATGTGGAAACCTCTCAATCAAGCCTGACAAAAGAAGAAACAAGGGAGTCGTGGCCAGACAGGTGTCGGAAGGGAACCTAGTAAACAGAAAGGGTGTTGCCAGAAGTAGAGTCACTATTAACGCATAATGTTTCCAAAGACAGACAACAGTTGCAAGAGACCAAGACTCACTTACAGCTATCAATCCAGAAATATAGACTTCTCAAGCTTTATCCATGCTTGGGAGCAGCTTCTAAACCAAGAGACCTTAGGCCAAAAGCAACGGCCGGAAAGGTACAATAACAACATGAATCGCCAGCCAAGATAGGTTGTGATACCACTTCACGCTGATACACAAGAAATTTCATGTCATTCAAGCATTCCCAAGCAAATTCGGGCATTTAAAGCCAAATTGAGAACTCATTGCTCTTGCGACAATACCCTTCCCCTTCCAGTGACTCTCACGCAATATTGCTCAACAACATGCATCTGCAAGACTCAGATCAGCACTCAATACACACAGAAAGACATGCTAAATCCCAAGCAAAGAAACAGCCAAGCATCACAACACTATATACACAAGCTGTCCAACCATCTTTGAGCTAGAATATCCCCCTTTAGTAAAATCCTATTCAAATCAAGACGTAACATCCAACACTCCCAAATCTTTCCAGAGTCTAGAAACTAGACATATCAAGCTCATTTTCCCCCCACAAATTTCAGCTTGCGATCTCGCGCTAGGGAAGCACCAGTCAAAAAAATTCTAAGACAGCCCACACGTAGAAAAAAATGAGTACACGCTGCCGCAAGCAACACCGTAAACCCTTAGCTTTGAAAATTCACCGACTACAAAAAAAAAGAAATAGTATGACTATTTTCTTTCAATCTTTTTTTCTTCAAGTAGGACCCTTTGGTAAGTTATGCAATTTGCCATTATCATATACATGGGAAGTCACATTGTGTTTAGTGTGATCAAAAGCTCCAACGTCAGATCGAAAAGAACATTTCGCAAAAGTTCAAAAAGCAGCAGCAAGTACTTAGATATTGGCACGCAGCTGGCATGAATACCCGAAGGAGCTTGTATGACTCTTTTATCAACAAAAAAGCTAAGAAACCCTCAAAGTCAAGAGCTCAACCTGAGACTACGATTCTAGTCACATTCTGGGAATACAGGTGGGGAACTCCTCCAAGCATCCAAGCATAGAAGAACAAGCATTGCACACAAGGCATCAACCATCAAAAAATCATGAACACGCTTAGACAAAATGGAGCGTTTAGGAGCACTAGATGGGTGGATGCTCCCCACTTTGATTGTTATAGACACATAAATTTCAATCAAAAATTTTTTGTGAAGCCAACCGCATCTACGAGTATCATAAGTTAAAGACACATGCATGAAGAAAAAAAATCTTCAAAATCACCAGCCATGGATGAATCAGAAGTTGCGAACCAACTATGCGGTGTGTGTGGCTCTTGAGAAGAAAGAGAGAAAACGAGAGTAAGCAATCAAAATAAAAATAAAGCACCATCATGCCAAGTAGCAGCTTTTTTTCTATATTATACAAAAAAGAGGTCATCGCCAGATTCAAAGTAAGAAAGGAAAACAGGTAGACACCCCTCCCTATCACAACATTTTCGTTCACACGTAAAAAATTGTCACCGCTTCCCCATCGAGCAATCAAGAAAGGGAATCCCATAAGATAGTCAAAGCCCTTCCTTGCTACCCCCCGTTGTAGCCTCACGTTGCTGCAATCACAAACATAGGTCAAAAGAGGGTTTGATGCTTGACACCAAAACAAAGGGAAATATTCATGGAGAAGGGAACCCAACATTCCTCAATACAACCAAGAGAAAGCTAGAGAAGTGACCATACCTTGCTAAAAAATCCCAACAGGTGACTTGATATGTAACCAAGAAGGGAGCGAATTGAGAATCATAGAGGAAAACCGCACAAAAGGTCCCTTATAGCAACGGCAGAAGGGCTTCTTCGAGGGAGAAGGGCTGAAGGGGTGAAACCGACTTGTGGCTCTTTTCCCAGCGGCTGAGCAGATGTTTTCCACTTGATTTACTCTCTCACTCAGTTTTGAGCTGGGGGGAACAAGGGAAAACGAAGAAAAGAAAAGTAGGAAGAAGTTGATCTGGTGCAAGAAAAGGGGAGAGAAAGAGAAAATAATAACAAAAGAAGGAGGAAGGTGTTTGGCATTGGGAAACTGCAAATAACCGCTGGGGCCAATTATGACACGTCGTCATTTTGGCACGCGGGAAGAAGAGAAGTTCTCTACAAATACAAATCTGATTTTTTTTTGGGTCGGGTTTAATTATTCGGCCCATTCCAGCACCTATCCTATTCCAAATATCCTTCCAGCACTTGTTATATTCCAAATATCCTTCCAGCACATGCCCTATTTCAAACATTCTACAGCACATGCCCTATTTCAAGCATTCTTCCAATATCTAGCCATCATGTCGCACGATATCACCTTCATTGAAGTTTTTGTCCTCTAAATTCAAAGTGTTCAGAGGCTGGTGCTGTAAAATCAAAACACAATGGTGAATCCAAACTTATTGCATCCGCAACTCTAAGATTGGGATCCCCCCATCCACTAGCACGTCCGGCTACTGTCAAATGACATCCCACCATGCTAAATGTCCCAAAAGCCATATTAAGCCATGCTACCTTAGCCAAAACCAAGCATCCAAGCATGCAAGCCAAAATCAAGCATACACGCCAATACCAAGTATCAAGCCAAAATCAAGCATACATGCCAATGCTAAGCATCAAGCCAAATAACAAATATACAAGTCAAAGCAAATCATGCAAGCCAAAATCAAGCATACATAACTAATATTAGATACACAAGTCAATGCAACTCTTGCAAACCACAATCATGCAAAATCAAGCCTCTAGTCACTCAAGCAAATAAATCATGCGAGCTAAGTAGTTATCTTGAGCTAATCCACCAAGCATTTTCTTCTATATCATGCCACAAAATAAGGTCAACTCTTGGTAACTCTAGTAAGTGACCTCCAAAATTACAGTGTCTAGGAAAGTTCTTCAAGGCAACACCCTCGGTGTTTAAGAAGGATTGGGTTTTAAGCGGGACCATTGTGACCCCTCCAACCTTCCCGGGAAAAGACCTGGCTGTAATTTCAGAGACTCTTAACCTGTTATCCTTGAGTTGCTCCTAAACCCATGCCATGCCATGCCACGGTAATTTATTTTGGGCTGAAAATTGATTATTCGGACCATTTCAATACACATTCATGGCCCCAATAATCAAGGGGGCTAATGTTGAGGCCCAAAATATTCACGGTTCGGCCCAAATAAATTCTCGGCCCAATGCGATGCTTTACCAAGAAGAAACCCGATTTGGGCATGCGAAAGTTCATCATATGCGCTTGCACACATGCCACGCCAAACGACACGCCATGCTAAGCAAGGAATTATCATTCCGCACCTAATCACGCCACAAGCTTAAGTGGGCCCCAAGCCACTCAAATACCCGGGGCTTGCTTGAGTGGGTTGTGGTATGGATGGTAATAAATTGTCATGAGGCCCATTGATGGACCAAGAAGTGGAGGTTCCGGGTTACTTGGGAGCCTCGGAACCCAAGCCCATTTCTTAGGCCCAAACATGTGGGTAAGCACAAGAGAGGAAATAGCCCAATTGCTTCAACTAGAGTAGCCCAACCAAAATAACCCATTACTTTAGATAGCCCATAAAGCCCAAATACTTGGTGAATTTAACCCACTTATTAGATGACTTGGCCTTCTATATTAAAGGGCCCATACCATTTGAATAAAAGGAGTCCAAGGCCTTCAGCACTTGGCTGAAGCAGAAGTCCACGAAGAAAGCCAAAGATTCACATGTGAGGGGCTGCTGGGGGAACAAGTTCCAAGTGCAAGCATTCAAGAAACCAAGGGGTATTAGCACGCAGGGGAAGATGCTATCCCTTAAACCAGCAGGCGCACCCATTTTCTTTCCTTCATCAGATTTGGCCGTGAAAAGAGGAGGAAAGAAGAGAAAGAAGATGGGTGAAAATGGAAGCTCTCCTCTGAAGCTGTTGAAGCCTCGAGCTCCCAAAAATCCCTGATTTTGTGGGATTGGGCAGAACTGATTTTTGCCTCCATGAGGTAAGTCAAGCAAGAGGAGAAGAAAGGAAGAGGAAAGCTTAGCTAGATTGGAAAGAAACCATTAGGGTTTCTTGGAGAAGACCCATTCCCAGCAGCTATAAATAGGACCCCTTCTACCCAACACAAGACAACCCACAACCTTCAGAGAGCAAGCTTTCTCTCTCACATGCAAACCCAGGAATTTTCGTGCTATCCTTCCTCATTTTCCTTTATTTCCCCTGTTTTGGCAGATTGACAGAAGCTTTGACAGAGTCACTGTCAAGCTGCCGGAAACTGCGAAAGTCACCCAAAACTCTTCACCATCCTTCTCCCTCTTCATCAAAGCTCCTTAGAGCCTCTCTCCCTCTCCATTAGAACCTCTGTACCTCATAGGAACCCACAGATCTCTCTCTCCTAAAGTGCTAAACTCATGATAATTTTTGCTCCCATGCCATAAGTCACTCATGCCAAGCTAGAATATTTATTTGTAATTTGTTGTCATTTTCATTGGTGAAGGTAACCAAGGAGTTTCCTAAGGCGTCATCACCCTTTCGAGACATCCTTGGGGCTTGATCTTCGAACTCAGACACAAGGGGACACTTGCATCAGATTGCTCTTTACAGCAGCCCAGCCCACTTGCTGCCAGGAGAGAAAAAGCCCCTACACCAGGTATGGAAACTCATCTATTTCTCTAGACCTAGTTGCTGGTTGGGTAGTATTTCAGAAATTTCTAGTGTAGATAACTCGATCTTGGATCCAAAGTTTAGCCGGATTTCGGGTTGAGTTTCCGGCCACTTTCGGCCAGTTTTTGGGGTAGGTTCAAGAACAAAAGTGGTTCCAAATAGGGTGTTACACCTAGGGTAGGAGTCTTGAGCCGTGATTTGGAGTTTTTCCGGTGAAGCATTATCGCTTTAGGCACCACGCGCTGCCGGCGCGTGTGGCGGCACGTGGGCAGCAGGGTGGGGACCACAATCATTCCTAGAATAACCCCTTAGTCCTCACGAGTGCATAGGATTTCGCGGATCTTAATTCGGATAAAGTTTGAACCCCGAACGGATCTCGCCTAGTGTGTGATTTCCGGGTTTAGCAGGTTTGAGCCGTTGGATCATAGTCATGTTCAAGTATGTTGATCTAAGTAATTCCAGGATCGTATAATATTTTACATATCGTAAAACGGAGTCCCGAATACTCCAGGAATTTCAGCCCTAGGGCGAGGTTTATAGTAAACAAACCAGTTGCAGATCAAGAACAGAGGAAAGAACTACGTGTGGCTTGATCCCTCAGTAAAGGTACGTAGGCAGCCTACAATTAGCAGGTGCAGTCACGAGTTAGGGCCTTAGAGTTTGTGTTATTGTTTTTCAGAGCATTTTGGTCATTTGTGACCCACACCCACCAAGTGTCAGTTTTAAACAAGGTTCAGCCCGGATTCCAAAGTGGAATTTGGGTCAGGTCGTTTCACTATAAACAGCGTCCAAGCATATAATCTGGTTTCATTTCTCTTAACAGTTTTACCAGCGTGATGATATACTGGAGGAAGAATAAGCTAGCTATTTGGTACATTGAGAGGCAATTTGTAACTTTTTTTTCTCCTTTCTGATGGATTTGGATTGGATTTTAGTACTTTTAATTTTCCGACTAAAAATTGTATATGAACGTTACTCTGCTGTAAGAACAGCTCCCTGGATATTTTTTTAGTGCAGCAATGTTGTTTGCCGAAAGTGCTGACGTGCCTGATGCCTGATGCTTGATGCCTGATGTGCGTCAATGTCCGTTTCTTGTTATCTATCTTGCTGATGTATTTTTGTTTTCTTGTTCATTTTTTTGCCGATTTGTAGGGCAGTAGTGTCCTATGCCTGAAGTGCCTGATGTTTCTGTGTATTTACTTGGCATGGAACTTGTTATCTAGTAGTTCTTGAACTATTTGTTCTTCAGCTTTTGGGAAGCTTTAATGGAAGTACCTAGTTACAAATTTCATTTGCCTTTGCAGTTCTTTGCACCAGTTTCCATGAAATGCTTTTGCAATTTTCTTTTCCCTGATCTGAACAATTTACAGCAGAATTCACTTTTAATTAAGTAATGAAGGTGAATTGAAATTGTACCCTGTTTTAGTTAACTGCATGCCTGCAACATATGATGGTTGTCTATTTTTGCAATTGCATTCGTTTGAAGACTATTTTTGCAACTCAACCCCCATTCAACATTCGACTCAATAATAATGATTTTTAAATTTCATTAAAATTCCCATAAGCTCGGATAAAGCACCTTGTTTCAGAGGCTAGAGATGTTTCAGCATTTGAATTAAGAACTAGTCTGCTGTAAAAACATTTTAATTAGGAGTTGAAATCTCTTTTACAATTTTTTATTGAATGATTTTCCTATAGGGATTTAATTAGGAGTAAAAATCAACTGGATATCATATGCTTGAAACTATAGTCAAAACAATACAACATCAAGCATGTAATAATATACCAAATGCTAACCTATATCAAAGGTTTATTCGAATTTCAAAACCAAGTCCTAATTATATGACGGAGGAATTAGACCCATAACTACAATAAAACAAGCCGATTAAGTACGAAAATCCCTATTCACCTCCACATCCACCTCCACAGCCACCTCGACAACCACTGCCACTAGTGCCACTACTAGGTGCACACTACGAACAAGTCCAAGCATATAATCTGGTTTCATTTCTCTTAACAGTTTTACCAGCGTGATGATATACTGGAGGAAGAATAAGCTGGCTATTTGGTACATTGAAAGGCAATTTGTAACTTTTTTTTAACCTTTCTGATGGATTTGGATTGGATTTTAGTACTTTTAATTTTCCGACTAAAAATTGTATACAAATGTTACTCTGCTGTAAGAACAGTTCCTTCCCTTGATATTTTGTTTTCTCAATTATAGCAGAGTTTTGTCTTCATTGCTTTTCTCAGTTGGTATAACTATTTGAATGTACAAGACATTGATAACATAAAAAATGTCAGACAAGGGATCAAACTGAAAATTGAAGCCATCGCACGCTCTTCAAAATAAAATAAATTATGGTTTGGCTTTAGTGTTAGTTTTTTTTAGCCCTGATGGGTTTGGAGTTTTGATTGACAGAGTATGATCATTTCTGAGATACAAAACGATCATTTCTGACAAAATAAAATAATTTCTTGTGACAGTAGCAGCACCTTCGGCCACAAAACGATCGTTTCTGAGATACAAAAAACTTCTCACGACCAAAGGTCGTCAGCACAGATCTATGCTGGCGAAATTTGATGGATTAGAAGAGTATAGCCAGGCGGCTGTACAATTTCTTTTAAAAAAATTTAAAAATACGAGTACAACTTAGAATTTTGTGTATAATAGTGAATTTTATGTCTTATTGAATTTTTTATACCAAATACGTGTATTAAACACGTAAAATACGTATAATACTATTTTTCCTTCATTGACTGAACCTCCATTCAACGTTAGCAGAGTATAGCCGCACGGCTATACTGTTTCTTTGCAAAAAAAACAAAAAATCCAGGTCTGGCCGCACGGCTATACGCTAGAGTCAAGCCGTGCGGCTAAACTATTTTTAAAAAAATTAGGAAATTTTTTAAAACCTGATATAGCCTGTAAAGAAAAGTTAAAGCCAAGTGTCTGTACTATTTTTCGAAAAAAATTAGGGGCAAACCTAGTATAGCCGGGCGGCTATACAATTTTTATTTTAAAAAAATAAAAAAATAAAAAAATCCGAGTATGGCCGCGCAGCCGTAATATTTTGGCACACTACAACTTAAAAGTCTAGCCACTATATTATATTTTAATATATATTATTTTTATTCAATAATGCGTGTGAATTGTGTGTATAATATGTGGATTTTGAGTGCCTTATTGAAATTTTTGTAAAAAAAAACATGTATAATACAAGTATTATACGTTTGGTTTTCAAAGACTTGGGCCTTGGGCTCTTGAGCTCTGGGGAAATCTAATTAAGACAACCAAACGGAATAAGTAATTTATTTTTTTGACGTCCATTGAACTTCAAGAACTTACTATTTATTAAGTCATTTGTGAAATCAATAACATCTTTAAATATTGACTAAAGAAATAATAATCAAAACATAATTACTAATTAAAGTAATTCAAAAAGGCTAACATATTACTTAATTAAATATATTAAATAAAAGAAGTTGGCCCAAAAAACAAAATTTATTTATTTTCCCAAAATTAATGCAAAAAACCTCTCCCGGCAGAATTTGCCGGATTAGCAGAGTATAGCCGCACGGCTGTACTCTTTTGCCACATTACAGCTTAGAATTTTGTGTATAATACTTGAATTTTATGTGTCTTATTGAAATTTTTATACCAAATACTTGTATTAAACACAAAAAATACGTATGTACCTATCTAATACTATTTTTGCAACACTAACGGAAGCTCGACTCAACATTAGCAGAGTCTAGTCGCACGGCTATACCATTTTTTAAAAACATTAAAAATCCGAGTATAGCCGCACGGCTAGGTTCCACGTGTCAAAGAAAGTGAAGCCGTACTATTTTTTTAAAAAAAAGGAAATTTTTTAAAACCCGGTATAGCCGCTCGGCTATACGATTTATATATATTAAAAAAAGGCGCTCAATTCCTATGCGCCTCGTGTCAAAAAAAAGTAAAGCCAAGTGTCTATACTATTTTTCGAAAAAAATTATGAAAAAACCGAGTATAGCAATCAACATATAAATAGCGAAACAGAGGTCCCTCCCTCTGATCCGTTAGGGTTCTACTCTTTTCTTCTTCACTCTTCTTCTCTAACACGGCACAACGAACGAGAGACTGCATCAGGACCCAAAACTGTAAGTTCCTAAAGTTTATCTTTCCTTCTTCTGGGAATTTTTTAAGAGCTTTTTTCTTCGATAAAAATGACGTTTGGTTTTGTGTTTGTTTTTGTTTTTTTTTTTTTTTTTTTTTTTTTTTTTTTTTTTTTTTTTGGATTTTTGTTTATTGAACGGAGATTGGGTTTGATCTGAAAAATATGACGTTTAGGGTTCTTTTTGTTCCCCTTTTTTAGTTTTAATTTTATAGTTTATGTATATGAATGTTACTCTGCTGTAAGAACAGCTCCCTTGATTTTTTTTTCTTCAATTATAGCTGAGTTTTGTCTCTATTGATTTTCTTTAGCAGTTTGTATAACTATTTGAATGTGCAAGACATGGATAACATACAAGATATCACACAACTGATATACACATTCAAAGTTGAAGCTTTTCCTCAGGAAATAATACATGAGATCCTATTTAGGCTACCAGTTAAATCTTTGATCAATTGCACCTCAGTGTGCAAGCCATGGAGGTCCATGATCATGAACCAAAGTTTTATCCACGCTCACTTCAGCCATACAGTCGACTTTGCTAATCAGAAGGACATTGACCTCCTCCTATTCCACAAAATTTCTGGTAGTGGGAGCACCATCTACTGCCACAACACAGTCATTCACAAGGTAGAAGTCGAGGTTTACTCTTTGCATTATGATAATAAGGCTTTTGATGTGCACTCCGAGATAGAATTTCCAATTGCTCCGAAGAAAAAACTGCTCAATCCACATCTCCGTGTGGTTGGCACTTGTAACGGGCTAATCTGCCTTGCGGATGATATCTCCGCTTATGGTTATAACTTCTTTTTATGGAACCCAACCATCAGAAAGTTATTGACTCTTCCCGGGCCTGGTATTACCTTTTGGACGCATGGTGCATACAATGCTTCGATTGGGTTCGGTTTTGATGCTATGACCAATGACTATAAGGTTGTGCGACTTGTGACTTTAATGGATGAAGTTGAGAGGCCAACTCTAGCTGAGGTTTATTCCCTAGCCACGGGCACATGGAGCAGTCCTGCTTGTGTTTCTCCTACATGTCGAATAGAAATGGCTGCATCCAATGCTTTTGTTAATGGAATTCTTCATTGGCCTGTAGTCTCAAACGGCAATCATTGCTATTTTATACTGACATTTGATCTGGGAAATGAGGTGTTCTGTATGATACCTATGCCGAAGATTATCCAATGGAACTTCAATTTGGGATTGCGATTATCTGTTTCAGATGACAGAAAATCTATTGCTCTGTTCATGAGGGATAAGGGTCATGAACGTCCTCATGAAAATTTCATGATAAATAATAGTCGTGAAGATTCTGTTCTTGATATATGGGTGATGAAAGAGTATGGTAGAAAGGAATCATGGACCAAATTGATTACTCTCGGTCCACAAGGTCCAGAAAGCCATTTACCCACCGCCTTATGTTTTAGGAAGAGTGGGGAACTGTTTAGGAAGAGTGGGGAACCGTTTAGGAAGAGTTGGGCACTGTTTAGGAAGATTGGGGAACCGTTTTGGAAGAGTGGGGAACTGTTACTGCTCCGAAAGGAACGGTGGCAGGAACTAGTATCACTAGACCTTGTGAGCACAGAGTTTAAAAATCTTGGGATTTTTGGATATAAATATTGCACTGTTGATTTTTATAAAGAGAGCCTCCTCTTACTTGACAAGACTGATGCAGAGTCGTACTAAGAGAAAGAACAGGTATTGGTTTTCAAGAACAGTTTAATTATTTGTTTGTCAGGTTTTTATGTTATGATTGGTGACTAAATTGCTGTGGAATCCTTATTATGTCGACTTGTTGTGGGTTCTTTGTTTTAGCTGATTGGCTTTCTCGCTTCTGATGCTAGAACACAACTTGTGACTAAAGTCAACACAGCTCTCATGGAAACTCAATTTGGATATCAAAAAGTTAAAAACAATGTAATTATAATAAATATCAACTCAGCTCTCATATAAACACGGTTAGACTGGTCTTTTATGTGCTCTTAGTTTTTGACTTATATAATATGGTATGACTTTAGATGGTAGACTGATTGCTGCTACTGTAGTGAAGTCTGTATTCAATTTACATGTTTATGTTTGGTGCTGTAATAGATTGTGCAGTAGTTCATGCTTTAATCCCTTTTCCAATGTTTTCATTTGTACAATAGTTTCGTTTCCAATTTAGATTTCATTTTTGTAAGCATGAAGATGAAGTTTCATTTGCACTCCTGTAGAAGTACTGGGAAAAGCTTTCATGACTAGTGATGTAAACTCCAATGCTTAACAATTGATTAACGCAGCATTTTTCTTGTTTTCTTTTGTTGCATATTTGTAATGCAGTAACGTTGTTTGCCCAAAGTGCCTGATGTCCATTTCTTGTTATCTATCATGCTGATGTATTTTTGTTTTCTTGTTTCTTTTGTTACCGATTTGTAGGGCAGTAGCGTCCTATGCCTGAAGTGCCTGATGTTTCGGTGTATTTAGTTGACATGCCTGATGTCACTATTTATTATTCTTCAGCTTTTGGAAAACTTTAATGGAACTAATGGAAGTATCTAGTTACAAATTTCAATTACCTTTGCAGTTTGAAACTCTGCACCAGTTTCCATGAAATGCTTTTGCAGTTTTTTGTTTCATTTTTATTGCATAGTTTTCCTGAGCTGAACAATTGACAGCTGAATCCACTTTTAACTAAGCAATGAAGGTGATTTGAAATTGTACCCTCTTTTAGTTAACCGTATGCCTGCAACGCCTTCTCCAATGGCCCTCATTCGATTGCAATTTGCAAGCAACATATGATGGCTGTCCATTTTTGCAATTGCATTTGTTTGAAAAAACTGCTCAATCCACCTCTCTGTGTGGTTGGCACTTGTAACAGGCTAGTCTGCCTTGCGGATGATATCTCCGCTTATGGTTACAACTTCTTTATATGGAACCCAACCATTAGAAAGTCAGTGACTCTTCCCGGGTGATGTTACCTTTTAGACGCATGGTGCATACAATGCTTCTATTGGAGTAGAGAAATACTGACGTGACTTACAAGGTTTGTCCACTCCCTGCATTGCATTATCCGTTAAGAGAAATGCACCCGTCATCTGACTTGTAAAAACACAATAAAAGTGGGCATAAGTTTCCATAAGAAACTAAACAAAACAGACTTTCTTGTTGGTGCCCCAAAACAGTGGAGATCCATATTCAAGTGGGATGTCATTGAAGAAATATATTTGCTTGAATGCATGTGCAATGTGAAGAACACTGATGTCTTTGGGTGTTTTCTTATAAGGAACATATGGTAATTCCTCACCATCTTTAATCCTTCTAAACAAACCCGCATTACCCGATGTTGTCGCCTCATACTCCAAACGATCCATGGTTTTGAACTCTCTCAAACTTGCTTAATGTAGCACATAAAGCAGCAATGCACTGTAGAGGATTGTTTGTGAACCGTGCTTAACATCCGAGGCAATAAATAAATCTACACAAACTTGGTCCTAATTACTTGTCATGAAAACAGTATTATAATCAGTCATATTTATTTCTACTAGTGTACCAAAAGTAAGGGTGTTAAACGGGTCGGGTCGGTCCAATACAACACGAGTCCAGCCCATTTAAATATAGTACGATACGGCCTAAAAATGATTATTAGTGGAAAGTGCTAGGCACGACACGAAATCTTAGGTCGAATTAAAAAATTAGGTCCAACATACCAAGCTGGCTCGCATATCGCTATAAGCCCGCCTAAGCCCAAACATGACCCAAACCCACTCTAAGCCCGACATGAACCCACTTAATTAATTAATTTTTTGCTTTTGTAATTCCACTCTCTAATTCAAATTTCCCTTTTTTCCTTCTTTGGTCGACAAGACAATAAGTCATTTTCCTTTATTGGTGAAATTAGCAAACAAAAATTGCGTTTAGTTGAAACTTTACACCAGAGAACAATATCAACAAATAGCATCGACATGTGAAATTGAAATGGGTACGTTTTGTTTGTGGTATTCTTTCTTTTTTTTTCCTCATCAGTTTCCTCTTTTGTGCTTTTTTTATGATATGATTTTGAATAGAACAGATGCTCCTCTAGTTCCATTTTATTATGGCTCTTTTTTTAGCTTTGTTTTCAGTTAATGAAGTTATTTGATTTTTCGTCCCCCCCCTCCCCCTTTTTTTTCTTTTAAATCTCAAAATACCGAATACAAAATAAAATAAAATAAAAAATAAAAAATTTGTTTGTATGAATTAGAGAGAAATTGTAATAAACTAAAGAATGGGCCTGTAGAGATTAGGTTACATTACAGAAACCAAAGCGGTCCAAGAAAAAGAAGGGGTCAAAATAGAAATTAGACAGAATTATGGCGAAAAATGAAAATTTCGACAATAAAAAATTGTTCCCGCGAAGCTTTCGTAAACCCATAAACCATAGATAAACTTTCATCAAGCTCTTAATTTGGTACGGAGCTTTTAGACGTAGGCAGGCAATCTCAGGCTCAGCATATAAATAGAGAGGAGAGGTCCCTATGATCTGTTAGGGTTTGGGCCGACGCCTCTCTCTCCCCTCACTATCATGTACGGAAAAGAATGTCTTAGAAGCTAGGGTTCTACGCTTTTCTGCTTCACTCTTCTTCTCTAGCACAGCACAGCACATGCACCAGAACGAGACGCTTCCTTAGCTTCGGCTCCGCTCATCAGGACCAGAAATTGTAAGTTCCTGAACTTTTTCTCATCGTTTCCTGGGATTTTTTATAGAGCTTTTCTGTTTCTTATAAGAATGTTGGGTTTGGATTTAGTGTTAGTATTTTCCTGCTGGGATTGGATTTTTGATTTGTAGAGTGGATGTTGGGTTTTATCTGAAAAATATGACGCTTCTTTTTTGTTTTTGATTTGTAGATTCGATGTTGGTCCTCAATACTGGATCTTTTTAGTTTTAGTATTCTCCTGAGCTACTCTGCTTTCAGAACAGCCCCATGATTTTTATTTTTATTTTATACTCAATTATAGCTTTTTTTTTGTTTCTATCGTTTTCTCAGTTGGTATAACTCTTTGAATGTGAAAGACATGGATGACATACAAAATATCACACAAGGGATGCACGAATTGAAATTTGGAGAGATGGCAGGCTCTTTTCCTCAGGAAATCATACAAGAGATCCTAATTAGACTGCCCGTTAAATCTCTGATCAAATGCACCTGTGTGTGCAAGACATGGAAGTCCATGATCATAAACCCAAGCTTTATTCGCACCCACGTCAGCCCAGCAGTCCAGTTTGTTAACCAGAATGACATTCACCTACTACTCCACAGAGTTTCTGGTTTGCAGATGACCACCTTCTTCGGCCAAACGGTCATGTACAAGGTAAATGACGAGGTTCTCTCTGTGCATTATGATAACCAGGCTTTTGACCACTACTCCAAGATAGAATTTCCAGTTGCTACCCAGGGAAAAAAGCACAACTCGTATATTCGTGTGGTTGGCATTTGTGATGGGCTATTCTGCCTTGCGGATGATATGTTCCGTTATTGTTACAACTTCTTCATATGGAACCCAGCCATTAGAAAGTTTGTGACCATTCCCTGGCCTAATGTTAGATTTGATACGCATGCTGGGTACGATGCTTCGATTGGATTTGGTTTTGATGCTACGACCAATAACTATAAGGTTGTGCGAGTTGTCACTTTATTGGATCAACACGGGACACCAACTCTCGCTGAGGTTTATTCCCTGGCCACCGGCACATGGACCAGTCTTGGTTGTGTTTCTCCTACCTGTCTAACAGATGGACGTGCATCCAGTGTTTTTTTCAATGGGGTTCTTCATTGGCCTGTATTCTGTAAGACAAATGGTGATCTTTACTATTTTATATTGACATTTCACCTGGGCAAGGAGGTCTTCCGTAAGATGCCTATGCCGAAGATTATCAAATGGAAATTCGACTTGGGAATGCAATTGTCTGTTTCAGATAACAGAAAATCTATTGCTCTGTTCACGATGGATAACAGGTTTGAAGATTCTTTTCTTGAGATATGGATGATGAAAGAGTATGGCATAAAGGAGTCATGGACCAAATTGATTACTCTTGGTCCACAAGGTCCAGAGAGACTTTTACCAAGGGCCTTATGTTTTAGGAAGAGTGGTGAAGTACTGGTGCTTCTCACTGACAAATCAAGGCAGGAACTAGTATCACTAGACCTTGAGAGCAAACAGTTTAAAAATCTTGGGATTTCTGGATATCAATATTGCAATGTTGGTTTTTATAAAGAGAGCCTCCTCTTACTCGACAAGAGCAATGCAGAGTCTTACTAAGAGGGAGAACAGGTAATGTTATTATACTGTTGAGAATAGAACATTACTTTTCAAGAAAATTTTAATTCTTTGTTTGCCAGATTTTTATGTTCATTAAAAGCCTGATTGGTGAATAAACTTATTGGCGTTCTTTGTTATGTTTTGACTTGTGGGTTCTTTTTGTCAGCTGATTGTCTTTCTTGCTTCTATTGCTAGAACACAACTTGTGACTAAAGTCAACTTAGCTCTCATGTAAACTCATTTTGGATATCAAAAAGTTGAAGACATTATAATTATAATAATATCAACTCAGCTCTCATGTAAATGCGGTTAGACTGGTCTTTTATGAGTTCTTTTAGTTTTTGACTTATTTGACAACAACTTAGTATGACTTTAGTCGGTGGACTGATGATGCTTGCTGCTACTGTTATGAAGTTTGCGTATTCATTTACATGGTTTAATTTGCTGCTGTAATAGGATTGTGCAATAGTTCATTCATTAATTCCATGTCCAATGGTTCTCATTTGTAAAATAGGCCCTTTTACAATTTAGCTTTCATTCATGTAAGCATGAAGAGGAAGTTTCGTGCTTAAGCATTGATTAACCTAGTACTTTTCTTGTTTTCTTTTGTTGCAGATTTGTAGTGCCGCAACGTCCTCTACCCGATGTGCCTGATGCGCAATAACGCCATTCTCTTGTTATCTCATATGCTAATATATTTTTGTTTTCTTGGTTATTGTGTTGCAGATTTGTAGGGCAGTAGTGTTGTATGCCTGATGTGGTGGTGTATTTACCTAGTATGGAACTTGTTATCTGTAGTGCTGATATGCTTTCTGTAGTAGTTGTTGGACTATTTATTCTTCAGCTTTTGAAAAACTATAATGGAACTATGGAAGTATCTATCTAGTTACTAATTTCATTTGGCTTTGCACCAGTTTAAATGCTTCTGCAGTTTTCTCGTATTTTTTTGTGTAATTTTTCCTGAGCTCAACGATTGACAGTAGAGTTCACTTTTAAGCGACAAAGGTGGCAAAATTATACAAGCTACCAGAAGAAGGGGTCAAAATGAAATCAGACAGGAATTATGGCGATAAAATGAAATTTCTACAACAAAATTGTTCCTGGAAAAGCTTTTGCAATTCATAAACCCTCAATTATAAACCCAAAGATGAACCATAGATAAACTTTAATCAAGCTAAATCCTAACCCAAATAAAATATGAAACTTAAAACTAGAATTCTGGAAATCTGGAAAAATAGAAATCTTACTAGAATTTGAAAAACTAGAGAATTTAGGAAACTAATAAATTGGGTTTAGTTGAAACTTGAAACCAAGAAACAATAACAACAAATAGCATCGACATTTCCATCGATCGCTCTAACATTCCAATACAGGTTTTGAAGCATGAACTCAAAGCATATTTGGTTAATTTCACATTCAAAATGGCATAAGTTAGCTGCTAATGGACATCAAAGTTGTGTTGTACAATTTATCTATGTGGAAAAATTGGAAAAATGTAAAATCAAGCAATCTCATCAAGACAAGTTTAGGGTCCACTTTTCCATTTCCTTCATTTCGATGATCAATGCTAACCCATGCCATCTTGGAAGTTAATGATGTTAATTATCAGGCAATTTTGAATTTAATTATAAACCCATCTCACATGTCTCTCATCAATGCTAAACCCATGCCATCATTTTGATCAATGCTAAACCATGCCATCATTTTGATCAATGCTAAACCATGCCATCATTTTGATCAATGCTAAACCATGCCATCTTAAAACATGTTATTGTACAAACTCTATAAATTCAGAGCAATGCAGCTCTCTGGAACGTACAAACAACTTCCTAGCAGTAAGCAATAAGCAATAAGCAATACATCGTTTCGTCAATCAATCAGCTATGAATCTGAGCACGAAAAATCGCATTCAAAAGGAGCTTAAAGATATTAAGAAGGACCGTAACCCTTTGTACAAAGCAGTAAATACGGTAAAAGATAACATTTATCATTGGCATGCCACAATTATGGGACCTCCTGAGAGCCCATACGAAGGAGGTTTTTTAAGCTTGATATTGAATTTCCCTCTAGTTATCCATTTAAGCCCCCAAAGGTGAAGTTTATTACCAAAGTGTACCACCCAAATATCAATAGCAATGGAAGCATTTGCCTCAACGTCCTAAAAGACGAATGGAGCGCTGCCCTTACCATCCCTAAGGTGTTGATCTCAATCATGTCCTTGCTGACTATACCTAACCCTGACGACCCTCTCGACAAGGATGTCGCCCACGTCTACAAGACGGATCTACAGGCCTACAACGCCACTGCAAGCGCATGGACTCTCCAGCATGCGCAAAACAAATAATATGGACGTACTCTCAATCAACTCTTTCCCAGCTTTAGAATAATACCATGCATGCATGCATGTATGCTTAGAGTTTAGAATATGTTTAGGCTATAGCCATTAATTTAATTATGTTTTTTTTACAATATTTGGCCACCATCAATAATAAAAGAGACTCCATTTTCTTTGAGTTCATGTTCATGTTCACATCTCAAATAATTCTATTGGATTTCATTGCATTTCATGTCATTCGGTAAAGATATCGCCACGTGTACAATCATGGACCTCTAAAAGAAGTTGTAAATACCCCCAAAAGATTCCTAGAACCACAATAGTGCCACTGGTGTATAAGTATAATGAGCCCAATTGTAAATTCAAGGTATTCTTGAGGGCATTTCTCCATCACCTCTTTGCTTCTAAATTCTTCCCTAAATCATCCAAACAAGTCCTATAAACATGAGGACCTAAGACATTGTTGCTCTTCAGCAACATATACCAACCTCTCACAAAAATTACCACGTCTCTCTGTTGGGGATACAAATACATACAACTTTCCCATATCAAAAACACACGCACAACTTTCACAACTCCACCATGGCAGCTTCTAGCATGTTTAAGCTATCATTTTTCTTGAGCCTTCTTTCCCATCTGAACTTGGGTTTGTGGCCACAAACTCATAGCAGCTTGGCCATATTTCCACCATCATGTAACAGCATAGAGTGCCCAAGCTTTGACACAATTGAGGTTGGCAATGGCTATGAAGTCCGTCGATACAATTCGAGTGAATGGATATCCACTTCTCCTATTCAAGATATCTCTCTTGTTGAAGCCACTAGAACTGGCTTCTTACAGTAAGTTTGTTTTCCCTTTTTCTATTGTTCATGTATTCATATTTTCCCTTTTGTTTTCCCTTAACCCTAAATGGCTTAATTCGAAATGATTATTGTATGTGCCGCTGTGCCGGTTATATATAATCTCTTTTTTACAACATGGGAGTTTCGTTGTTAGATTTTGTATGATGGGTTTCACATGTATGTTGCGTAAGAGGGAGGGAGGTGATACATAGTCAGATTCTACGCAAATTCAATTGAAGTACTAATTACTCTCACAAGGAAACAATAATTGATAAATCAATTAATAAATCACAGTAATTGTACTGAAGAAATGAGGGAACTTTGGAATTTTTGGCCTTCATTGATGATGGTTTTTGGTTTTTTTTGTCACAGGCTGTTTGAGTACATTCAAGGGAAGAACAAGTACGAAGAGAAAATAGAGATGACTGCCCCAGTGCTCAGTGAAGTTTCACCAAGCGATGGACCCTTTTGTGAATCTTCATTTGTGGTGAGCTTCTATGTGCCAAAGAAGAACCAAGAAAACCCACCACCAGCAGAAGGCCTCCATGTCCAAAAATGGAAAACCACATATGTTGCAGTGAGACAATTCAGTGGGTTTGTATCAGACGACAGCGTTGGAGAAGAAGCTGCTGCCTTGAAGGCCAGTCTTGCAGGTACTGTTTGGTCTGCCGCCATCGAGAAAAGCCATGAAGCTGATCATACTTCAGTTTATACTGTTGCACAGTACAATTCCCCATTTGAATTTGATCATAGGGTGAATGAGATCTGGTTGTCGTTCGATTTGGAAGACGGCGTTGCAGTATAAGAGTGAGAAGAGAACAAAACCACCATGTTTTAAGACCTCTAATCTCTTGTAGAGATAGGCATTGTGACGGTGAGTAGGTGGCTAAAGTTTTATGGTGGGGAAATCCAAACCTGCTAATTATCAGTTTACTTCTTTTTGTAGTGAGAAATGTTGTGTTACCCAGTATCAAACTCTGTTACAGTTTACACAGAATAAAGAGGCTACTTTACTGTACGGAATTGTAGCTAGTCAAGTTGCCTTAATTTGTAACACTAAATGAAGCTTAAAAGCAGCAAATATCCAATTAGGGAAAGAAATTTCTGGTTATATGTAGCGACATAGTTCATATCTGGCAACGCAACAATGGCTTTTAAGGGTCATAAGCAACTCCATTGAAATCAGTATAACCGACATTTGACATCAATTCCCTCCATGCCAGACAAAAGTCATGGAAGGAAAAAAGTCCCACGACAACGAAACAAACTTTTCCCGCTCCCCATGAATACCAACAATTCCAAGATTTTGAGCTCTACAAGCGAGACAAATTTGTTTATGAGAAAAGATATTCAAAGAACAGATTGAAGCGAAGGAAAATCCCGGGACTTTACAATTTTCAGCGATAATTAGATAGCTAACAAAGAAGATGGTTACATTTACTTGTTTTAATACGAACTGCATGCCCCAATCAACAATACATTGAAAACAAAAATTTTGAGGCACAGCTCCTACCAGACTAAATCACCTACTTAATCAGTTGTACTCATGGATTAAAGTTTACAATGATCAGACGTTCGGTCGAGAAAGTGTACTGGGTTACTCCCATATCTTACAAAAGTGCTGCATTTACCATCTGGAAGGTGTGCAGTCGGTGAATCACTGACCTGTTTTGAATAGTTTCGATTCTGTACTCTGTCAATGGGATGGGTTGACAAGTACGAATCCAACAAAAGGCCCTTGTCCTTGGAAACAAACCTAGTGTTTGGCCTACTATTTGAAAATTTTCTGCATGAAACAGAACTGCGAGAATACTCTGGAGCATATAAGGTGTTGAAAATTGACGAGATATTGCCTGCATCAGCATAATCTACTGTACTAAAAGAGTCTCTAGTACTCTCAGTTGTGAAAGAGGCCTCATCGGAACTTGTAAAAAGGGACCAATCGCTTGATGTAGCATCAGAGAACTCCACGCCGATGGGCTCACCATATGTTTCCGTCATTGGGAAAACATTCCCATTAGAACTCCTAAAGATGTCACTGGAGGTACTATTGGCAAAGCTATTTGCGATTTCTGGCCTGATATCATCTGGTAAATGCACTGGGCTAACAAATTGGCTGCTGTGTTTGCTTTGACCTGGCCTTGCCTTCTGAGCTTTTGACATGCAATGGTTTTCAACATTCGGAACTTGCTGCCTAATAGATTTTCCAGTGAATGCTCTTTGAGGGCGGGGACAAGACCTAAGGACAAAAGAAATTTCAAAATTCGAAGAGAGCTTGGAGGGTTCACAATAGATAAATGAATATATGGCACAAACCACAGAGCAAATATATCCATTGCAAACCACATGGCATGGACACCACCAACTGAACCCCTCTTCACACTACCAAAGTTGGTGCTATTAATTAAAGGCTAATATATTCCAACATCTAATTATGTAAATGCTAATTAAAACCCCAACAAAAAGAAAAAGGTAAGGAAAGAGATCATAGAGGATTTTTTCAACCTCAATAAGTCTTACCTCATGTAAAATAAAATATATGCTCCTTCCATCATAACCTGGCTCATTGAAACGGGCTGAACCTGTTTATGAAGCTTCGTCAACTTTAGGACCAATTAATTGAAGAAAAAATAAAACAAAAAACATACACTTCAATCACTTGTTTGTTCGAGATATGTACCAAGGGGAACCATGTCAATACTCAAAAGGCATAAACGCAAATGAGAGATTATTTTCCATTTTTGCTTATGGAATAAAATGCAGGTCCACTCCGTCAATTGTTGTTGTGAGTATAACATAGAGATTTCATAAAGCAGTACCCTTTTATTTATAGTGACCAACAGACCTAATTACAACAATCTCTACAAAATTATAATTTACAATTGAAGGGCGTTAATGTCTTATCAATTTCATGACATTGATAAATGGAGGCTCTATCGCACACATTATATTTTCAGCAAACTGGGGATACGAGCATTAATGTGAAGAACAATGGAGGACATCGTGCATTTGAGGGGAATATTTTTGTCATTCAATAAGACAACAGATCATCTTTCTTTTTCTGCAAAGTTCTCATAATGTTCTTATTGCCACACTGTTCATTTCAAAGATTGAGAAATATCCAAATTATATTGTAAGTTTGGAAGAATAGGTTTGAAGTAGATCTCAGTCTTTTTTTATTGTTCTTGAACCTAAAAACCCAAACTCAACAACCAAAATGTTTCATAAAAAATTGGACAAGGAATGACAAATACATTATTTTAATATTGAATAACTGACCAAAGAAATTAAAGTCTAAATATTATGTTGGTCTTTTGGCTTTGTGAAACTATAATCAAAATATGGGCAGGAAGAAACAAAACACATTCACTCAGTAGGTAAATTCGGTTTTGAAATTTCATTTGCTATGAAAAGCTCAAACCAACAAAAGCCTTGCAAACTGAAATGTTAATGAAGAAAGGCATTTACCTGAGTGTCATCTATCCTGAACCAATTGCCTCGCATGTCTTTCACATATGCCACATAATGTCCAGAGGAAAAGATGCATTCTGCGTATCCAAATGCACCACAACGGCGTAGAGCAAGTAAAGTGGAGGAATGTCGCCCTTCCCAGTCATAAATGGAACCATATCCAGCATGTCCGGAAAAGTTATGCACTTATTTATTTTCCCATATTTTCCCTCCTGAGGAAAAACCAGCCATGATTTAATAGTCCAGCAAGCGAAGTAGTGCCAAGAAGAAAAGCCAGGAAGCCCTACAATTATCTAGCAGTAAGGTGTCAACCCTGAAACTCATTTTTATGGGTAGAAGTTGGAATCACAAGATGACTAGGATTTGAATTTTGACTTGCATTTGTGTTTCAGTGACTTTTAAGTGATAGTCATAAATGCTGTTCATTAATTCAACTTGATTACCACTCCTGCTTAATACCAAATCAATTAAGTTTCTAAAACCTGGATACGGTACAATAGCAGCTTTTATAGTTCCCAAAGAAACTTGAAAACCACTGGTTATATAGGCTTTAGAAGGCACCCACAAACACCTCTCAACGCTAAATCATACTGATACCTGAAATCTCTTCAAGACAATTGTCAGGATATTTGGAGCTTCGTGTATGCTCAATTGCTTCCTGGCTCGAACATATGCAGCACACCTTTTTCCCCAATAATATGAGTTTGTAAGTTATTTAAGTTGTACTGTAAAACTAAAAACTTATACATTATTTGGGATCCAAAAATACTAAAATAAGGCCATCAAACCTTCCGCATCTGTACATGTTTTCTCCATCCAAATCTTCAGGGGTGGTAAATTGAGTCAGTGCATCCTCAAGTGACTCAACCCAACCAAATATTTCTAATGTTAGATCCATGATGTTTTCATATCGTTCCGACTCATGATGACATCTCAAACACTTGACCTGGTGGCATCAAGATTGATTCATCCATGATTCATGTGGGCAAAAAGTAGAATAAATTTTTTATTAAAAAAAACTAATTAAAAAAGTAGTTTTACGGAAAGATGATTCATGACAGAATGAATGTGCAAGTATGCAAGGAGCACCTTTGATCTGAGGTGCCCACCAAATGTATGTTGTATAAAAGTTGTTTCTTGCAATCTGGGATCAACCTTGTTTTCACCACCTAGCCCCTCCAAGCATATAGATTGCATTGATGTAATTAGAAGCCTGGATAAAGACAGCATCATATACAAAAATTCCTTCATCAAAATCTGAACTTTCAATTCATTAATTTGAATTTCCAAAACTGAATATAATATGGAAAGTTGGAGACAGATGCAAATGCCAGAACATCAGTGTCAAGAAAAAACACATAACTGAAAAATTTTGACAGACCTTAAAAATTCATGTGCATCTTCCTGACTTCCATCACCAATTTGGCAATTAATACTCCTCATGTGAAAAAGAATTCGGCTAGGAGAAAGGGGGCCCCCAATTTCTCGTAGCATCATCACATGTTGCTCCAGTTCACACATGAGACACCAGTCTTTACCACAACCTAGTACAATACCATAAACAAAAGTGATTCGCATGTGTATTCAAACAAAACACCACCATCCAAATTCATTGACTAATTTGAAGGGATATGAGAAAAGGTAGTACAGGCGCTTGAATGTGATCTACGAAGCAAATACATAATGAGAGGCTTTGTGCAGGTTAAGCACTGCAAGACGGCATTTGCATAGCAACTGCAAGAAAAAAGTTATAATAAAATAAAGTGGCATAGAAGATTCAAAGAAAACACATAAGCTCATGTTCATTCTTTCACGAGCATAAAACAATGCTTGGTCTTTCTGTAACAAACCCAATAACCCAAAGACACAGCATGCCAAAATATAAAATAATTATCGGTTGGGTCTTAGGACTTTATTCAGATGAATCCCCTGATCAACAACCAGTCTCCATCTCCACACAGTACATTAGTCATCTTTTAGTCAAACTTTATCTCTAGTATCACTTGTATATAAACTTTTATGTATTGAAAAAAAAGTAAGGGTCGTTATAAGAAATCAACATCAAGAAAGTACTGAAGGTTATGTTCACGATCACGTGGAGTTTTCATTGCTATCACGTGGATCCCATTTTTAAGCTCATGACCTAGTAATACCATACATAAATTATCATACTTTACCTGTTCCCACAATTCAAAAGGCCTCGAGGTGATAAGTCAAAGACTTCACACTGAAAGTACTTCACAAACTCATCATAAGGGAACAGGACCTGAGAGTCGAAGAGCATATATCAGTGACAACGTGAATTCAACTCAGAACACAGAAGAATAATATAATTCATGGAGGAGGGGTTGTAAATAACTCAGGAGATCGTCCATTCAACAAATGAAATGGGGATTCAATGAAACAGAGAATAGACCTTCTTGGTTTTGTGTCGATAACCATTGACTTCAGGGGCATCCTCTCTGGTTATGGTTTTTGGCTTCTTTAGACCCATCATCTTCATGATCCTTAAGTTTGCAATTCCGTTGCTCCCCTGTGTGCTGGTATCTCTCATTCCAGCTACTTCTGCATCACAAACGTAGAATTATAGGAACTATACTGTACAAAATATGTTTAAAGAGTAATGGTTTACTAGACTGACTGGAATCTTCAGCAATGCGTCCCTGCGTCTCTATCTCTGAGCAATACTGCTCTCCAGAGACTTCCATTGTTGATTTGGGCAATTTAGACACCTTGGTCCCAAGAGAATACGGAGCTCTTTTAGCCTTTACGCTGGCCTTCAATGCAGTCATTTCAGTACATTTGTACTCCGTTGTTTCAACATTGGATGTTGTTTCCCCTTTAAGGGGATTTCCTCCATTCGGAATGAAGTCCAACCCAATTTCATGCACATCTGTTCCACATTTGGAAGAATATGACGAGGATGTTAATCCAGAGTTGCTTCTTGATTCATATATGTTGCCATGTTGACTTTGAAACATATCATTCTCCTGCACTGTATTTCTTGAAGTAGCTTGTCCTTTAATATAATTGTCAGAAATATGGAAACTTTGTTTCTTACGATTTTCTTCCTCTGATAAGTGAGAGTCAAAATTTCTTAACTGCAACCAACAGTTAAGCATAATTATTAGACATCAAACACAAAAAGTAAAGAAAGATCAAAGATAACAAAATAGCAAAGTGATGCAAACCTTATGCTCCATAAAAACATCTTTTGATGAAATAACATTAGAAGGGGTTGATTGGGTAGTCCAACCACAGGATGCTTCTTCAGAAGAATCAAATGCAATTCCAACTTTTTTTCTGAACAGTTCTCTGTTGGATTTTCGGGAAACCCGCTTTCTCTCCAGCATGGGGACTTGAGAGGGATCAACTGAAGCACAGTCAACCGTAGCAGCAGGGACACCAGTGCTTATAGAAGGATACATTATATTATCAGCTGGTGCTTCCTCAGCCAAAATCTGCTCCATATTACACCCAAAGTACTGTGAATTGATGCTGTCATTAAGTAAGAACTTCTCGTGAAAAGATTCTCCAAATGAGACAGACTTAGGGGATGAGCTTGAACTTGTAGGTTCCAACTGCAGGCATTCTTGCCTGTGAACTTCCCTCCAATGAATTATTTGACATTTCCCAGAACTGCATATAATTAGTGTAACCATTTAGAGAAAAAAGATCATGCTGCCTCTTTAGAGTTCATAATGAGAAATCCTTTTTAATAAGCAGTTCATAGTGAAAATATGTATCACAAGCATTTGCATCTTTCTATTTTTTTTGTTCTCCTTTATTTCATTGATTGTGCCGAATTTGGTACAACACAACACAAGGATGAAATACCAAAATTAGCTACTTGACTTTAGTTAGCTGAACGCTGCACACCTTTTTTCCCCTTTTCAATTTTTATGTGAGTGCTGCATTCCAAGTTCCCATTCACAGAAAATATTGTCCTTGTATATCTCCCACAACCTTAATATGCTTAAGGTACACTATCAAATAATACTTAAGTTCACTGCATGAATAACCACCAATTCTGTAGTGCATAAATCACAATGGTTGGAATACTACAATTTTAAATTAAGTTTCAATTTCCTTTACTGGAGAAGCAATTTTTTTATTGAAAAAAAAAGGAAGAATATACTGACAGACTATATGTCTTCTCGCTGTAAAATTAGAGCGTACCAATATCTGACAGACTTGCATCTAGAGCAGCGGGTTGTAGATGGACTAAAGCATCTGGCACATGCATGAAGTCCATTCTTCGAAGGAGACACAGGAGGAATAACATCAGCAACAGCCATTGCTTCTGCTCTAAGTGCTTCTTCTGCAGCCAGTTGAGCAAGCAAACTTACCCTCTCTCTCTTCTTAGATGCCTCACTCCATTTTCCAAGTAAAACGTAAGCAACCAAAGGCAGCACAACGAAAACCAGAAACAGGGCAGGTATATCAGCTTCCCTTGGCTCAAGCATGTCCTCACCAGCATACTCATGTCCAATACCCCGTCAAAATCACTAACCGGGAGATGATCTCTTCAAGTTAGAAAAGTTCAAGTAAGTTGACATCTGAGTTGGCAGCATGAAATGCAAGATAGATCATATTCCACTGGGACTACCACTCAGACCTGTCAAATTTTCAGATTCATATTTTCACAAAATGTAGTTCCGGTTGAAAACAGAATTTCTATACTGTATTTTCCTTTTCAGTACAGAATACTATAAATAATTACAGACAAATCAAAGAAAACCTGATTAAATTCAGAGCCTTGATTTTAAAACAGATTTGTTCATTCAACTTAAAAGTTACACACAAAAAACAGGATATAAGAAAAATTGCTTGTCCAAACAATAACAGAACCAATGTGACCCGTAATAGAATCAATGTGAATAGCCACAAATCTCTCCCATTTGAGCATACCCATTATTCAAAATGGAAATCTAAGACAACCCTATTTAAGAAATCCATCTAGTTTTCTCAATCTTTGCCATTAGCATGGAATACTGCTAAACAAGACCCACCAGTTTCTTCCAGTACTCTCAAATTGACCAATAACTTCTCCAAGTACACTACTTTGACAAACATACTCTTCTATAATTGCAGAAACCAGTAAAGAAATCCTCTCATTTGAGTTAAATGAGAAAACAAAAAGTAGCCCACCCGAGAACAAGCAATGTAAATCTGAGATTCAAGTGCAGAATAGTGAAAACATTTTAAAAAGTACAGAAAAATAAAAAATGAAACAGCAAGAAGCATACCTCATGCACAAGCAAGAAATCTAAGCAAAACCAAATAAACACTCTGAGCTGCCTCTCCTTCTCCCTCTCTGCTTCTTCTTCTGGAAAGAAAAAAAAATTGATTCTTTGAATTCTCAGACGGTAAGCTCAAAAAACAAACACTCTTTCTCTGTTCTGCGCCAGTCCCCTCTTTGCTTCACTACACACTTCGTACCCCTTCACACTACACTTTTTAACACTAAGAAACTCTCCCCTACATCCTCAAAAACCCAGATCAGTGTGTGCTCATTGAGACCCTCAACACGTGGCTCGAACCCATTTGGTACTAAGCCTGCAGACGCGGGACCCGCCTGACCCATGTTACAGAAAAAATGACAAAAGCTGATTGATTGATTGATTTGGAGCCGTGGGATCTAGACTGGGGGTGGACTAGGGAGGGAGGTCAGGGTCAAAAAAATGTAAAAATGACATAATGGGGGTTAGAGGGCGGGACCCACCGGATGATGTTCCCAATAATTTTTAACAGGGGACCACGTTTCATGGTCGATTCATGAATTGGAGAAGAGGATAATTGTTTGCGGAGGCAGAAGACATCATCAATTTTAAAAACATGAGTGAGAAAAAGTACTGCGGTTTATAATTAAATATTGATTTTTTTTTGTGTCCTAAAATAATAAATAATTAAAAAAATATTTTATTTTAAATTTCAAAAAATGTTGGGCGTCTGGTGTCTGATGCCTCGTTTGGGGGGTCGTGATTTCAATGCCTCAATGTCAAATATGAGAGAATATGACCCCCTCCTTCTCCCCCTCCTCCTCGTCCTTTTGGAATAATAGAATTCTTGTCTTGTTCCCGGATCTCTAATCTCCACGCCCTATTATGCATCCAATTCACAACCCGTGCTACTTTTAACTTTGGTTATTCATGGCATTCTATACAATCCAATGTCATGTCTTTGCAGAAAAATCTACATGTATATCCCGGATTGAGTGATACATGTGCCATATTACGTACTGTGTAAGAACCGTTATTATATATTATGCGACGAGTGTTGTAGACACAGATGTTTCATCACTCTATTCCTAGTAAGTTTCTTTTGTTAATCTCATATCATTTTCACAATGTTTTTGAAAAACAGATATTACAAATTTATCACATGGGCGGTTGACGAAATGACATGTGTTGATTATGCAAAAAAGTAATGTGTAATTTAAGTATGAATTATAACTCTAACCTAACCATGATGGGTTTTGAATCTTTTTGTAATTTCATCATCACGAAAATGATACGTGTGTTATTTGGTTTGATACTCATAATTCTGGGCATTTGAATTCAACATAATCGATGGTTGGAAAATGAGACTTGTTTCCTCTCTTTTTTGGGTTGCCACGATTGTTTTGGTGTCCGTATAGCTTTATATGGAAAAATGTTGACTTGTTTTTTGAATTCCATAAAAATTTACCCGGATGGGATTATGATGCTTTCCCAGAAAATGATACTTATTCGATGTTTCCATATTTGCCAAATATGACAAAGGATTTCACTATTGTACGTGCCAAAAATGCTCCAGCTCCTAAAGCGATGATGACTGGAGTGGAAGAAAGTGCCGGCAGTCCGATGGAGGACACTTGAGACTGTACCAGAATCAACAATGGCTGAAGATGGTTTTGGTCCAAACAACTATTAAAACAGTAAGTCTTTAAAACAAGGGAAAATGCTACTGACCAGTGACCACCAAGCTATTGTACCACTCTAAACAGTAAGTCTTTAATAGATGGCCTTATTGTGTTGCTGTTCCAAGTTGGTTTGACTACATGTAGCTAATTTGATCGTACATTATTCATTAAAGAAAATCGTCGTCTTTTGTAGAAGGACTTGCATATCGCAAGGATAACATTGTTTTGCTATTCTCAACCAATCACATTTTATCATGTGAAAAAGTTACGCATGACAAAGCATGATTTATTAGAAATAGCAAAACAATATTATTCCTGTTATATAGAAATTATTCTCCATCTTTTGGTTAGGATAAATAATAAATAAAAAAATTTGAAGACCACTTCTACGGCCCACGGGGGATGTACCACTCTGGAGCGGCCCATTACTAGGTTTGTTGCTAAAGGCTCCTGAGGCCCAGCGGCCTTACTGGGTTGTTTCTCAACTTTCTTTGAATAAATGTGATATTCTTGAATTTTAACATTACTGGATGAATAAATCATTTAAGATTTATAAATTTGTTAAATTTCCTTCTTCTTATAACAATTTATTATATTTCTCCGCATACAAATTCAAACTTTTTTATATTGTTATTTTATTTTATGTTTAATTTTTTTATTTATACAAATGATATTTGAGAGGAAAGTGAATCAAATTGAAGACTTCGGGTGTTGGATAAATGCTCTTAACCAATTGAGCTATAAGCCTATTTTTATTTTTATTTCTTACTTGTGGGTGGTGGTACCTTTCCTTTTTTTTTTTTTTTTTTTTTTTTTTTTTTTTTTTTTTTTTGGGATACTACTTAATTCCACACCTTAAACAAAGTTTTTTTTTGTCATTCACACCTTAAACAAGATTTGAAGCCCATCTCATATGTTATAAATGTTAATATATATATATATATAATACCACGTGGGGATAAATTATTGGTGAGCATATGGGAATAAATAAAATATTATTGGTGAACACATGGGAATAAATAAATATTTACTCATTCATTTGTTCCAATTTAATAAAGAGGGAATGAAAGTGCCTGAGGATCCATCTCACCGTTGAACTTCAAGTACCAACTTCTTTGCTTTCACAATGCCTTTTCCAAAAGTAGGAGAATTTTCGAAAATTTTGTTGTCATGGAATCTACTAAAAAATATAAGTTCTAAATTAAAAATTCATCCATGCATTATGCAATTCTTCATTCTAACATTTCTACGGGTCGGGATGTAATAAGTTTTCCGCGTACCATTGAGGTTCATAAAAAAATAATTGAAAGAAGAAAAAAAAAGTTGAAAAATCTGGAAGCTAATTAGTTTATAAAAATAGAAGTAAAACTCTTACTTAAAATTACGGAAATTAATCTAGCTCTAATGCTAGCATTTATTCATTCACGGCCAATGAATTTAGCCTTAAAAAAAAAAAAACAAAACAGAAAATTCAATTTCAATCCCAAATGAAAATGGAACTGTACACCCGGAAAAACTGTAAGCAAAAACCAATGGCCTGCCAGTGGTTCCCTTCAATTATTCAATCGCCATCACCAGTCTCCAACTCCAAAACAACAACAACTACAGCATAAACACTTCAAATCTCACCCACCCTTTCTCTTCTCTGACCTCAAATCCCAAAACCAGAGACACCGCCGTCGCCATGGAAGAAGAAGACCAACAAAACCCACAACAGAGAAGCTACTGGAGCAGATGGAGCAAACACGACTTTTTCCCAGAACCCACATTCCAAAACTTATCTTCATACAAAGACGCACTTTCCCACACTCCTTCTCGCCTCAAAGACCGTCTTCTCCACCGCTCCTCTGACTCCTTTGAGCTCCTTCAGCTCCCGAAACAGAGTGAGAATCGCATGAAGCGTTGCCTCACTTGGTGGGACTTGGTCTGGCTCGGCTTCGGCTCTGTTGTTGGTTCAGGCATTTTTGTAATCACTGGCGAGGCAACCCGTGACTATGCTGGGCCTTCCATTGTTCTCTCCTACGCCATCTCTGGTTTCTCTGCTTTGCTCTCAGTTTTGTGCTACACAGAGTTCGCTGTTGAAATCCCGGTTGCAGGCGGGTCCTTTTCGTACCTTCGAATCGAATTGGGGGACTTTGTGGCTTTCATAGCAGCTGGGAATATTCTGCTGGAGGCCCTTCTTGGTTCAGCTGGACTGGGTCGTTCTTGGTCTTCTTACTTTGCCAGCATGTTTAGGACTGATGACACTGACTTTCTTCGAATTCGGGTAAAATCTTTGCCTGATGGTTTTAATCTCTTAGACCCAATTGCCGTTGTGGTGCTTTTGGTTGCCAATAGTATTGCAATGAGCGGGACAAGGAGGACTTCTGTGTTGAATTGGATTGCTTCTATAGCTAGTGCTTTTATTATTGTGTTTATAATAATTGTTGGGTTTGTTCGTGGCAACACTGCAAATTTGACACCCTTTTTCCCAGAAGGAGCAGAGGGTTGTTTCAAGGCTGCAGCTATTGTGTTCTGGTCTTATACAGGTTTTGATATGGTTGCCAATATGGCTGAGGAAGCTAAGAAACCCTCAAGGGATATACCAGTAGGTTTGATTGGTTCTATGAGTTTGATCACAGTGGTTTATTGCTTGATGGCTTTGGCACTGAGCATGATGCAGAAATACACTGAAATTGATAGAGATGCCGCTTATTCGGTTGCTTTCGAAGCGATTGGCATGGATTGGGCTAAGTATTTAGTGAGTATATGTGCCCTCAAGGGAATGACTACAAGCCTGCTGGTTGGGTCTATGGGGCAAGCTAGGTATACCACTCAGATTGCAAGAGCTCATATGATTCCGCCCTGGTTTGCTTTGGTTCACCCGAAAACCGGAACCCCTATTTATGCTACTGTCATGGTGACCTTAGTTAGTGCAGTTGTAGCACTATTCACTAGTCTGGATGTGCTGTCCAGTGTCTTTTCTTTCAGTACGCTCTGCATTTTTATGTTTGTGGCTATTGCATTGCTTGTAAGGCGGTATTATGTTAAGGATGCGACACCGAGGAATGATTTGGTCAAATTTCTTATATGTTTGTTTGTTATAATTGGTTCTTCTATTGGAGTTACAGTTCTTTGGAATGCAGACAAGCGGGGGTGGATTTGGTATGTAGTTTTTGGTGTTATTTGGTTATTGGGGACTTTGTGGATGGCATTCCTTCCAAAGCACCGAGTTCCCAAAGTTTGGGGGGTTCCGCTTGTTCCTTGGTTGCCTGCATTGTCAATTGGAATTAATGTTTTCCTCATTGGATCTCTGGGTTATGTTGCATTCTTGAGGTTTCTCATTTGCACTGCGGTTATGGTTGCCTACTATTTGCTAGTTGGTGTACATGCAACATATGATGTAGCTCACCAGTCCGAACAAGAATCTAAAACTGAAGAGGGAAATCAAAGTGCAAGCTAAGGGGTGATATGCTTGAGGTTTTTCATATGCAATGCAGTAATGGTTGCGTTGTATATGCAACATATGATTTGGCTCACCCGATTGAACGAGACTGGAGAACTGAAGAGACCAATTAAGGGGTCCTGAAGCAGGTAATCGACAATGTTTAGGTTTCTTCTTTTTTTTGGTCTTAATTAATGTTTAGGATACTGCTTAAGAGAATTTGTGAGTACAAATTGCTTTGGAATGTGTAGTTTGACAGACAATGTTTCACTTCCTCCGTCACTCAATATCATATTTCATCTTCTTGTAGTTTCAAGTATAAATTTTCGGAACAAAGTGTTTCAAATAAGTTTTTCTTCAACCTAATTGAATTTGTCTTGCAAAAGAATGTACCCTTGGTATTGCATCAGTCCATATTGTTCCACATAACATTCGACTTAAGTCAATTCCTTTTAAACCATTTGGAATGAACATATTAGTAGTCAGAGCACACTATCTTTATACATTTCCAAAAGTTACAGTTATGTATGTGTCATATCTGCGCTATTCTCATGATTATTATAGCTTATATACAAACTATTTGTAACTCTGTACCAGAAGATGGCATTTTCCTTAAAAATATACTTTGCAGAACAATTGGAATGATTCTCTTTCCATCCGGATACCCCACTTCGTATAGGTATGTTCCAATTTTATGTGCCGAGAGTTTAGACAAAGAGGTGCAATTGTCTCGTACAATGTAAAAACTTCCAATTGCTTGAATTAATGGTGTGTTTACTAATCAGGAATTGGAATTCTCATTAGGAATTGAATTCCACATATGGAGGATTCATGCGTTTACTTAACATCAAGAAATTGAAAAGTAAGTGGGGCTTACACAAAATTAGTATTCTAATTCCTAGAGAACTAACCTATTGGGAATTCATCTTTTCCAAATTTGCCATCTACTTTAACCCAATAACGAAGACATTTTAGTAATTAATATCACTCATACTCTAATTCCATATGATTTAGTAAACAACTTCAATAGGATTCCAAAATCTAATTCTCCTAAATCCAACTCCACCTCAATTCAATTCATCCTCAATTTAATTTCTCTTAATTCAATTACGGATTAGTAAACATATCATAAGAGCAGTTTTAGCCACAAAAAAAACGAAGAATAGGTAGTGCAGAGCAGCCCATATCCAGCTGAAATGGAAAATAATGCATGGCTAAGGCAAAATGAGGAGAGGGAAGCACGTGTGGTTTTGGTGGACAAAGTAGACTTCTCTTTGACCAGGGTAGTAGGTATATGAAAAGTTAAGTAGGCAGCAGAAGGAGGAAAGGTCGTCCAGCTTTCGTTCTTGCAAAAGAAATTCTAGTAGAAATGAGGCAAGGAAGACACTGGTGCGGCAGGTGAAGTGAACGGACTATGAAACAAGGATTGTTTTTGTTTTTTTGTTTGTTTTTGTTTTTTGATGAAATGAAACAAGGATTTTAGGTAAATTGAGAAGTAGATAAAATGCATGGCGTGAACACAAGGATTTTAGGTCAAGTGAGAAGCAGATAAAATGCAATGACTTGAAAGAGGAAACAGAATGAAAATGATAGAAACATTACAGGGTTAGATATGCTTTGTAGAATGATATATTAAAATTTATACATATCATAGCTCCTACATGCATGGATGATTGACCGTAGCACTTCTAAAAAGATATTCGTGTGTTAAGTAACTTTTTGCGTCGGTAGGAAATTGGCACAAAATGGACTAGGATATATTGATGACATTTTTTCTCAGAAGATGTAACAAGGATTCTGCCTCAATTAATGTCTCTACTTAGAAAATCTGCACGACAGATTATAAGGGCTCATGTAGACTTGTTTTGTGGTGGCTTTACTGGTTTGACAGCTGAATTGGGCTGCTGCATACTGGACAGGTTTTCTAGGTGCTGGGCCATTACAGGTTTGTTTTGTTTTGTGGTTTCGGGCCTTTAGCCACACAAAAAAACATAAATAAATAAAGAACTTCTGTAAAGATCTGCCCAAGAGAATTACAAGTGGTCTGTACGAAGTAAAGAGGGCTCCTTCTAAAGAAAATAACCATTTTGTTCCTCTAGTTTGTGTGTTTTTTTAATCAAATTTATATAATTTTGATTTTTTGACCAGGTTTATGTAATTGCTAATTAGGTTACACTTACAATCAATTTGCTCTACGAAAATGTTAATGCTTTTTTGAAAAAAAATTTTAAATGCATTAGATCAGCTCCTTATGCATTAAGTTATAGTTCTTCATCCATTAACTCAGGTCTTTGCAACTTGGTCTAAATCTAATAATGGGAGACTGTCAAAGACAAGTTTAGAGCCTAGTTTTTATGACACTCACGCTCACATTATCATATGGTGTTATTAATTCACATGTTATAACATAAATGGACGACATATTAATAGTAACATATAGTAACGTGGCGGCCACACCGAAAGTCACTCCTAGTTGAAGACCCGAGGTCAGATCCAAATGAAAATTGAACACCCGAGGAGGCAGCATTTAAAATGTGTTGGACAAGACCTTGTTGACAAGGATGAAGGATTGGGTCTAAAGGGGCTTGATCAATATTCATATGCAGATATATATTGGCGAAAGTGCAGATAAATATATCAGTAGTCATCACGCGGCAATCAACTTCTCCTTTTTGACCACCCCTGCAGTGTTCAATTTGTCTCTGTCATTCTCTCTCTCTCTCTCTCTGTGCATCTTCTTTGACCAATTAAGAAGAATCTTTGCATTATTTCAAATCGTTTACATAATTTCCAATGCATGAGCAAACGAATATGTTATTTTCTATATTGATGCAAATAGATTTCATGAAGATATGCTTCTATATTGAATATGTTATTAATTTGGTCATATGTGAAATTTGGTGCACATATGGAATAAGATACATACATGTGCTGACTATGAAACAGCTTAGATATGACTAATTCCCGTCCACTTTTTCGTAAATCGTGCTCTCCTAGAAAGGGACTGGGACATGACTAAAATAAAATTCTACATCAACTCTCTGTTTCATGCCAATTTCTTCTTGTTGCATTTCTCACCTTTTTAATTTTCCTCTTTCTTTTTTGTGCTTTAAAGTACATTTGTGATTGAAGACGACGATGGTGAATGAACTCTTTCACTATATGCAGTAAAGTACCTGCTCTAACACTAAAGTTATTTCTACTTGTCGTCTACCTTATAACTCTCAAATTCAAAGTTAAAAACTATCCCGACGTATCGTCTACCTTGTAACTGAAAATCTACTCTAAGAAAGATGGTGAAATTGAAATAAAAACCTTCAAGAATTCAAATATGCATTATTTTTTTACAAATTTATAAATAAACCCAATCCTAGACATGTATTTATAAAAAAACCCAAGCACTATTTAAACATAGAAACACACCCAAAATCAACCTCAAAGTCAACTTTTTGGGTGTGTTTATAAATGGGTTTTGAGTGTGTGTAATGATGGGTTTTGGGTGTGTTTATAAAGTGTTTTGGGTGTTGGGTTTTTTTATAATTTCAACCTCCATTTTGGGTGTTTTAGTGAAACTCCCTTATTTTTTTGTATTAAGTTCTATTCATGGTCAACTAACTTTGTTCATTATATTATTCTTTTATTTCAACTTCAATCAAGAATCTTCCATTAGGACATAAACTAACTGATTATCAACTTTGTTCATTCATTTGTTATATCTTTATTCTTTTATATAATAATAATATTTCATAAACTAATTTTTAATATCGTATTTCAAGATTGACCAACGACCAATTTCCCTTTTTGACCATAAGCAGCCTGTGAACCTTTCTACCTAAAAACATAGCCATCTCAATCTCTTTCTTTGTCAACTGAATTTCAATGAAAAGTGCACACGTGGCATGAAAATAGCACGTAGATTTTACACCCATTATGGTCCAAGCTTTTCCACGAGTATTGACTAGAGAGACATTAGTGACCCCCAAACCATTTTGGATCGTTTATTTAAAGAATTTCGTTTTCGTACAGTATTTGGCGGGATATTATATACCTGCGGAGATATCAGTCGGTCCTCCACACATACAATTCTGGTTCCACCTGTACATTAGTCGGCCCTATATAAATACTTTTTAATAAAACTTCTAATCGACTTCCATTTCATGGGTTTCAAGTTTTTGCCTACTTCCCCAACTTATACTTCATTTTCTAGGTGATAATGATTTATTTGATCACATCTTATGATGAGGACAATGCTTTTCTCCTTGTCCACAAGAAAGAACTTATGTTTCTTTTCTATGTGGCTTAACCACAAAATGACATGCGTCATCTGACCTGGTTGGAATTGCCTTATTATACTCGTATCGTACGTAAACACGTCACCGACACTTCATTTATAGTGATCGAATACCTCATATGATGTGTACTAACCATTTATTTATACTCATCTAAGACATCATATGACATGCACATCACTGACCTTTTATTCACTCATCTAACACCTCATATGATGTGCACATCAACACAGCATTGACACGTATGTAACTCTAATCTACCACGTACATCACCATGACGTGTTGGTACTTTTTTTTTTATCTCAATCCAACATGTACTTTCTTGACACTTCTCTGACAATGTCCCGTAACGTACTGTCATAGCCTTTGACTTTTATCGAAGAGAAGTGAATGATATGAACAAAGGAAAGAGAGCGAAATTTCTGATATTGCAAGACACATTTGATTTGATTTGGTTCAATTACGGTTACTTGTAATTGCAAATCTCTCACACGATGATTTAGAATTTGGCCTATTGATGCTTGTTTCCTATTTTTAGAGGGGTCTTAATTTATTTATAATTTTGAGTAATGTTTTTTCTATGGAGTTATATAGAATTTTAAGTTTTACATGTTTTCTGACAAACTCCTTGTAGTCGACAAAAGAACATTATTTTTCTTAAAATTTATTATATACGCGTTCGTATTGTGCTGCGTATCTATGTCGACACAGTCAAAAACTTTTGGAGCTCTTGCACTTTGATTTATGTCTACATCAACTGAGTCAGCAGCACATGTTCATATGAGGAAATCTCACTGCACAAGAATTAAGTCTCCGCTAAAATGCATAAATATATATATATATTTATATATGTAAGGCGGCAGCAGCAGCAGCAGCAGCAACAGTAGCAACAGCATCAGGAAAAGATATAATTCAGTACAGAGAGAGAAACGTGAGCAAATAATTGTGCGAGAGATGTGATGGCATTGAAATTCCTCGTGTCATTTTCCACCCTTAAAAATCTAATGGGTTTTTTTTTAATTTTTTAAAGGGAAGGAAGAAGCTTCATCCATAGAACAGGTCAAAGCTGAATCTTCTTCATTTCCTTGAACATGGGTCACATCAAAATTGCAGCACACAGATGGATGAGCTGTTTTGTGTCCAAATTATCGTAATGTGAAAAAGCCTATAGTTTTGTGTTTCATTCTAGAACGCCCTCGTTCGTTGCATCTCTGTTCAAATAAACTAACAAATTATAAACTTTTTTTTAAAAGAAAAAGAAAAAGGGATTTTACTCTGTTTAATATCTGCGATCATGATAAATAATTTTCTTCTTCACTTTTTATAGAGGACACCTTGATCTGTCCGCAGAAGTACTAGAGACCCTAGTTTTAAGTACACTTGATCGACAAAGTAAATATTTCCTGGGATTCTGTATAGTACTAAAAGAGACCCATCTATAGTACGGTGTATAATTTCATCATTATGATATTTAATATAAGTGATAGTTTAAACTACATGGAAGGAAGATTTTTCGTACATACACGACTATGATGTCATGGAGATTTTAAACTTAAGACATTCGGTTTGTAAATAAAGACCCTTTTTCCACTGGGTTAGACTCTAGTGGCAAGAGATTTTTAGTTATAATACAGTTTAGTAGGATATTTAAATGGCCATTTGCACATTATTTAATTAATTAATTGCTTTGTTTTTATTTTGGTATATGCTCACATCATTTAGCACCGAAGGTCCTAAACTTGGCTACATTCATTCTTTGGTTCAGATCCATTCAAATTGTCATCCATTCAATGATGCAAGAAGAGGTCATTCAATGACCGAACAGGAGGTAGATGAATATAATTTGGATACTCCAGCCTGAAAATTTTGGGAAAACATCAAACACTCTTCAGACTTTAGAGACATGAAGAGGTGAGCAATGATAAAAGATAAGGAGAAAACTATCCTCTCTCACTTATCCGATTTAAACACTTTTCTTAAACAAAATGTTAAATGATATGGAGAATGGCGTTATGACCAACTAACTTCTAAGTGAGTATGTAATATCGTCACGTCAAGATACACTCAAATCATGTTGTTTATATATCACGTAATGATATTCTGTATCCCACAATAATTTTTCTAACCAATGACCACATCATTCTTAAACTTCATAATCAATTCATTAAACTCATTTGAAACAAGATTGGGTAGATTTCAAAGAAATTAACATATGGATAGAAGGAGATCCTAGGTGGGGAACATTATAATCCATCAATGATATGATAAGAAGCATCGGAAGTGAGTGAGTAGGAGAGATAATGAAAGCAAGCAAAGCGTGTTTCGGTGTGTGATGGGATATATGGGAGAGCGAGTGAGAGAGAGAGAGAAAGAGAGAGGTGGTCTTAGGAGGAGGACAAAATAGTAAATAGCAAAAGAAAAGCCAACCTGGCGTGCGAGCATAACAACTGTGCTGCCAGTGCCACCACCAACAGAAACCCAAAAATAATAAGAAGAACAATATTGCGTACGTATACTGATTTAGGTTAGTTAATCAAGAAAGTGTATCTGCTTTTTTACACTCGAATTCTCATTCCGTACATTAGAAGAGTTTAAAATATCGTTTTATCAAAATAATAATGATAATATATAACACACGACCAAATAATTTAGAATTTTGTCGAAAATAATAATAGGTGTGTGTAGAAATACGACCGACAAAAATGAATGCGAATATTATGAGGCCGCGTCGCTCTGAGATAGAGAAGCTTACGGTCTCTTCGTGGGGCCTGTGGGGCTGCTTATAGGGCGTAGCAGATGCCTGGCGCTGCCTATTTCTGTCTTCCCAAATTCCAAATCTTTTTGTAAGCACGCCTTTCCACTCCAGGCTGATCTTTGAACACGTATCTATATTCCATATGCTTTCTTTTTGTTCCGAAATTGGGACGTGGGATCTAATTGTAAACAGAAAAACTAGTGGTAAAACATCGCAAATTAGTCGCTTTTACAATTCATAAAAATATACATTCGCATCTTTGAAGGAAACCCAAATTGCTTAATGCTGAAGTAAAATCGGGAACTAGGGCCGAAGACCAAAACCTTTAAAACTTTAAATTAGAGGCTTGTAGTTCTAGTAGTTAAAAATATATATCATATATACGAGAAGTTAAGTTTAGAGTCATCATTTTTCGATATTTGAGTTCTCCTCTTCTAACGTTGGTTGTATCAAACTAATGCTCCATAAAAAAGAAAAAACCTCATTTGTATGAGCTTCTAACTTCACCCATGTTTATCTTGACCTATAGGTGCTTTTCAAAGGAGCTCTTTCGGTTAGTCTTATCACTTTATATAGATATATATATATATATATATATAATAAAAAAACAAAAGATAAATAGAAATATCATGTTGGTAGGGGTCACATGATAATTATCTTACGATCTTATCAGTTACAAATGAATAAAGTTTGGTTGTACATTCTATTTTTATTTATTTAAATTTTGGTACAATTGGTGACCAAATCCCCAAAACCCCAAATCCCAATTGTACAAATCTACAAACAAGGTGATATGGACCTAACAACAACCACAAGTGTATATATATATATATATATATCATTATGTGGAGGTGAATATCAAATTTTAGATGACAACAATCTGTGAAAAAAACATTGCCCCAAGTCCCAGTAAAAAGGGATTTTGAGATTGAGTATCTTTTTGGTAGTTGAAGTCCATCATAACCGCTTGTGATGCCCATCTCTTTCGCTTCACCTTTTTTGGGATAGTCACTTGACGTATCCTTGGAAGTTGATGCTAAAGTTCAAAGATTTTTCTTCCCAAAAAAAGTCCCCACTGATCTTTTATGTTTTTTTTAAAATGAGTTCATAAGTTCTTTATTTTTGAAGAGGTAGTTAAAAAAAAATCAAAATCCAAAATTGTAGAAAGCTCTTAAAATAATTTTTCCGGTTTTTTTAATACTGAAACTTAACTTACTACGAGCATGATTGAAAATTGAGAAATTATAGATGTAGATTAGGAGAATAGTACATTGTCATTCATATACCACGCATTCAAAATTCCCAATTTAGAATTTAAATATTAATAATTATGCACATTTTATAATTTGAGTATGTTCATAACATCACGCGGACATGCCACATGATATTGATGTTCCATCAAGAGATTGCTTGGGGCATCTACCCTCTAGCTTGAAAGATAGGTACAGCTAGGAGTTAAGATATGCTCACCCACTACCTATATTCTTCTTGTTCATTTTGGAAATACAATCTTTTTATATTTAAAGTTGTCTACAAAATTTAACCGGACGTGTTTTCCATATACTTTTCCAGATGAAATAAAGGAAAACATGTAATGCACGTTAAATAATTTTCCCAATATAATATATATAAAGTAAAAGACAGAGAATGATAAAACATTAAAAATACTATAAAATATATTTGGTTAATGTAAATATTAATAATTAAAATTATTAAGTGAATGAGAATAATATGAAATTAAAAGAAAAATAAGATAATGAATCTTATTTTTATGTAACGCAATTACCCATTATCTTTTTTAATAATAAAAATAAAAAAATTTATATAAAAAAAAAAAAAAAAAAAAAAAAAAAAAAAAAAAAAAAAAACAAATAAGCTCGGAAGCTCGGCGTGCAGGAAGACTAATATAAATAAAAACGTGCGTGTAGGAAGGCTAGTATAAATAAAGACACATAATATGAACTAAACAAGCTTAAGGAATATGGAGATAGTTTGCATGCAATCTTAAAAAGTGCAGTATTTAATAATGAAGTAGCCTTGTAAATTGCTCGAACAAAGAAAATAAATAAATTGACATGTAAGAAGATTTAGTGGAAGCATACAATGAAAGTAAGAGGCTCAAAATTGATCAATCTTATGAAATTGAGTGGACATCCTGATTATGTTTTTGATCCACAAGAAGATTTGGATAATGCTCCATTACTTTTAAGGTTTTCTTTTTATACTTTAAATTTGTTGATTAAGAGGTTTTACGTCGCAAGTTCGAATTCCATTTTTCTGTATTAACCGGCTTAAACCTATCTTCAAATACAGCTTATATGTATAAGCTTTGTTTTTAGGAGATCAACCGTTAGCATGTAAAGACGTGGCCTCGTTATAGTAAGAAGAACAAGAACCAAAAACAAGAAAACATAAGGAAAAAAAGGAAAAAAAGAAATAGAGGATAAATATTCAATGAATGGTAGCGTACGTGTCCATTTTCCTTTTGATTTATAAATAGACTGTGATGTCCTTTTCAGGGGAGCAATCAGAAAATAGTCACTGCTCATAAGATCCTTTGGGAGGGTGATGACTAGACCGGCCGTAGCATTTAAAAGGCTGCAGAGTAAAATAACAGTAAGTCATATATTTTATTCTTCCAATGTTTGTAAACTTTCCATTTAAAGTCATATAAATAATTTTTCATTTAAAAAAATAAATTTTTCTTTTTTCTTTTTCTAGAGTGTTTTTTACATGAAGGTTCCAAGTCCTTTCTCTGTGCTCCCCTCTATAAATAGGCACGACCACTCGGCTCAAACTCAAAGGGCACCTCCGCTCAAGGCATATCAACTTTCTTCACATCTACAAAAATTCTATCATCCATATCAACTTCTCTCATCTTTCAGCTTCTTCTCTCTCTTACCATAAACACACACACATACACAGAGAAGAGCAAGAACAACTACTGCCACAATGGTGTTTGTGACTAAACTACCTACTGAAAACTTTTCTTATCCTAGAGGCAGCAAAGTCTCCAAATTCTTTGCTGGGATTCCTCTAATAGACCTTTCAAAACCAGACTCCAAACAGCTCATCGTCAGGGCTTGTGAGGAGTTTGGGTTCTTCAAGATCATCAACCATGGTGTTCCAATGGAATTCATTACCAGGTTGGAATCTGAGGCCATCAAATTCTTCTCCTTGCCACTTTCTGAGAAAGAAAAAGCAGGGCAACCTAATCCATTCGGATATGGTAACAAGTATATTGGGAAGAATGGTGATGTTGGTTGGGTGGAGTACCTTCTTCTAACAGCCAACACAGAATCCAATTCCCAGAGATTTTTATCAGTTTTTGGACAGAACCCAGAAGAGTTTTGGTATGCTATTCAAGCACAATCAATCAGAAGTTGGAAATTTTGGTTCTTTTTTCCTTTTCTTTTCATGTCAAGTTCTTGATAAAAAAAATGTCTTCTTTTGTCCTTGCAGTTCTGCTTTGAATGATTATATATCAGCTGTGAAGAAAATGACATGCGAGATTCTTGAACTGATGGCTGAAGGATTAAAGATTCAACCGAGGAATGTGCTCAGCAAGCTTTTGATGGATGAACAGAGTGACTCTTACTTCAGGTTAAATCACTACCCACCATGCCCAGAGCTTCAAGATTTGAGTGCCAGAAATGTGATTGGATTTGGAGCGCACACAGACCCACAAATCATCTCTGTGCTGAGATCCAACAACACATCTGGCCTCCAAATTTCATTGAAAGATGGGAATTGGATTCCAGTCCCACCTGATCATAACTCCTTCTTCATCAATGTTGGTGACTCTTTGCAGGTACTGCTACTTTTTTTTAATTCTTTGGCTGAAAAAAAAAAAAAAAAAAAAAAAAAAAAAAAAAAAAAAAAAATTTGTTTTTGTTAAAATAAAAATAGTAAGTAAAAAAAAAAACAAAACAAAAAGCAAAGATTCAAGTTTCCTAGTAGATGAAGATTCCTTTTCCATGTCAGTTCCCTATTTCCATGGATAAGATATGAACATATATAAATATATTTGACTCAAAGAACATTCAACTGTTTAGTTTAGATAAACACCACATCCTTGTTTTTATCTTTTATTTATTTCTATTGGGTTTGTTCCAAGTTCTTCTGTTCTCTCTCTATCATTCGTATTAATCTAATGGGGGCCTTGGTGGGTTGGATTTGCAGGTTTTGACCAATGGGAGGTTCCAAAGTGTGAGGCACAGGGTTTTGGCCAATGGTTCAAAATCAAGAGTTTCAATGATTTATTTTGGGGGGCCACCCTTGAGTGAGAAAATAGCTCCACTGCAATCTGTCATGAAAGGAGAGGAGGAAAGCATGTACAAAGAGTTTACATGGGTTGAGTACAAAACCTCTTGTTACAACTCAAGACTAGCTGATAATAGGCTTGGAAACTTTGAGAGAATTGCAGCCTCATAAATCAGCTACCAGAAACAGAAAGAAAAAAAAAGTCCTGCTTGTTTATTAGGTTAAGATCATAATTAGTTCATCAAGTTTTCCATAAATGGAATCCTCTCTGTTATATCTCTTCTGTTTTCTCCTTCCCCTACCAACTACTTCCATGTAAACTACCTTTCATCTTAGAAATACAAACATGTTCATGCTTTTTTCTTGGTTATTTTTTTTTTAATCTATGAAAATAGGTGGGATTATTACTTTCTGATCAGTGTGGCCCCACAAGATATTTGTTCATCTTAATCTACAACTGTTGTTTCATAAAGCTTTTAATGATGTAAAAAGAATTATTGTACTCTATCAATCAACTTCGTACAAGGCTGTTGTCTCTCTCTCTTTCTTCTCTCCAATAATCAGGTCAATTAAGAATCATGGCCCCTCTTTGGTGGTGCACGCAAAAATCATTGACAAATTTTTTATTGGTCTAATCGATATGGTTTAGATAAGCAACAACTACATTCCTCAGTACAATGATTTTGATGTCAGTCCAACTCCTCAGTCCGAGTGCAAATCACCACCACCAATTACAACTCAACAGTCAAGAAGCTGTACCAGAATGTTCGAGTCCAGCTTGGTTGGAAAAAGACTTAATTTTGAACGCATTATACACAGGAATCTTTAATTTTTGAACTCACACTCACACTCACACTAATGATGTAGGCTATTGGTTTTATGGTTTTCTTTTCTTCGAAATGATTGGAGGCAGAGGTGGAGAGCTATTCACAGGCCTGAGGGGACCTTGTCCTCTCTATCTTCTCACCTCCTTTGCCAAATAGAGAGTACAGGCAATAGATAGCAGAAAAAATCCCACAATTTTAATTTTGTGGCCCCCAAAACACCAAATCTACCTATACTATATATGGTGAATGAACCGTAATAGTGACTTCACACAAACACATCCTCTAAAATAATATCTTGAACAAAATCTGGTGGTTCTTCAAACCACTCAACTTTGACAGCTAACGATAACAAAGTCTTGATTAACTTATGTGTTAATAGATCTCCAATTATCGTATTATTATTGGTGGTTAATGAACATTAATCCGTGAGATAGATACTCATGTTGCATAGATGCAACGATTTAATTTACTTAACAAAAATTAGGCAACTCATGTTGCATTAATCCTAGCTACTTGAACAACCTTTAAATAGTACAAGGGACTAAAGCCAAGGTTTGCAACCACAGGCCCAGGAGATAAACAACCCAAATTGATAGTCAAGGTTGTGCTGCTAAGAGAATTTTGCAGCCCAGAATGAGGTGTGGTCCAATGATGCGCTACACTGTTTGAGCCTCTTTTTAAAGGAAAGAAAAAGACCACGGTTAGAGCAAATGGTAGGTAAATATCTATTGACCGAAAAACGTACGTTAAATACAATTTCTAAGTCTTAAAAGTCGAGAATGCATTTTATGAAGAGTGGTGATTTCCCCACTCCAATTTTATACACTTACACTCCATTTTATAACTAGAAAAGGAGTAAGTGGATAAAATTGGAGTGGGGAAATCATTACCCTAAATCAAATTATTAAACAAACTCGTTGTACGAAAATAGGGATATAGTTGCCATTTACTACATAATGACTGACAATGAGAGATTTCTCTCATAGAAAGTTTCTATGTTGTGTTTATAGTGTGTCAATTTGATAAGACATAACATTGTTTTAATGTGTGGTTCAAATTAAATAACAGCAAACACTGTAACGTAGACATCTAGCAATAGACCAATCCTATTGGAGTGAACCATAATCTCAAAACTGTGATGGGTTTTGTGATTACCATAATGAGTAGGGTTTTGAACTAAAGCAAGGGTTGGATTGTAGGTATCAAGATAGGTACAATTCTAGCATCTGGAAGAAGTTGATTGAGAGAGTACATTTGGGTGGAGAGTTTGGAGTTGAAGAGCATACTTGCATTGTTGGCATACTCTGAGCATCCTCTCTGTATGCCCCCACCCAATGTCCTCTGTGAATCTGTGATGGCACACATCCAATTACTGGTGCACAGTAGACTCATCACTCCAATTCTTCTTGCCCCAAGTCCATAAAGTTCCTGTCCAGCCATTCAAACCCATTACAACGTTTCCCACAAAAGAAATAAATAGAATTTACAATGAAATTCCTAACTAATTAAGCTTCATAACCAAGCAATGGGGGGGAAATTTGTATTAGTAGGTCATGTAATTCAACCTTAACTCGACATGTTTAATTAATCGTGTTAGATGACTCGACGTTAACCCAACCCAACTTGTTTATTAGATCATTATATGCTGGGATATCATAATTGGCTCTCCTGAATGGTGTGGAAAAATATGTATTTGCAATGTCATTACTTCCTGAGCACACCAGGAATATGCTTATTGACAGTATAATCTCTGTTTTGTTTTCTCCAACTGCTGCCTTTATCTTTCTGATGTAACTTTTGAACATCTCTAGTTGATCGGACATTGATAACACAGACTGTTATTTCAAGGGAAAGAAGAGGATTAAATAAGATACATTGATTCTTTTGTAAAGAAAAGCAGAATTCTATAAACCAAAACCATACCATTAATTTAGCAGTGAGAGGATCATATCCTGAACCACATGAGGCAACACTTACACCAGTGAGGAATTCTTGGAGCTGAAGATTTGGACTGAGATAAGCTGGCAAGAGCTCCTTGACCCCAAATCTTTCAGCTGGGGAAAAAAAAGAAGATAGAAAGACAATTAGTCTCTATTTTAAAAGAAGTGTATAGAGGGTTTTATGTATGTGACACATAAAAAGAGTAGCATGCCATCACTTAATTAAATGTTACATTTACGTTACCGACGAAATCTGAGGGACCTATCCATTGCTAAACCTTCTGGTTGGTTTTCTTTCGACGAAATCCCTGCCATAACAGAAACACAAAAGTGTAGCAAGAGGTAGCCACACTTTGAAAAGATTGCGTGACTTCTGTTTATAGTTTATGCCATGTTGGCCTAACTTACTAAAAATCGAAAGGGCCTCTCCTACATCAGTAAGAGCATCCACAATGATGCTCTCTATTTCTTAGCTAAAATTTAGTTAAAAATATAAGAAATCTATTTTAGGAGCTCTCTAAAAAATTTCAACTCCAATCATACTCCCTAATTTAGAGAGTCATAAATGTTATAACTCTTTTTTGATTGGTCCATCTCTATTAAAAAATAAAATAAAAAATAGTTAGCATTAAATAAAGGTTTGAAATACTCATTAAATAAAGCAGCATTAAATTATAGGGAGCCACCAGGAGTCCTTTCTCTCTCTTCAAATTTAGGAGCTCCTAGAGGACTCTCTATTTTAGGAGGTGAATAGGGAGCATGGTTGGAGTTGCATTTTTACAATTCCTCCCTAAAATTTATCTAAGGAGGTGGTTTAGGGAGCCCATTGTGGATGCTCTAATAAATTGAATTGTACAATATAATTACTTAATCGTTAGTAAAAATACAAAACAAACCCAACTAAATGATGTGACCTGGCTTATAAAATCTTCTTGGGAAGAACTGGGATTTGTTAGCTGATCTATCATGCGTAGAGAGAAAAAAAAATTATCAAACTTGGGAATCATATAACTTTGATTTGGGCCGTTTACGTTAGTTGCCCCCTCAGTGTGTTTTTGTGGGCTTTACCCAACTCACTTGAAAATAAATTTCACAAACCCAATAAACATATTTTCTTTTGACAAAATGATGGGATGTTTACAATCAAATTTAGGTTAATTAGTTCGTTCCAGCTCGAGGTTATAGGTATGCTATGGCGTTAGTTGTTAGAGTAGCTAATCTCCCCTTGAACTTTCTTCCGTAAAAAAAATTTAGGTTAATTAGTTTACTTTAGCCAAAGCATATATATATATATATATTAATGCTGATCATGATAAAGGCAAAGCTACATATAGGACACCAAATAATGTCGATCCATACGATACACGTTTGTAATGTATTTTCGGGGAAGAAAAAGGGCATCCAATCATCCCAAGAAATTTTCAACCAGGATTTTGCAATTTCAAAAAGGTTTACAGGAAGCTTATTAACTTGTGGCCAGAAATCTCTCTTTACAGAAAACTTACACTCATTATCTCCCATCTACCTTGTCCTACCATATAATCTTGCCCCCCCCCTACTGGTACTTCTTTTGAGCATGTCATATTGGTTTTATGGAAATTTCTGCTCGTGTTATGCATGTAATCAAATTTCAACATGGGTTGGCTGAGTTTGTAATTCAAGAAAACCCAGAGGGTGCTTCGCAGCAGAAATCCCAGAGACCTTCTTGGCCCACCAGAGTTTTTCCCATATTTTAACTGTGTTTTATGTGCATAATTCATGCTGCATGCACCTCAGAAATGATTTCCAAACTATCGAAGTTTCACAAGAAGCATGAGTTATTGCTCTGGAAACTTCTAGACATATGAGGCCGCAACTCCTATAAATATCTAACATAAGGGTTAAAATGATAACATGTTCATGTGAATTCAAACTTTCTATTTCCGACTATGAGTGCAGGGCCAATATTCATCCAATCAAATCATGTTGATATCAATTTCTTGTAGATGAGCTCTTAATTATAGTTGCCTTGCCACATCTATATTTTATGGCTGTATAACCTATCTCTCCCTTGGGAGACCACACAGAAGCTCTATGATTGAAAGATACGTATAATACATCACCAAATAGTATACGACGAAACAAGTATAACACTATATACGGAATATTGTAGCAAAGTTAGTAGTTATCATTTGGGTGCATGAGGCAGGCCATGCTGTCACCAAACAAGGCTGTATCTCTAAAGAGGAAAGCTTAATTACATTGAAGAATGTGGACCACTAGATGGATTACACGTAGCTGCTCTTTGGAAAATAACCCTAAAGATTCGGATATAGTCTACTAGTATCATAAGAAAATAAAATGCCAGCATCAGTCAATCACAGAAACGTGAAATTTTTTTCACTCATTGATGAGTGTGACTCTCACTCGAAAATTCCGCAACCATTTACGGCTAAAAATTATCCACGCGCCTAGACGACTGACGGTAGCACGACTCTGATTTCAGGATTGGGGACCGCGATTTCTACTCTCGACACGTGGCCAACCTAATGTTTGCTTTCCTCCAAAGGCATTGGAAAATTTGGGGCCTTCAAACGTTTCGGCGGAAAGCAGTTCTTGGCCCCGTGCAGTGAGTCCAATGCACACCGAATTATTTGATTGCTTTTGACACTCACTCTAGAGGCCCTGTGGACCACTATAGAATCTCCAATGTGCGGGCATGAGAGCTGCAGCTTCAAAATCTTCTATTTGGTAGTATTGATCCCAAAATGTATTCTGTTGGGCTGTTGCATGCCTAGTCAACATACCTTTCATCCTTATGCATGTTGTTGAGTGCCTTCTTCATTATTCTGACACGAAATAATTTATATGACTGGCTTAAGAAAATAATTTTACTATATGAGGACAAAGTCAACTGGTTTGATCATATTAAGACTTCAATCCTCTCGAGAAAGTTGACCTTTTTTTTTTTTTTTTTTTTTTTTTTTTTTTTTTTTTTTAATTATTTTTTTTAAATTTTTTAGAACTCTAATTTTTTATTTTTTTATTTTTACATATAGAAAGTTCTTAGACCTTAGAATAGATAATTGGAATTAAAAAAGAGGAAGAAGAAAAAGAGAAAGAGTGAGTTTAAAAGACATGACTCTTTGATGATTTTGATTGAAACCATATATAGAGTGAGTTTATGACTTCAGTTCCCAAGGGTGCATAAATTAAGACTTCAAACATTTCTGTGCTCTCATCATCCCTCACCAGTACTGTGGCTTACATATTAAACATGACGCATATACGATGTTTTGGGCCATTCGGCTGCTCACCAAATTACCCATTAAATTACTAATTTCATTGTTGGGTTCCATTTGAGCACGTAGAGCTTCTCCAGCTGAAATCCTGGGTAGCTTCTAATCCACCAAGTTTCTTGTGAAGTTTAGTACACAAGTTTTTAAATTATATTGCTCGCTACCTTGCTACCTAACTGCCTCTCTGGAAACTTCTGGATATATAGTCGAAGCTGCAGGGTCATGGTGAATTGGTGGTGATGATGGCAGCATTTAGCAGTCATCATATAAATCTAGCTAGTCATCTTTTTACGTAAATAGCAACACAAGCAGACACTCTTTTTTGTATTTTGTAGCCCCAATCTTTGAACTTGGAATATCCTTTAAAAAAAAAAATAGTAAATTTGGCTTACACCCTTCAAATTCAATTTGCCGTACCTAAAACCCTTCACTTTTTGTTCCTATAAATAATACCCAATTTGTATAAGTAAAAACCCATGACTAGGATCCAACTCAGCAAGTTACCTAATTAAGCATAAAATTTGATTTATTGTACTTTTCATATTCCAAAAATACCCCCAACTAAGCCATTATTGCATTTTGTATATTAATGTAGGAATCAATATGGAAACAGTTTTTAATTGGATTGTATATAATGACAGATGTTGAATTTGGAAAGATCTCCAAATGGTTGTAATGGATGTAGGAATTAATTTTGAAACATTTAAAAAATTTTTTAACAATAAACTCAAATTTGGGTAATCGGTTTGTTTAATAAAATGTTTATGTTATTTTCTTTTTATGAATTATACATGACTAATAATCCACTTTATAATTGTTTATGAATAAAACTGTACATACTAATTATGTTGAAAAAATAATGTACCTATTACTTGTTTGTACATACCTACATTATACGACATCCAATATACCTACATTAATTTTAATGTACTTACAATTAGGATTTAGGTATTATATGTCATCCAATGTACCTACCGTTTGAATAATATACCACTACGAATAAAGTACCTATTATTTATCTAAATAATGTACCTATTTTTTTCTATAAATAATATAGCCTTTTTTCTCTGAATAAAGTAGCTATTATTTGTTTTACAATGTACCTATATTTTATATAAATTATTGTGTACCTATTTTTAATTATGAAAAATATACGCAATTACAAAGTAACTGATTTTTTTTTCTTTTTTGGGTAAATAATATACCTATATTTTATATGTATATATTTATATTATATTTTTCATAGGTACATTACTGGATATGTAATTTACATATTTTTTTTTGTTTGCAATTTTAGGGGGCGAGATGTGAGAGGGAATGACAACTAAAAGAAATGGGGTGATTGATATGCTATTAATAGGGAGTATATTAATTACAATTATGGCAGTTAATGAAATGCTTGAAATAAATTATAAATAAAATATGAAGTTTAGTGGCAACGATGTAAAAACATAGAAATACTACGACCTCTTATATCATACTAGTCATTTAAATTTGAAATTGGGTTTTACACATAGATTTATAGAGTAATGGGTATATGTCTAGGAAATAGAAAATGTAGGGATCTATATTGGACAAGCCCAAAAAAAAAAACGAAAAGGCTATATCTTGATGAGTCCCTGCCTGGAAACCAGTGGAAACCCTCTAATTTATTAGCATATTCCAACTATATTCCCTCATCGTCTTCTGATTATGAACGCACAATAAATATTTCTTAGATTATCTCAGTTATGATCATGACCGATTACGATTATAATAATACTTAATAATCATATTAATATGTTCACCAAATGAGATGTCAGTACACATGTTACACATATGTATATAGTTGGTGAGAAAAATTGTGGAAAAAAAAAAATTTGGTATGTGTACTACTCGTTAGGATTATGCTTGCAACATATATAGAGGTCAAAGTAGACCTAATTAAATATAAAGGAAATCGAGTGATGTATTTTATCTTAGTGAAAACTGACCAGATTCAGGAAACTGATTCTGTGCTTTTCTTAGACCTAATGACTATTGACTATGTGAGTTTGGTATGTGTGGTTTTCATGGGGACTTTCTTTGGAAAGGGTGGGTCTTTTGGAAATTTGGTATAATCAAATTAGTAGGCAATCTTTTTTTAACAATTTTAACTTACCTACTGCATGCCTACTTGAGAGAGAGAGAGAGAGAGAGAGAGAGAGAGAGAAAACGTAATTCGAGAGAGTCCATGTCAAGAAAAAACGTAATTCTCTTTTCATAGGGATAAGAATTTGGATACATACGCATGTATATATCATCACATTTTCTGGTGCAGAATTATCAACGTGATAATGAAATACTAATATGGTAGTGGTTATGGTAAAGACCGAGTACAAAATTGATGTGTAGAAATTTATTAAGTAATGAAAAGTACTGAAAACAAATTGTGGAGTTAGAGTATATGAAGTCAAGTGTGAATTGTGTTGTGATTTGACTCACCATTTGGTATGAAGTTTGGGAGTAAGAAAACAACGTTGGTACAAAAATCCGACCGGTTACCAGAATGTGGGCGGCGGGTCACAAAGTAAGCATTGGGTTGTTGAGTTTCATGTGTTTAAGTCAAATTGCGTGTTACTTATTTCTTTAGTGTTTTTTATTTGATAATATTTTGCTAAAGGCGAAACAAACTGTTAAGAAGGTCAATGATTTCCTAATGTTCACAGGATGGATTAGGAAACAAATATGTAATTATGTGCTGTAGAATATTTCTTTTCCTATTGTAATTTAGATTCCTAGAATAGCTTAGCATCATTATAGGAAATCTCTAATATAAAGTTACACCCTCTGACTCAATGAAAATCATTCAGGCAAATATCTTTCTTCCCTATTTCACATGGTATCAGAGCAGGAAGACAAACCCTAGCTCTCTCTTTTTTTGCCGTCTCAAATTTTATTTTCTTTGCCATTGCTTCTCATCATGGAGCGCGAGCAATTTCTCTCTGATCTCCAGTTTCAACAGATATTATCTATTATTAACAATAAAGGGGCGAATCAATCCTCCAATCCTAAGGCCAATGCTGCTGGTACTTCTTCAAGTTTGTCACAAGCACCGTTGCGCCTCCGTCAATTAATCCTTGATAGTGGTGCAACCGATCATATTACTTCTTCTCCAAATTTGCTTGTCAACAGTCATCAGAACACTATTTTACCGCCAGTTATTATGCCCAGTGGAGAACAGGCTCCAATCACATCTACTGGAACTTTACCTTTGAACTCTGTTATTTCTCTGAAAAATGTGCTTGGTGTGCCATCTTTCAAGGTGGATTTGATGTCTGTGAGTCAAGTTACAAGAAGTCTCAATTGTTCTGTAACCTTTTTTCCCTCTTGGTGTATTTTGCAGGACTTGACGACGAAGAAGACGATTGGTTTGGGTAAACAACGAGACGGACTTTATTACTTGGTCGCATTGGCGTCAACAACACCGAGCCCTAAATTCAGATCCTCCGCTGCCATTGCTAGCCATCCATCTTGTTCTCATGTCACCTCCTCCACTGACTTGTGGCACCGCCGATTAGGGCATCTATCTTCCTCTAGATTAGATTTTATGGCAAAAAATTTGCTCAATTTTCCTTTCAAATCCAATAATCCTTGTGATGTTTGTGCACTTGCAAAACAATGTCGACTTCCTTTTTCTGCTAGTTCAATTTCGTCTGTTAGACCGTTTGAGTTAATTCACTGTGATATTTGGGGCCCCTACAAAATTCCTTCTTTTTCTGGTGCTAAATATTTTTTGACAATTGTGGATGATTATTCTCGTTTCACATGGGTATTCTTTATGCAGCACAAAAGTGAAACACAACATTTACTTACAAATTTTTTCTCCTTTGTCAAAACTCAATTTGCTGCATCCATTGCTAATATTCGAGTTGATAATGGGGGGGAATTCTCTTCTATGAAAGCTTTTTTTCAACAAAATGGCACTACTTACCAACACTCTTGTGTCTATACACCCCAACAAAATGGGGTTGTAGAGCGCAAACATCGTCATATCCTTGAGTTAGCCCGTGCCCTTCGCTTTCAAGCCCATCTCCCTTTGCGTTTTTGGGCAGAATGTGTTCTCACCGTTGTACATTTGATTAATCGTTTGCCCCCACCACTTCTTTCCCAACAAACTCCTTTTGAACGCCTTTATGGCAAGACCCCTTCCTATTCCCATCTTAAGGTTTTCGGGTGTCTTGCCTATGCTACTGATGTGCATGTCCCTCATAAGTTCGCTCCTAGAGCCAAACATTGTGTTTTCCTTGGTTACCCGGTTGGTCAAAAAGCCTACAAGCTCTATGACCTTACCACTCATAAATTTTTCACTAGTCGTGACATTGTTTTTCATGAAACTATTTTTCCCTATGCGTCCCTTCCATCCATTCCAACACCTCTAGCCCCCGTCCTTCCTCATTTTGTGTATGACCCTCCTATTTCTGACTTATTCCCCACGACCTCCACAACACCATTAGAACCGGTCCATCCCGTCCCTCCCTTAGCAATGACCCAGCCCGATTCTCCTTCTGCGTCTCCGTATCCAGACACCTCCACTTTTGATCAACCCATTCCTATCAGCGTCGTTCAGCCCCCTCCCGTCCCTCCATTAGAAATGACCCAGCCAGCTTCTCCTTCTGCGTCTCCGCATCCAGCCACCTCCACTTTTGATCAACCCATTCCTGCCAGCGTCGTTTAGCCCCCTCCCGTACCAGTTTTACGACGTTCTCAACGACATCACAGTCCTCCACGTGTTTTACGTGATTATGTTTGCAACCAAGTAATGTCTCCCAAACCGTCACCGTCTTCTTTGTCTGGTTCCACCAAAGGTACAAGGTATCCTCTTTGTAACTTTCTCTCTTACCATCGTTACTCACCACAACATCATTCTTTTGTTGCTACTATTAGTCAGGATGTTGAGCCCAGCTCTTATACAGAAACAGCTTCCCATTCACACTGGCAGGACACCATGCAATCTGAATTGGCAACTTTAGAGGCCAATCACACTTGGTCTCTCACTCCCCTCCCTCATGGCAAGAAACCCATTGGATGTCGCTGGGTTTATAAAATCAAACGTCACTCAGATGGCACCATAGAGCGTTATAAAGCTCGTTTGGTGGCCAAGGGTTACACACAGTTGGAAGGTATCGATTATCATGACACTTTTTCTCCCACTGCTAAAATGATTATTGTTCGTTGTTTATTGGCTCTGGCAGCTGCTCAGGATTGGTCCCTTCACCAATTAGATGTCAACAATGCTTTCCTTCATGGTGATCTCCATGAAGAAATTTATATGTCTCCACCTCCTGGTCTTCAGCGACAGGGGGAGAACTTGGTGTGTCGCCTCAACAAGTCGTTGTATGGTTTAAAGCAAGCTTCTCGTCAATGGTTTGCCAAGTTCTCAACAGCTGTTCAAGCTGCCGGATTTGTTCAGTCCAAAGCGGACTACTCGTTATTCACATGTCGGAATGGAAAGTCCTTTACCGCTCTGTTGATATATGTTGACGATATTCTTATTACGGGTAATGATCTCAAGGCTATATCCATTCTTAAGCAATTTTTGCATAGTCGTTTCCGAATTAAAGATTTGGGGGATTTGAAATATTTTCTGGGCATTGAAGTCTCTCGATCAAAGAGAGGTATTTCTATTTCACAGCGGAAATACACTTTGAAAATTTTGAAGGATGGTGGAATTTTGGGTGCTAAACCTGTGAACTTTCCCATGGAGCAAAACATAAAGCTCTCTGATACAGGTGAATTGCTTAGAGATCCATCTCAATATAGGCGACTTGTGGGACGCCTAATTTATTTAACTATTACTCGGCCTTATATCATGTATTCGGTACATGTATTAAGCCGATTCATGCATGCACCACGTAGACCACATATGGAAGCTGCCTTGCGTGTGTTGCGTTATTTGAAAAGTGCTCCAGGACAGGGTTTGTTTTTCTCTTCTCAAAATGATTTATCTCTGCGAGCTTTTTGTGACTCGGATTGGGCTGGTTGTCCAATGACTCGTAGATCCACTACGGGTTATTGTGTTTTTTTAGGATCTTCACTTGTTTCTTGGCGAACAAAGAGGCAGAAAACAGTGTCACTCTCTTCAGCAGAAGCCGAATATAGAGCCATGACAGGTACATGCTGTGAGTTGTCTTGGTTACGTTCATTATTGAAGGATTTACGAATATTGCATCTGAAACCGGCATTGCTACATTGTGATAACAAAGCAGCCTTACATATAGCAGCCAATCCCGTTTTCCATGAGAGAACCAGGCATATAGAAATGGACTGCCACTTTATTCGGGACAAAATACAGGATGGTTCGGTTGTAACCAAGTTTGTTACTTCGGCAAATCAGCTTGCGGATGTATTCACTAAACCGTTGGGAAAGGAACCCTTTTCTACCATGATTCGCAAGTTGGGAGTTCTCGACATTCACTCTCCAACTTGAGGGGGAGGGTTAAGAAGGTCAATGATTTCCTAATGTTCACAGGATGGATTGGAAACAAATATGTAATTATGTGCTGTAGAATATTTCTTTTCCTATTGTAATTTAGATTCCTAGAATAGCTTAGCATCATTATAGGAAATCTCTTGTATAAAGTTACACCCTCTGACTCAATGAAAATCATTCAGGCAAATATCTTTCTTCCCTATTTCACACAAACGCACATGAATCTCCGAAAAAAGAAAAGAAAAAAAATAATCGAACATTCATGTATACGTGAATGCATACATGCACCACGTACGTACGCTGCAATAGAGACTGGTCAAATGTTTTGTTTATATTTTTAAGGGCAAATTAAATCCTTCTCTTTTGGTTCGACCACAAATGAGAGCTTGCTAAGGTAGCTACGCATTTTACTAATAATGAAAGAAAGAAGAAAACGACTGGTAACTACTGGTACCTTCCACTATGAGTAAGTGAAACGTGGCAATGTGATGGATGTCGAAAGGAGGAGCATCTACTTTTAGCAATAAAGAAAAATGATTGTTAGTTCCCCTACTTTCTACAGATTGTGACCTCTCATTTTGCTTCTTCAACGTACCAACTCATATCATTTCTCACAATATTATTATTATTGCGCAAAGCCAAACCCACGAAGCACTACTTCAACGAAAAGTTTTGATCAATTCAAGGGTGTTCGTAAGCTTTGATTCTAGTGTCAAAACGTATCCAAGGTAGAGTTTGGGAAAATCTTTTTGATGATTTTTTAGTTGAATACACAATTGCATTATTTTGAATCGATTTGATTCATGCACATAGGTGCGTGAGGAGAATGTTCTAGCCTCAACGTTGATGTTTTAGGAGAATGGTTTATACAACTTGTGGGCGTTATTACATATTATGTATCTTATAAAATATAAATTCGTCACATGTAGATTAATAAAATCGTATAATCTTATAAAAATGTGAAAGCACATGAACTTTATAGCCTCCTTTTGCTATATGTCATCATTGACGAAGTTATTAATTTCGTTCATCATTTAGAACTTAGGACTAAAACCCAAAGTTTGACCTCCGTTCAAAATTTAAAAATTTAATCCTAAACCTTAGGGCCCGTTTAATAACTATTTGAATTTTAGTTTTTAGTTTTTATTTTTTGTGCTAGAGTATAGAGGAAAAAGATGGAAAATGGAAGTGGGAATGAGAGTGAAGATGGGATTGAGAGGGAAGATGAGAGGAGAGGATAGGAGGGAGGAGTAACAAAAGTGAAAACAAAAACTAAAAACTAAAATCTATTTCAACTTGTTTTCACTTTCAAGATTTTGTTTTTACTTTTGTTACTCATCCCTCCCATCCTCCCCTCTCATCTTCTCCACTGAATCTCATCCTCATTCCCATTCTCACTCTCATTTTCTTCTATACTCTAATACAAAAAAAGAAAACTAAAAACTAAAAATGAATTAATGGTTATCAAACCGGCCCTAAAACTTTAAAACTACAATTCTACAGCTTAATCAAATAAACCCTGTAGTTAGGCATGAAATCATAAAACACCCTACATGGAAAAAGAAGAAAAAAAAAGAAAAAAAAAAGAATACAAGTGAGAAGTAATTATAAAAACTCCGATAAAACAATATGATAAGATAAGATATGTCGAATTCAAACCTTGTCGGCTCTCCTCACTGCAACATGCCAAGACACTTAAAAAAGAACGAATCACAAATCTGCCAAGTGTCAAAATCTCTAAAGATGATGAGAAATTAGCGGATCGATTTACAAAAAAGCATAAATTATGGCCATTACGAGTTCGCACTTTCATTGTCAAAAGTTCTTCATCAAAGGAAGGTGACTGGCCGCTAAGAGATAGTTTTATGATTTTATTTTCACGAGCAGTGTCGGGATAATGGACGAAACATATGGAATGAAAGGAACAATGACAAGGAAACCTAAGACGAATAATATATATATATATATATATATATATATATATGATATGAGCAGAGCAGTTGAAGGCTTTGTCCTGCGTTATATCACATGCCTGTCGACATAATTACAGGACGATAACATGCATGGATGTATGGCGATCAGAGCTGGGATTTGTTTTGCCCCTTCGTAACTGACAAAGCCAATGCTTTCATTTTGAGAATACAATGGTGACCGTGAGATTAGAGCAAGTTATACATTGCCAATTAATAAGGACAATGACCTTAAGACCTTAAGGGCTCGTTGGTGGCAAGGAAGGATTGGATATAGCTAAGCACGCCAGATTTAAAGCATGTTGATTGAAGAAATGTTGTCCAAGTTGAAGGTATAAGATGGATTATTCATGAAGGATACTTATCTCATATAATCCCCACAAAATGGATATCTACACCTTATAACTTATCCCTTCTAATTTCCGAAAATGAAAAATCATTTACTCCTACCATCATTCTCTCCTTCAACATACCTTAATATAGTGAGTTATCCAATACAATCCAATAATATGCACCAAACAAGCCCTAAAAGTTTGATTGAATTACACATAATCCGATCCATGTTAATTTTCACCTCCAACCACCTGACTATGATTATGGATCCAATCACTTATAATTTGCCGTGTTCGTTTTAGTAAGAGAAGTAATTCAATGTACCTGTTGATTAGGTGACTTTTTTCTTAGAGCTTCATTTAGCGTGACCCCTCAGTACTAGTGTCACCTATGAAATCTGTCATGGCATGAGTTTACTATCGGTAGCTCGTCCTCTCGAGCTTTTGCTAAATTATAGGGCTTGTTATTTTTTGACATATAGTGAGTGAACTAGATTCTTATGTGGATATAGTTTTTTCTTTTATTGAGTGAACCAAAAGAAATCCCTTGGCTACATGAAAAAGCCTATGTTTTCAACCCAAGAAAGGCCTAGGGGAGGGGAATGATAAAAACCGTTGATTCTGATGCATAATGTATGTTCATCCTCTCCCTCCCCACTCAAAGAGACTTGACATGACAAACACCAACTCAAATGGGACACAAGAAGTACCTACTCAAGCACATACCCTTTTTTTTTTCTAAAGCCTATATTCTTTGGATCCCAAGAAAAAGGAGAGGCATCAAATCAAATGGGTACTAGCTAAGCCTAGCTACAAGAATTATCCTTTCTTTGATAATGTAGATGCCATAGATGGAGTGTATAATGTAGCCATTTGCAAGGGGAAGAATCAATGGCTCCCAATCAAGATCATGTAACATGTGTTCATTCAACCGTGTACATAAAAGACATTGCTTCTCACTATAAAAACAAAACAAGACCATGACTTGGAAGAACTAGATAAGACCACACATGCGCTACATACTGATCACCCACAATCCAGACACATTAATGAACAGGAAAGCCCATATCCTCCATCCCAAGAGCCTCTAAATTTTTTGCAGAAGAAACCCTCTTGGTTATGAAGGTTGTTTCCAAGCACCCAAAGCACTCAACTCATATGGGAAAGAAAGCTTCCCCAATATTATTGAGTTTCATATTCATCATAACCCACCCACAACTTTTGTTTTTATGAAAAAGTCAAAGACTTGAGCAAATTGCTTGAGCTCTCAGTGCTATCATCTCATCAAAACATCCCATCACTTTTTACCTCCTCTCGACGACCTTTGAAATTACTTACTTTTAAAGCATCATTGTTATTGTGGGGATTATGCAGCAAAATCATTTGTGTATGCAACAATTTGTATGTGGAAAACCTTAATATGTTACTCTCAAAAGTCACCCTATGGTCGACAAGCTTTGCAAAGTTGACTAAAAATATCCACACCCAACTGAGATATTGATAGTTTCGTTTAAAATATCTCACCGTTTGAATTGTTTTGCTAGTGTCTTGCTGATATGATGCTTCTTGCTGCAATTGATTGGTTACTGAACCTAACATTTACCAAGCTACCAATCACAAATTGCCACCATCTTTTACAACAGCAATGCAATTTGTGAGAAAGTATCCAATCAATCAACCTTTGATGCCACAATTGTGCGCCTCAATCTCTTTTCCTAATGCTTAAACAGGAAATAATGAGAGGCCTATTGTAGGTATATCCACTCAATTGCAGTTTCAACACTTTTTTCAGTCTCTGCATTGGATGCTCATAATTGGCTCATTCTAGTTCAGTCTTCTTGATTAAAGCCTAATGAAGTTGATTAGTGATAGCTCAACACATTTAACGTGATTATCTCACGCAATAGTTTTTCATTTTGACCTTTTTGGCATTTGCTTGTATTTTAATCCAACATCATGTTTCAACATTCCGATCCGTGGAAATTCACATTGAATACGAACACAATCCAATCACCGTAATAAATTTATACCCTCGTAGAGTAGAATAAGCGCGTAAACAGGATGCTAGTGTGTATACAAAATAAGGTATAAACTACAAAATTCCAGCATGTACAAGAGAAAACAGAGTGGGGAAGCAAACAGGTTTGAATTACACAATAAACAGAGATATATACACTCGAGACATATACAGATATACACTCTGTTGTATAGTCATATTATATACGACATATAGAAGTGAAAGAATGAGGAAAAAAAACAGCTGAGCTCCAATCCTACAGCTACTCCCACAAGCTACAAGCTGCTCCCCCTCAAAACCTCTCACCCTAAAATCTCTAAATACACCCAAAATTACATACACTAAAAAAAAATTAAAAAAAAAATTAAAAACAGAGGAGACTCCGGGGGCGTATCAGATAGCGCTTCCCACAGGTAATTGTCCTCTGTAATTTTCTCTGAACATTTTCAACTGCAAACGGATAATATGGCAGTAGAAATTTCAGGCCTGCTTCTCCAAATCCTTGGAACTTATGAACGTGCCGTGAAAACCGTACGGAACTCTGGAGGGGAGTTGAATTGTAGCTTCAACTTTCAAATCCATGGCGTTCACGATTTGCAGCTCCGATTTCCACTCCTTCTCGTTGTGAACGAAGGCCAGAATGTACCCATCGTCCTCATTCGCCGAATTTGGGTCTCTGGGCAGAAACAGAGGCTCTCCTCCGTACTTCTCGTCGCCATAGATATGCTTCTTTACTTCACCAGTAGAGAGGTCCACTTTGGCAAAGCCCGAAACTTTGGGCCACGGCTCCGCCAGAGCCAGGTACGCGAACCGGGTTTTTCTCCCCAGTTTGTTCCGGTTCACCATCCCGGCTTCCAAATTCACATTCTCGGAGCAAATACGGCGCCGTGTCGACTTGCCGGTTTTCAAATTGAGCCGGATTTCGGACAGAACGCTCTCCAATTTCTCGTCGCATTCGTTGAAAATGGAGTCGGGCGGAGTCATGCAGGACCCGATCACAACGACTTCGTCCGTCTCCGTCTCCTCCCACGCGTTCCAGAGATGGAAGCAGAAGCAATCGGGGCAGTCGACCCATCGGATCCCCGAAGCGTCCTCCGCATTCTTGTCGAGAATCCCAAAACGTGACATCTTGTTCTTGTCGTAGATCACGGGGGACCCACCGGTGATCATCTCCTGCAGCTTGAACACCACCTGCTGGTCCGGAATTACGACATACCGTTCTGTGATAGCGAAGTCGTGCATCATGGTGGGCTGGTCAAGATTGATTTCGACGTCGGGGGATTTCTCGCCGTCCGGCGAGAACTTGAAGTACTTCAAGTAAGGCCTCTGAACGACGTCGTAGCTGAGCGCGAAGAGCTCGCCAGTGGTGGGGTCCACTTTCGGGTGGGCTATCATTGTGGACTTGAGCTGTTTATCGAAGTCGTAACGACCGACCGTTTTGAGGTCCCCTGTTTCGGTGATTTTAACGTGATACGGCAAGTCGTCTTCCGACATGGCGAGCAGGCGACCGTTGAAGTAGACGAGGCCGGCGTTGGCGACGCCGATACCGTGGGTGGGATCCACGAGGCCGAACATGCCACGCGCGTAGAAGAGGAGGAGGCGGGCGATGCCGGAATGGCCGTGGAGCTCGCCAATGGCTTTTGGGAACAGGGGACGCCCGAGGTCGCGCTCCTGGCTAAAACGGTGCGTTTCGGTGAACCTGCAGGCGTAGCTGGCGGCCCCGTCTTTGAATTGCAGGGCGTGGACCATGCCGTCGCCGTCGAAGAAGTGGTGGCCGGCGACCGGCTCGTGAAGTGGGTTAGCGCCGTTGCGGACGTAGACGCCTTGGATTGAGGCCGGGATTTTTCCGGTGACTGGCAGAGAGTGTTCAACCTGGTGCTCCGGTACTGGAGCGAAGTTTCCGGCGATTTGGACTTTTGGGTCAGCTGTTTTGGGAAGTGGGTGTTGCTGCTCTTTTGATAGCAGAGCGCTCTCCATTGCGTCCAAGGCCATGGCTGCTGCTCTCTGTAGGAAGTTCCATTGCTGGGGCACTGGCTTTGAGGATTTAGAAGAAGGTTGGGTCTTGTTTTCTTTTGGGTTTGAGGTTGTGGAGGGAGTGAAAAGGGTGGTTGATGAAGATGAGGAAGGGGTGTGTTTGGGGATTTGGAGAAGAGAGGGGGCCTGGAGAGAGCAAGTGAGTGTGTTTGCGGTTGATTTTCTGTGAATGGGTTTTCTGCTGAAGAAAATTGGGCTGGAGGAGGAAGAGGGGGGAAAACCCAATTGGTTTGTAGCTGAATTTGAAGAGTTTGTAGAAGAAAGGTGATGTCTTCTAGTAGTAACAGGCTTAACCCATGTGCCTGTTGTTGCTGCAGCAGTGGAAGGCATGGTTTCTCTATTTTAGTAAATTAAACAAGGAAATAATAAAAAGCATACGCTAGTAATAGTAAGAGTAGAGAATGGTGGCTCTTGATTGGCCTTGAGGGCAAGTAAACTTGTGTATTTTGTGCTTGTTGGGTTGAGAGAGAGAGAGAGAGAGAGAGAGAGAGATTGTGTGTGTTTTTATGGTCTGCTTTTGGTTTGGGTTTGTAGAGAGAGAGAGGGAGGGTGGCTGAGGCAGACACCGAGATGGAGTGAGAGAGTGAGATTTGAAGAAACAGGTGAGAGAGATGGAGGGTATATATAAGGAGGAGAAGGAGGCAGGGAGGCCCACCTCAAACATGTAGTAAGTGACCACGTGTTGGATTTACGAGAATGGGTGCTCAATTAGGATTGCCAATAAGTGATCAGAATGAGGTGGTGGGGGGGTCTAGTTGCTTAATAACTTGACACGACCCCTTTCTCTATAACCCTTTTATATTATGTGTGAGCCCTCAATATTATATTACATTCAATTTGGGTCTTCCTTTTTTATATTCATATCCCAAAAAGAAAGTTCCTTACATTTAGAACAAAACCACACTCGCATTATCACATTGAGTGATGTGTTGCGATGTAGTTAAAAAAAGACATGTGTTCAAGTCTGATTATACCATGACTCGTAATATTGTTGCATAACAAAAACATCCTTGTTATATTTTTTTATCCAATTGCTGGGTATAGGGTAATATAGAGATGACTTAGAAACAGTTACTCCTGCACTCGAGTTTCTGTATTCAAACTCGCTTTCTTCAATACTGTTTGTATGGAACAAATGCATTTGAAATTGAGAAATGAAAAGAGACAAAGTGGGAGTGTTTTGAGTTAGGCTATTGGCCCATTAGTATAAAAATGAAGAGAGTAATGGAAGTGTTGTTGGGGTTTTTTGAGTGGGGATGGGGTGGTACTGGTCCATAAGGACACGTCTTAACCCCGCGTTCTTCCCTCAATCGGAGTCATGCAGAAACACGTGTCGTTGTTTGCAGGCCTCCTCCTTCACCCTGAAAATCTTGGTCACAATCGAATGCCCCACACGCTTACCCTCCTCCATCTTCATCACTCACCATTCTACTCTTTTTGAGTTTTTTTTTTAATTAAAAAAAAACCATTATAAAATTTGTGAGTGAAATCCATGGTGCAACTAAAAATGAATCTGAGAAAAGCTAGTCTCCTTTCCTTTTTATTTATTTATTTATTGTTTTAATAATGGGCACATTCCCTACTCTCTTGGCATACATACGTCTCCATGACTACAAGTATAATTTTTTACCATACAAGTCAATACAAGTTGGATAAATAAATAAGGCCATGCTTCACATGCATGCATGGTTAGGGTACACGCCTCTACCTTGAATTATTTCCACATTCAAAACAGGTTAAACAAAATTGTAATTAAAAAAAGAAAGATGAGAGAAATGAGAGTTGAAAAAGGTGAAGAAGAAAGAAAATATAGGATTTGTGAGAGCACAAATGGAAGCTTTTGTAAAGGTCAAAGAAAGATCAAAGAAATATGTAGTGTGTCTCATTTTGCTTGTCTATTTCTTCTATCACTAATTAAAAAGCACAAAAATTCTAACCAACTAGGTACAAAATATTTAAACGCGACGAAAATATTCTAATTATCGAACCCCACGGTGACGGTAGGGTCGATGAAAGAACAAAAACTATTGATAATGCAAAACATGTGTGAATGTAGAGTATGAAAGTGATTAAAAATAATTGATGTACTAATCGAGAGAGATTTGGAAGTTTTAATTTAGTGCATATTTAGTAATTAATTTCTTTAAAAAGGCTTAATACGAAGGTAACAAGAGTGCAAGACTGAAATTCGTACCTAACGAAATATAATACAAACTAATTATTTTAAAAACTTGTTCTTAGTCGCTCGAAAATTAATCTAAAAATGCCTAACAAGATGTTCAGTCAATGACTCAATAGATAGGTAGCATTGTTAAAACATAATTTTAATTAAGATAACACAGGTCTTAATCAATTTTAGGTTCTCCCTTTTTCCATATAACTAGCTTTTGAGAAATAAAAAAAAACCAAAAAAAAACATTCGGGGCACGAAACCTTAATGGGATTCCCATGTGTCCTTATGTCGGAAAAAAATTCAATGAAAAATATGGTTTCCTAATCCACATTTGCAAATGTTAATGATGGATTTGGAACAGGATCTAGGACCTGCCGCCAGACCAAACTTGTGAAGAAATAGACCACTAGAATTTAAGGTAAGATTTTGATGTCTTCTTTATCCAAAAATAAAAAGAAGAAGAAAGAAGACAACTTCGATGATTCCTCTTTGGTAACTCTAAAGTCGGTGGTCAGAGGCTAAGACGTATTAAACTTTTACTTAACGCGCTAATCCAAACACCAATTAGCATAACTTGCGGAGTTTTAGTTAAGATTGTGTGGAGTGAAACTCATTATATATAAATATAGAAACAGTACGATCAGGATTGTGATTTCAAGAAATTATTGTACAGTAGTTAAATACGGGCACGTAATGTTACTAATCCATTTATATTATAACACGTGAATTTGTTGTATCTATTAGGTGACAATGTTCTTCTACCACATAATAATTTCTTATAGATTTTCTTGATATGCCTCAAATTACTGAATGACACACGCGTTTGGCATTCCAATTTAGTCATTCATGAACATTTTTCATTGATTTTTAAAGTATAATAACATCCAAATTGACACACGTACGAGAATTATAGGATCAAAAGTACTCCAAAATGAGTCGGCGGACTAAAATGAAATTCAAATATAAGTTATACACTATTGTGATTAAAAGCTCTTATTTTAAATTATTTACCAGTTATATTGTTGTTTTCTTGTTATTGCGGGTAGAGATTCCTTCTTCCATCATCCAGATGATAAAGCTAGCTTGCATAATTTATGTAGAGCATTAATTAAGAGGCTCTCAACTTCCTAATCATGGGCTAACAACCATATCCTTTCGTTCATGTTCTTCCACATATGAATTACATATTTTTTATTAGTGGGACTAGTCTCCTTAATGTCATGGATGACTCTAACCTCGAAAAGGTAGAATAATATATAATTTGCCACTTTAAATATTACTTGATTTAATGGAGATGATCTTTTCGTCAGTTGCCATCGAATCTTCGTCGACATTCTTAAGTTGTCTACGTGTCCGCTGATGACGATGATACAAAAGCTGATTATATTTTAATTTAATTATTTTGTTACCCATTTTTTTATTATTTGCTCTCATTATATTTTTTCTGTTCACCATTATTCATTTCCACCTAATTCTTAAATATCTAGAAAACTTAAAAAATTTGAGTTGTTTTTTTGCTATATAAAGCACTCTCGTTTGGGAGTAATTATGGGAGGACCAGAATTACTTATGGGGGGAGAAGCACAATGCTTCTCCATATATTCACTTTAAGTTATTTTAAGAATCGCTTAAAGTGATTATATGAGGAAGGATTTTTACTATAATATGAGTTCATTCTTTTTATTTCTTCTTTAATTCCTTTATGATACATTATATTGTCAGTGCGTACACATGTATGCCATGGTCAGAGATGAATGATAAATGATCAGTATAGTTTTTATTTGTAACAACCTTCAATAATCAACAGTAAAAAATGCACAGAATCAATATAAATCTGGTATGTTCTATAAATCTATCCTCGTTTCTTAATTAAAGCCATAGAGACCCACTAGTTTGTGAATTATTTCTTCATCCACCTCTATATAATATTATGTAAAACAATGTTCAGAATTTATATAACAACCTGCATTAATTGCACGACATGCATGAGTTCATTTTCAATTAAGCTCTAAAACAATGACAACATTATAATATGCTTTGTATTTGCATTTTTTTTAATACTGCAATTCATAATCTAAACTACTCTAAATTACTCTAAGTCGCCGAGGAAGGGAATATTACTCAATTGCAAGAGGGCGGACACTCTGCCTTGACCAACTGGCTTTATTCACATATGCTTGTGTTTTTTCTATTTTTTATTTTGAGTAAACACCACGAGGTGTCCCCACACCCGAAGGATGAGATTAATCCTCGCTCTGGGTTCGGCTTGTCCTTGGCCACAAAGTACTTCCAACGGGTTTCGAACCCCTGCCATTGAGGCACTAGTTAGTTCGACAGCTGAAGGTAACAGTTTGCTAACCGCACCATACCTTGTGGTTGTGTTTTTTCTATTTTAAAGGAGGAGGATTCAAATTTAAAACTTATAAGAAAAATACTACTAAATTAATAATTAATGAGTTTTCATGTGCATCACATAACCACGACAGTGTGCACATTTTGGAGCACAATTATTATAAGATTTCATTAACGTTTATAATAACATGGGGACACACAACAAGTTACTGTTAAGCTATTTGGTCATACAATTATTTATTCTTCTTCTTCTTCTTCTTCTTTCTTTCTTTCTGTAAGATGTCTAGATTTAATGAGTTGCAGGGTTGCAGATGAGCACACATGGGATATGTGAAACCTGCTGCAGGGTTGGCCAGGATCAGGGGAAAATTGTGATTATAAATTCATATATAATATGGACATATGATTTTATTTTTGGAGGCTCGTGACCCACGACAAGTGGAAGATTCACATGACATGATTATTTATTTAATTAGTACTCTAATTAAAACTGTAGCTTTTTAATTAATCATCAAGCCTGCGGCTATGACCCTATAACTAACTATAACATGGAGTGAATCATGCAAGATTTAGGGAATTATTTCGGCATATGATATCTGACAATAAGAAAACACAAGAACTCAATTATCAATTTGCAATCAGAAGATCCCCGGTAAACAAATCAGCTATCGTGGTCATTAATTATGATTAAGAAGAATTAATGGAATATTTAACAAATTATTTGGAAGCTAATCATATATCTATAGCATGGGGTCAATGCTTTTGCATGCTACCACAACAACCAGTGTGAGTATTTTTAGGTTAC